CCGCCGACCTAGCACCCGCCGACCTAGCACCCGCCGACCTAGCACCCGCCGACCTAGCACCCGCCGACCTGGCACCCGCCGACCTAGCACCCGCCGACCTAGCACCCGCCGACCTGGCACCCGCCGACCTGGCACCCGCCGACCTGGCACCCACCGACCTGGCACCCACCGACCTAGCATTCCCCACCGACCTGGCACCCGCTGACCTAGCATTCCCCGCCGACCTAGCACCCGCCGACCTGGCACCTGCCGACCTAGCACCCGCCGACCTGGCACCCGCCGACCTGGCACCCGCCGACCTGGCACCCGCCGACCTAGCGCCCGCCGACCTAGTACCCGCCGACCTAACACCCGCCGACCTAGCATTCCCCACCGACCTGGCACCCACCGACCTAGCACCCGCCGACCTGGCACCCGCCGACCTAGCACCCGCCGACCTGGCACCCGCCGACCTAGCACCCGCCGACCTAGCACCCGCCGACCTGGCACCCGCCGACCTGGCACCCGCCGACCTGGCACCCACCGACCTGGCACCCACCGACCTGGCACCCACCGACCTAGCATTCCCCACCGACCTGGCACCCGCTGACCTAGCATTCCCTGCCGACCTAGCACCCGCCGACCTGGCACCTGCCGACCTAGCACCCGCCGACCAGGCACCCACCGACCAGGCACCCACCGACCGAGCATTCCCCGCCGACCTAGCACCCGCCGACCTAGCACTCCCTGCCGACCTAGCATTCCCGGCCGACCTAGCACTCCCTGCCGACCTAGCATTCCCGGCCGACCTAGCACCCGCCGACCTAGCACCCGCCGACCTGGCACCCGCCGACCTCGCACCCGCCGACCTGGCACCCGCCGACCTAGCACCCGCCGACCTGGCACCCGCCGACCTAGCACCCGCCGACCTAGCACCCGCCGACCTAGCACCCGCCGACCTAGCACCCGCCGACCTAGCACCCGCCGACCTGGCACCCGCCGACCTAGCGCCCGCCGACCTAGCGCCCGCCGACATAGCTCCCGCCGACCTAGCACCCGCCGACCTAGCACCCGCCGACCTAGCACCCGCCGACCTAGCACCCGCCGACCTAGCACCCGCCGACCTGGCACCCGCCGACCTGGCACCCGCCGACCTGGCACCCGCCGACCTGGCGCCCGCCGACCTAGCGCCCGCCGACCTAGCGCCCGCCGACCTAGCGCCCGCCGACCTAGCACCCGCCGACCTAGCACCCGCCGACCTGGCACCCGCCGACCTGGCACCCGCCGACCTGGCACCCGCCGACCTAGCACCCGCCGACCTGGCACCCGCCGACCTGACACCCGCCGACCTGGCACCCGCCGACCTAGCACCCGCCGACCTAGCACCCACCGACCAGGCACCCACCGACCGAGCATTCCCCGCCGACCTAGCACCCGCCGACCTAGCACTCCCTGCCGACCTAGCATTCCCGGCCGACCTAGCACTCCCTGCCGACCTAGCATTCCCGGCCGACCTAGCACCCGCCGACCTAGCACCCGCTGACCTGGCACCCGCCGACCTGGCACCCGCCGACCTGGCACCCGCCGACCTAGCACCCGCCGACCTGGCACCCGCCGACCTAGCACCCGCCGACCTAGCACCCGCCGACCTAGCACCCGCCGACCTAGCACCCGCCGACCTAGCACCCGCCGACCTGGCACCCGCCGACCTAGCGCCCGCCGACCTAGCGCCCGCCGACATAGCGCCCGCCGACCTAGCACCCGCCGACCTAGCACCCGCCGACCTAGCACCCGCCGACCTAGCACCCGCCGACCTAGCACCCGCCGACCTGGCACCCGCCGACCTGGCACCCGCCGACCTGGCACCCGCCGACCTGGCACCCGCCGACCTGGCGCCCGCCGACCTAGCGCCCGCCGACCTAGCGCCCGCCGACCTAGCGCCCGCCGACCTAGCACCCGCCGACCTAGCACCCGCCGACCTGGCACCCGCCGACCTGGCACCCGCCGACCTAGCACCCGCCGACCTGGCACCCGCCGACCTGACACCCGCCGACCTGGCACCCGCCGACCTAGCACCCGCCGACCTAGCACCCGCCGACCTAGCACCCGCCGACCTAGCATTCCCCGCCGACCTAGCACCCGCCGACCTAGCATTCCCCGCCGACCTGGCACCCGCCGACCTAGCATTCCCCACCGACCTGGCACCCGCCGACCTAGCACCCGCCGACCTGGCACCCGCCGACCTGACACCCGCCGACCTGGCACCCGCCGACCTGACACCCGCCGACCTGGCACCCGCCGACCTGACACCCGCCGACCTGGCACCCGCCGACCTGGCACCCGCCGACCTGGCACCCGCCGACCTGGCACCCGCCGACCTGGCAGCCGCCGACCTGGCACCCGCCGACCTGGCACCCGCCGACCTGGCAGCCGCCGACCTGGCACCCGCCGACCTAGCACCCGCCGACCTAGCACCCGCCGACCTGGCACCCGCCGACCTGGCACCCGCCGACCTGGCACCCGCCGACCTAGCACCCGCCGACCTAGCGCCCGCCGACCTAGCACCCGCCGACCTAGCGCCCGCCGACCTAGCACCCGCCGACCTAGCACCCGCCGACCTAGCACCCGCCGACCTAGCACCCGCCGACCTAGCACCCGCCGACCTAGTACCCGCCGACCTAGCACCCGCCGACCTAGCATTCCCCACCGACCTAGCACCCGCCGACCTAGCATTCCCCGCCGACCTGGCACCCGCCGACCTAGCATTCCCCACCGACCTGGCACCCACCGACCTAGCACCCGCCGACCTGGCACCCGCCGACCTAGCACCCGCCGACCTGGCACCCGCCGACCTAGCACCCGCCGACCTAGCACCCGCCGACCTGGCACCCGCCGACCTGGCACCCGCCGACCTGGCACCCACCGACCTAGCATTCCCCACCGACCTGGCACCCGCTGACCTAGCATTCCCCGCCGACCTAGCACCCGCCGACCTAGCACCTGCCGACCTAGCACCCGCCGACCAGGCACCCACCGACCAGGCACCCACCGACCGAGCATTCCCCGCCGACCTAGCACCCGCCGACCTAGCACTCCCTGCCGACCTAGCATTCCCGGCCGACCTAGCACTCCCTGCCGACCTAGCATTCCCGGCCGACCTAGCACCCGCCGACCTAGCACCCGCCGACCTGGCACCCGCCGACCTCGCACCCGCCGACCTGGCACCCGCCGACCTAGCACCCGCCGACCTAGCACCCGCCGACCTAGCACCCGCCGACCTAGCATTCCCCGCCGACCTAGCCCCCGCCGACCTAGCACCCGCCGACCTAGCATTGCCCGCCGACCTAGCGCCCGCCGACCTAGCATTCCCCGCCGACCTAGCACCCGCCGACCTGGCACCCGCCGACCTGGCACCCGCCGACCTGGCACCCGCCGACCTGGCACCCGCCGACCTGGCACCCGCCGACCTAGCACCCGCCGACCTAGCACCCGCCGACCTGGCACCCGCCGACTAGCATTCCCCGCCGACCTAGCACCCGCCGACCTAGCACCCGCCGACCTGGCACCCGCCGACCTGACACCCGCCGACCTGGCACCCGCCGACCTAGCACCCGCCGACCTAGCACCCGCCGACCTAGCACCCGCCGACCTAGCACCCGCCGACCTATCACCCGCCGACCTAGCACCCGCCGACCTAGCACCCGCCGACCTAGCACCCGCCGACCTAGCACCCGCCGACCTGGCACCCGCCGACCTAGCGCCCGCCGACCTAGCGCCCGCCGACCTAGCGCCCGCTGACCTAGCACCCGCCGACCTAGCACCCGCCGACCTGGCACCCGCCGACTAGCATTCCCCGCCGACCTAGCACCCGCCGACCTAGCGCCCGCCGCCGACTAGCATTCCCCGCCGACCTAGCACCCGCCGACCTAGCGCCCGCCGACCTAGCACCCGCCGACCTAGCACCCGCCGACCTAGCACCCGCCGACCTAGCACCCGCCGACCTAGCACCCGCCGACCTAGCACCCGCCGACCTGGCACCCGCCGACCTGGCACCCGCCGACCTAGCACCCGCCGACCTAGCACCCGCCGACCTGGCACCCGCCGACCTAGCACCCGCCGACCTAGCACCCGCCGACCTGGCACCCACCGACCTAGCATTCCCCGCCGACCTAGCACCCGCCGACCTAGCATTCCCGGCCGACCTGGCACCCGCCGACCTAGCACCCGCCGACCTAGCACCCGCCGACCTAGCACCCGCCGACCTGGCACCCGCCGACCTAGCATTCCCCGCCGACCTAGCCCCCGCCGACCTAGCATTCCCCGCCGACCTGGCACCCACCGACCTGGCACCAGCCGACCTAGCACCCGCCGACCTAGCATTCCCCGCCGACCTAGCACCCGCCGACCTAGCACCCGCCGACCTGGCACCCGCCGACCTAGCACCCGCCGACCTAGCACCCGCCGACCTAGCGCCCGCCGACCTGGCACCCACCGACCTAGCACCCACCGACCTAGCGCCCGCCGACCTAGCGCCCGCCGACCTAGCATTCCCCGCCGACCTAGCATTCCCCGCCGACCTAGCACCCGCCGACCTAGCACCCGCCGACCTGCACCCGCCGACCTGGCACTCGCCGACCTAGCACCCGTCGACCTAGCATTCCCCGCCGACCTAGCACCAACCGACCGCGCAAGGGAGTCGCCTTATAGAAAAACCTACCACAATCCTATAGAATAGCCTAAAGGCTTTTCTACGGGTGCGCCTTTGACAAGGATTCCCAGCGGTTAAAACATCCAGTGAAGACCCGCTCGTTGCACAGCCACGGGTCAACATCATGCTTAACAGTTTAGTTCTCTCGACTACCGGTAGATGACAGGGCTAGAGCACACTTACTTGGCACAGGCGGTTGGGTAGAGACATTAACCGTCTCCATATGCTTCACGCTCTTGTCCGGTTGGCATTTCGCCTGGGTCCCTGAGCCCCTGAACACTATTTGGATGGGATTGAATCCCTCCCGTGTAACTTTCATGTTCCCTCGTTACATGCTTCGCACTTGTCCGTTGCCTCATGAATGCACAGAGGACCAGGCGCAAAGGTACAATACGGCACATGCGGGGCCTTGCAGAAGACCACCACCCAAGGAATGGTCCTTCTTCATGCGAAATAGCAGCAACACAGGCAGACTCAATTAATAAAACACGCACAGAATTGACACAGGCATTTATGATACAAGCAACACACGCCAACAAGTCGCCACGTCGGGCGTGTGGTCGAGGTTCCTACCACCATCACATACAATGTGGAGAATTACACGAGGCAGCGACGCCAACCGTATTATTCGGGTCGCGCCTCCCCGACCTCTCAAAGTTCGGAGCATGCTGTCCTTCTCCCGTACACGCTTCTTTCGCCACAATGCCGTACAACTGCTGTAAACAATTGTTGCTGCAACAGAAAGCGCATCCTCTCTTGCCTGAGAGGCAGACGCGGACATGGTACAGGGTACATGTCTAACATGCCTAACTAACAGCAACGCTAACAGCAAAACATCATCACAGGTTGCTCACGAGGTGTGTATGTGCTGCAAACGGCGAGCGAGGAGCGATCCTCCGTCCGTCAAAAACTCGCAGCTACCTACCTACCTACCCCCCTATCCACACGCCCACAATTCCTCCTCCGTCCACTCATCACCCTCCTGCCTCCTATCTACACCCCTTTACCAACTCTCAACATCTCATCAGCTTCCCGCCCCTCCTCAATCCCTGCCCCTACCGCTTTTCCTTCTTCCATCTATTTATTCGCCACCATCGACTCCGCATTCTTCACAAAGTCCTCCCCGCTCCACTCCGCATCGTTCGCCAGCCCCACTCGTGCCTTCTTGGCCGCAATCGCCTCCCGCTGCCGCCGTACCAGCTCACTGTGTACGGTGACGTACGGCAGACTGGCACCCCGGAACTGCGAGATGCTGTTGAAGCCGTGCTTGGTCATGAAGCGCTGCAGCCCGCCGCACAGGCTCTTGACGACAGGGTAGCCGTGGATCATGACACCCGTGCACACCTGGGGTGCGGGGGTTGAGAGGGAAGGGGTGGCAAAGTTGCGCAGGTCGCGCAGAGGGGGGTGGTTGAGAAGAGGGTAAAATCTGGGGTGAGGGGGTGAGGAGGGTGAGCAGGGCGGCTAGCTGGGTTTCACACGCGCGGAAAAGCCATTATGAACCGCTCGCACAAACCGTGTATCCAACCACCACACAACCCTCGCCCCCCGCGCTCCTCACCTGCACGGTATCCGCCCCTAGCAGAATGAACTCCGCCGCATCGCCGCCCGTCTCCACGCCGCCGATGCCGCTCAGCGAGCGCCCCTGTCCCCCGAACTCGCGCTCCATGCCCTTGGCAATGGCCGCCACCTTGGCCAGCGCGATGGGCTTGACGGCCTTCCAGGAGTAGCCGCCGGGGGTGGAGTAGCCCTCCACGCTGGGCTCGGGGCGCAGCGTGTCCAGGTTCACACCTTGTATGAGTACAGTACAGTACGAGGGTAAAAGTAAAGATACGTGAAGTTGGGGATAAGGTGGGTGGGAGGAAAGGAAGTGAGAAGTGAAGATGGGTCAGGCGGGGGCAGCGGGTAACATGGCGGCGGAGGAGCGGAGGACCTGCGGACCTAGCACACTTCCACAGACCCCGTCGCTATGCCTATCGGGTCCCTTTTCCTGGCCCTCTTCCTCCCTCCCTCCCCTCTCTTCCCCCCCTCCCCGCCCACCCACCCGTGATGCACTGGATGGTGTTGATGGCCGCCACGCCCTCGCACCCCGCCCGCAGCGCCACCGCCGCCTGCGCCGCGATGTCGGTGACGTTGGGCGTCATCTTGGCCCACACGGGCACCCGCGCGGCGCCGTTGATCCAGCCGCACACCTCGCCCAGCACCTCCGGGTCCTGACCCATGGCCATGCCCATCCTGCGGCGAGGGGGCGGTGAGGGGGAGGAAGGGGAAAAGGGGGGGCGAGAAAACGAGGTGGGAAAAGAAAGAAAGTCGAGTTGGTAAAGATAGTGGCAAAGAGGGGGAGCGGGAAGGTCATATGGGGGGGGGCAGGGGACACATGGGGGCAGGGGAAGTGGGGGCAGGGAGCATGGACGCCGTGACGTATGTGGGTGGCGTATGTGTGCGCAAGAGGGGGGCTGGCGCGCCGCCCACCCCACCCAACACCATCCCTACCTGCGCTCCGGCAGGCCGTGCGGGCAGCTGAAGTTGATCTCGAATGCGTCCACCCCCACCTCCTCGCAGCGCCCGATGATCTCCTCCCACGCGTTTTTGCTGCGGAGCAGGTGAAGAGGAGGAGGAGGAGGGTGAGGAGGAGAAGGAGCAGGAGGAGGAGGAGGAGGAACAGGGCGACACGCAAGGTGGGTGGGAGCTGGGGGAGTTGGGAAACAGCGGGTGCGAGGCCGTTGAGCAGTTTGACGCGGGGAGCCTTCATGGCAATCCCGCGGCCCCTACACTGCTGCTAGGCTCTCTACTAGGTACTAGGTACTACCGCAGTGCATGCTATGTCCCACCGCTACTCACTTGTACTCCTCCATGACGGAGGCGATGATCACCCGCTCCGGGTACTCCTGGCGCAGCCGCCGCATCTCGCCCAGCATCAACTCGAAGGGCCGGTCGGAGATGAGCTCGAAGTTCTGCCAGCCGAACACGCGGCCCGAGTAGTCGCGCAGCTTGGCGTAGCGCGGCGTCACGTTGACGACCTTGGAGGAGTCGAGGGAGAGGGTCTGGAGGGGTGGAAGGGAAAGGGGCAGGAGACGAGGAGGAAGGGGGTTAGAGGGAGCGAATGCATAGAGGGGACGGAGCGTGGGGAGAAGCATGGAGAGAGTCCTTACGACGGAGAGTGCAGCTGCGGTGTTGCTTCGATGTGTCGTCGTGCAGGACTAAAAGGTGAGGTTGGGACGCCTACATGGTGGTAAGGTGGTGGTGGGAGGTGGTCACAGGGGCTTATGCAACTTGCCTTGCAGATGACGCCACCCCAGCCCTCATCGAATGCCTTCTTCATGACCTGGTAGTTGGTGCCGGGCGGGCCGCTGCCGATGATGAAGGGGTTGGGCAGCTTCAGGCCGTTGACCTCGACGGATAGGTCCTGACAGGGTTGGGGATAAAGCGAAGGTGGGGAAAGGAGGGCATATCGTTTAGCAGAGTGACCACCACACAGTCCACAGGCAAGACTACGCATAAGGGAGTAGACGCGCAAAAGGGTGTATTGTATTAGATAAGATGCTGATAGTGGATGTCTAAAACAGTTCAAGAGCTGAACGGTGTGCTGATCGAGCACCCTAGTGAAAAATCTCACCGGTCCACTCGTTACGCGGCCATTAATGAGCTCGATGGGCTCGTCAAGGCCCGGGCCCGAAGATCCCAGGCCATTGTTAGCTGTCGCATGCCGAGTCACGCAAACGCGACGGACAGCTCGCCCCGGATGCAAGACCCGCGGTGCCTGAGCTCTGCAAGTCCGCGACTGCAAAGTTTTTTGGTGCATCATGTAATCGCAAGATGCAGAGACCCTAGCGAGATGCTTCCTTGCTAGCAGGTAAGGGAGTAAGAAGAACCCTTGTCAGGTCGCTGCTTTGTAACCCCCACACGTCTGTTGTGTGTTATACAAAGAAACGTAGGTGTTTCGAGGATATACAGAACAGTCGTTTTCATGCTAGCTTTATACCAAGAAGGCAAGAACTAACCGCAATGCCACGTCTGCTCCGAAGTTCCAAGGCCTCACTTCGTAGGAGCAGTGCCGATTTGTCAGTTTCGTGCAATTTGGACCAGAAGATAATACATAGATCCAATATATGATATTGGATATCAAGCATGCCCGACAACCTTCAGCAGCAACACTCGTCGAACTTGACGGACCCGAAGCTACGCGCGACTAAGCAATGCCAGTATAATGGTACTATCCCGGGTCGGGCACACCACCTGCAGACGCATGAGCTACCCTAGCTGGGTTCACACAAGACACATCATGGCAACTCGCAAATCGATAACACAACTGTATGGCTCTTCATGCGCATTCTTCATACACATCCCGTCTATTACCGTAAACCCGCAATTCCACATGCCTCAATCGTCACGCATGTCACGGCATTCGGACCTACAAGGCACCTGCCACCCAAACCACAACCCACGCCTTACTCAGCCACGTAGCTTTTATCTACTGCATACATTCGCCACGACGTAGTCCCCTCTCTACTTCCATGTTTCCTGCCGGCACGAAGCACATATTCATTTAGTACTCCGTCGCCGCTCCCTTCAGCGTGATCGAAATGTCGCCATGCTCTCCCCCGCGGTTCTCGGGCAGGTAGGCCTGCAGGTCAGAAAGCCCTCGTTCTGCCACCGCACGTGCCTTGGCGATGCGTTCAGGGTCCGTCAGGGTCTGCATGGCAGGGGGTTGCGAAGGGGGGTTACCCACCTTTCGGGTTGGGTACGAAGGGGCAAGGTACGGACATCCAGGGTAGCAGCCCAAGATGTGGCCGGAAACGTGTTGCATGGCAGGGAGCAATAGTGCTTTGGGGCGGGGCTGGAGACAGATGCCAGGCCTGGCGTCACACTCCCGGTGGTTGGGGGTGCTTGCGTGTGTCCGCACCCACACTTGGCCAGTTGGGTAACAGGACACGCACCCAACCAAGCTTTGGTTGCCAATACCAAACTCCGCAACAACAACCCCATGCATGTGCTGAGCGGCTCCATAGCGACCTCGTCTAGGCCCGTCCCTGGCATGGCTGAGTACCGTACTGCTGCAGTGAAGGCAGGCAGGGCAGCAACATCCTGGTACACCCAACTACACCTAGGCTTCATCCGGTGCTCAAGTTACCCATATCCCCGCTCGCGCACCTTGTTCGCATGGAACTCCGCCTTAATTTCCCTTATGATGGAGCTGCGCTTCCTGCTTGGAAAGTATTTTGCAGCTTTCAGAATTTGGCGATAAAGGCTAACCATACTAAGTGAGCTGCTGCTCATGACGTCCAAGGTCACTTAGACGCCAAGACTTCGTTTTGCTTCGTGTGGATGAAGAGGTTGAGTCAGACCAGTACCCAACGCCTAAGCCAACATCAGCGTGTAGTGTTCTCTTAGTCACCACTAAGAAGTTCTGCATTACTTTCCATGTTCTGCACATGGCATCCTTTCCGCTCCACCTGTGGTCTCGGGCCGTACCCAAGAATACGTCTTCCCGTCTACCGTTGTTGCCAACGCGGCAGTTGATGAGTAGGGACCGATGCTTAATGAATAAGTCCCTCAACTGCTGAAACATGGCTAGCTGACCCTCTAACAACTCTGGTCTCTAGGGATACCGACCACTTGCGCCCGTGCGCGATCAACGATGCGTTCATTCATTAAACCTTACTTCGCTTGTTGGATTGTCCAAAACGTGCTGTGATCCAACCAAGGAGCGATGGCATTGGATGCTGTTGCCTGGGTGAGCAAGGCGCGTGCGCCAAGCGTTGCTGCGCTGTCCTCGTCCATTGTTGCAAGTTGCGAGTAGCCAGCTTGCAAGCTCATTGATCGGAGTGGGTGCCTCCCTTGGCTGCCGTGCGCAGCGCCCAGCACGTCGGCTGCGGCACCTCACGGCGGTCAGCTTGCACAACCTGTACGACCCAACAGCGGGTGCCGCCGCGTCATATGAATATGAAATCTGTACCTGGGACAATCACAGCTGCAATTGGACGCCCTTTTACCGCAGCGAGCAGGTAGGGTCAAACTAATCGCACATGCCATGACCATTGAGCGCAACCGGTCACGGAAAGTTGTCCGGATCTGACAGTACGTGCGCCAGGCATAAGTCCGTCTTTAATCGGGTGGTCCAACCCCGGTCCTTGCTGAAAGCATATTGCTGAGTTCGACACGTCCCACCTCCCGAACGGCCCCCCCCCCACCGGAAAAGGTTCCCCGCGGTCACAACCTGGAGTGGGAGCGGCAGCTGCTGGACCCCGAGTCCGAGCCCTCCCTGCAGGGGCTGCAGCACCGACATGACATAGGGCCCCTCAGGCTCAGGGTTTACGCTGCCGCCACCAGCGGCGGCAGCAGCAATACTGCTGCTGCCGATGTCAGTACCGGCAGCAGAGTCCTTCCGGAAGGCGGCTGTTGCAGCTGGACTGCCAACAACGGTGGTGGTGCCATCCACCGGGCAGCCGCCGGGGAGCTAGGCGCTGCTGCTGCTCCTGCTCCTGCTGCTGCTGCTGTCGTACGCGAGGAGCCTCCCTCCGAGTACGAAGCGCAGCACCTGCCGCACCTGCGCCGCCAGGCGGGAGCAGCGGGGGTGGCCAGCAGGGTGCTGCTTCCTCAACCACACGCGACGCCTGCAGCTCAGATCCCCAATGGAGTGCAAGGGGAAACCCAGGCGCAACCTGCGGCTCCGGCCTTAGACCCCATTGTCTTCCTGCCAGCTTCGCCTGCGGGTACCGATACCGGACCCGCCGGCGAGGGCGCTGCACCTGCGGCTGAGGCCCTGCTGTGGGGGCCCCTCCAGGGCAGTCCCGTGCAGGCCGGCGGCGACGGTGAAACTGTGTCGCAAGGTCCTGGCTGTGCGTCTTCGATGGACGGCAGTTCTTCTGGGCTAGGGCCGGGAGTGGGGCTCGGCAGCCCCTCCTCCCAGCTGCTTGGTGCAGAGCAGCTGCCGTTGCTGCAGCCGCTAGCCACGCAAGCGGGCCAGGAGGGACAAGGGGGCGGCAGTGGCGACAGCGGCGGCCTGGGTTGCTCAGCTGTTCTGGGCAGCAGGGAGGCACAGCTGGGAGGAGGTGCGGCGGGTGGCGGTGAGGCGGCTGAGGCGGCTGCGGCGGTGGATGCGGTGGTGGATGAGGTGGTAGAGGACCTGGTGGGCTGGGTGTGCAGCGGCGGCGGATGCAGCAGCAGCGGCGGCGGCGTCCGGCAACAGCAAGAGCAGCAAGGACAGCAGCAGAAGACGTTTTTACAGGAAGCGGCGGCGGTAGCGGAGGATCTGAGCTGCACGGAGAAGGAGGAGCAGCAGCATCAAGGCGGGATTGTGGAATGCAGCGACGACAGCAACAGCAGTGGAGGCAGTAGCAGTAACAGCAGTGCTGACAGCAGCAGTAGCTGCGGAAACGAGAGTCCCGACAGCAGCCATGATGAAGAGGTCCGCCTGTTGTCAAACGGGCCTCCCAACGGCTCTCCTCGCCAGCAGCAGCAGCAGCAGCTAGCTGCCAGCCAACTGCAGGCCCCGCAGTCATCTTGCATGTCCGTCTCCTCTGACGCGCGTACCAGCATTGGTGGTACGCCGATGGCCCACTCAGGGAATAGCGCCTCCGGTGATGGTGTCGGCTCGCAGCTGCCACCAGCGTCGGCTGTTGCTGCTACTGCTGCTGTTGCACCTGTGGGCAGGTTGCCTGTCCAGGGTGCGTGCGGGGGGGCATTCCCGGAGGCCGCCGCCGGTGGCGAAGGCGGGCTTGTTGGAAGCCAAGGGCACATGCAAGACGGTGGTGTTGGCAGCAGCGGCGGAGGTGGCGGATCCCCCCGGGTGCTGCTGGAGTGTGTGTTCGAGTTGGGCCAGCTGGTGCCCCTGGGTGGGTGGGTGGGTGGGTAGGTGTATGAGGCAGGGTGAGCTGGCGGATTGGGTACAACGTACACGGCGTTGGTATGCGTGGCAGGATTCAACCCGGCATGCCGGGAAAACGCAGGGTTGCGGCTGGCACATTGCATTGTTAAGCTGCTCCTCCTCTTCTCTGTGTTCACTCCCCCCATGCATGCATGCATGCATGCGGCTCCTCCTCCTCCCTTTCTTCCTCCTCCTCAGAGCCGGAGACGCTGCAGCGCGGCTGGCACATCAACCTGCCCGTGCTGCTCATCGCCCCGGACCGCCGGCCGCACACCCCAGCGAGCGCCCTGCCACCACCACCAACACCACCACCAACAACAACACCCACATACACACCAACAGCGGCCGGAACGTCGGCTCCTCCACACCCCCCGGTCTCAGCGACGGCGCTACTGCCGGCTGGCGCAGCAGCATATGCGGGACTCCGTGCCGGGGCAGTTGCCTCCGGGGTCGGGCTTACCGGTGCTGGTGGTGGTGCTGGTGGCAGCTTAGCTGCACGGGGGGCCTTCGAGCGTGCCGCCGGGGTGCTAGGTAGCGGACCTGGCGGCGGAGGGGGTGCGGTGGCTCCTGGGGGCAGCAGCGTGGGCGAGGAAGGCGCGGCAGCGGCGGTGGCAGCAGCGGGCGACAAGGCGGGCGAGGAGAAGCGGGCGCTGGTGCGGTGAGTGCTACCGTACGACAGCGGTTTCTGTTGCTGGGTCGTACTTCTGGGAGGTGGGGTTCCTGCTTGCCCTTTGGTTGCCTAGCTCCAAGTTTATCCGAGTGGAATCACACTAGGACCTTGGGCTGCTGGGCTGTCACGGTCAGTGTTTTCATCGCGGCTCAGCTGGCCAGTACCTAACCCCCCCCCCACACACACCTGCAGGTGGCTGCTGGGCGACGGCAGCATCGTGCAGCCTCTGCAGGCAGCCAACAGCCTAGAAGAGGAGGAAGAGGAAGAGGAGGAGGGGGAGGCGGGGGCAGGAGCGCAGGGGGTGGGGCTGCGGGACAGCGGACCTACAACAGTGGCCCAGAACGGCGGTGTCATCCATGACGTCGGGGGCGGCGGTGTTGCGTCGGTCGTGGAGGCCGGCATGCCCCGCCCGCAACCCCAGGAGCAGGAACAGCAGCAAGGGCGGCAGCAGCAGCGGCGTGCCAGGCTGAGCGCTGCTGACGCCGCGGCGCTACTTGACCCGGGACCCGCACCCGGCTTCCTGCCGGCAGCCATGGCGGTGCTGTTCGGACAGGTGGGTGGGGTGGGGTGGGGTGGGGTTGGGTGCGTCTGTAACTCTGCAACATGTGTGTGTTTTCCGGTCGCTTTGGTCGCTTTGGTTGCAGCCTGCATGCGTCACCACACGCCACATGCCCACATTAGTAAAGTGGCGGACCAGAACTTCTTGTCTCCTGCCGCTCGCCCGCTCGCCCGCTCAGGACTGGTCTTGGCCCGGCAGCGGCGGCGCCTCCTCACCTGCCGCGCCATCGCACCGCAGAACGGGCTCCTCGGGCAGCTGCTTGGGCGCCGCGGGTTCGCAGCGGCCCTCAAGGGGCTGGGCGGCCAGTGCTGCTGCAACCCCACCGCTGCGCCCCGGTGGCCCCCCTGCCCCGGGGCCTCCGGGTCCCTTCAACAACAACAGCAGCAGCAACGCCTCCGCCGCCTCCGCCGCCGCCCTCAGTCGACGCGTGGCCAGCACGCCTGCTCTGACGGACCTCCTCTCCCACGCGCCTGCGGGCGGTGCTGGGGATGGGCGGGGGCTGCTGCCCGCCGCTGCAGCTAGTACCGGTAGCAGCGCAGGTGCAGGCCGGCCAGACCTGGCGAATGGTGGTGGCGGAGGGGCGGTGCGTGGCGGGGGCGGCATGGGCCTGGCAGCCGCTGCATCAGCCCCAGACCTGGCGGCAGTCAAGGGACTTGAGGGGCCTCCCGCTTCCGAGGCGGCAGGATCCGCCGGTCTGCTCCACGACACCGGCATCGCGGCTCATCAGCCTGCCCCCCTGCATTCCGCACCTCCTGCTGCTGCCTCCGCTGCTGCCGCCTGCGCCACCGGCCTCACCCTCAGCTCTGACACGTCTGCGGCACCACTGTGGCCTCACGGTGCCGCCTCACCGCCACCGTCGCCTAGCTCCTCCTTTGTCATGCCCTGCGGTACGACACCCCTGGCGGCGGCGACGACGACATGTACGACAGCCCTGGGGGTAGCGACAAGTGCGACACGTACGACAACAGCAGCGATGCTTGCGTCGGAAGCGGGGCCTGAAGCGGCACCGGTGGGACCTTCCGCTGGCTTGTCATCCCGTTCAAGCAGCTTGGCGTCCCTAGCCGCGCCAGCAACCGCAGATCTGAGGGCCGTGTCGCCGTCTCCGCACTCTGCGCCACTGACAGCAGCGCCCGAGGAGTCGCCGGCCCCGCAAGACCCACGGCCGTTTTTGCCGCGGCCGCCCCTGCCTCCCTTGCCGCCCCCTTCCCCCCTGCCCGGCCTGTCTTCTTGGATCCATGACGCGCGACCCGATGCGGGTAGCCGGCCCCACCCGCAAGCCTCGCCTGCGGACGCCGGTCGGCAGCCCCTCCTGCAACAGCAGCAGCAGGAGCAGCACCGCCACGGCCGCCCACATCCGCTGCAACAGCAGCCGCAGTCACACCCACAAAAGCGTCCTCCTCCTCCTCCTCTTCAACAGCAGCCGGCATCCGTACAACGGCTGTGCGATGTGTTGGAGGTGCGCGCTAGCATCAGGCGCCTCACACAGCTCCAGGTGGAGAGGGGGGGTAGGGGAGGAAGGTGGCTGAAGGGTGCAGAGCGAGGGAGGTCGTGAGAGTTCCTCACACGTTCGGCTCGATTAACTCGATTCCATTCACCGGAGCCTGCCACCCCTAGCCTGCCGTAAACATTCAACTCATTGGGTGCCCTCTTCCCCCCTCCCCTCGCAGGAGCGGCTGCACGCCACCCGCGCCGCCGCACTAGGCTGGCGGCGGCGACTGTCAGAGGCGGCGGAGGCGCGGCAGCGACTGGACTGCCTGCGTGCGGGGGCGGAGCGGGCACGGTGGGGGGGCAGGGAGGGGCCAGGGTGGTGGGATTCAGGGAGGGGGTGGACCAGGGGGAAGCACAGCGCCGTCCTCGTTGAGTGATTCGCTCCACCTCTTCCCTCTGCCCCTCTCCTTCGTTTCTCAGCCGGCTTATGCTTCAACAAGGGTTTTGTCTCAGTCTGCGTCCTCGGCCGTCCCAACCTCACCCGGTCCGGGCCGTGGACCTGTCGTACGTTTAGTAACCCTGCCCTGCCGTACCGTATCGCTGCTCCCGCTGCTGCAGGTCGGAGCGGGACGAGTGGGCGGGCCGCGCGGCGCGAGGCGAGGCGGAGCTGCAGCGGCTGCGGGAGACGGCGGCGGCGCGGCGGCATTCGCTGGGCACCCGAGCGCGCGCACTGCAGCATGCAGCGGGTGTACTGCAGGTATGTGTGGGTGTGCACACGAAGCCTCGTTGCCATGCACATACGGTACCTGCAGACAAGCCGCCGACTTGATACAGTCCCCCAAGCCCTTGTTCCGCCCCACCCGGACCCAGACCCGGACCCAGCCCGCCTCACCCTGACCCCGAAACCCGCTTCCGCTCTCCTTCCCTCTCCGTCCGCTCTCCTTCCCCCTCTGCTGCCCCCAGGCTGCCGAGCAGCGGCGACTACGCGCCGAGGCTGAGCTGGCTGGCCCCAGCGGTCGGGGGCAGCTGGCGGCGCTGACGGGTGCGCTGGTGGGGCGGCGGAACCGCATGGTGGCGGAGCTGGGCAGGATATTCCAGGTGGGGGCGGGCGGGGGTGAAGAGGAAACAACTAACTGACCGGGCACGGGCCGCGCAGTGGGGTGGGGGTGGATGGGTGGATGGGAGGAAATGCAATGTGGTTTGGGGTCCCTTTTTCCGATTGTTGAAAGGACTAAGGCAGGGTGAGGTGGAGACGGCAGCACGACAGCGTACCGGTGCACCCGGACGGAACTAACACGGCGCACAGCTGCGTAACCTGTCTTCCCTGCCGGCCTCTGCTAATCCTCCCATACGGTATGCCTGCTCCGCTCTCCTCCCCTCCCCTCCGCCGCCCCCCAGATCGGCCCCGTCAGTGCCGCCCTGCTTGAGCCCGACCCGCTGGACCTCACCCTGGACAGCGGCTGGGCGGGCGACTGGGTGCGGCACTCATACCGGGCGGAGCAGCAGCAGCAGGGGCAGGGGCAGCAGCAGGGGCAGGGGCGGCAGCAGGGGCAGCAGAGCCATGCGGAAAATGGGCGGGTCGTCGGAGCGGGGGTGGGATTGGGGGCGGGGGCTGCGGGTGCGATCTCCCCCGCACCTCGCGGCCCCCCGCGGCCCATGCGTCTGGCGGTGCTGGGGCTGGAGGTGCCTCCAGACCTGCTGCAGCGCTGCCTGGAGGGTGAGGAAGGAGCGGGGGGGGGAATGCGTGGCTGTGTAGGGGGGATTTCAATGAACGAATAACGGTGGTTCCCAGCTCCTCTGTCCCGAGCGGCCATGCATTCCACCATGTGGCTCTCCCTTTACCTGCCTGCCTGCCTGCTTGCATGTTTGCCCCCCGCCCCGCCCACGCCTCCTGCTCGCCCCCTCTTGAGTCAGCTAACGCGGTCACTGCCTGAGTCAGGACACGGGACGCTGTGCTTCACTTCTCACTGCTTTCCCCCCTTCCTGCTGCCTGGCAGGCCCCACCGGCTGGTCCCCGCTGGACTTCGGACGCACCTTCGACGCTGACCAGCGCACCGCAGCCAGCCTGGGCTACCTAGCGGCGCTGCTGGACCTGGCGGCCGCATACCTGGATGTGCCGCTGCGCTATCCCGTCGCGCCGCGCCTCTCGGTGTCGTACATTTCCGATCCCGTACCGCCCAGCATCGCCGTCAGGTCGGGTGCCGTACCGCCGACGGCGGTGGCTGCGCCGCCGCTGCCAGGGAGCAGCGCCGCCGCGGCGGCGGCGCCTGCGGCGCCGTGGCGGCTGCTGAGCAGGCCGACGGGGGCTATAGGCGCCGCCGCCGCGGCGGCGGCGGCGCCGCCGCCTACTCCTGCCGTCGGGCTCATTCCGGGTCCTCGAGGCGTGGGCGTAGGCGGCCGTCTGGCGGTGTTTTCCTCGCTGCTGAACACAGCGCTCCCTGCCTGGGTTGCCGCGACGCCGGCGGGGGCGTTGGGCGATGATGCGCACCCTGCGGGGTTGAATCCGGCGGCGGGGCTGCCTCTGTTTTGGGGCGACGGCGCGCGTGACCGCACTCGATTCGCCTATGCGGTGTACTTGCTGGGTAAGGATGTGGAGCAGCTGTTGGCGGCGCATGGGATCCCGGTGGTAGCTCCCAACCAGCCGCTGCAGAATTTGTTTGTGTTGGTGGCGACGGCGGCGGCAGGGGTGCCGGACGCTGCTCGGCGGCGAGGGGTGTGAGGCGGCGGCGGGGAGGTCCGGAGATGTGGAGAGGGGGGATGTGTCGCGTGTTGTGTTGCAAGGGCTGCAATGCTAAGCGTGGTGGGAAAGGAAAGAGGGAGAAGTGAAGATAAACGCGGTAGGGTAGGTGAAGACTCTGGCCGGCAGGAAACGTTGGCCGTAGCCGGCGAGTGAGAGGCGGCGACTGCTGATGGAATTATGTGGGGTGAGTGTGGGTGTAGATGATTGGGAACAGGAGTAACGACGAGGGTCAGGGACCATAGCTGGACTAGTAAATACTCATGGTGAACATTGATGGGTGGCAGCTGCAAGAGCTTCAGGAGAGTTAGACAGTGTGAGCGCAGAGGGGAGAGCGGCAACACTTTTGCTGCCAGCAAGGTTAAATAGTTGTTTCCATGACAGTTGACGGGAAGCGTTAGCGCAGTTACTTCCCTAACTGGACGAGCACGTACTGCCACTCCCATATGTTTGCCCGCCTGTCCTTAAAGACATATACTTATGACAAATGAAGGTCTTGTAGAGCTTTGCTTTACTACCATGCACTCAACCATCTTAGCGGCTTTAGCCATAAGCACCTTTTTCGCACTTGCAACAGCTTCCAACACAACACTTTTAATAGGTGATCGCAACCAGACAGCCGCAATACACCCAACTTGTCGTTGTAAATCTCCTGTATGCCAGCCATATACCCGAGGGATAGTTGACTTCACTGCCGCCTTACGAGCAGCAAATAGCGTTCCTAAGGGAGCATGTATATTCAACCCAGCACTCCTTCGCATAGAGCAGAACTTGTACTGCGTCTTCGTTAGAGTCTACACGGCGTCCAGCGATGAAAGGCGTTGTGTGCCTGGCCGGCTTGACCGCCCGCCGTTCATGGATGCATGGAATGGAACTTTAGCGAACATGCTGGCGGTGATCCGAATACGGAGAACGCGGCAGGGTGGAGATGTCTCAGTCACCATGGTCGGCCATCGTTACTTCCATGACATAAACTATGAGGACGGGCGCCTTTTTCGTGACCCCGGGGGTCGCATATTCCTATACCTGGCCATACCTTTTGGCAAGTACGGGGGAGCACGCGCAGCAGTTAACACCGCCCAGCGTGTCTTCCTCACATGCCGCAACGCACCTACCTTTGCGTGCGCCATCAAGCTGGGCCCGCCCCGAATGCTACGGTACGACAAGAGCATCGCATGGGAGAAGAACTGGGTACCTTGGAACGGGACAACCCTCATGTCCTATTCCCACTATGGGGTGTTCGGCCCGCACTCCGTCTTCAATTGGTCTTCCTACCGCGAGCCTGTCCCCCATGCTCGCTTCGTCTCAGTCGCCAACCAGTCATTCTTCTCCACGTGGACTGCGACGTACGGCAAGCTCATTCAGCTTTCTGGGGGAACCCCGGCAATACTGGAGCCATCTGGGTCATCCTTCCTTGCCATGGGACACGTGCGGATCCACCCTGGATGCCTGCACCCCAATTCCATACCTGGACTTGATCAGCTACTGGGGGATAAGGTCCGGACCAACTGCCACCACTTCCTGAAACTACCTCAGAACCTGAAGAAGGATATCCCCTTCCGTTCGTTCATGTACAGGTATGTAGCAGGGCGTGCCTGCATCTGCATGGATGGGTGCCGTACTCCCTGTTTGGCTGCTTTTCCGCGTTACATCGAGCTCGTTTGTACGCTGCTCTGCCTTCGCAGGAATGCTGATGGCAACACGAGCAAGCACTACCACGTCGATTACGGGATGTTCTTTTACCGGTACGTGCGCCATGTTCGTGCGCCTTGCAGCTGCCTTAGCCCCCCAGCTACATCCTAAAAAGGTCGTTAAACCACGCACGCACGCTTAACCCAGTCTCTCCCCCCATGGTGCTTTTGTCCTCTTTACCCCATTGCGCAGGTTCAGCGCTGAGCCGCCGTACAGCATAACCCACATCAGCCACGGCATCTTGCCGCCTTCCGAGGGGCACTTTGGCATCGTGTTCCCAACAGGGCTGGAACGCATGGGCTCAGACTACGTGGTCTCCTACGGCGATGCGGACCAAGCCTCCAAGCTGATGTTCCTGAGTCAGGGTGACGTCGACAAGCTGCTGATTCCGCTGGTGGAAATGGAGAAGCGCATTACGTCCTTCTCGCTGTGCACGTTGCCCTTGTTCGTGGGCAACTCATCGACGCCAGAGCCCGAGCTCGTGACGGTGTAAACGGAGGCTGCTAGGGGTATACGCAAGGGCAGGCGAGGTAGGCTGGTTGGGGTTTGGTTGACCCGCTGGGGATGGAGCTGCCGTGTGCATTGCACCAGAGGAGGATCTGGCGTGTTTGTGTTTAGGGGATGCACGTGCTGAGGCTTACCAGCGCTGCTGCTGACGTTGCAGGTGGCGGCCCCGGAGTCCTGTCCTGGAGCACGAGTGCATGGCACGAGTTAGACAGCTCCACGAAGCGAGAGAGGGCGTTTTTGATACTGTGAGGATAGGCATTTTTGCCGTTGACGTGGGTTGGACGCAGGTTGTACGACCATGATAGGCATTGCTTCAAGAGGAAGGCATGTTAGATGTCATGCTGCAATAGGGTAGGTTATTAATGTAGGGTAGGGTTGTGAATGCCATTACAGCGTGGGTGGTGCCGTATGAGGTCCACCATCCTGTCCCCGTGCGCTGCTACGGCATGGATGGTTCCCAACTGCCCATGGGGGGATGTCCTAGAATACCAGAATGTCATCACATGGAAAGGATCAGGCAGATGGCACTTAGGCAGCCAAAGGTGGGTGTAGGCTTGTGGGCCGTGTGATAAACCGCAGATGTTCCATGTGGCATTGTATGTGAAGGTGCCATATGTGCGTTAAGGCTTGGCACGGCACTTGTCGTCTTACAACGCGTGGGTTTCCTCCTACAAACCCTGCTAGCTGAGCTTGTTAAGCAGGGAAGGGAGCCGTGATGTGGTATCACTGCACTATGCGGCACTGTGGTGCGTGTTCATGGGACAGTTTGGCAACACATCACATTCGAGAACTGCGTGCTGCCATTTCTATGTGGGCCCGGACTGCTCGGAGGCGGCTCAGTCGTGATCCGCCTGCCCGTGCTCCCTTATGTTTCCGGTACTGCTGCTGTTCTGATACAGCTCTCATCTATGCGGTACCTTTCTAGTGTCCAGAGCGTGCGTGCGTGGAGTGCCTTGTTCGCGGCAACTTTGCGATTTAAGCTATGGAGTTATGTGGGGAAAGAGGCCGGGGAAGTCATGGTGTCTAGGTGCGGGGCGAGAGCTTAGGTGATGGCCTTCTTAGCAGCCCGTGTACATGGGGCGGGAAGCTCGTGCGTTAAGAAGGACTGGCCGTGAGCAAGAACGTACTGTGAGTGTCGGGATATGGAGCTCGTGTGCATGTGGGGCTTCTCTCATCGCCCACTAGTTAGGTAGCACGTTTGAGAACGCCTCGGCTTGTGCACGAGCAACGGGCACAGCGAGGCCTTGTGGCTGGCTGGCGGGCAAACCAGGCACGCTTATAGTCTTTAGGTTGCATGGTCTAGCGAAATTCGGTAGGCTTTCTGGAAGGAGTGTGACCCTGCTGTGGTTAGGGATGGTGAAGAGGCGTGCGGCATGCGTCCGACATCGTATGTCGCTGTCCTGGCGAGGCAGTGGTCACCCCGCTGGATGGCATGCAAGGTCTGCACCTCTGCGGTAAGCAACGACCTTGACCCACATTACATGATGCTAGATTGATGGTGCTAGATTGGAATCACCGCGGGATTGTGATGTTTTACTGAGCTGGTGGCGAATAGTCAACCACGCTGCATGCCAGCCTGGATGAACTGGTTGGGCACGCACCCATACGCGCACCCCAAGCCAGTGGGAATCGGCCACATGGAACAAAGCACTCCATGCCACGCCGACAAGCAACCCCCACCCGACACGCGGGGGAGCCGCAACAATAGCCAACCCACTGGAAACAGTGGGGACCGCAATCAGAAGGGCGGGTACAAGGCGCCCGTGACACTAGTCATTCAAGGAAGCCGAAAACGCTTGATCTTCTCTTACGCGCGGAAGGGCAGAACACCGTACAGGCAGGGCACAACGTGCATCCGTCCCTCAATCGCCTGACAGATGAGCCTTTCTCACTGTGCATGGGTTCGGGCAGCCGCCAGGGCCACAAAACAGATGGCCTCGGCGCGCGCACTCCCGCCCTACGCCCTGCGATACCTCCTTGCAAGCACAGGACAAGGGAAAAATCCCTTCGCTCGGAGCATCCTAGCTGCTGCCGCCAACAGGGGTACTCCCATGTTCACTTGAAGCTACAACGCAACCACACTATGCTCTCGTATAGTTTATTGAAGCAGAGACAGGGTATCAGGCCTATGCAGCGCAAATGCACAGAACAGGCCTACACAAGAGCAACTCGGGGACGTGTGCATATCACCAGAAGCCACAACGCCCAAGCACACGAGCTGTACCCGTTTCGGCATGTGACACCGCACAGATTCGCACACGGCCTTGCGGGCTCCGCTTGCAAGCGCACTTTGCAAGCTGTAGCTGCCAGCCACTCCCCTAGTACCGATCAGGGGACTGCTCTAAATTGCTCGAAGCATGCCACAGTGCTGAAGAAGCCTATCCATAAGCCACCAACCTGATTGCCTTCCACACAGCTCCCAAAGCGCTTACCGGTATCCATTCCACGTTCGCAATACCGGTACCCATAAAAGCCCGCTCACCCCATCTCCTGCAGCACTTGTATCACTGCGCACGATACACCCTAGCTAGGGCCATTGCCCCTATAATGCAAGCGCCCACACAATTGCACATTACCGCATATGCGGACGCTCGCCTTTCCATCGGCGCCCAACACCCAATTTCAAATTACCGCCAAACACCGCCGCCAGTACACGCCTGCAGCACATTCAGGCTTCTCCATTACCACCCTCACCAGCAACCGCCACCATTTTAATGTGACGCAGCCGGCGGTGCTGCGCCTGAGGAGGCTGCCAAGCTAGCCACCGCCGCCGCCGCCGCCCCACTCGCCAGGAAGCTGGGGGCCACGTACGTAAAGCCCTCAAACTTGCCCATTGACGCCACCGTGGGGGTACCGCAGGGCGAGTCCACCGCCGGCTGGTCGGTCCAGATCTTGTCAAAGTTGCCCACGTCCATGTTGCACGACACGGTGGGTTTGAACTTGGATTCAATCTGTCGGGCTTCCAGCTTGGTCCAGTTGATGGGCTTGAAGAAGGGGTGACGCTTCACGGCGTCTGAGCCGTCCGGGCCGCTGCCCAGGCGCTTGGCGGGGTCGCGGGTGAGGAGTCCCTTGAGCAGGTTCTGGGACTCGGAGGACAGAAACTCTGTGGGGCAGGAAGTGGGGCAGGAAGTGGGGTGAGAAGCGGGGCGGGCCGGAGGGATGTGTGAAGATGTGAGCAACGGTCACATCTTCAGAAAGGGACGCGATGGGCGAAGGCAAGTGGCAGGCAGGGATTGATCGTCTGGCGCGCAGTGCAAATAGGCAGAGAAGCCAACAAGGAAATAGGCCAAAAGGACGTCCATGCCCGTGTGGAGGGGCATGCCGGCAGCGATTCGAGGAAGACACTTAAGGCGCAGGTGTATACTGCTGTATACACGCACACGAAGAGAAGTAAACAAGCAAGCACGCCCGACCGGCCCCCACATGCCACGTTGACTCACTGGGGTACTTGACCTTGGCGGAGGAGATTTGCTGCTGCAGCGCCTGCCGGCTCTTGGCGCGGAAGGGCGGCACGCCGCACAGCATCTCGTACATCAGGATTCTGCGAACCGGGGCGGCAGCGGCAGCCACGGTGACACACGGGAAAGAAAGAGTTAGGGATTCGGGAGCGGGGAAGGTAATGCGAAAGGGCACCACTGTGTACTGTGTACTAAAGGCCATGGCCGGGGGCTGCCTTCGCAAGGTGGAGATGTGCATGCAGGCCCCCACGCAATCACAGTACGTTCCCACTCGCGGCCAGCTTTCTTAGCACACCCCATACCCCACGTGGCCCCTCAGCTGCCCTCCCCCCCTCCGCCGCCTCACCCGGTGCTCCACCAGTCCACCGACTTGCAGTGCCCCTTGGCCTCAATGATCTCTGCAAGGGGGGAAGAGGAGATGGTGCAGCAACACGAACGGCTCGTTAACGACTGGGTGCTAAACTGCTAATGGACTTAGGTGCCAGCTGGGTCCCGCCACCAACGTAAACCCAGTCCCCAGCAAACGCAGGTAGACTACCCTCCTCCCTCCTCCGGCCCCCCCTACCCGGCGCCATGTACTCCATGGTTCCGATGAACGAGTTGGTTCGGTCCGCCTCGGAGCCCATGTTACCCTTGGCCAGACCAAAGTCCGTCAGCCTCACGTGGCCCTCGCTGTCCAGCAGCACATTCTCGGGTTTGAGGTCCCGGTGCACGATGCCGCGAGAGTGCAGGTAGGCGATGGCCAGCACGATCTCCGCCGTGTACAGCCGCGCCACGTCCTCGCTGAACACCCCTTGACGGTACAGGTTGAAGAAGAGGTGGCCGCCGTTCAGGAAGTCGAGCACCAGGTAGAGCTTGGTCGGGGTCTGCAGGCGTGCAGGGGGGGGGACGGTGTTCACCCCGGGAACAGGGTCGGGTGTCAGATTGGGGTAAGGAATGTAGACATCATGCCAACTTGGCAGTCCTTAATAGTTATGTACACCGTGTGCCATACCGCTACACGCACACAAACCCTAGCGCAAGGTGTGCACCACCACGCCCGCAGCACCCACAGTTCCCCTCCCCATGTTTCCCCTCCCCCCACCTGCTACACGCACCCAAACCCTAGCGCGCAACACGGCACCCAGCGGTTCCCCCCCCACGTTTCCCCTCCCCCCCCCCCGTTTCCCCTCCCCCCCCCCCACGTTTCCCCCTCCCACCCCCACCTGGAAGCTAAACCGCAGCGTCACAATGTACGGATGCACCACCGCCGTCAGCAGGTCCCGCTCCGAGCGCACGTACTCGCTGTGGTCGCGCTGCAGGATGCGCTCCTTGCGCATCACCTTCATGGCGTAGATGGCGGCACTGCGCTTGTGCATCACTTGGAAGACCTTGCCAAAGGCGCCCTGCCCCACCACCCGCAGCATCTCAAAGTCCTGAGGCCCCACCTGGAGTGGAGGGGGAGGGGACGGCAGGGGATTTATAGGGATACATATTCCGCATTAGGTGGGAGGGGCGGCGGGGTGAGTGGGTGACTAGGGTGCGAAATGCGAGTGAGCGGAGGAGGAGGAGGAGAAGAGCGGCAGAGGGTCAACCCCCATCCACAGCATTCATAACCCCCAGGCAGCCCCTGCGCACCGCTTACGCACTCCCCTCCCCTCTTGCTTCGCAACCTCTCGCACCCCCACACTCCGCACCCCACTCCCCGCTACTACCTTGCCGGTGGGCGGCACGAAGGGCGCCATGTGCGCCGCCGCCGCCACCGCCGCCCGCTGCGCCGCCTCCTCCACCCCCTCCAGCGGCGGACACGTTACCGGCCCGTCCTCATCCATCTCCTCCTGCGCCTCCCGCAGGCTCCTTGCCCCGTCACTCACGGCAGCACTCCCAGTGGTACCGCTGCCGCTGCCACCCGCCGCCTCAGACCCCACATCCGAACCCCGCGTCGCCGCCACAGCAGCAGCAGCACCACCCGCCTCCGCTGCCACTTCCACCCTGCTGCCGCTGCTGCCATCACCACCGGCAGTTGTGGGGGTGCTGTGGGAGCTGCCGGGCGCTGCTGTGGCCGTGCGGATGGGCTTCAGGGCGAGGGCAAGCGAGGCGTCCAGGGCGCCGGCCAGGGCGGCTGCGGCTGCCGCGGAGGCGGTGGCGCTGCCCAGCTGGTCGCTGCTGGGGTGGGCGCCCAGGCTCTCGGAGGGGGCCAGGCTGGGCCGGCTGGTCATCTGGGGGGCGGAGAGGGGGTGGGCAGGAGGGGAGGTGGAAGGGTGTAGGTAGTGGGAAAGAAACGCTACTCCTTCCCACTGGGTGGTTACCCTTCCCCCCGCATACCTTGTGCAGCCTCAAGACCACCCGACCCTTCGCCAGACCCCACCCAACACTATACTTGCCCACCCACCCCCGCACCCACAGCTACATCACCACCTAGCTACTGCCTCCCCCTCCCCCCAAAACACGCACCCAACCCCCCGCACCCACCGAGCTAGTCCTGCTCCCCACGCTGTGCGTCTCAAACGCTTCCTCAAACGTCAGCACGCCCTCATCTCCCGAGGGACCCGAGTGCAGCGGCCGGCCGCCACTGCTGCAGCTCACACCCGCCGCACCGCCGCCGCGGTTGCGGTTGCCACCAGCAACACCGCTCGCCGCCGCCGCCGCTGACGCCGACGCACCCGTGCCCTCTCCTTGTTGGCGCCTGTTGCCGGCCCCGCTGCCGCCGCCAGCAGCTGCCAGCTGCTGCTGCTGCTGCTTACGTCGCTGCTCGATGCGCGCCGCGCGCTCCTCCTCCTCCTCCGCCTCCATTACGTCCTCCATCGTCAGCTGCTGCCGGCTGCCGCGGCTGCGAATGGCAATGGGCTGCGAGGGCGTGAGCGCCGCCGAGCCGCCCGAGGGAGGCGAGGAGCCGGGGATGAGGCCGCTGCGGCCGCCGCTGCCCGAGGGGGTGGAGGGCAGGGGTGAAGGAGCGTGCATGCGTGAGGCCGAGGGGGGCCCCGCTAGAATGGATGTGGGCGGGCGGGGGCCAGAGTTGCGAGGGGGAGTGCACATGGCGGACGATGCAGCCGACTGCGCGGCGGCGGCCGCAGCAGCAGCGGCGCCCGCGGCGCCAAGCGCGGCTGACAAGGGCGAGGCTTTGCGTGCGGGGCGGGGGCGGGAGCCTGAGGGCGAGGCTGCATTGGCTGGCGCCGCTTGGGCGTTGAGGGAGGCGAAGGGTGTGGAGCCGGAGGCGTCCGGAGCAGCAGCGGCTGCAGGGGCGGGTGCGGAGAAGCCCCGCGTGGTGGCTGCTGCCGGCTGGTGCGCCTGGCGGGATGGAGGCGGCGCGAGGGCCGCTGCGACGGCTTGCTGAGCGAGGCCGTCGAAGGCGTTTTTCAGGGAGCCCTGCTGGCGGGAGGCAGGGGGTGGTGGTGGCTGCGGAGAGGTGGACGCAGGGGCTGCGGCGGGTTGCGCACTCTTGGTGTTGGCGCCTGCAGCTGCGCCGGTTGCTGGAGCGCGCTTGTTGTCCTGTTGTTTGGAGTTGCCGTGCTTGCCGTTGTTGTGGGGGTGGTGGGAATGGTTCTGCGGGACGTGCAAGGGTGCCCGAGGCGCCGGCTGCTGCTGCTGTAAACGGGTGTTTGGGTTGATGGAGCTGGCGGCGGCGGCGGCAGCTTCGCCTGGTGATGGCCAGGCAGGCGTTGGCTGTGAGGCCGGCGCAGTTGCATTGGAGTTGGGGCCACCATCCGGAGCAGCCTCTCCTGTCGAAGCGCTAGAAGACGCTACTACTCGCCAGGACTTGTGGCCTTGCTGGTTTGCATTCCTTGAGGCGGGAGCTTTGGTTGAAGCCCCCAGCGCGGGAAAATCAGCCGCATGCAACTCCTTCGCCTGAAAGGTTTTGTTGGCAGGTGGATTCGTTGGTGTTGACTGAGTTGCCTGCTTGACGTTGTTGTTTGAGTGATCTAATTTTGCGGTTTGGGCCTTCGAGGCCGCCGCCCAAGCAGAAGCAGCAGGCGTCCATTCAGCCGCGCCGGGGTTCAAAGGCGCCATTTCAATTGACAATTGCTCTACAATATCCTAGTGTTCAGAAGGAGGCGCTGTGGTTCGTTAACGGGGCCTAGCAAACGCGTCGCCAAAGGACAAGCCGAGGGGGGCGTCGCTGGTCAAGGCGACCCGCCCCCACAAAAAAGCAGCTTGCTATACAACATTAGGAGATTTAGCAGAGCAGGACGGCAAGGGAGTTGAACGCTTTGATAGGCAGGCATTGGGATGAAAAAAAAGCCGAGTTTAAACCGTAAGCTGCAGGGGGCTAAGCTAAAGGTCAGAGGAATAGTATGTATGCAACAAAAGAGGAATGGGCTATTGATATGTATGCGGCTGTTGGTTGCCTGTTGCACCGTCCGACGAAGATCCCTAGCAGGCCGATGCAGCATCAACAGTAAATGCAAGAGCTGCGTATATCTGCTGTAACGCTTCCGTATAAGAGCATTCCTGAATCAACCGATGTCCACCAACGCCGCTGTCAGTGACGCATACAACACGCAAGGCGCAACCCCTAGGTCTATGCGGCATTGCTGTCGGCCAGTCAACGAGCCCACATTTTCCCTTGGCACAACTGAGATGACGGATGAATCCTGGTACATGTCAAGGCAGAAGTAGGACTGCGCGAGGTGCAAGCACGGCACAGGCTTGGTTTTTTAAAAAGTCAACTGGTGTCCTTCTAGTGAAACCCTTTGCCCACCCTGACGCAGCCCCACAGCCTGAGCCTGGTTGGAGTTACGCTGCAGTACCGAATCAGGGACCATGCATAACCAGAATTTCATTAACCAAGCATCAGTGTCCACCCTACGCTGCATGGCTGCAGTCCACCGCACACAAGGTGATCACACGCACCACGGCTGCCACACGAGTCCTGGCTCCTGGGCGGCTGCTCGGCCACAGTGGCCGGCCTCTCCCCACTGCCGAGTGCCGACCCTCAGCCGCCCTAATCCAGCTCATTTGCAAGCCTTCCAAAGTTCTTCGCCCTAAAACACATGTACCTACTGCACGTCTGCCTACATCGGAACCCACCGAAGTCCGGGTCCCCGCATATCCGCAAGGTCACACCGTCCTAGAGCCCGCAGCAGAGACGGAAGCATACCAACTACGACGATCTCCACCCAGCCACCGCTGCAGCCTCCGTTGCTGGGCAAAGGAGGGCTAAGCGCCCCCGTGCGGACCACAAACAGCCGCCCCTGGCAGCGCGGTGGAGACACCAGCTCGCCACCATGTGCCATCATGTGGCTGCAGCGTCCGGCAGCTGCAAGAGCACTCAAACGAGGATTGGAGAAACTCCGCAGGGCCCCTTGTCAAACCTGCTTGCCGCCACCTCCGAATGCACACCGACACGGGTGACGTGCGGTAGTATGCCTTTGCGATATTCTGGTGAGGTGATAACCTGCCCCCCTCTGGCCCTTGCCTCCAATGCCAACAACACCCTCCCAAGCTGCCGTATCACGAGCACGCGCTGCCGCTCCTCTCCCGCCGCCGCCTGTTCCCCCCCCCAGCGCCTGCGCCCGCTGCCTCCTCCTCCCCACCACCACCTCTGACCCCAACCTGTCAGTGCATTCCCCTCCCCCGCTTTCCCCACCGCGATTATGAGCTCTCGCTGCTTTTTGCTAGGCTGGCGAGGTGCTCCTTGCGCCTGAGCGCCGAGATGACCTCCCACTTAACTTGGGATGCCACGTCGCTTTTCAGCTTTGACTCCGGAGTCTTCAGCAGGTAAGAATCAAGTCCGCCCATGTCCTCAATCATCCTGCAGGAAGAGTCCACTCAGGAGGGAACGCAAACAAACAACTTGGCAGCACTTCTTACCGCAATGTGTCGTTCGTCATCACCAGCGGCACCTTTCGGTTCAGCACCTCACTGTAGAGTCGCACTTTGTGCCATTGTGGTGATACGAGCGATACACGCCTGCGCAGCCCCAAGAGCGTCATCCGTTAGGCCATCACTATTCCACCGCCGACGTTAGAACAAAGCTACAAACTTACTCGTCCTTGCTTTTAGGATATTCACGCACTCTAAGCGTGATTTGGGTGTTGCCCCAGACAACGTTCCGCCGATATGCCAAGAGCTGCTCGAACTTCTTCTTCGCCGGCGGAATCAAGCGGCTAATTAATTCTTTTGCCGATGACATATCTAAAGTATAGTAGGATGGACTAACGCAGAACTGCGGCGGGTGTCACCTCCCCAAACAGCCGAAATCGACTAGCCGAAAGCTGCTCCCTGAAATAATCGCTTTTAAAGTATCACCCTCTCAAAACTGCTCCAAGAAAGCGCGCAAGGAGTACGCAAGAAAGGCCTAGGACGTCTTGCAATGCCAGGCTTGTTTACCGCTAGACGCGGATGGCAAGCTTTTATCTACTTATCGAGTATTATCAGTAATATTGTGTCTCTTTTGTTATGGCGAAGAAGCGTGTTTGGGACCTTCACCCGGAATGATCATTTTGGCGGGCAGGTGGAACCACATAACGATCTTGCACAGCGAGCAGAACTGCGACACAATCTGTGCGCAGTGTTTCTTGCAGGTTGGAGTGTGATGCAATGGTTTGAGAGTACACAGTAAACAAGTACATATGCTCCACTACCTGTCTGCGGTCCCAACAATGAACGTGCCTATGTCGCGCCACACACGCCGTTAATACTCATCTTAACGATGCTGGCCACGCAACCAGCCGTCATCCTTCCTGAGGAGCCCTTCGGCGTGCAGCTGCTGCGCCGGGAGGTTGAGCGACAGGCAAGATGCAGCACCTGATATCCTCAACCTTACAGCGTATCACCCTGACATATCCAATCAGAAGGATGTTGTAACCATGAAATACCTTAAGGGATGGAAGGCGCTTTAAGAGGCGCGGAACAAGCTCCCTAGCTGTCAGTTAACAGGAAAAAACGTACCTTCCATGCCATGCCATGCACGCACATCAGGAATTGCTGGGCGGCAGTGGCAACGGCGAGGGGCGTGCAGGAAATGGCGGACCGGGGAAGGGCAGCAGCGGTGGTTCGGGCGGGACCACCGCGCCGTTCACCCCTGCCGCGGTGAAGCTGTGCGTGCGGGAGGGCGCTGCCCTGCCCGGCGGAGATCGTTGTGTTGAGGAGGTGGCGATTCTGGGCAAGCGGTGGGTTTGGAGGATTGTCGAAAAACCGCGAAACTCACTTGAACCACACGGGGTTCCGCAAGGGCCATGTACAACATCACGATGTACAGCATCCTGTATTCACTCAGCTTGCAGATGTACAGGCTCGAACACAGCCCGCAGATGAAGCAGCAGCAGCTGCTGCTGGGACTCCCACTGCTCACTTCGCACGTGCGAAAGCTCCGTTAGCTTTTCTGGCTCCCCTTACATGGGTGTGTGATAAGAAAGTGACCGCGAGTAATAACGTACTGTGATTGCCGGGTGAGTATGTGTGTGTTGCCCCGGCGCGGCTGCAGGGTGGCATGGACCTGCGGCAACCGGGTGCGCAAGCTCTTCACGCTGGGCTCCGAGGTGCTCCAGGTGGGGGTTGGATGGGTGGATGGGTGGGGCCGGGCTAGCAAGATACGTTTCCTGCCTTCCTAACACCGCCCTCCCGGGCATCGCCCCTCCCTCCACATTGGGGGCATCCTGCTATTCCCCCCCTCCGTCCTGACCGTTCTGATGTCCTGACCGTCCTGACTGCCCTGCAACACTCGCATGCCGACCCCAGGCCGCCTGGGCGCTGTTCCCCGGCTACTCCGCCGACCCCGTGCTGTGCCTGCTGAGCGGCGGCTGCCTCACCACCTGTGCGCTGCACGGCGAGCTGCAGGAGAGCGCGGTGCCGCCCGGGCTGGACGCAGTGTGGCCGGCGGGGGAGGGAGGCGTGCTGCTGGGGGTGGGTGGCAGCGGCGCGCGCACATGCGTTTATGCATGCAGTATGGAAGGGAAAGGAGAAAAGGGCCGGGTCGCACCGTCCACCAGCAAGATGTTGTGAGCCTTCCATGCAAGTGAATAACACAAGTGAATACCTAAAAGCTCGTCAAAGGGGCTGCCACAGTTGTTGCACCCCCACCCCACACCCCGCGCCTACCTGCCCCACATCCCATCCCCCCCCCTCCTTCCCCCCTCCAGGGCAGCTCCGCCTCCACGCTCTACCTGCTGTCGCACCCGCTGGACGAGCCGCAGCCGGTGGTGGCGGACGTGTCGTGCAGGGCGGGCCGCCCGGGGGTGTACGCGGGCTGGGCGGGGGAGCAGGTGGTGTGGTCGTCGTACGAGCTGCCGTACGTGGCGACATACAGCGAGGTGGGGCGGGGTGTGGGGGAAACGCGAGGTGGGGTGTATGGGGGGGGACACAGCAAATGCAGTACAGCGAGGTGGGGTGTAGCTGCGGCGGTGGGCGCCCTGTGCTGGTATTGTATAGGACGAGGAACCAGGAGGGCACATGCAAACTAACGCCAAGCCTCATCCGGCCTCACCCCCGTGCCGCCCCCTCCTGCACCATTACCCCTCCTGCACCGTCTGCACCCCCTCCTGCAACCCCTTACCCCTCCTTCAACGCTGCAGGCCGCAGGGCGGTTGGCCTTCTGGGTGGTCAGTCGCGCCCAGCTGTCCCCCGAGCTGCTGGGGGACCTGCCCGACATACCCGCAGCCACTCCGCTGCCCGCTGGGGTGGGCGGCGGCGTGGGGGCGGCAGCCGCGGCAGGCGGCGTGCCGGGCCCCATGACGGCATCCCACATGGGGGGACTGGGGCTGGGGCTGGGGCCGCCGGGTAGCAACATGTCGCTGGCGGCTGGCGGCGGCGGTGTGGTGACGCCGGCCAGCAGGGTCAGCATGTTTAGCTTCCAGCCGCATGGGGGCGGAGGCGGTGGCGGGGGAGGAGGGGCTGGGGCGGGCGGAGGCAGCCTGGCGCTGGGGCGCGGCATGGGGTTGGGGGTCCATGGGGGGAGTGTGATGGCGCGCGGAGGAGGCGGAGGCGGCTTTGGGCAGCAGTTCTGGGCAGCAGGCGGCGGGGTTGCTGGCGGCATGGGCGGGCAGCAGCAGCAGCAGCAGCTGGTGTCGCCCTACCCCCCGCCCAGTGCCGCCCCCTCGGACATGGCCATCAGCCCGGGCAGCGCCCTGACCACCCCCGCGCTGGGACCTCAGCCGGGGGGCCTGCTGCTGCAACACCACCAACTTCAACAACAGCAGCAACACCAGCACGCTGGCAGGCACCCTCATGCACTGCTTCCCCCACATCCTCATCCCCATCCCCCTCATCCCCACCCCCCACAGCAGCAGCAGCATCCAGGCGGCCCCCTGCCCCGCCAGACCCCCGCCCCCTACCCGCCCAGCGCCGCCCCCTCCGACATGTCCATGGCCTTCACACCTGCAGCACCCAGCGCCGCCCCGCACTTCCTCCAGCACCCGCAGCAATACCCGCACCCCTCGCAGCAGGGCCACCCCTCACCCGCGCCCTACCCCGCCTACTCCTGCCCGCCCAGCGCAGCCCCCTCAGACATGTCCATGGCCTCCAACACCACCGCCACCCCCGCCACCCTGGGCCCGCCTGCAGCCGCCGCAGTCGCCGGTGCGGGGGGCCTGCCGGGCTCCGGAGGCCGGCCGCCGGGGGCAGCAGCAGCAGCAGCCGCGCCGCCGGACACCTCCAACCGCTACTACGTTTCACCGTATGTGGGCGCGGTGGCTCCCACGCCGGCGCAGTACCGCTTGTCGGGTGGTGGGGGTGGGGTTGGAGGCGGCGGCTGGGGGCAGGTGGCGGCATCGCCGGGGCCGGCTGGGCTGGTGGGCGGCAGCGGAGCGGTGCCGGGTTCGGTGCTGAAGAGGTGGGTTTGATAGTCGGCATTAGGCTGGGTTTTACGATTGCGTGTATGAAGAGGTGGGTGGGGAAGAAAGCAAACGGTTCCAGGGCAGGAGGTGGGAGGACTCTCTGCGTCTGGGAATGCATGCGTCTGCAATATCTTGGAAGGCATGGATTGGGGGCAGTGCAGGAGTGCATGGGGGGTGGTTACCGAATATGGGTGCGGTGAACTTCCGGGTTGTGCCGTGGCAGACCATGATATGGTCATGAGGAGCGTTGTACGGCAACCTGGCCGGTGTTCACGACGCAGGGGGGTCCCGTTGATGGCTATAGTCGGTTGCCCTGTCTGCAACCCCACGGAGGCGAGTATGACACATGCAACATAACCCTTTCCTGCAATCCCCTGACACCCCTCTCCCACTGCTCTCCCTGTCCTGCCCTGCAGGACGCACGCCGCCCGCACGCCGGACGGCTTCCTCTCGCCGCACCTCTTCAACCCCCGCCCGCGCGCCGCCGCAACCGCTGCTCTAGGCGCCGGCGTCAGCGCAACCCCCGGCGGCGGCGGCGGCGGCGGCGCTCTCTACTCCTCCGCCAGTCCCGCTCAAATTCACCACCAACGCCTCGCCGGAGCGGCAGGGGGAGCTCCACCCCATACGCACCAGGGCCCCTCTCGTCACCACCCGATAGGCACCCCCTACTCTCAGCTCTTCGCGTCGGCTGATGCAGCAAGCGGCATGACAGGAGGTGCTCTTGCGACGGGCGGGGGGCTGGGGTTGCTGCTGACGGGAGGTATGGGTGGTGTGGGAGGAGGCGGAGGAGGAGGGGGGCCGGCCAGCACGCCGGGTCTGCTGGACGCTACGGCGGGCGGGCGACGCGGCAGTCGTACGGTGCTGACGGTTGGATCTCGGTTGGCGTACGGCGAGGTTGTGGACGAGTGCCAGGTGATGGTGCTGTTGCATGAGGAGGTGACACCGCCAGGTATGTGATGCGGCTGGCGGGAAGGGATGAAGTCCGGGCGTCACACAGCAACCCTACACGAACCTCCCTCCAGTCCAGTACCGTCCAAACCCCGCTCTTCCCTCCCCACCACTGCCCCGCAGGCTTCCGCCCAACTGAGGCGGTCATGGCAACGGACCTTTCGGGCTGCCCTCTGCTCTGCGTCCTCTCCGCGCCCCAAGCTCGTCTGCTTGCCTTCTCCATCACAGCTGCTCCGGGGCCGCCTGCCGGTTCCGGAGCGGGTGGTAACGGCGGTGGCGGCGTGCATGGATCGCACGCCACACCCGCGCCATCTGGAGGTGGCGGCGGCGGAGCCGCCGCTGCATCCGCCGCTGCCGCCGCCGCCGGGGGTGTACGAGTGACGCTGGCGGGGTCGTTAGAGGCACTGGCGGTGGCGGCGGTGGCAGCGACTGGGCTGCCGGTGGTTGGGGAGTCGGCTAGCGGCGCCGGTGGCAGCAGCAGCAACGGTGGTAGTGGTTGTCGTACGATTGGCGGAGGTGATGTGCACCGGGACTTGCTGGTTCTGCAGCCGTCGGGACAGCTGGTGCTGCATAGAGGTGAGGGAGGCGGCTATCAGGGGCGGGGAGAGGGAGAAGAAGGCGAGGTCATGGGATGTGGGGTCGGTCCACTCGCCACTCCCACGCACTTTGGCTGCAATGTCTGCTACGACTCTGCATTTCCCTCTAATCAACCCCCCACCCCGTTCTTTTTACCCCGTCTTCGTTCCGCAGGCTTATCGCCGCTATTTGCAATCTCGCTGGGTTCAGCCGCGACTGCGACCTCGGCTGCTACACGCGAGGGCGGTGCAGCAGCAGCTGCCGTACCTTCGGGTGCCGCCACCGCCGCAGCAAGAGACGGTCGCGGCGCGCGAGCAGCTTCCCCCACATTTCAGCAGCCGCAGCCACACCTCGGTGGCGGCGACGGCGGCGTACATGAAGGAATCTTTGGCGGCGGCGCGGTGTCGACTCCTGCCTCTCAGGCTGGAACCGACATGATGCTGGATGAGGATTCCGATATGGAACAAGACCAGGAGGCGGACAGCAGCGATGAGGAGGAGGAGGGCGGCGCTGGTAGAGGGGGGCGCAGCCGGCTGCCACCGCCGCCGCCGTCACGGCGTGACAACCTGCCGCACATGCGCGTTCCCTCGGGCGGCAGCGGGGCTGGGGCTCCACGGAATGGCGGCGGCGGCGGAAGCGTGGCGGATGCTTCTGATGACGTTATGAGCGAGGGCGGAGACGACATGATGCTCATCTCCCCGCCCGTGTCGTCAGGCCCGGCGTCGGCGTTGGCGGCATGGAAGCAGCATGGAAGTACGACTGCGCCTCCGCCGCCAGCGCCGCGGTACGAGGGTGCCGTACTGGGCACTGGCGGCAGCGCAAGGACTGCCAGACCACGCGTCAGCGACGCCGGCGGGGGCGCCGCAGCGGGCGCACCACGGCCCATCCTAGGCCTCCGTCGCGGTGTTGGGAACACGGTGGTCGTCGTGCTGCAACCCCAGCCGCCGCTGCCGTCGCAACAGCAGCAACCGCATCCCCTGCGTGGCAGCAGCGCCGGCGATTCCGGCTTGTCGCCTCCGCCGCCTCGTGAGCTGCGGCTGCTGCTGTCCTTTGGGCTCACCTCGGCCCTGGCGGCGTCGGCGCTGGAGGTGATCCGTGCGGCGGCGCCGGCGGACCTCTACCTCGCCTTCCTCCGCCGCTTCTACAGCCACCGGCCCGCCTGCACCAACCGGCCCGCCGGCGAGTGGGCGGCTCTGGACTCCGTGCTGCTGGAGTGGGCGACGGAGCCCGATGTGTTTGTGAGCCGCAGCCGCAACCAAGCCAGCAGCAGCAGCGGAGGGGGTGGTGGCTTTCGCAGGCTTTCAGCGTCTGGCATCTCTGGTGGCGTCGGCGGCGTGGGTGGCGGCTACGAGCCCCTGGCGACGCCGCTGTCTACACCCCTCCACACCCGGCGTTTCGCTGCCATGTCGCTTGCATCTCCCATCCGACCGCCTCCGCAGCTCCACCCGCAACCACAAACCCAGCAGCAGCACCACCACCACCATCACCGTCTGGCCGCGTCACATCACCCACAGCAACCCCAGCAGCCTAAGCACATGCAGCAGCAGCACCGACCCATGGGTCATGAGGTCCCAGGGTCCCGAGGCGCGCACGATTCTGGCGCCTCCACGGGGCCTTCAGCGCCGGCTGGATCTGCCTGGGAGCGGCTGCTGGCATCTGAAACGCAAGCCCGCCTGCTGTCTGGCGGCAGCCGTCGGACTGCCTGGATGACACGTGACCCACGGGTCACTCCTTCAACTGCTACGTCTACAACAGCACGTGATGCCGGCGTAACCGACTCCGCACATCCCCTAGTGGGCCTGCACACCCTGTTCGGCAGTAGTAGCGGCGACGGCCTCCTCGGCACAACCGGAAGCGGAGGCCTGGGCTCATTCGCCGCCACCGCTGCTGCTTCCGACCCCGCATCAACCACGTCCGTTGACGCCGCCAGGCGACCCCTACCCCCCCTTAGCGCAGCAGCGCAGCCACTGCTCGCCGTACTGTACGGCCTTCACGGCTTGTACGAGGAGCTCAAGCTGGACGTGCTGAGCTGGCCCATGCTGCAGCCCCTGGGCACGACTCTGGCAGCCGTAGCATCGTTGTTGGGACTGCACCCCTATTGGGAGCACTACGCGCGGGACGTGAGCCCGGCCAGTCTGGCGGCGGTGGGGGCGCCGGAGCCGCCGCTGCAGGGCCCGGCGGGGCTGGTGCTGCGTCCGCCCGCGAGTGTTTACAGGTGGGGCAAAGAGGAAACGACTAACGAACCGTGGGGTTGCGGCCATGCAGGGGGGAAGAAAACGGAATGGGGAAGAGGAAGGTCATGATGGCATCTGGAGTTTTGCTTGGATCATGGATGCCGGTATCTATAGCAGCTCCCTACTTACCCCGGCTGCAGGATCCTCAGTCGCATGGTGTGCGGTACGGCACCCGAGCCCGCGGAGCTGCCGTACCTCCTGGACCTGCCGCCAACCACCGCCGCCGCCGCAGCAGCAGCAGCAGCGGCCGGTGTTGCTGCCGCTGCCTCCTCCGCTTCCCAGCAGTCGCCCGCTCAGGCGCTGCGGGGACCGCAGTGGCAGCACCCCGCGCTGCCGCTGACGTCGCGGCTGCTGGCGGCCTACTGGGTGCTGTGCGAGTGCGCCAGGAGGTGAGGAGGGGGATGGGGGGGGGCGGCATGGGATTAGCTTAACAGAGTCGCGGAGGAGGAGAGGTGGGGGTGTGGGCATGGGGAGGAAGAGGGCGGGGAAGGGGGGATGAGGAGCATGAGGAGCATGAGGAGATGAGAACAGGGCAACGGGGTGACAGGGGCCCTGTTCGATAGGGGGGAAGCTTTTGGAATGCGCTAGCTAGACCTCATCGCTTGGCGAAGCAAAGTGGACCTGTTGCCAGGGTTTCTTCTGTTAGGGGCCTCTTGGCATCATCGGCAATCCTCCTGAGAGACCTTGCCGCCCGAATGTCAATTCCGCTCCGCTTCTTGCGTCAGCTGCGCCGCCATCATGCTGGAGACCGCCCACGCCGCCAACACAACCACCGGGGCAGCAGCGGCCCAAGCCCACGGCCTCCACGCCTCAACAGCCAGCCCCACCACCACACCCACTGCGAACGGTCGTACCGGCGCCTCTGCTGCCGTACAATTAGAAGCTGTCGTACGAGCGGCTTCGGAGCAGGTGGTGGCGCTGGTGGCGGCGCAGGGCTGGCACGCGGGTTCGCTGGGGCGGCTGCCGCCGGGGGTGGCGCTGCCGCTGAGGGAGGCGTTCCAGCGCTGCCGGGCTTCCCCGCCGCCAGGTGAGATGTTGCCGTACGGTTGCACCTCGTACCGTACCTTTTGGCGCCGTACTTTCGGCGCCGTACCCGTACCCGCCTCTACGTTTTCAAAGCATGCTGCTGCAGGTCCTTCATCGCTAGCGTTTACGCCCCCGCGCCACTCCACCTCCTACTTACCTTTTCCCCTGGTGCTTACCGCTCTTTCCTCATGCTGTCATGCAGGCTGGCCGGTGCAGGCGTACGCGCTGATCGGCCGCGAGGACATCGCCGCCACGCTGGCGCCCTCGGGCCTCACAGCAGCTGCCGGCCCCGCAGCCGCTGCGGACCGCAAGCGGCAACACCAGGAGCAGCAACAGCAACAGCAGCAGGAACACGAGCAGCAAGGTGGTGGTGGCGGCGGCAGCGCCGGGGTTGGTGCTGGCGGCAAGGGCAGCAGCGGAGCCGCCCAGAGCCATTCTGCAGCACCCAGCAGCTTGACTGCGCTCCTGAGTCACCTGCCGGGGCTCAGGACGTCGAACCCGAGCTTCGAATTGCCGGCGACGGCGTTGGCGGCGGGAGGAGGTGGCATGGGAGCTGCCGTCGTGACACCCAATGCCCCCGTCATCAGCGGCGGCGGCGCCGCCGCTACCGGCGACGCCGGCGGCGGCTCCGAACCCAACTCCGCCAGCACCGCCGGAGGCGGCCCCAACTCCGCCTCCTCACTGTTCTCGTTCCGACAGCTGCCGTACTTTTCCCTCGCCGCCGTCACGCCGATGACGAGCGCCACGCCGTACATCTCTCTCGGCGCTCTTGGCGGCAGCGGCGGCGGCAGCGGCTTGTTTCCGTACGGCTTAGGCAGTAGCGGCGGCGGCGCAGCCGCCGCCACCACTGGCGGCGCCAGCGGCGCCGGCGCCCTTCGGCTTCCGTCGTACGTTCCACCGCCTCCGCCGCCCCGTCCGCCTCCGTCGCACCTCTGGCACCTGTGGCGGCCCGCCTACACGGCTCGCCTGCAGCTGCCCAGCCACCAGCTGGACCTGGGGGCGGACCTGGAGGCGCCGCGCAAGCTGGAGGGCGCCGCCAAGCAGTTTGAGAGCAAGCACGGCATGGAGGGGCTGACGCGAGGTGTGTGCGAGGGCGGGATCATGCATTGCCGCGTTGACACCCCCTCATCACACCTAACGCTGCCCACATCTCCGTGGCCTCCTATCCTCAAAACCCCCATGCATTACACGCTGTTTCCTCGGCCCGCTTTTCCTCACGCACCCACGCTGCGGCTGCCCCTTCCTCCCCCCCCCCCTCCTCCTGCCCAACCGCAGGTGTCAGTCGGCTGCGCTTCGGTCGCGACGGGCGGCTGCGTGACGTCATCTCCGCGCTCGACTCCTCCCACCCGCTGCTGCTGGACGGGCTGGGGCTGCACGAGGGCGACCCGGAGGCGCCCGCCAAGCAGCAGCAGCAGCTGCTGGCGGCGGCGCTGAGGACGATGTCACTGCCGCTGGGCAGGGGGGCGGTGGCGCTGGCTACGGGTGTGTAGGGGGGTGGGGGGAGGGGAAAATAGGGGGCGGGAGGTATTACTGCGTAATGGTATGTACTCAAGATGTTGATTGGGGTGTTGGGGAGGTGGCGGCGGTGGGGCAGGGTGCCTGTGATTGGTGCCTCCCTTCTCCGCTCCCAACTCAGTTCCTCTGCTCCGCTCTTCCTACTCACAGCGAGTCACTTCCCTAACCTCTGCTCCTACCACCACGGCATTTTCCCCCGCATCCCTCGTCACCTGCATGCACACACACCTCTCCCCTCCCGCTCTCCCCTTCCCCCCCAGGCCGCCCCCTGCCCACCGAGCCCACCTCCGCGGTCCCCAGCATGTGTCTGGCGGGGCTGGTCCCCGACTCGCTGGCGGGGCACACCGTGGTCAACCTGGACCTCTCCACTGCGCAGCCGGCACCCGGGGGCGGCGCGGCGGCGGACTTCACAGCGTGGCCGGAGTTCCACAACGGTAGGGGGGTGGGCGGTGGGAAGCGGGTGGTGGGCCGGGCTTCGCTTCACCCTCCAGCCTCCCCCTTTACATCTCTCTCTCTCTTTCTCTCTCTTCTTGGGAGCAGTCGTAGCTTCCCTTTACCTCTTACGGTCCCTATAGGTTAACATCCGACCAAGCCCCGTCTCGCCTCCCTCCCACCCACCCCCCAGGTGCCGCGGAGGGTCTGCGTCTGTCCGCGGGCGGCGGCTGCGAGTCGCTGACGCGCCCCTGGCTGCAGGTGGCAGCCAAGCCGGACGTGCCCTCCTACACGCACGCGGGGCTGCTGATGGCGCTTGGGCTGACGGGGCACCTGGACCGCCTGTCATGGACAGACCTGTACAGGTGGGGCGGGGTTGGGTGGTGGGGCTTGAGACAGTGGAGGAGGAAGATGGATTGCATTGGAAGGACGACAAAAGGGTTGCAACGAAGCCGAGTACGGCGGTGTGAGTTGAGTGGGCACTTCCTGCCCTCCCCTTCCTGCCCTCCTCCTCCTCCTCCTCCTCTTCCCAAACAGGTACCTGAGCGACGAGCACGACCCCACCACCATTGCGGTGCTGGTGGGCATGGCGGCGCAGCGGCGGGGCTCCATGGACGCCACCGTCACCCGCATGCTGTTCCTGCACCTGCCCGCGCGCCACCCCACATCCTTCCCTGAGCTGGAGCTGTCGCCCCTGGTGCAGGTGGGGGGTTTGGGGGTTGGGGAGGCGGGCTGGGGGGATTGGGAAGTTGGGATTAAATATGTTTGCCGAAAGGAACACTGAAGTTGGGATGTTAGGATGTGGGTGCGATGAAGGGGTCGGTTTGAAGCGGATGACGAGGGTAAAGAAAGCTGCAGCGTGCCAAGCTGCCAAGCACTCCCGCCTCTCCACCTCCCCCCCCCAGGCCGCCGCTCTCATGGGCGTGGGTCTGCTCTACGAGGGCACCGCGCACCGAGTCATGGCGGAAACCCTGGTCGAGGAAATCGGCCGGCGCCCGCTCAGCCCGGCAGCCGCAGCCGCATTCGCAGCGGACGCCGCCGGCGGCGGCGGCGGCGCTGGCGGCGGCGGCGGCGGCGGTCTGGGCCTGGGCAGCGCGCCTGGAGGCTCCTCGTTACCTCCGGGCGCCTCCCCGCTTGCCGTGACGCAGGACCGGGAGGGCTATGCGCTGGCGGCGGGACTAGCGCTGGGCATGGTGGTGTTGGGGCTGGGGGGCAGCCGGGCGGCGGCGGGGCTGGCGGACCTGCAGCTGGAGGAGCGGCTCACGTGAGGAAGGGGGAGGGGAGGGATGGGGAAGAGCTGGGTGCGGTGCGTGACACAGGTTCCCCGCTTGATTGCAACGTGGTTTATTCCTCTTCATTCTTGCCCCGCCTTCGCCCCACGCCTCCGCAGCTACTACATGCTGGGCAGCACCGACGCCTCCGCAGCCGCCCGCCGAGCCGGCGGCCTGTCCGGCGCGCTGGGCGCCTCACACCCCTATGGCGGCGCCGCATCCGGGCTGGACCGCGTCTTCGGCTCCGCAGCCGCCGGCCATGCCAAACTAGGCCACGCGGCCGGCATCTGGGGGGGCGATCCGGCAGGGCCGCCAGCGCTGGCGCCGCCTTCGACGGCCTCCCGGCACGGCGCCGAGGGCGGCGCCTCCGGCGCCGCCGCCGCCGCTGCCGCGGCGGCTGCCGGCAACGGCCAGGGCGCCGCCTGCGTGGTGTTGGAGCCCGACAACATGCTCAACCTGTCCATCACCTCCCCCGCCGCCACAGTCGCCCTAGCGCTCATGTACCTGCGCACCAACGACGCGGCCATCGCGAGTCGCTTCTCGCTGCCGGACACGCCCTGGGGTCTGGACTGCGTGCGCCCCGACTGCATCACGCTGCGGGCGCTGGGTCGGGCGCTGGTGATGTGGGATGGCATCGATCCCAGTGCAGAGTGGCTGGCGGAGTGCATGCCGCCGCTGTTCAGGGTGAGGCACTCTGGGGGGGGTTGAACAAGGAAGCTAACGAACTGCATGACGAGGCTTTACCATGGGTTGCACTGGGGGTGGGTGGGTGGGAGGGGCTTGGTAAGGGGGCTGGCATGTTGCAACCCGGCTGAAGACAGCAAGCCTCTAATAGCCCGAAGGCCACTCGTGCATAACAGTATCCTCCCTCCCCTTCCTTTACCTTCACAGCATGTACAGCCAGCTTTGGATAACCCCATACACATTTCCCCCTGCCCCCCCCGTCGCATCTTAACCCTCCCTTACCAGGGGCCCCTGGAGCGGCTGGTGGAGCGGGCGGTGCACTCCCACTCCGCCTCCTTCCCCGCCTCGGGGCTGGCAGGCGGAGGAGGCGGAGGTGCTGCAGGCGGCGGCGGCGGCGGTCGCACCCCGGCAGCCGACCCGCACTCCGCCGCATTGGCCCACTTGGCCGCCCTGTCGGGGCTGTGTCTGGCGATGGGTCTCAAGTACGCGGGTGCGTGTGCCTGTACTTCCGTATCTCCTCCACGCCATTCTCCGCCCATGTCCCATCCCTGCCTCTCCCGCGTCCCATCGTCCCTGATGTGTCCCCGCATTCCCGTCCACACTCCTCTCCCTCCTCCACACTTCCCCTACCTAGGCAGTCGCCAACTCCGCTAACCATCCCTTTGTCTTATGCCCCCCCTGCCGCCTCATTCCACCCCATTGCTTCTCTCTATATCCTAATTTCCTATGTCTTTTCCGGTCCTTCTTTTCCCCTCCCCAGGCAGCGCCAACGCCCGCGCCTACGACACCCTCCGCGGTGTGGCTCTGCAGCTGCTTGCTGCCAAGCGGCGGGTGCCCGAGGTGGCCCCCTCCTCCACGGCGGGGGGCAGCGCGGCGGTGGCGACGGGCGCAGGGCAGGTGGCGGGCGGCGGGCCGGAGGCGGTGGGGCGGCTGGACCGGGCCCCGCTGGAGGCGGCGCTGAGTGTGGTGGTGCTGGCGCTGAGCGTGGTAATGGCGGGGACAGGTGGGTGACCCGTGGGTCGCTGCAGGAATGGTTAAGAAGAGGGCGCAGAATACTAGTTCTCGGATGGTTGGCCACTGCTTGTGAATTCTTCCACCATGCCTGTTGCTCACCCTACTATCCCCGATTTCCTTGCTTGCACGTGCTGCCACGCCGCGTCTGTTCCCCTCCCCCTCCTCCCCCTCCCCTTCCCCCTTCCCCCCCCCCGCAGGCCACCTGCCCACCCTGCACCTGTTGCAGTCCCTGAGCACCCGCCGCCACCCGGTGACCCACCACGTGCTGCACGGACTGGGGGTGGGGTACGGGGCGCACTGCGCGGTGTCGCTGGCGCTGGGCTTCCTGTTCCTGGGGGCAGGTGGGGAGGGGGGGAGATGGAGTGGGAGGGAGGGAGGGAGGGGTTTCTTGATTGGAGGGCAAATGGGGGTAGTCCAGGCGTTGGGGTATGCTAGAGCGAGTGGTAGCGGGTGAGAAATGATGCAGTGAACGCTTCCAGGAAACGCTGCCCTTCCATGTTCCCTCCCGCTGGCTCCCCCTTCCCTTCCGCTCACTCCTCAAACACCCCACCCGCCCTCCCCTTCCCACCTCCCTGTTCCCTGTCCAGGCACCCATACCTTCTCCACCACCAACTCGGCGGTCGCGGCGCTGCTGGCGGCGCTGTACCCCATCCTGCCGCACACGCCAACCGACAACCGCTGCCACCTGCAGGTGAGCGACGCGGCGCCTGGAGCAGGGGGGAACAGCTTCACTGCATCGCTTCATTTTCCACACCACCCTATGCCTTCGCTGCAACCCCCTTACTCTCCCCCTTGCCCCCCCCCCCCGCCTGCATGAGTCGGGATATGGGATTGGGACTCGTTGCTGCACATATCATAATTATTTTACCCTCCCTCCCCCCCGCCCCAGGTGTTCCGCCACCTGTACGTGCTGGCGGCCCGGCGGCGCTGCTTGGAGGCGGTCGACGTGGACAGCCAGCAGCTGGTGTACGTGCCGCTGCAGCTGACCGTGCAGCCGCCGAGGGTGGTGGGGCAGCAGGGGCAGGGGCAACAGAGGCAGGGGCAGCAGCAGAGGGCGAGGCAGGGCGGCAGCAGGGGGGGTGCGGAGGCGGCGGGAGAGGGCGGGGGAGACCCCATGGTGGAGGATGCGGTGCTCAAGGTACGTGGGAAGGGGTGCACATGAGGGTGGGAGTGTTGATAGGGAGACGGGCGCCTTGCGGCCAACGTTTGTCGTCCGTACGCACTTTCTTTATTCCCAAAGCGCTTTGGCCTCTCTTTCTCCTTGTTTCGCCCTGTCAAACACGTCGCGGTTGCCCAGCCTTCCGCTGACCCACCCACCCGCCCACCCGCAGACATCCACGAAGGCCAACTTGCCCTGGACACCCGACGGACAGCTCAGACCCTCCGGCGGAGGCGCCGCCTCCGCCGCCGCTGCCAACCCGGGCTCTCCACCCATGCTGGAGGCGCTGCACCTGGAAGGGGACTCGCCGGGACCCAACCCCGCGTCGCGAGGCGCCTCCGCCGGCGGCGCAATCGCCACCACCAGCGCTGGCGTCAAGGTACCTGGATCCGGGCCGACCATGCTGACATCGACGACGGCGAGTCCTGGCGGCGGCGCTGACGGCGGCGGAGGCGGTGGAGGCTTCACAGGACCCGCTGCCGCGGCAGCGGCGGCAGCCGCCGCCGCCGCCTCACCGCATGGTGCGGCGTCACGGGGCCAACAAACGGCAGCGGCTGCCGTACAAGAAGTCCCACATGCATCATCCGCAGCAGCAACAGCGGCGGCGGCTGGTGTTGCGCCGGTGCTATTGTCGTACGAGCGCGTTGCGCCGGCGCTACTGCCGGAGCCGCACCAAACGGTACGACTGGCGGTGCGAGGTCCACGGTACTGGCCTCAGCAGCTGGACTGGAGTTGCCGCGGCGCCGCGGGGGCTGACGGCACCGCCGTTGCGCCGGTGCTGGGTGCGAGCGCTGGCGGCGGCGGCGCCGGGGCGACGGCAGTCGGTCCAGCTGCTCGGACGCCGTACGGACAGTTTCCGTTCGCGACGCCGTTGCAGGGAGGGACAGTTGGTGGCGGCGGCGTCGGGAATCAGCAGCGGCAGCCTGCATGGCTGGGCATGACGCCGCCGGCCGCTGCGGGGCAGCCATTGCTGCAACCTGGCGGCGGCGGCGGAGGCAGCGCTGTCAGTGGTGTGCTGGCTCCGGCGCAGAATAACGCCAGCGGCAGTAACGGTGGCAGTAGCAGCTGCGTCAGCAGTAGCAGCAGCGCACTGGAGACGGTTTACCGACAATTGTTGTTGTTCGTTAAGAAGCGCGCCGGGTCGTTGAGCTACAGCCAGGATCCCTCGGGCATCCGTTCGCTGCTGTCGCGCGCTTTCCACAACCAAGGGCTGCTGCGGTTGCCTTTGGACCCGTCGTTGCGCTCTTATTCCGCCGCCACCACGCCCGAGGGCGCTCCGCCGCCGCCGGCGTCCATCCGGACCGCGGGCGAGGGTGCATCCCCTGACGCGGATGCTCGTACTCGACGACAGTTGAAGTGGCTTGCCGGCAGCAGCGGCGGGGCGGCGACCGAGGGCGGGGATCTTCCGTACAGCAGTACGGAAGAGGCTGCCAGATCCACCCGTACACGATTAGGCGAGCAGGAGGATCAGGCTCAGGTGCGGTTAGACGTAGATGCCGCAGACGAGGAGGACGCTGATGCGGACGGGCTTCATAGGCAGGCAGCAGCGGCAGGCGCAGGAGGAGGGGCAGGAAGCAGTGAAGCAGCGCCGCAAGCGGGAGAGGACGGTGGAGACGGTGGGTTCGACTTGGTGCGGCTGTGCGCTACGTTCTCGGTGGACCCATCCGTCATGGCTTTCGCGCAGCACATTAAGGCCATGCGCGACCTGTGGGTGGTGGAGGAGGCCGCAGCGGCGGCGGCGGAGGAGGACAGGAGGTTGACGGGTCGTACTACCAGCGGTGGCGGCGGCAGCCGACATGACGTCAGCGGCATGCGTCGCGGTCTGGTGCTCTTGGCTTCGGAACCTCGCGAGCAGGAGGAAGACGTTGAGCCGAAGGACAGCAGAAGCAGAGGCAACATTGGTGGTGGTGGTGGTGGTGAGAAGGAGGAGGATGCGGGGCGTAGGCGGCGGCTGCTTGTTAGCCGGTGGCAGCGGCGGCAGCGGCAGCGGCGGCGAGGTCATGGCGCGGACCTCCTGTCCTTTTGCTACAGTGCGCTGTACGAATGCATCACAGGGGAGAAGACCGCCGCGCTGCCCTTGTACCTGCACCTGCACTGCCTGGTGCACAGGGCTGCAGGGGACGCAGCGCTGGATTCCCTCACCGCCCGCATCCGGTCTACACCATCCAGCAGTGGGGGCGCCTTGAACAGCGGCCTGGTGGATGGCAGCGGTCTGGATGCGAGTCAGCTGGTGCTCGGACCCATGGGTCGGTCGCACCCATGCAGCTTGCTGACGGGGCCCTCCGTTCCGCTGACGGCGGCGCTGCAGGGGCTTCAGCTGGCCCGGTCGTACTACAGCGGGCCGCTGGCGGCGGCGGCGGCCACTGCAGCAGCGGCGACGGGTGACGTCGTGTTTACGGATTTGGACGAGCAAGCGCTTTGGAGGCCGCTGCTGCAGCCGGCGTTTCTTGAAAGCCTCTGGTGTGCGTTGCAGCACCGCCGCTGGCGGCCGCTGGGGCTGCTGCCTCAGCCGGGCGGCGCGCCGCCGGCGTCAAGAGGCATGAGCGCTGGCGTTGGTGTGGGTGCTGCTGGTGGCGGCGGCGTCAGGCCAGCAGCAGCGGCGGCGGTAGCGGCGGCCCCGGTTGGCAGTGCGTTGGGCGTGTACCTGCGGAAAGGCCACATGCCGGGTGCCGCTGACTTTGATGCTGTTGTGACAGGTGGGTTCCTCACGTCGCGCGGTCGGCTCCTCCTCTGCCGCCTGCTGCCTGTTACCGTAACAGGTCGCCGCCAGCAGCCTTTACCATGCATGCCCTGAGCCGAACAGGACTAACTCCCCAACCATGAAAGCTGCCCCCTCTCCTACCACGCTAACACAAGTATACAACCCAGCAAGTTGTAACACAGGCGTCTGTCCGCCTTCGTCGATTCCCCGTGGTACCTTTTTCCCTGCCGCCTGTCACACTCCTCCTCCTCTTCCTCCTCCTTCTCCTACCTCATCTGCTCCATTCCCCCTTACAGGCATCTCCCGGCTAGTTCCCGAGCCCGAGCTTCAGTCGGAGCTGGCTCGCTGTCTGGCGCTGCACCACCTGCCCCCGCTGGCGGCAGTCAGCACCGCCTTGGAGCAGCTGCGCGCGCTGCCGGTGTGGCCGCAGGTGCGGGAGCTGGTGGCGGCGGCCGCAGCCGCAGCGGGCGGGGCCGGCGGGGCGGCGGCAGGGTGCGGTGTGCCCCCCTCCCTGGCGCTGTTGCCGCTGCTATCGCTGGTGCTGCCCGGGGTGCCGCATGAGGCGCTGCTGCTGCTGGCGGCGGCAGCGCCCGTGTGAGGGAGGCGGGGAAAGAGGAAGGGGCACAGGGGTTCACCTGGAGGAGAGAGGCTTTGGTGGGGCTCTGTATTTGGCGGGTGGTTGTGAAGTCCACGCGCGTGGGTTTTGTTTGCGCTGGTGCGGATGCCATGCCATCATGTGTGAGTAAGAAGCGCTTTCGGGTAGGCTGTAGCGGTCTAGGTCATGTGCGTGATAGTGTTGTGCCGAATGAGGTTGTGCAACAGGTCCCTGCACCATGCACTGCAGGAGGCAGGTTGTGCTTTACATTAAGATACGGCGACGACCGCTGTGGAAGAGGATGGTAGGAGGAAGATACCGGCAGGGGGATTTGACTGGTGCCAGTCAACTGCCTAATTACATGGAGTAGGCTTAGGGTAGGCTGAGAGTAGCAGGCGTTGCGAACACCTACTGTTGCGGTGATGTGTTCTGGTTGCTGCCCAGTAGCCGGTGGCAGCTGTGGCAGGCACGCTGGGGTAAGACTTCAGGTGTGTAAGAGTGTAAGGATGGGGATGACGGGCACGTTTGGGTACTGGGACGAACCCTGAACGTTACAACCCATACAAGGGCGTTCGGGGCTTGAGCCGCGGTCTGAGTTCTCGGTGGCACGTTGGACATGCAAGTGGACACCCCACTACTTGGCAATAACTGCTACTCCTTTGAACCGGCTTCCGCCGGATTCGTGCAACCAGCGAAGCCAGCGGGCCGGCCCGATACGGCTCCCAACTTGTAACCCGCGGCAACACCCGTTTAAGCACTTTTTCCGACATTCCCGCACACATGGAAGTACTGCCGAAATCTCCCTCCCATTTCCGCCCCCAGCACATCAGGAGCATGCAGTCGGTGCCTCTTGCCAGCGCTCATGCTTCCCTTCATGCTCCCCTGCACCATGCTCCCCTGCTGCTCCGGTAGTTCACACCGAAAGGGCGCAAGCAACACGCGGGTGTATCCTCTCCTTTAGTCCGCAAGGCTGGTAAAGCCGCTGTACGGCATGTACGTCTACCACTCGTCTTCTACCACTATCTCTGTCCACTGCACACACGCACGCCATTCACAATACCTCACCTCACCCCACCTCACCTGGCCTAACTCGAACGCCCTGCTTGTTGTGCCGTGTGCTATGACCCCTGCTGAGAGCCCTGGTGTCGCTGGTGAGCTAGGAGGGCCTGTACGGACTACTCTATCCGGGCAGTAGTAGGCGGCGTCCCATCCGACACCGGTCAAGACCCAGCGGAAACGCTCGTCATCAATGCCCGTTGCTGTTGATGTTTATGGCACCGTACGTGGAGCTCCTCACCAGCCCTCTCCTCTCTACACTTCCCATCCACGTCTCTCGTTAGTGTGCCCGGACCTTGGGCTCAGTTGGGTTCCAGCGCGCACACCATGCATACATACTGCCCGCTTCCCTCGCCCACCTCCGCAGCTGATCACCCCTCCTACCGCTACCATCTCAAAGCCACCCGCACCCAAGCCGCCCTCCTCACAGCACAGCCCCCTCCACCTCTCCACCACGCCACACCACACCTCACTCCACCTCCACTTCCTGACCACCCTCCCCCTCACCCTGCCCTCCTTCCACTCCTCCAGCTCCTACTCTCTCTACTCCTTCTCCACCTCCTGCACCCTCCTGCCCCTGCTCCACCCCCTCCTTCCCCCCTTCCTTTCCCACCCCCCCCTGCCCCCCCTCCTTTCCCACCCCCCCCTCCCCCACATGCGCATCCAGCCACTCCACCGCCTGCTCCAGCACGCCCCGCCAGCCCTCCTCCTTGGTCAGCACGTGGAACATGTGGTCCACCGCCACGTGCCGCTTGTCGGAGCTGCGACTGCGCTCGAACAGCGCCCGGCTGCCCAGCGCGTCAGTCCACCTGGGGGGGAGGGGAGAGCGGGGAGGGAGGGAGCGGGGAGGAGGGGAGAGGGAGGAGGACAGCGGCGGGGAGGAGGGGGAAGGGTTGACGAAATACCAAACCACATGGGTGAGGGCAAGACGAAGACGGGATAGCGTACCGGTATGCGGGAGGGGACAGGGTTGGTGGTTCATAGGAGGGCGTTACCGTAACAGTAAGGGGTAAGGGAGCTGTCCAGACCCCCCCCACCCGGCCCCCCACCTGTCCCTGCCGCTGTGGAACACCAGGAAGGGGAAGTCCAGCAGGTGCAGCTGCGCGCTCAGCTGCTGGCAGGCGCGCAGGTACTCCAGTGCGTTGCGCACGCGGGTGCCCTGCTTGAAGCAGGCGGGGTCGGCGTCCCACAACTGAGGGGGGAGGGGCGGGGGGGAAGGGACGGGTGGGGGGGATAAGTGGAGGAGTTGAGAATGACGGCATTGGCAAAGAAGCATGGGAAAAGACATGGGTTGAGCAACATTGAGAAGAGGTGCTGCACACTTGCCACACAGTGCCGCAGTTGTGAACCCCCCAGTGTCGCACATATCCACGGACGCCACCCGCACCCCCCTCACCCCGCCACCCCCCCACCTGCTGTATGACCGGGAACACCCGGTTGGGCTCCCCCCGCACCAGCGGCAGGTGCGGGTACAGCACATTGAGCGCCGCCGCCGCCAGCCGCAGCAGCCGGTTGGGGCCGCGGCTGGCCATGCCCTGCAGGCTGATCATGGGTGACAGCAGCACGGCGCCGCGGAAGAGCTGCGTGCCGGTGTGGTGCATGGCGTGCGTGGCAATGCCGCCGCCCAGGCTGAGACCCATGATGAAGCGCGGAGCGACCCGTGGGTCGGCGGGGAAGCCGGGAACCACCGCCGGGAGCGGGAGAGGAGCGCTGTTGGTAGTTGTGTTGGAGGTGATGGTGGTGGTGGTCGTGCCGTCGTGTGTGGGGTTGCTGGATGAGTTGGAATTGCAGCGGTTTCCGGGGGTGTCGTTGGGTGGCGAGGGCGTGGCCGTTGCGCCGTACAGCCCTTGTTGCTGCTGCTGCGGTTGTGGTGCTGGGGAGGTCTGCTGCTGCTGCTGCTCTTGCTGCGGTGCCGGTGGCGGTGCCGGTGGCGGTGCCGGTGGCGGAGCGTGTCGCAGTGCGGCTGCGAAGTCAATGACGTCTTGCACGTAGTGCTCGAAGCGCTCAATGTAGCACCTGTTTGGAAAGGTGGGGACGGGAGAGAAGGGGGCATGGAAAGTTGGAGACGGGAGGGAAGGGGAGACCAATACCGGTACACACAGTCGCTACTCCGGGGGCCGTCGAAAGAGAGGGCTAACAGCCCTCGCGGCGATAACAGCCGAACGAAACCAAGACCCATGGGTCACAACTCATATGGTCTCCCTGCAGCTCACGTCTCTCCAGCAAGGAGCCCCGTGCCGGCAGCGTTGCTCGGAGCACATGGTATCCTCCCCAGCCAAAAAACCTCTTGTCCCCCCATTACGCCGAACCCCCCCCCAGCGCACCCCACCTTGTACCCTCGGAGCGCCCCGCCCCCTGCAGGTCGATACCGCACACCGCATAGCCCTGTGGTGGTGATGGTGGTGGTGGTGGCGGGGGGAGGGAACCAACTGAGCCGCGACTCAACACTGTACTGAACATGAAGGTAGGGGTGTGTGATGGTGGGCACGGTAGGGATGAGGTGAGCGGGCGCGGTGCAGGTGCGGGTTCAGGAGGCTTCTGGGGAAGTGGGGATGTGGATGACCCTAGCCCCCCTCACCTCACCCCCCCCCCCACCACCTCAACGCCTCCCCCCCCCCACCTGCTTGTTGAGGTGCTCCACCCATGAGCCTGCGTGCTGCGGTCGGGAGCCGGGGCACTGGGTGTGCAGGAAGTCCCAACACAGGTAGGCGCCTGGGGGGGGGAGGGAGGGCGGGGGGGGGGCAGGGGGGCAGGAGGGGGGCGGGGACAGAGGCAAGGGAATGGGCAGGGAAAGGTGCAGGGAAAGGGGATCGATGTGTGAGAGGCTGGTTAGAATGTGAGATTGGGGCCCGGTAGGGGTGCAATGCGGGGCTAGCTTGTGACCACATCGTCGGGACAGTCCCGTTCGCAGCACTTCCTTGCTGGCAAGGCAGCCGGCTCCAGGGCACAACACGGGTTGCCATACCACGGAGGCTGCCGTACTGCCGTACATCCATCGTGCTGCCGTACTGCCGTACCGCTTTCCTCACCATGTCCATGTACGAGCACCACAATTCCCTTGGGCCGCTCCAGAACCCGCACCCCGTCATTGCCGCCGCTGCTGCCGCCGCCGTCAGCGCTGCCGCTGCTGATGCTGACATCAGGACCATTAGGGTAGGTTGGCTGCGGCGGTTGCTCAACTGCTGCCAGCGGAGGAGGAGTGTCAGGTGACACATCCACCTCCGCCTCCCCGACGACCTCCTCCCCCGCTCCCTCCCCCTCCTCCTGCACCACTGCAGCTCGAGGTGAAGGGGACTCCTCCTCCTCCTCCTCTTCCTCACCAGCCTCATCTGGGTACTCCGCTTCGTCGCTACCGCGGTCTGATCCCTCGCCGTCAGTGCCCGTGATCATGGGCTCAGCGGAGGCGACGGCGCCGAAGGGAGACGAACGACTGGCTGCCGACTGCTGCTGCTGCTGCTGCAGGGGCGTCGTGGACGTTGGCGGCGGCGGAGGCGCCTCCTGCACTGGAGCCGGCATCTCGACCTCATCCTCCGCCACATCGAAGCGAACCCTCCGCCCCGCCGGCCTTGTCGCATCCCCTGTTGGACCTGTGGCGGCACCGCCCCCCGCTACCACAGCCGGCTCAGGAGCCAGCTCAAGTTGGGGTCCTGTCGGCTCCACCACTGGAGCCTCCGCTGCCGACTCTCCTCCCTGCTGCCCCTCCTCCTCCTCTGCCCGCTGTCCCTCCTCCTCCGCCCGCTGCTCCTCTGTCCGCTGCTCCCCATCGTCGTGCGCCCGTTGCCCCACCTCCGCCCGCTGCTCCTCCTCCTCCTCCGCCCCCTCCCGCTGCTGCTGCTCCAGATCCAATTCCAGATCCAGGGAGGATACCTGCGACGCCACACTGAACGCATGACTCAGCAGGCAGGCCGCCGCCACGCTACGGGTGCGCTGCGTCAGGGCGGCAACCAGGGGCAGACCCATGGGTCGGCTGCCCGCCCGACGCAGCGTTCCTTCTGCTGCTCCGGCTCCGACTGGTGCTGTTAAGGGTGGTGTTCCTGGTGGTTGCTTGGATACCGTAGCCGGTCCTGTTGCTGATGCTGTTGCTGCTGGTGCTGATGCCGTGTTCGTGGGTGAACCGGCATCATCAGCAGCAGCAGCAGCTGCTCTCGTAGCACCTGGTAATGAAGCCCCAGGGCTGCTAGACGAGCATCCTGCTGCTGCCGTAGCAGCAGCAGCAGCAGCGGAGGCGGAGCCCGCAGGTGCCGGCTCCGTAGCCGGCCAGAAGTAGCACGCCAGGCGGAAGCCCCTGCGGTTGCGCATGTGCGCCAGCCGACCCACGGGTCCGAGCACCGCCTGCAGATCCGCATCGTCGACTTGAACGCTGTGCATGACCAGCAGGGAGTCCAGGGAGGAGAGCGGCGGCAGCAGGGGCGGGGGCTGGGGGGAGGAGGAGGCGGAGAGGCCGTTGCGGACGCGGGCGCCCAGGCCTAGACCGAGACCCAGACCTGGACCCCGGCTGCTGCGAGCTGAAGCGGGAGGAGATGGAGGAGGCTGAGGAGTGGTGGGTGGAGCTGGCGCCTGCTCGGCTGGAGGGGCAGTTGGCGTTTGTTTTGCCTGGAGGTGCTGAGTTTCTTGATTACTGGATTGGGCGTTGTTGTTAAGCTTGGGATTGGGCGTTGAGTCGGTGGCGCGAAGGTCGCTCGAAGGCATCGTGTAGGAAACCTCATTTGCGCCTGCAGGTGGTAAGGCCTGCTGCTGGTCGTCACGTTGTAAAGGTGGATGCTTTGGCCGGGAAGAAGCGACGCTGCAGCAGTTGTGGGTGGGCTGCGGGCAGAAAGCGTTCTCGGTGGTGGCTCCCGCCGATGGGTCGGAGGAGCTGTCAGGAAAGCAGCTTCGAGGCCACAGCGTTGGTGTGGTCGCTTGCGGGCTGTCAACTGGATCCATGAGTGTTGAGGTTATGAGATGTGTGGTGGCCTACAAAGGGGAAATGCGGCGCCTAAGCGCGGATGTAGTAAGACCGAAAAGTAAGGGGCTCTAGGTAGTGTCCGCCAAGGACTTTTGCAGGTAGGAGATTACGCAGCTGTCAGGCGATTAATAAGTAGTAAGAAGCCGTAGATAGGTAAGAGAAAACCTTTGCTTACAGGTTGCCGGTTGAGGTGCAGACTCATTGACACATCAGCCGTCACACCTCGGCCGCACAAGGGCCCTATCCCTCTTCAGGAAACCCCGCGTTATGTTATTCACCAAATCACTGCGGTGTGAATGATAAAGTGACTATGCAACCGATGAAGGTTATTTATAGCCGACGAGCTGCAAAATCGTTGGCGGTGTGAAAGCATCCACCGCCAACCACCGCATAGATAGATAGATCAGTCAGGCATGCGGGAACCCACTCCGTCACCGCTCCTCTCTTGCCTCCCTCTCAACGCTCATCCAGACATCAAAATTGTCAGCAGCGCCATTCTGTGCTGCGCTCGATCCTTCGCAATCACACTACAGGTAGCTCATGATCATAAACCTCACGAAACCTGCAATCTTAAGCTGATACTAATGCAAGACGCATATATATATATATATATATATACTCTACAGCGAGCAATACTAACACCGCTCAGACGCACATTAGCCAGCTTCAATGAGGATTGGCATGCAAGAAAGAAACACTCCCGCCAGTTGACACCTCGCCGCTAAGCCGCACCGCTCCACAATCCTAACAGCCTACAAAAAACGCAAAGCATACACCAGCTCACGTCTCAATTAGATACCGTAACTCTGCGACCTGCTGCCATCATGCGCGGCGGCCCATACAGAAACGATGCTACAGCACTTCAGCCGCAGCAAACACTAACCTAACGATAGCGCCCTCAGCACCATCACCCTCTTCTTCATCCATCCATCCAAGCGTCCATCCTTCCACCATCATTACACAGTCACCAGATACTTTGCCGCCGCCACCTTGACCTTCTCCATAAACTCCGCGGGTGCGGTCTGCTCGGCGGCGCGCGCGGCATCGATGTTCTGTTGCAGCAAGTCCAGCAGCGCCTGGTCGATCTCGTTGGCGGAGGCCATCTCCTGCGGGCAGGAAGGCAGGGAGGGAGGAAAGTAAGCAGGAGGAGCGGGCAGAGGGGGAGCGGGCAGAGGTGACGCAGGGGATTAGGTGCGTGTGACGGGGCAGCGAGGAAGGCAAGACAATGCATACGGCTTTGTTACTAGCAAGGAAAGGGACAGGGGGTTGGAGTTCCAGGGGGGCGCATTGCATCTAGGGAGGGGTATAAACCTTATACCGGAAGGTAGGATTCCTTGCACGGCAGATTCGCCCGCATCCTTACACGTCAGGCACGGCATAGCTAACGTGCAGGGTTACGAACGCGACGGGTAACAACTCCTCAGCAAGCATGAAACATGGAGCGTTCCAAGTATGCCTCCCCAAATCCTCGCAACGCATGTGGACTTGCAAGCAGAGCACTACCGCTTAAAGAACCATGGGTCGTGACTCATGAACCATGGGTCTGTCCCGATGCTCCTGTCAGTCCGGGCCCCATCGGGTTTTCGTTGTACGTCTCCCCAGTACCGCGATTTCGGCAGCGTCTCATGCCCTGCAGCCCCACTACCGACGACTTACCAGAATGGTTTCCTTCTTATCCCTTGAAGTCAGCAGCTTCTTTAACCTCTCCGTTGCGTTTGCCGTTTTCACAACGGCCTTATCCACCGCCTCAACCGCCTCCTCCAGGTACTGCCGCAGCGTTTCCAACTCCACAAGACGCTCCTGGTTGGGGGCAGCTGTGAAGCGCTCTGACCCGATAACTGAATCTAGCTGTTTGAAGAATGCGGGCGTGAGCTTCGGCCTGCAGCGCGCGATTTCGAACTCCATATCCTCAGCGTCCGTGTTTAGAAGGAATTCAATGAGCTCCATAGTGTCATCTGGAGGAGTGCGCGCCTCGCGGCGTGTGAGCACTTGGCGACGAATGTCGTCCTTTGCGCGCTGCATCTGGGCCGCGAATTCCTTGTTTTGCTCCATCATTTTCTGTGACATGCGGCGATTGATGAGCCCCGTCTCAGGGGGTCGCCTAAAGAGCTGCTCAGGGTCATAGTTAACTGCGGACACGCGAACAGTGCTTCGCCTAGATCCATGAAGTGACCTGCCATGACCATGTGTTAGTGTGCAGCTGCATGAGCCAGACGCACTCAGGCGGCCTGTTAGAGTGCGCATGGGTTGAAACTAATTCGCGTTCACAAAATTCCAGCGGCTTTTCCTCGAACGATCAGCAATTGATGTTCAGTCTCCCCAAACATAAATTAAGTAACAATCATCCGGTTCGGCAGCCTGCGCTTTTCGCTTGGTGAACTGTCGCTTGTGCCGTACGCTCACGTAGATAAGGGTTGCGGTTGCCAAACAGAACGTGCCTCAACTGGCGCTTCCAATCACTAGACTTCACTGCTAGTGATAACCTGGTCAGCATTGGTGTACCGTACGTGCCCACACGAGGGTAGACAACTAGACAAGGGCCCTCGCGTAGATCAATAGTATTGCAACCTATGCTAGGTGACGCCTTGGTAGCTAAACAAGGAAGCATTTAGCAGGAGTAATCAGGTAAGCCGCAAAGTTTCGACGCACATCGCGACAAGGGCTCCGCGACGGGAGGGTCTCGGCATGTTGCACGCAGTCAATGTGGGCCACATCAAAACATTTTATTAGCTGCAATGTTGGTCATTGCGACATCTTGCGTCCGCGCATGTTCTCTCCTCGCGGTTGCGCCCATGTTGTGCCGGTCCTGCGTAGGCGGGGCTGACTTTAAGACGCATGTGATCATTTTTATTGCCACATTCCTTTAAACGGCCTGAAACCGGCGGTTGTCACCGATCTTTGCGGCATGTTATGTGGCGATGGGCAAGTAGGCCCTTTTCCGATTGCCATGTGAAGCCCTTCCTCCTCCACCCAAGCTTATTTACAACTACCATCTCCATATCAGTTTTCCTTACGTCTTCGTTTTTATAACAACGGATGCCGCGCGCCTCACCATAAAACCCGTTCGCAGACAAACTCCACTGCCCATCGCCCCAATTCCGCCCTGTTACCCGGCCCCCCATCCAGGAAACCCTTGACCCATGCAGCAGCCAAGACTGCTACCGGGCAGCAGACCCACGGGTCCGCGGGCCCCTGGCGGCCCCCTAGCAACACCCGGACTGGCGCCCGGGGCGTCCGCCACCACGATGCGGAGCCGGCTGCCGTACAACACCAACACCACCACCAGCAACAACAGCAACACGGCTCTCGCTCCCGCAGGCGGCTTGTCGCTGCGCTGGCGGGGCGCTGGCATCAGGTGCGGGCGGCAACCGCTTCCCTCCCTGGCTCCCCCACCCCAGGCTCGAGCTCGCGCTTCATTCCTTCTTTCCCAAGCGCCATGAGCCACTCCCTCTACTGCCGGTACTCTCACTCCCTCACTGCTTCTCCCTTCCTCCCTCCCTTCCGCTACTTTTTCCCACTGCTGCCTCCCTCCCGCTGCTCCCTCCCTCTCCTCCTCTTCCCCAGCTTGCAAGCTGCCACTCGGGGCGGCCGCACCGCTCCCCAGAACCCCGCAGGACCCGGCAAGTCCGGTAAGACAGGCGGTGCCAACCCCGTCCCCAACCCCACCACCAGCACCAGCTCCTCTCCCTCCTCTCCCGCCGCTGCAGCCGCCGCCTCCGCCCCCAGTGCCCCCGCGGCCAAGCAGCCCTCACCAGCAACCCAGGGCCGGGCTGGCAGCAGCAGCAGCACTAACACCAAGGGCAGCAGCAGCGGTGGTAGCAGCAGCAGTGGCGGTGGTAGCAGCAGCAGCCCGGTGACACTGGACAAGGCCATGGCTGCCAAGATCCACGCAGCTCGGGAGCTGGCTAGGCGGCTGGCGGAGGAGAAGCAGGCGGCCAGTGCGGCGGCAAGCAAGGGGCAGGACGTGGAGGGGTGGGTTGGGGGGGGGCCGGGGCGGGGCGGAGGGTAGTGGGGCGGGAGAGGGGGAGGGGCGGGGCGGGAGAGGGGAGGTTGGGTTAGCTGAACTGAGGAGAGAGGACGGTGTTAAAGGTGTTCGTCAGGTGGGTGATGTAGGGGGTAGGGCCCCCGGAGAAGGCAGAGGGAGCAGGCTGGGAAGTAAGGGGCCCCGAACGAACACACCCGGTCTATGCTCACCATTAATTTTCCCTCCCTCCTCCCTCACTCCTCACTCCCTACCCGCCCTCAATCCCTACCCTCCCACCTCCTCCCCCACAGCGGCAAGCGCGCCGCCGAGGTGGCTAGTGCGGAGGCCGCCGCGCAGGCCGCCCGCGCCGACGCACTGCTGCGGGCGTTACGTCGCGCGGAGGGTCAGCGCGACACGCTTCAGCGACTGCGCGCTGAGAACGAGGCGCTGCGGGAGCTGCTGGTGGAGGTGGCGGTGGACAAGGAGGCGGCGCGGAGGAGGATGCAGCAGGTGGGGGGGGGGGAGGGAGGAGGGAGGGAATGAACTAGCCGGTGGGGTTGCAGGTGGGGGGGTGAAGGCTAAGAAGGCGAGTTGTCGCAGGTGGCGGGGGAGGAGGGGAACAACATACCGGTACACTGAGAGGGAGGGAGACCCAAAGGGAGGCGTTAGGGAGTTGAGGTTTGGATCATGAGGGATCGTGAAGGAGGGTCATGTAATTCACATGAAGAGATACGGTAGCGGTGGCGGTATCGCTCCTGATGCCACCTCCCTCCTTCCCTTCTCGCCCCCGGCCGGGTCTCCTCCCCTCCCCTCCCCTCCCCTCCCCTCCCCCCTCCCCTCCCCTCCCCTCCCCTCCCCTCCCCTCCCCTCCCCTCCCCTCCCCTCCCCTCCCCTCCCCTCCCCTCCCCTCCCCTCCCCTCCCCTCCCCTCCCCTCCCCTCCCCTCCCCTCCCCTCCCCTCCCCTCCCCTCCCCTCCCCTCCCCTACCTCCCCAGGTGTTGGACAGCCTAGGCGATCAGGCCCTCGTAGAGCGCACCCGCGCAGCACTGGCCGCGGCGGCAGCCGGGGCAACAGCCCTAGCCGCCCCCAGCACCCTGCCGCCGCTGCCGGTGCCGCCTATGGGCACCGCTGCGCCAGTCACCGGCGCGCCTACTGCTGGTGCGGGTGCGGGTGCTGCTGGTGGTATCAATGTGCTGCCCCCCGGGTTGGATGACGCGGCTGTTGCTGCGGCGGTGGAGGCGGGGCTGGTGGCGGCGAGTGCGGTGGTGGCGGAGGGCATCATGGAGCAGGTAGGGGGTGTGTGGGGGGTTGAGGGGGGCGGGTGGAAGGGGGAAGAGGAAAACCCTAAGTGCGGGGCTGGGTTGTGCGGGTTGTGATAGGCGAAGTACGGTCCCGCGCCTGACCCGTGGGTCCCTCCCCGGCTGTCGAACAAGGGTCCTGCTGATCCCTGCCCATTTGTTATGCCCTCTCACCTCCTCCTCATCCTCCTCCCCCCCCTCCCCCCAGCATATGGGATTGGGACTCGTTGTTTCACATATTTAATTTTTCCCCCCTCCCCCCAGCAGGCTGCCCCTCCGGTGCTGCTTGACGAGGCGCTGGCAGCGGAGGTGCGCTCGCTGCTGCAGCAGCAGGTGGGAGGGGGGGGGGTCAAAGACCATACCGAGGGGGTCGGGGACAGAGTATTGATGGGGTGGGTGGGACAACGGAAGCGTTTCTGTGGGTCGGGAGCGTGTGTGTGTTTTGGCATGCGGATGCACAGGCAGCACGCACCAGCAGGGTGCCAGCAACCCAGCGGGAGCGGCGAGACGAGAGCCGCAACCCGCACGTGTTCCCCCCACCCCCACAAACCCCCCCTTCCCCCTCCTCCCCCCCTCAACTCCCCCCCTAGGAACCCCCCGCCGAGGAGGCCATCAAGCACGCCGCCAAGTGGGCCGCGGAGCACCTCCCCGCCGCCACCCCCGCACCCGCCCCCTCCCCCGCCGCTACCGCTGCCGTACAGCAGCTCCATCGCGCCATTGAAGCAGCGCCGCCACCAGCACCGCCCGCAGTAGCAGCAGCTGTGGAGGCGGCCCCGGCCCCTGCTGCGGAGGCGGTTGCTGCTGCCCCAGCTGCCCCTGCGGCGCCTCCTCCGGCTGTCGCCCCCCCTGTGGTTGCACCCCCTCCTCCTACCCCTCCTGCTCCTCCCGTGGTTCCGGAGCCCTCCCTGGCGCAGCTCCAGTCGCTGGCGGCGCGTGCGGCGGCCGCGGGGCACTCGGTGTTCACCTGGCCCGAGGGTGAGGGGGGCGGGGTGAGGGAGGGAGGGAGGGAGGAGAGGGGGGGAGGTAGAGGGAGCGGATTGGGGCTGCGTTGAGGGGGGCCATTCACTTCGAAGTGGGGTCTCTCCGGGCCCGGCGTGTGTGCCGGTACCAGCCCAGCGTGCTCCCCCTTGTCGCCTTCCGAACGGGTTTCCGGACCCTGCCTCTTACCCTGCAGTGCTTCCACTACCCACCCACACACCCCTCCCCCCCCAGATTCAGTTAGTTGTTTCCTCTTTACCCCCCCCCCCCCCATGCAGAGGGCGGTCTGGTGGGCCACCCGGTGCGCATCTTCTACAACCGGACCCGGGGGCCGCTGCCGCCGCCCCCCGCCGGCTCCGGTCGCGGGCTGCAACTGAAGGCGGGTCTGAACAAGTGGGAGGAGATCTGCACGGTGGACATGAAGCGGGCGACGGGGCTGCAGGTGTGGGGGGGGGTCAAAGACCATACCGAGCCAGAGGAAACCACTGGTTCGGGCAAAGCAAAGGGGACAGGAGCTTTGATGGCAGGATGGGGACAATCTGGCTGCCTTTCCCGGGAAGATAAGAGTCGCTCCGGCTCTCCCCTCCCGTCCTGTTCGGTTTCTTTCTGGTCCCCTCCTTCCCTCCAACCCCTCCTCTGCTCCTATCCTCGCCCTCCCTTCCCCAGGGCTTGTCACCTAGTTTACCACTGTCACACCACACATTGCGATATCCCCTTCTTTTCCCTTTCACCTTCCCTCCACCCCTGCACCACCTCCCCCCTCACCACCTCCCTCCCCTCCCCAGTCCGGCGGCGGTCAGGAGTGGTGGGTGGCGGAGCTGTCACTGCCCTCGCAGCTCTTCCAGCTGGACTTTGTGGTGCAGGACAGCTCCCCCGCCGGCGGGGGCGCGGTGGACAACAACGGCTGGCGGGACTTCCGGCTGACGCTGCAGGCGGGGGCGCCCAGCGAGGACGAGGTGGCGGCGGCGAGGGCGGAGGCATACCGGAGGTTCGATGAGGAGAGGTGAGGGGACGGGGGAGGGGGAGGGGAGGGGGGGTATAAGTAAGGAACTGACGAACTGGGGGAGGCGGGAGGGGAGAGGCGGTGTGGGATAGCAAAAGTGGCCGCGGGTCGGAACATGGCAGTGTGTGTTTAGAAAACTGGCCGGGAGGGGAGCAGGAGAGTGAGCATGCGGGACAGAATGGACCTAACCCCTTCACCTCTCCCCTCCCTGCTGCAGGCGCAAGCTGATTGAGGAGGAGGAGCGGCGGCTGTGGCGGTTGGTGGAGAGCAGGGCGCTGGACGCGGCGGCGGAGGCGCGCGTGGAGTTCCGCCGCAGGAGGGAGGCGGAGCTGCTGGCGGCGGCAAAGCAGGTGGGGAGCGGGTAGATAGGGTGTAATAGGGTTGGGGGTAAGGGGCGTGTGTGACCCGTGGGTCATTCGGCCGAATCTGGTTTGAGGCTCGTGGCACTCCGCATATCCACTGTTCCACGCTCACGTCAGCACTTTTGGATACTGGACGATGTGCCGGTATATCATATGTTCACACGTTCACACATACAATGCAATAACACACCTCTCCCTCTAGTTTCCACTTTACCACCACCACCTCCCGCCCCCTACCACCACCCCACAGGTCGTCGCGGACCGGCGGCGCCCCGAGATCACCGCCGTACCCGCCGCCCCCTCCCGCCCTGGCGTCTACTCCTGGTGCGGCGGCCCCCCTCGCGCCGGCCAGCGCGCCTTCCTCGCCTACAACAAGGTGCACGGCAGCGGCGGCGGCGGCCTGCCGCACGCGGCTGTCGTACGGGTTCACATGGGGTACGACGGTTGGTGGAACAAGATGGCAACGGTCACGGATCTGGCGCCGCTGACGTCATCAGAGGAGCTGGCGAGGCATGGGCTGAGTGGCGCGGGGGGGATGCAGTGGTACGGCGCGTGGATCGATGTGCCGTACAGCGCTGCGGTACTGAACTTTGTGTTTTCGGATCGCGAGCAGCGCAACTGGGACAACAACGGCACGCGGGACTACCACACGCTAGTGGCGGGTGGGTGCGGGAGCGGGAGGGGGGGCGGGGGTGGGAGCGGGAGTGAGGTCACGGTGGGGGTTCCGTTTGGTCACAGTTACGGGGCCGGCAGTGAAACCTCTCTCAGGGCTGTTGGTAGGATGGAGGGGAGGGAATGCATGTAGATGCGGGAAAGGCTGTACGGCAGCACGGAGGAGTGAGGCGACTCCAAAACACGAGCGGCCTAGACCCCACGCCAACCCTCCCCCCTTTTCCGCCTCCTCCCTCCCCCTCCCCCCTCCCCCCTCCCGCCTCCCCCCCAGACCCCCACAGCGGCGACCAGCTGGTGGGGCTGCTGCACGCCGCCATGCAGCGGGACGCGGCGGCGGCGGACAAGGAGGTCGAGGACCGCGCGGCGCTGCGGGCGGTGCGCAAAGTGGAGGCCAAGGTGGGAGAACCTGAGGGGGGTGTGTGGGTGTGTTAAGAAAACTGGCCGCGAGCGGGAACGTACTGTGATTGCCGGAAGATGAATTCCCCACAGAAACGCCACATGTGCACATGGTAACCTGGCTGTCACGGGTGTTCGTTAAACACACACTGGCCGCGAGCAGGAGCGTGTGCGCTTGCTGACTGCCTGCAGAACCCTCATCCCCCCTCTGCCTAACTGGCATCTGGCAGGGGCTCCGCCGCCGCCCCGCTTACCGTATGCGGGCGTGTAGGCGGCCCCGCTAGCCGACTCGTCCTTCCCTCCCACCTCTCTCCCTCCTACCTCCCCCCCTCCCCGTCCAGGGCCTGACCCTGCGCAAGCGCCGCGAGGTGGTGCACGAGTTTCTATACACCGTGCCACTCACCCCCCGCGCCGGCGCCCCCCTCCACGTCTACTACCGCCCCGAGGCCACCATGCTGAGGGGCCGACCCGAGATCTGGCTGCGGGCGGGCTGGAACCGACTGGGCGCCGCGGCTTGCAACGCGGCGGGCGGGGCGCTGCGACCGCTGACGGCGAAGCTGGAGCCGTGCCTGCCGGGCGGGCTGGGCTTCTACAAGGCGACTGTGCAGGTGGGTGGGCGCTTACGACGGCCCCTCGTTCGACGACTCCTCGCCTCCGCGGCCCCTCGCTCGCTGTGTGACCCACCCTTGCCTGCAACCAATGGCCGGCCCTCCCTTGCCCCTTATTATGCCAATGCGTCTTACCCTAACCACATTACCCCTCCTCCCCCTGCCCCTTCCCATGCAGGTCCCCTCCGAGGCCTGGGGTGTGGACCTGTCCTTCAGCGACTCCGAGGCCGCCCCCAGCGGCAGCGCGGCGGCAGGGGGCTTCGAGGACGACAATGGCGGACTGGATTACCACATTCCAGTGGAGGGGGGAAGTGAGTGGGCAGGGGGGGGAGACAGGGGAGGGAGGGACAAGGGAGGGACAGGGGCAGGAGAGGTGACATGGGGGCTTCAAGGAGGGGAAACAGCGCAGGTGTGACATCACCAAGGCCCCCATCGCTCCGCAATACCGGTACTGCGGCCGCGTGCCCCCGCCCCCCCTTCACATGGCTCCCTCCGCCCCCTCCCTCTCCGTTGCTGCACTTATCATTTATCCTCCCCCCTCGGTGTGGTCTTTGACCACCCCTCCTTGTTGCAGCCACCCCCCGCCCCAGCCTGGATATCGTCCACGTGGCGGTTGAGATGGCCCCCATCGCCAAGGTGGGCGGCATGGGCGATGTGGTGACGGCGCTGGGGCGGGCGGTGCAGGAGGCGGGACACCGGGTCAGCGTCATCGTGCCCAAGTATGACGTCATCAACTACAAGCTGGTGGGTCGGGGGGGAGGGGGGTGCGGACCCGTGGGTCGGTGGGTCGGTGGGTGGGGTAGAGGGGTAGTTGGTGGGTGGGCTTGGGCGGAGGCCGGAGTGGTCCTCTCCCCTCGCCGCTAGCATTCCCGCTAGCTCCGTCCCTCGTCCCCAACGCTGCAAAACATGTGTCCCCCAATGTAACACAAGCATGCACGCGACCACGTACCCACTCACACCCTCTCCCTCCCCTTCCATGCATCCCCTCCATGCACCCCTCCATGCCCCCCCCCCTGCCACCCCCCCCCCCAGGTTGACGACCTGGTTCAGGAGGGCGGCTTCAACTGGGGCGGCACGCACGTGCGCGTGTGGCGCGGGGCAGTGGAGGGGCTGGCCACCACCTTCCTGGAGCCGGAGAACGGCATGTTCTGGGCGGGGTGCATCTACGGCAGGAACGATGACGCGCAGAGGTGTGTCACGCAAACTGGGGTGGGGGGGTGCGGGTTGGGGTGGGGGGAAGTGACGTGGGGGGGTCAAGGAGGGTATGTGAGGGTGTGGGGAGGAATTTACTGTGTCCATAGCCGTCCTTTGCATGGGTCGTCTTGGCCTCCTGGCTTTGCTTTGACCTCCTCCTCACCCCTCCTCACCTCCTTCCCCCTCCTGACCCCTCCTCCTCACACCCCCCCGCCAGGTTCGCTTTCTTCTGCGGCGCCGCGGCGCACTACCTGCACCTCTCCGGCCGCCGACCGCACATCCTGCACTGCCACGACTGGCAGTCCGCGCCCATCGCATGGGCCGGCGAGCGGGGGGCGGCCAAGGCAGTGTTCACCATACACAACCTGTCGTACGGCGCGGACCTGATTGGACGAGCCATGCAGAGCTGCGACGTGGCGACCACCGTGTCACCCACGTATGCACGGGAGGTGAGGGTGGGGGGAGGGAAGGGGAGGCGGCAAGGTAGGGGTAAGGAGAAACCTAAGTTGCAAGGTGGAGGGGGAGGAGCGGGGGAAAGGGTGAAGGGGCTGTAGTGGGCACATGCGAGCTGCGGGGGTGGGGGTGCATTGCGGGGTTGTGTCCTGGTGTCGGTTTGTGCACCGGGTGCTCACCTAGCTAGGTCGGCGGGCGCCTTGGCGGGTCGTTGAACCTGCTCCTGACCCAAACCGCCGTCCCTTGCACTTTTACCGTCCCTGGCCCCTTCCCTGGCCACCCTTCCGCCTCCCACCCTCGCCTCCCATGACGCCTTATCACACGGTCAGTCAGGTGTTTCCTCTTTTCCCATCCCGCCCCCAGATTGCGGGTCACCCCTCCGTGGCGGCGCACCTCAACAAGCTGTACGGCGTGCTGAACGGCATTGACCAGGTGGGCCCTGTGTAGGGGGGCGGGAGGTGGGCCCTGTGTGTTACTGTGTTTTACCGCAGGCTAAGCAAATTCCGCCTGGCCTATTGCCTAGCAAACACGACCCTTCCAGACGTCGGCTTGCGCGCATGGATTGACTTTAGAATAACTACGGGCACCTAAGTACCGTGGTAGGTGCCGGTATCATCAAATAAAGTATAACTGACTTAATGAGCCATTCGCAGTTTCACAGTGTAAGCAGTTTATACTTATACTCATGCCGTATACTTAGCATACGGTAATCCCACAGACAAGCACATCACTACACCTTTCTCCTGCTCCCCCCTTTCTGCCCCCCCAAGGACATCTGGGACCCCTCGGAGGACCCCTGCCTGCCGCTCCACTACTCGCCCGACACCGCGGCGGCCGGCAAGGAGGCGGCGCGGCGGGCGCTGCGGCAGCGCCTCAATCTGGCGCACGCGGACGTGCCGGTGGTGGGCTGTGTGACGCGGTTGGTGGCGCAAAAGGTGGGAGGAAGCCGTGGGCTAGGCGGGTGTACAGGTGGGATAGGCCGGTGTCCTGGGGAAGGGGGAGGACAGGGGGAGGGGCGTTCCGCGTGGCCTGCTGCTGCTGCTGGCCTCCGCCTGCTGCCATACCTCCCCTCGCCCCCTTCCCACCTGCCTCCCGCCTGGCCCCCCCAGGGTATCCACCTGATCAAGCACGCCGCCTGGCGCACCCTAGAGCGGGGCGGGCAGTTCGTGCTGCTGGGCTCGGCGCCGGACAGCAGGGTGCAGGTGGGGGAGAGGGAGCGGGGCGGGCAGGGGCTGGGAGGAGAGGGAGGTGTGCGAGAGGCAGGGAGGAGTGTAGATTGTAAAGATGGGCAAGGGGGTTGTTTGTTTATCACAAACAAGTTGTTACTAATGGCAAGTAGGGCGGGTATAGTGGATGCGGGCGTTGGGACATTGCAGATTAAAGAGGTGCGGTGCGGTGGCGACCCACCATCGCCCGCATGTCCCGCGGCACCAAGGGGCCATAGAAGAGGGGGCGACTTCGTCTTTTGCAATGACAAGTCCATATCTTATTTTATCTCGAGCGCGTTTATCGCGCACCCCAATAAATAAAAACACAAACTGGTTTTGAGGAAAAGGCGCCGAGCATCCTGGCACCTCACCCTCCGGTCCTCCCTTAAATTCCCCACCATCACCTCCCTACTTTGTGTTCCCCCCACTTGTGGTTTGAATTCTCCCTGAATCCCTCCAGCCCCCCCCGCCCCCCCACTTCTTTTGTGGCGCCTTGCCGCCTCTTTACCCCATTCCTTACCGGAACCTGTGCCTTCCCATGCTTTGGTCGCTCTTTCACCACCATCCTCCCAACACCACACAACACAACCCCTTGGGTATTCATCTTCCCCCTCTCCCCCACCCCCCTCCCATGGTGAAGCCCCGTCATACAGTTCGTCAGTTTCCTTATCTTTACCCCCCCTCCCCTCCCCCCATTGGTTTGCCCTAACTTGTGGTCTCCTATGGTTTGGTATGGTCTTTGACCCCCCCTCTTCCCCTCCCCCACCCCAGGGTGAGTTCAACGCGCTGCGCGACCAGCTGGCTCGCGCCTACCCCGACCGCGCCGCCCTGGTGTTCACGTACGACGAGCCGCTGAGCCACCTGATCTACGCGGGCAGCGACATGTTCCTGGTGCCGTCCATGTTCGAACCATGCGGGCTGACGCAGGTGGGGAGGGGGGGGGAAGGGATGAGGAGGGGGGGCAAAGACCATACCATTGGAAATCACAGGTTAGGGCAAAGCATTGGAGATAGGAGACGGCAGGTGAGGGGGGGGGCGTGCAGTCGTTAAGTCGCGCTTGGTTCAGTTTGTTGATTCCGGTCCTCGCCTACCGGTCTTCTTGCACGTGTGTATGATGCATACCGCTATCCGGCAGCGGTCGTCTGTCTTACAGGCAGCACTGTTAGGGTTCTGGGGGCTGTTACGCGTTACCCACCCCCCCGCACACCAGCCTGAACGCCACTCCATTCCTCGTCTCATCCCCCCTACCTCTTCCACCCCTCACCCCTACCTCTCACCCTTCCACTCCTCACCCGCCCCCTCCCAGATGATCGCCATGCGCTACGGCACCATCCCCGTGGTGCGCAAAACGGGTGGGCTGGTGGACACCGTGTTCGATGTGGACCACGATGAGGAGCGGGCTGGGGCCATGGGTGGGTGGAGCGGGCTGGGGGGGAGGGAGGGAGGGGTGGATGCGGGCTGAGGAGGGGGATGGGAGAGGGGTGCGGGAGGGGGGGAGAGGGGTCGGAGGGGTCCTTGTGGGAGGGAGGGAGTGCATGCTGGTGAGGAGGTTTGGGACCCTGAGCCGTGCTCCTGCCTATCTGCGGCCGTCCTCGCCACTCGTACTCTTGCTTGCACACCCACATCCATGCTGCAACTTCTCCCGCACCATTCGGACGTACAGCGCCCGTTGCCAGCGTTCCGCTTCTATTTCTTTCCCGCTCACGACTTTCTCCTCCTCCCCCTTCCCTTTTTTCCTTCTAGCACTGTCACACAACACATTGAATTTCCTCCTATTGCCCCCTCCTCATGCTCACCCCTTCCTCCTCCTCCCGCACCTCCTCCTCCCCATTGCCCCCCTCCTCATGTTGTCATGCAGGCATGGAGACCAACGGCTTCAGCTTCGAGGGCACTGACTTCGCGGGAATGGACTACGCACTCAACCGTGCGCTGTCCGCTTGGTACTCGGACAAGCAGCTGTGGCACAGCCTGAGGAGGCGGGCCATGATGCAGGTGGGGGGGACGGGGCGGGGTAAAGAGGGATACAGGCTCCGCATTAGGCTGGATAAGAGGATTGTGTCTAGGATTTTGCGTACGGAGGTGGGGAGGGGGTTAGGAAGGTGGGGTGAAGAGGCGAGGGGTGAAGAGGATGAGTGTACGGTACCTAACCATGGGTGACATGTGATTCCACCATACGGGTTGCATCATAGGGTTGCCGCCCTCCTCCCCACTCAATTTCCCTCTCCCCCTCCGCTGCACTTATCATGTATTCCCCTCCCCTCCCCTCCCCCCCTGCAGGACTGGAGCTGGAACAGCCCCGCACTGGACTACCTGGAGCTCTACCACAAGGCGCTCAAGTCGTGAGGGGGAGAGGGGTGGGAAGGGGGGGGCAGGAGAGAGGGGAGGGGAGGGGAGGACTGGGCTGGGGGGCAGGGCAGGGGAAAGAAGGAGAAGGGAAGCAGAAGCGGATAAGCAGGAGTGGCGATGCAGGGTACAAGAAAGCAGCTGTGTAAGGTGGCGATGGTGAAAGCCAGAGAGGACCAAAGCGAGGGGGGGAGTAAGGTGAGACCTGCGACTTTTGTGGTTATGGGGGCTGGGGCTAGCAGCAGGGGTTGAGGGGCCGCCGGTGTGACGAGCTTCGACGCCCTCCTGAACGTGCAAGGAAGGCACCGTACAGACGTCCGGGGGCTTTTGATCTTACATGCCAACGGTCTCCTTCCAGTATTGGCGGCAAGGGGCAATTCCTGACGCGTTGCAAGTTTTGCTTCGCGGGTGACAACCGAACGACCGAGTGCCATATTTTAAGACAGGTTGCTGAGGCAAGGCATGGCAATGCTGTTGCGAGACTCTCTCAACAAGTATCTGTGTACTGGTATCAAGCGCGCGGAATGCGGGCGCTTACTCGGAAGCAATAGCGAGGCCGTGTGTCGTACGTCCTGGGGTGAGTGCGAGTAGAGCGGTCGCGGTTGTCGTAGAGGCCCCTGTTTGTGTGCTTTGTGACCCATAAGTCGTAGCCACCCCTTTGATGGTGCTCCGTGTGGTGCTGGCGAACAAATGCGGAATTGCCTAAGCCCGCTTTGTCTGTGTGTTCATCCATAAAAGGAGGAGGGGGGGACTCTGAGGCGGTTCGCGGGCAGTGCAGAAGCAGGGGTAAGGTGAGGAGTGCTTGCGGAATGTTGGCAGTACCCCGCAGTGTAGGCGCGGAGCAATCAATAGTCACTACACGCACTGTTTGGCAGCGTGTTTACGGCGGGTTGCCGCATCGTAATGTCGGGGTACGGGAGCGTCTGTCTCGAGGACTCATGGAATGTGCTTTGTGCCCGGACAAATAAGCAGAAGAAGAATTGGAGGGAGCAATGCAACATGCAAGTAGATGGCTGGATGAGGAGGTGCATGGTGCTGTTGGATGCAAGCCCGTTTATTGGGTTAATTAGGCGTGGCTTTGACGTCTTCTGTGTAGCTGGCGTGTTAAAGGCCCTGCACATGGCATGAGTGTGTGTTTTGGGATGTACGAATGTTCGTTGTGTACGGGGGCTGGCTGCCGGCGTTAGCACGTGGCAAGTTTGCTGTTGAAGAGGACTGGCCGCGAGTAGCAAGCAACTGGCCACATGTTTGTGCGTTTGTTGGGTGCCAGGTTGTGGCATTTGCCGTATGTGCACGTGTGCTTGCATGGATGCAAGGCATGCAGGATTTCGCGGGTTGAAGAAGAGGCGCTGCATGCGGCTTGTGAAGGAGGTGGTGTGCACATGGCATGGTGCAGGATGGCGCAAGCAGCTTTGCAGGCGGTGTACCGGTATGTGTGTCGAACTGTATGTGTTTCTGGCAGCCACTGCTGCTTAGTGTTGATGAGGCAAGAGGTGGCCCATTGTACGGATGGCATGTAAAAGTGCGGCAAGCCAAAGGCCCAGCCCTCATGGCATCATGAGCGGCCGTCCCAAGGTGCCGTACCACGCACCAGCTTTCCCGCCAGTTGCACCAACAATCAGGGCAGCCCAACTTTATACTACAGGCGGCTCACACAAGCTGTTGGGAGGGGTGGCTGCATGTATTCCCCCGGGAAACCGTGACGCCATGTAACAGGGTTGCGGGGTTGTGTTCTACAGGTGAACGGCTAGATATTTTAAGGACGAAGCCATCCAGGTGCCAGACAGGCGATCAGCTAACGGCAAGCAACATCAACCGCCGTCGCCGTACGGCTGCAAGCGGACAGCTGAAACAGGCAATGCAGCAGCCTTTCCATACAGCATCACGGCATTCGGTATCGCCTTTCGACTTGCAAACGCGGCGACGTAAAAATGGGACCGCTCGCCGTCGCCATATTGCCGGAACCACGGAAGGATGCGTGTTTAAGACGTCCAACCTTATACATGTTTTAGTAGAAATTTTGCTGGTGGTTAGTACTCGGGCGATACACTGCTGCTAACTAGCAAGACGAAACATGCACAGTTGGTGTAGCGCTCTACTTATAGGAATGCCTCACGCTGCATTGACAGTGCAAAATATACTCCTAATTCACACAATGGCATTACGGCTCTTAGATCTCTAGTAGTGAACACACCTGCAAGCGCGACGGTCAAACGAGGAGCATGAAGATGGCGATTAACGGCACTGCATTTGAATTCCCCTACATGGTTTCGGACAACCAGCTGAAAACAAGGTTAGCCCAATCGCACAACTAGAGGCCTCGGTAGCTGATGGCAGCAGCTTACGCTTGCATGGCTTGCCGAACGCAGTGCACTGCTGAACTTTATCTTCGGCACCGTATGCCTGGTGGGCTTCATCGGGTTCCGAGGAACCCTCCGGAGCGTGGGGGGCGTATACCAGCGCAGACGGGTAAGCCCTGCTCCCTGCGCCCCTTCTACACCACCCTCGCTGCAGCAGCAGCAGCAGCTTGCAGCCTAGCCCACGTGACGTCCCATCCCCACCGAGCCATCGTCCCTCTCTGCCCCTCCCTTGCCCCTTCCGCGTTCCTGAACCCCCCTGCCTTCAACCAGCTCGCCCGTTTCTCCTCTGTACCCCTCCTCTCCTTTGCCTCCAACCCGCCCCCACCCGATGTGTTTGCCATTCTCATCCCACGCACCATCGGGTACTCTTCTTCTTATCCATCCCATCCCATCCATCCATCCCCGCCCCCATCCCCCCCAGGAGCTGTCCGACCTGTTCCTGCAGCCCCCCGCGCTGCTGCTGCGCGGTGCGGCCCGCTGCTGCTCCTGGGCGACTGCGGCGCTGCGGTTGTCGGATGCGGACCTCGTGCGCAGTGCGGGGTTCGATGCGCTGGTGGGATCAGGGAGGGTGGGGAGGAGGGGGAGGGAGCTCTGGGAAGGATGGATGACGCAACCTTGCGGTTGGAGAACGGCTTTTGCCAGAGGGGCGGACAAATGAGGGAAGGAAGGAAGGGAGGAAGCCAGGGGCTAGGTCCCTAGATTTCCCTCTGCGGTGGGGGCATGCTGGCCGCATCCAGCACCGCAGCGCACACGTATGTTGGGCTCAGCAGCCGTACGGCAGTTCCCCCCCACCTTCACCTACGGCACATCCCTCCCCGCCCCGTCCGGCTTCCTCCCCTCCGCGTACCCATCCTCTCCCCCCCCCCCCCCGCATGCAGATGCTCAACCGCTGCATCCTGATGGGGCTGCACATGTTCTCCGTGCTCACGGCGCTCAGCCTGGGAATACGTAAGAGCGGGTTTGGGGGTTGGCTTGGGGTTGGCCCGGGTATGAAAAAGAGGAAAGCGACGAGCTGTATGACGAGGCTTCACCGTGGGTTGCCGGGCCGGGGGGAAGGAGGAGCTGGGCCAGGGCCATGGCTTCTTTCATGCCACCGCTCCGCGCTCCTCCCTCCATCCTACATCGTATTCCACTCCTCACTCCATCTCCTCACCCCCTCCCCCCCAGTGCTGCCCACCTACTACTCCTTCGACGACGTGGTGTCCCACCGCCTGCACCGCGGCACCAACGTGGCCCAGCTCTCGCGCGCCACGCTGTCCAACCTGCCGCCCGGACATGCCATCCTGTGGCTGCCGGCGGGGGCGGTGGTGGGCGTGGTGGGGTACTGCGGCTGGGTGCTGCTGGTGCACTGCCATGTGAGGGGGAGCGGGGGGGGGAGGGACGGGGGCTTGTGGCTTCCACCACGGCTTCCAGTGCCGTGTGAGGGAGCGGGGAGGGAGACGAGTGAAGGCCTGAAGGGGTGGAGGTGGGGGGCAGGAGAAGGGGTGAAGGGAACAGGGGGAAGGAAGGGAGGGGAAGGGGGATTGGTAGGGAGCAGGGAGGACGTGTGTGTATGGGCGGAGCAGCTGCATGAGCGCATGTTGCAGGTTGGAGTGTCAGGTGCAGCCGTGCATGCGATAGCCGGTGCCCTGCTGCTGCTTGTGTTCCCTCATCAACTCCCGCTACCGCTGCTGCTCTGCCGCTGTCGCTGTCGCTGCCGTTTCAGAGCTACGCGGAGCTGCGAATGGCGTACATGCTGTGTCTGGACGCGGCGGGGACACAACCCCGGGGGCAGCAGCAGGAGCAGGGAGGCCTAGCGGACAGCTGTGACAGCATCAGCAGCGGTGGTGGCGGTGACGACGACAGCAGCCATCAAGGGAAGAAGAAGGGGAAGGAGGAGGAGAGCAAGAAGCGGTCGAGTGGCAGCACCAGCTTGCATGCCGGCGGCAGTGGCAGTGCTGCTGTTGCGGACATGGTTGGGGTGGTCTGCCGCGGAGGTGAAGGGAGCGCCAACAGCGCCCCAGTCGCCGTACACACTCGAACCCTTCCCCTCCGGAGGAGCTTCCCCTCCTCGGGCGCCCTGCAGGGTGCTGCTGCCGGCTCAGGTGCCCCTCCTCTCCCTCCTCCACCCCCACCTCCACCTGCTACCACCTCCCCTGCCGCCGCCTCGCTGCCTACTAGTCCTCGCAGCACCACCCCGGGCAGCCCCGCCACCACCTCCACCACCTCCCACCTCTTCCACCACCCCCGCCACCCCCACCACAGCCCCCGACGACACCGCCGGAACCACAGCACCCTAGAGCCCTCCCCCGACCCACAGCTGCAGCTGCCCCAGCCCTCCTCCGCCTCTTCGCTACGCTACAGCCGAAGCGCCCAGTGCCTCCAAGCCTTGACCGCAGCCGCCTCCGCCTCCGCACTCGCCTCAGGGGCCCCCGTAACGGTGTCTGTAGGGCCCACAACGCACCACCGGGCAGCAGGGGCGCTGTCGTACAATCCGGCAACGACGGCGGCAGCGGTAGTGGGTTCCGGAGCCGCTTTTGTTGTTGCTTCTGCGGCGGCGGTGGCGACGCCGTCGCCCAGGAGAAGGGCCGCGATGCAGGCGTTGCATGCGGGGGCAGTGATGTCGGGTGGTGGAGATCTGGGGCGGGGGCGGGGGCAACAGGTGCGCGCGGGGACGCCTCGAGGGGACTCCTCCTCCTCCTGGGCTCAGCCTCAGCGAAGCGGCGGGCAGCTGGATGCTGCTCCGGGGGGCTGCGGTGAGACCAACAGCAGACCCACAGAACAACTGGACCCCAATGCCGGTCTTGGTCCCAATTTTTGTTTTGGTCTTGATACTGGTCTTGGATTGGCATTGGAGCCAGGGGCTGATCCCGAGCAGGGTCCCCCTCTGGGTCTGCGGCTGCGGTTGCGGCTGGCGGCTCCCTGGCTGCGACACGTGGTGGTGGGGGCTGCGGAGCGGGCTGCGCGGCACAAGGCGGCGGACAACCTTGTGGCATGGGTGAACCCGCTGAGGGTGAGGAGCAGCGGGGGACCTGAGGGTGGTGCTGGGGGTGGTGGTGGTGCTGGTGTTCGTGCAGCGACTGGGGATGGTGGGAGCGGGGGTATAGCCCTGTCGTACGTACCCAACTCACCTCCAAACCCCCTCACGCCCCCCTCACAGATGCTCGCCAAGGACCGGGAGGACTGGGCCCGGCAGCAGCTGGCAGCCGACCAGGACCCCGACCCCCAGCTGCCGCCCCCGTCCTCGGGACACCCGCCCGCCGCCACCGCAGCCCACGGTGGAGTGCGAGTGGCAGCGGAGGACGTGTTGATGGCACTGACGGGCCGAGCCGCGGACGTGACAGACCCATGGGTCACTGGGGGGCCTACTCCAGCGGGCAGGGGTGCAGTTGGCGGCGGCGGTGGCGGAAGCAGCGGCGGTGGTGGTGGTGAGCGTGTGCGATGGAGTGACAGCGTGCGGGGTCTTGTTGAGAGCTTGGGGCTCTCCCTAGGAGGAGAGGAGGCGGGTCACGGTCACCGCGAGACCGCCGGGAGTGCGGCGACGGGGCTAGATGCGAAGCCTGGGTGGGGCAGCAGCGGCAGGAACGAAGCAGGAAGAGGCACGGGTACTTCCCCGCCGTGTACGTCAGGGGCGGGGGTGTCGGCGGCATCGCCAGCCGGTCTTCGCAGCCAAGCTCCACATGAGGCCCCGGCGGTGTACCGCTACTGGGCTCCTGAGGCGGAGCAGCGCTGCTTCAACAGGGTGCTGCGGCACCGGCGGAGGCAGCAGCGGCAGCAGCAGCAGGAAGAGGAGGAGGGGGAGTCACCGCTGGCGGCGCTGCATGCAGGCTCCGAACCGCCGCTGCCGAGCTGCTTCCACTCGCACCTGAACCCCATGTACGGTCTTGCGGCATCGCGGGAGACGACGCCGGGATGCAGTGGCGGCGGTGGCGGCCGAGGCGGCAGCAATGGCGGCGGTTACGAGGTCAGGAGCTTGGGTGCTGCAGCAGAGGGGCTGGTAGTAGGGGGGCAGGTTGGGCTCCGGCGGATCGACCCATGGGTCAGTGACACAAGCCGCAGCCCGCACCGCTCTTCGCCTGTGAAAGGGATGTTTGATGGCGCCGTTGACGGCTGCAGCAGCGACGGGGTTACTCCTGCCGGGCGGTTGAGGGCTGTGGGGTGTGAGAGCGTTGGGTTGGGCGGGGCTGCGACGTCTTGGAGCGCTGTGCCCGGGACGTTACGTGAAGAACGACTCGGCGGGGACGGTGGTGGTGATACCAGCTGCAGCGGCCAAGCGGGGGACAGCAGCGACGGGGAGTCCCCCTCGTCGGACGGGGAGGGAGGCGGCTGCGAGCGCCCCTGGACCGACTGTCAGCAGCAGCCGCTGGTGGTGGGGCGCTGCAACGCGCGACTGCGACAGCTGCTCAAGGCAAGTGCGCAGCCGCACCTGCGCATGCAGTACTAACCAACCTTCCCGGTTCCTTACTGGTGCATCCTGGCAAACCCCGCCCCAGCCTCCGGGCTGCTGCTCTGCAAGGCCCTTTGCCGTGCGGCCATGGCATATGATGCACCGTGCCGGTATCCTCCGGTTCCCCTCACACTCCCCTTCGCCTCCAGTTCGGCCCCTGATAGGGATTGCGCTGCCTCACTTCTCCTTCCTTACCACCCGCACCTTGCTACCCCCCACCCTGCAGGTCCGCCACGGCGGCCGCAGCCACCTGGTCAACTGCCACCACTACGCGGTGCTGGTGCGGGATGTGGTGCTGCGGCCGCTGGAGAGGTTCAACGCGCTGGGGCTGCCCGTGATGCTCACAGCGGCGTCGCCCCCACCGCAGTCACCGAGGACGATGACGACGACGACAGAAGGAGACGGGGATGAAAATGCCGCCGCCGCTGCGGCGCGCTGTGTGGTGGCGACGGAGGTGGATGTGGAACAGGGCGGCGGCGCCCGAGGCGGTATGGGAGCTCCCCGCAGGTTCGGGTTCGGTTGCGGCGCTGCGGCTGAGGAGGAGGGGGAGAAGGCAGAGCAGGAGGCGGAGGTGGACGAGCATGACCCGTTGCTCGCGGCACTGGGGGACAGCGCGGTGGGGGTTAGTAGCAGCAGCGGAGGCGGCGGATTCAGGAAATATGACATTGGCCGCCGCTGCCGCCGGAGAAGTGACATGCCGCTGAGGGACCGTGCCGTACACTTGATTCACGAGGTCCGCCGCCAGGGGGTCCATGGCGGGGGCGGCGGTGCTGGCGGCGGTTCGCAGCACCCGTCAACGCGGCGGGAGGAGGTGCAGATGACGTCAGCCAACGGCGCCGCCGCCAGGGTTGGCCGTCGCAATGGGTTCAATGAGGAAGCCGGGATGGCGGAGGATGCGACGCTAGCAGACGAGGACAACAACGAGGGCCGGCCGCTTTTGGGCCCCTTCGCGTCGCCTGCAGGCCGTCGCCAAGCTGCCGCCGCCGCCGCCACCACCACCACCAGCTGCTGCTGCTGCACCCCCGGTGTCACCTCTCTAGGTGATGTTGCCACCGGCACCACCCCCAACGCCGCCTTCACCGGCGCTGGGGCGTGCCTGGGCCAGGTGCCCAGCCCCCCCTCCTGCATGGAGCTGCCGTACGATGACAGCGAGGAGGCGGCTGCGGTGGCGGCCTACTACTCGCAGCTCTTCCCGGACAGCTTCCAGCGGCTGGTCCCCGTGTGTAACCACAGGGTGGGGCTGGGATGCGGGGGATTTGGGGGGAAGGGAATGGGAATGTGTGGGAAAGGAGGTGTTGTAGCTCCTAGCTGCTCGGGTGCGATGCCTTCCTTCATCCCCACGCTGTTAGTTGTTACACGGCTGGTCCTCTTCCTCTTTGCCCGTCCCTCCCCCATTGCATCAGTTGCTTCACCTCAACAGTCATCACACCGCTCCTCCTGCCCCCCCCACCCCGCCCCTCAGGCTGTTGACGAGCTGCTCTTCCAGTGGACAGCCGCCATGGAGCAGCTGGCGGCGGCACTGCTGGCAGCCAACATGGCAGCACGAACTGCCGTACCTCCTGCTCCTCCTTCCTCACTGCACTCCCATAACCCCCTTATCCCAGCCGGTGCAACCACCACCAGCACCACCACCACCATGCTACCAACCCCCAGCCAGCAGCTGCCAGCCCCCGCCGACCTCCCCCCCGCCAGCAGCTGCAGCAGCTCCCACCACCAAGTGGCTGCCGTACGCCGCGCTGCTGCTGCCGTACTGCAGCTGCAGCGGCGCATTGCTGAGGAGCGGTGTCGTACGCTGCAGCGACCCAGTCGGCGAGCCTACGTGGCGCTGTTCTCCAGCCAGCGGGACGCGGCGGCGGCGGCGCAGTGCAGTCCGCTGGCGCCTCCCAGCAGGGCGCAGCCGCTGCACTTCCGTGCATGCGCGGGTAGGGTGGGGAGGGAGAGGAGGAGGGAAGGAGCAGGGAGGGATTGTGGACTGAGTTCAGGACAAAAGGACAATTAAGAGGGTGAATATGCCCACCAAACCGTGATAGGCTGCTAGCTAGGGCTAGCTGCTTGGTGTTGTTTGGGTTTGCGGTAGGGGAAAATGATACTATGATACATCACGTATCATAGTAAGACCCAAACGACTCTGGACGCGATACCTCTTTGCACCATCCATCCCTCCTCTTCCATCTCTTCCATCAACCTCTCGCCCTCACCTCTCACCCTCACCCCCACCTGCTCCACCTCCCTCGCCCCCCCCCAGCCCCGCCACCCGACTCCGTCTACTGGCCCGCCCTCTGGACACTCCCCACCGGCCGCGCCGCTCGCCTGCTCGCCTCCGCCCCCCTCCTCGCCGTCCTCGCCTTCCCCATCGGCGCCCTCACCGGCGCCCTCGCCAACCTGCCCGTAGCCGTGTGTGGGGGCACCCCGCAGCTGAACCGCCTCTACTGGCCCTGGTTCTGCAGCTCCATGCAGGCGGAGGAAGGAGGAGGGCACCCCGCGGGTCTGCTGGGGCGGCTGGCGAAGAGTGCACTGACGGGGTTGCTGCCGGCGCTGCTGTCTCTGGGGTGGAATGCATGGGTGCTGCCGATGGCGCTGTACTTGCTGGCAGCGATTCAGAGCAGGTGGGAAAGTGGGGGGGCGGTGGGGTGAAGGGAAAGGAGGGCCATGCGTGGGCGAGGGTGTTTGGGGCAGGCGGGGGTGAAGGCTGCATGGTGTTAGGGACAGGCGTCGTTTAGGGCAGATACAGGACACTGGCGGGAGGTTACATCCATCCACACTAGATACCGACAACAATCATTCTCTCACCCCACCCTGGATTGGGCCTCCAGTGCCTCACTTCTCTCAACTCCCAGTCCCCTTCCTCATTTCTCTCAACTCCCAGTCCCCTTCCTCACTTCTCTCAACTCCCATTCCCCTCCGCGCAGGTGCGTGTCGCTTCCCTCCCTGGACCGGCAGATGAGTCGCTGGTTCTTCTGGTGGAGTCTGCTCAACATGTTCCTGGGGGCGGTGGTGGGCGGCGGGCTGTTCCAGCAGCTGGGGGCCTACCTGCAGGACCCGGGCAGGGTGCTGCTCAGGATTGGAACAGGTGGGGCGAAGGGGGGTCGGGTTGGGGGTTCGATGTTGGATATGCTGCGGTTGGGGTTGGGGTTGGGGGTGAGGGTGAGGGTGCTGGGGGTATGGAAGGTGGAAAAGTGGAATGTCTGAATGGTCTGCGGGCTTAGGCGAGGGGCGTCATCTGACCAGGCGGCTGCCGTAAGGCTGAGTTGTTGGAGGCACGGTAGCGCATGGCTGTGTATGTGTAAGCATGCGGCTTGACCCTCATCGTTACCAATTCCCTTGCGCATGCCCACCTCTCCCTCCACCTCCCCCTGTTCCTGCCTTCCCCTTCTCCCTGTCCGCTCCTCCCCACCTCCCCCCCAGCCCTGCCCACCGCCTCCAACTTTTTTCTGCACTACACCCTCACCAAGGGGCTCTACTCCAACTGGCTGCGCATCGCCTGGCCGCACCTGGGCTGTATGGCGGGGGCGGCGGCGAGGGGGCTGGCGGGGGCGGCGTTGCCCAGGTGGGGGCTGCGGGTAGGGGGCCCGGGGAGTAGGTAAACTGAGCCGCGAGGAAACACTGACCGAGACCTTAGAATAACCCGGGGGGTAGCGGTGGCGGTGGTGGTGGGAATGGGAAGCTTGTGTGATGACAATTGCACAAGAGCACCAAACACCTTATCCAAGCTGTGTTGCCTACGAATATCATTTTTTGCAGCTGTTCTGGAAACTCTCCTCTTATTTTCCTGCAATGCTGCAAGCTCCGCTTCCCTCCTGTCTCCCCCCAACCGGGCGCCCCTCCCTCCTCCTCCTCCTCCTCATCTTCCTTTCCCTGCTCCTCAGGTCCTGGCAGGACGTCTTTCGCATCCACTCGCCCCCCGGCTACCGCTTCAGCTCCTTCTACAACGGCATACTGCAGGTGAGGGGTGCCGGCGGGGCGGAGGGGCCGCCGCCGCCGCTAGTGTTGAGGGTGTGGCTGAGAGAGGGAGCGGGGGGCCACGGTGCTGCCCTCTTTCTCCTGGCTGCCAAACCATACCTGTTGACCTCTTCTTCTCCATTATCCCCCCTCTTTCAAATCATTGGGAATTCTTTCTTCCCCCCTCCCCCGCCCTCTCTCTCCAGACCCACATGGTGGGTCTCGCCTACGTGGTGACCGCGCCCCTCATCGCGCCCATCGCGCTGCTCTACTTCGCCACCGCCTACCTCACATGGCGCTACGCGGCTGTGTATGTGTACGAGCGGCAGTACGAGTCGGGTACGTGCGAGTGGGTAGCATAGGGATGGTCGGCTGGTGGTTGGAGGCAGTAGGATTGCCCCATCCCCAACCCTCACCCCCTAACTTCCTGTGATACGCACCCGCCTCCTCTCCCCTCCTGCCCTGCCCCAACTTGCGGTTCCGCTAGCTTTGGTTTCACCCTCTGACCCCCTCCTTCCCTCGCCCCCGGCACTTCCCCGCCCCCGTACATCCCCTCCCCGCCAGGCGGCCAGATGTTCCCTGTGCTGTTCGACCACCTGGTGGGCTGCCTGCTGGTGGCGGAGCTGTTCAGCGGGGCGGTGCTGCTCACCAACGGGGGCTGGGTGCAGGCGGTGCTGCTGTGGGCGGCCCTGACGCCCGCGCTGCTGGCTTTCAGGCGGGTGTGCGTGCGGAGGTACATCCGGCCTCTGGAGGTGAGGGGGGGAGGCAAGCTGGAGGAGTGGGGGGGAGGGGGGAAGGGGAGAGGTGCGGGGGAGGAGGGGGTTGGAAGATGAGGACTGCTGCGGAGCAGGGCTTGGTATACCGGTATACTGCTCGATCTGCATGTCATGTTCCAGTTCGGCATGGGGTTGCGAAACAAGCCTCGTTTGCTTTTTGGACTGGCGAAGACGGCTAGCTGTACCCGTGATGCCTGCCCCTGTCGCAGCCCCCCACACCTTCCTCACCTCACCCCGCCCTGCCTCTTTACCTCCCCCCCCCCTCCCAGCACCCACCCATGTCACTGGCCATGTGTGCCCCGCCCGCCTGCGTGGATCCCGCGGTGTACCTGCCCCCGGCGCTGCGGGAGGGCTCGCTGGGCTGGTACCCGGAGAGCGGCAAGGTGTGGGAACAGTACGGCATTCCAAAGTACGTCATCTGAGTCAGCGGCGGCGAGAGGCGGCTCGGCAGAACCACCAAGGCAGGGCTCTGCCGTTGAAGACGAAGTTATTAATGACGTGTACGGAGTATGTGCGGCTTGGTAGCGCAGGTGTAGATAGGAAGGTGTGACGCGGCAAGGTAGTGATAGAAGGCACACATAGTAGTGAAGCTTGTGCCCTGGTGTAGCGGTGTACGGTACTGTGCAGGTAGGACGTTTTGTTTGGTGATGACCCTGACGAGTTGTGGCATGGAAGACCACGACAATGGCCTGTTCGCATTCATCGTCGTCACTGTCACTGCAATTACCTTACTGGACAACAGTCATTGCAGCCCTGGCCGTACAAAACCCAACAAGGCTGGCGATGTGGCGACATGCTCGACACTCAGCATCCGCTGGTAATGCAGATTGTAAGTGCTCGTCCAATGTCCTTGGTGCATATCGTTACAATTCACATTCCTTGGGCAACAACCCCACCAACTAACCGGCAACCGTGACGAGGCGTTGAGGGCACACGTGTACGCAGGGGCACAAACCCCATGTCGGAGGAAACTAACCACACACGCAACGAACGTAATAATAATTGTAAAGTGGCAAACAGGCATATCTGATAAAGAAATGAGGGCAAGTAGCTTTGCATATCAACTTTAAGGCCCAGCCCGTCATGCAATGTAGACGTCGTCCCAGAAGAATAGGCAACTAGTGCGTCGAAACCAAGAGCACGAGACATGTTGAGCAATTGGGTCGACGCAAGCATCCAAAAGTAAAAGCCTTTTGCGCCTGCAAACTAGGTGGCAACAAATCCACACACGCCCAGCCGACTAGACACTCTCCCCAACTCCGAATAGGGAATCAGCAGCCAAGCGAATTGCCACTTCATAAAGAAATAAATGCGGGTGTTATTCGTGTATATGTGACACAGGGGCAGTACAGCGAACACACGAGACGTCTTATGAACCACAACGGCGGCACCATTATTCGCGCATTCCAAGCTTCAACCTCAACACGTCAACACGGGAAGCGTAACCGAATGGGACCCGAACCATGCAGCGTAGATTTACGATGGTATGAAACATACAACCGCAAACCATGGGACAGCCAGAAGGAATAGCGCAATTGACGCCAAAACAGCGCAACAGGGGATCGATATCGGCCAGAGCACCGCCCTCACATTCCGTACTACAATGCGCTATGATGCGCAAGTAGGGTTAGGCCGCTGAAACGAACGTGTCGTGCGGGAAGGTCAAAGGCACAGACAAGCAGACACAAACAACAATGGACGCACTATAGCACACGACGTAAAGGGACAACACATGCAACAAAGCAAACCAGCTTAGCAATTTTCTATTACGAAGTTGGCTTATATGGGTGACAGCGCCACGCAAATCCGAAAGCGCTGTGTCCATGTTGCCATGTCAGAAGCAAATAATAGATCCAAGCACCAGCCAGACCCAGATCATTGCTGGCGCATAACAACAGCCGCAGCCCAACCCGTTTCCATCAGTCCAGAAGCCATATGCCTGTAGTTGCTTGCCACGGCTACACTAGCCAGGTAGCCTTATCAGGCTTCGCCCCAGCAGCACTTCTGACTGCCCCCCATTACTTTCCCAGAAGGAATAAATGAGACAAAACAGGTGAGCCGTGCTCTCATAAAACGTCCTGCAAACAGATATATAGTGTGTGTGTCTGTGTCGCATGTCGACTATCCCTTATGGGGGATAGGCAATAAGATACAAGGCATGGGGGATGAACGCCTTATGAACGACTCTTGCATTTTCTTTCATTGCGAATGCATGAATTAGCCGCCCAACAAAAAGAACCGAACCGACCATCTACCGCTGGCCCCGGATCACGACTTGCCTGATTTGGCATCCATTGCATGCAACCGGGTGCAACAAGAGTTAGTAGCATGCAAAGAAGAGACGCTCATGACTCAGTAATACGGAGGAACGCAACAGTAATCCAAAATTCAGTTAACCCGAGCATTCCCATAAGGAGCAAACCCCACAGGCCCGCGCTTCCCAACAGGCTTATATAACCCGCCCACGACAACGAACCGCCGAGGACCAGCCTAAAACGCAGTGCTAGGACTCAACAGCCGCTAAACAGCAGCCAACATACTGTATCAACAACGTTCAGGCTGGTCCCTGAGTAAATCTTCGATCACGATACCGTCTCTATTTGTCCCCCAACCAATGTTATGCAAACGATCTTATTAAAAGCAGTCCCTTACAGCGTCCAGACTTCCGAGATGGGGTAACCACCGGGCTGCAACGCCGTGCCGCTCGCGCCCCTTCCCGCTGCATTCGGAGCATTGACCGGAGGCATCAGACCCATACCCAGCCACGGCTGCTGCGCCAAAGCAGCTTGCAGCGGCGTAATGGTTTGTGACATTGCCACTGGAGCAGGAGCAGGGGCCCAAGCGGACCCGTACGCCGGCTGCTGCGCAAGCGGCGCCCCACCAGCAGCCAGCCTCAGCAGCTCTTGTTGCTGTACCATCTGTTGTTGCTGCGCCAGCTGTTGTCGCTGTGCCAGCTGTGCCGAGGATCCCAGAAGCGACATGTCGGTGACCTGCAAAGCGCCCAGAGACGCCCCCATACCTGCGCTATCCACTCCCGCGTTGTTCGCTGCCGTCAGAAGCTCAATCAACTGCAACTGCTGCTGCAGCAGCTGCTGTTGTTGCTGCTGCAGTTGCTGTTGTTGCAGTTGTTGCTGCAGCTGCCGCCGCTGCTGCTGTCCCTGGTTATAGATCTGCTGCGCCACGATGGCATTGGCGCGCAGCGGGTCCAGACCTACCTGGGGGTAACCTCGCGGCACAGCGGCTGCTGCGCCCGGCAGGTACTGCTGGGTGCTCAGGAGGCGAGGCTGCTGCATCTGCACTTGCAGCAGCGGCTGAGGCTGATGCTGCTGCAGCCGAGGTAGGAAAGCCACCATGCCCGCACCGGGTACCTGCTGGGTGGCCAGGGGAATCTGAACCTGCTGCAGCGGTTGCGCCGCAGCCGCCACACGGGACCCCACCGAGGCATGCCGCATTCGTGGCGTGCCCGCACCCTCCAGCAAGGCGCCGGGGGGAACCAGGGTGAGGCCCGCGGCACTGGAAGCGGAGGCAGCACGGCCGTGGACGGATGGGGCTGTTACCACCCCTCCACGACCTGCCAGCGCCAAGGCCGCTGCCAGGGCCGTCTGGTCAGCTGATGATGCCGAAGTCGCTGCTGGCGGATTTGTGGCGGTGGCGCCTAGTCCCGACGCCGCCAGTGCCTGGGTGATGTCTGCAAGGCTGGCACCTGTCAGCTGCTGCACCGCCGCCTCCAGGGCAGCGCGGCCTCCCAGGGCACTGGAGGAGGCGGCCGTGGCAGCAGGCCGAGCGCCCAGGACGGCAGCAGTCGAGCTGTGGCGGGTGGCCGCAGCTGTCTGCTGCGGTTGCTGCTGCTGTGGCGGCAGTTGGGCCGCGCCCGGGTCCTGGAGACCGAGGATGTCGGAGGCCAGGGGGAGCAGAGCGTCAACAGTCATGTGCCGGAGATTGCCGACGCCGGTGGGTGCGCCCGCGTCCAAACCAAGTATGTTACCAACAGCCAAGGCAACCGCATGCCTATTTTTATTTCGGATGCCCGGCGGCGGCGGCGGGGCCGGCGGCCCACGGATAGTCGTCGGCGGCGTCTGCGCCTGCCTGGCCTGCATGAGATCAAGTGCCAGGCTGACAAGGCGCATAGCCGCCTGGCGGTGCTGGCCTTGCATGGAGGAGAAGGAGACCTCCCGAAAAGCTGCCTTCACCTCCGGAGTCTCTTGAGCGTCCGCAGCAGCAGCAGCAGCAGCAGCGGCACCAGCCGGTGCGGGGGCTGCCTCACCACACTCGCTGCTGTCGCTGCCGGCGTGCGTGTCGGTCGCTGCCTGCTCCGACTCCTCGTCGCTGTCGGCTGTCTGCTTGTTGCTTCCACCGCTGCTGACGCTGCCAGCATGGGCGGCAGTTCCCACCTGGGCCACCTCCTCCATGACCCGCAGGTTGTGGAGGTGGTAGGCGAGCAGCTGCACACAGCTGCAGCCGCTGTCGACGACCACGCTCGCCAGGTCCTGGGGACGGGCATGCAACACGGCAGAAAGCATTGCAAGCGTGGATGATAAGGATGCGGAGCCGTATGGAAGAGGGCTCCGTTCACAGCAGCAGGGCGCCCCTGCCGTACGGCAGGTCCACAGTAAAGGTCAACAGGCTCCGCCTATTAGTTCACCCGTGTGCCGTAGCGCCGCACCTGGCATTCCTCAGGCGTGAAGTTGAGCAATGTCTCTAGCAGCTGCACGGGGCTGATGCTGACTGCCTGAGCCGCCGCTGTCAGCATGCGTGCAAGTTGCACGTCCTCAGGATGAAACCCGTTGGGCACTCCAGACAACTCATCTGTCTCCTTGCCCAGGCTAGACATCGCTGTTGATGCTGTTGATGCGGCGGCGGCAGCCGGCATTGCGTCCGTCACAGGCGCTGCATGCTCCAGCGGCGCAGAGTCCACGCTTTCCGGCGAGTCTGTGGCGGCAGCTGCGAACGCAGTCGCCGTGCATGGGGAGCAGGTATGCAGGGTACCTATGATGGCTGTGGTGTCGCCCTGGGTTGCGACATTGCACTCGGTGGTGAGGCTGCGTTCGGAGAGGGTATCGCCTGAGGACGAGGGTGTGGACTCTTCGCAGGAGGAGGAGGTGCAGCTGTTGGATGTCAGCGACATGGACGACCTGGCGCGCAGCGCAGCAGCCGGGGACTGTGCGGCTGCATAACACATGCGACAACGGGGGAACCAAGCGCACAGAAAGAAAACGAAAGCGGCATGTTCAGTTGCTCAATTACCAGAAATGAAAAAACGGGGGTCACCGACCGTGAAGACAAGGTATGCCTCAGTATAGTTCCCAAGAATGCTGGCAAATTACCACGCCACCCTTACGAACCTGTCAACACCAGCCCATTCTCATCTTCTTCCCGTAGAGCCTCCGTATCGAAGGTGCCGACACTGCAACAAGTAATCCATTCAAGTTGTCTGAAAGGTTCCCATGAGGGAAATGGCTGTAACGCCCTGTCAAGCAGGGCCGCTATACCGCCAACGCACAGCCCCATGATTGTCTTAGAACTAGGAGAACTCACGCTTTGCGCTGTTGGTCCAGGCTGTACCCCGCGGACAGCAGCTTCACTGCGCTGCCGGAAGAGGCAGCCCTCCCAACACGGTGAATGACGTCTAGGCCAGGAGCTAAGCTTTCCTCAAAGGCTGGGACCATTGGAAGCTAGGTATCGAAGTTACCGCCAAGACCGTGCTGTCTGCTCCTAAGCGTCGTGTCGCTTCAGTCCCCCAGACTACGTGGTCTAGAAGCGGTAATGCAAGAACAGTACTTCTGAAAATAATGTCTTCATAAGCTGTGCCGCGAACCGGTAAGCAGTCACACCAGCTTGCAGAGGCGGAGCTAACACAAAGAACCCCCCAGGTTAGGCATCCTGCGTTTCCGTCACCTGGTCTTGCTGTTCCAACAAGTTCAAGAGCTCCCAGTTGCTATGCACTGAAAAGGTATCAACGTCAGGGAACGTCCGCCAAGTTGGTCTTGCGGCCCACGACTAGCTTGGGGCCAATAGTCGACCAGTTAATCCTTGTATAAACGGTAAGATGTATAACCCACTTGCTGAAAGACAACAGTTCCTCCTTTACAGTTCCTCCTTTGCATGCTTGCAACTCCAAGCAGTACAGTAACAACTGCAATAGTACAAATAGTAGGTTGTGTTAGCAAACACATGGACTATTGTAGTGGGTAATTCTATAATCCTGCAAATCACAAGAAGTCAGCCGCTGTGCAACCAGCGCATGTCGGATACATGCAATTCGGCCGACCGCTGTCCAAGGGACATGTCTGGACACGAAAGACAAAACAACTTAGCAAAACCATGCTCTCAGCTATCGTAACCATCTTCGAAACCCTCAACCGGCTTCCCCCCCTCTCTACCCTCCAAGGCATTGCTGTAGGGCCTGTATTGCTTGCCCGTCGCCATGAAAGGCCCCGGTTAACCACGAGACTAACCTCATGATTCCTCACCCCAGTCCACCCTCCCTCTCTCCGTCCGCACAAAAGCCTAGCACCTGGGGAACCGGAACGCATGCACCCCGCATCAGCTTCAACCCCTACCTGCGCCGCAGCCTAAGCCCTAAACCCTCAACTGAACTTCCCAATCTCCATCTTCTTCTTAATCAGCCGTGTGCTGGTGTAGATGAATGCGTCCACAATGCCCGAAACCGTGAAGACGCCGCCCACAATGGCGCACACGCTGGTCAGGAAGGACAGGAAGGAAGAGCTGTGCTCCACGATCTTCACCTTGATGGGCGACAGATCGTAGAAGAAGAACACGCCAGGCAGCGTCTTGCCTGCGGCCCCCTGCGCTTCCCGGAAGTTCTCAGTCACTGAGAACTGGTTGGTGGACAGCGTGCTGTTGTGGATGTCGGTGTAGGAGGTCGGCACCACCTGGGGACGTCGTACAGGGGAAGCGCGGATCAGTAACGACATTTGCCCGGGATGCATATAGTGAACTGAGGCCAAAACGGCCAACAACCAACTGTTAACAACGAACGCACAACTACTTGACACGTCGGCTGTTGTTTATGGTACTGTTTATGTACTGCCCAATTGCTACAAGGGCCTTGTGGTTGCGCCCCCACCTTGAGGAAGTACTGGAACATGCCGGTGGAGGTGGCGGAGGTGGGGCCCGCCTTCGCGCCGTCCAGCGGGTTCTTCATGCCCGGGTACGGCTCCCCAAAGCTGAGCTTGTTGATGACGTGGCGGAAGTCAATCACCGCGTCGCCAAAGGGCGCAATGTCGTGCACGTGCATGCTGCCCTGCTGGTACGACCGCCCCGGCGCAAAGTGGAAGTTGCCAGCCACCTTGTTCACCTGCGTAGGGGATAAGGAAGAGGAGGAGGAGGGGATGTCAACGAACGGGTTGGCAGCGGGCCGCAGGTGTCGAGCTGTGCAAGGAGGGGTACCGGTACTGCTGGCTCTGAAGACCATGAAGCCCGCCCCCCTCACCTCCAGCATGCCCCACATGTGGCAGCCCTCTCCCGCCTGCTCCTTGATGCTCTCCGTGTACAGGTCGTGCGCGCACTGCTCAATGTGGTCCACGTTGGTCAGCGCCCAGCCCTTGCGACGGTACGCGGCGCGGACCTGCGCGGAGAGGAAGGAGGCGAGGGTGAGACAGGAGAGGTCGCAACGGGGAGGGTGAGACGGCGGTGGTCGCAGCTTGTGGTGCAAGAAGCCAGGACTGGCTAGTTACATGGCCCCAGCCTCAAGCCCGGGGATGACTTGTCAATTCTTGGCTGATAGCAGGTAAAACACCTCCAGAGCCCTAGCCCACGCACCTCGTCGCAGGTGTTGCAGCAGTCGCCCTGCTTGTCCTCCGCGCCATAGCAGCTGCCGCATGCTGGCACGGCAGTTGCGTTGCTAGCTGCCGTTTCGTTCACCGGCACCTTCTTCTTTGTGGCATCTACGTTATGCTTCTCCACCTCCTTGACCGGGGACCCGTTGGCGCTTAACCGCTGCTTGTACACGTCGTGGTCCTGCAGCATCGTACCCAGGGCCGTTAAGCACGTCTCGCAAGGGTTTGGGCATTAGTAACCCATCCCCTTCCCCCGCAGCGGTCCAAGGCTCAACTACCAGGTCAAGGTGCAGCTCGCCGCTGATGTCCATCGCGTCCAGGCTCAGCCATGAGCATGGCACCTTGGGAAACGTCACGTCAAACTGCATGCAAGAACACCTCTCTTTAAAAACTGCGAGGGCTGCAAGCGTGAGCTCCGGTCCTTTCACTAAACTGGATGCAGGTTTCAGTGTTGCGCTTCACTGCACTCAAACTAGACATTCTCACATGGATTTGAATCTTTTCTCCTCTCCCGATGTCCACTGAAAGCTCGTGAACTGATTGCGCCGTGAGGTATAGCCCTGGAAGGGGTAATAAAGCCACCTTGATGACACGCCAGGCCACGCAGTCAAAGTCCATCTGGATTTGCACTAAAAAGACCTACGTAGCTCTGAAAGAAACAGCAGAACCATAACGACCGAAGCCACGATCGTTATGATGCCTCCAGACATCGTCTTGGTAAAGAAGTCCTCATTTATTTTTGGGTAAGCATCCAAAGCTTTGAGCTTAGAGAGAATTCCGCCGCCCGAGCTGCCCATTTTACGTGCCGGGTGTGAAAATGTTAGGCAAGGACACGCTACCTAAAAGCGATCATAGGTTGGACTACATGCAGGTGATCACTTCGTAATATAATCTTGCCCTATCCATGAGCGACATGAGTGTACCCAGGCAACTGTTACAGAGCGACATGTACGACAGAGAGTCCATTGCCAAGACTGGCTTACACTACCGGTAATTTAACCCTTCACATTGTGCCAGTCTAGGCAAAGAATGCAGGCACCTGATCTTCACGTGTCCTGTCCTACAAAAACGTCGTCATCAACGTCGGCAACGAAGCATGGGTTAGTGTTTGAGGCAGCAGTACTAGCAGCGCAGGGAACCCCAGTAGGATTCGAATACAGGTTTCGGAGCCTTTTGCAGCCCACGTCCTAACCGCAAGACCCCCTTACCCGCCTCATCACACCCCCGGTCCCCCAGCCCCCAACCATGCACTAAGCACAACCCCGCCCCCTGCCCCTGCCAGCTCCGAGCCCCCGCCGTTGCCCCCGGTGCGCTGCATCATCAAGGCGGGAGGTGCGGCCATAACGCACAAGGCCCAGCTGGAAACACTTCAGCAGGAGGTGCTGCGGCGCGTGTGCCAGTCCGTGGCAGCAGCAGCAGCAGCAATAGCGGACAGCCACTGCGGACATGGCCCCGCAGGCAGCAGCTCCCAGGCGGGGGCATGTGACGGCGATGGCGAGCAGGGCGGGGGCATCGTGCTCGTACATGGTGCCGGTTCATTCGGGGTGCGTGGGGGTAACACGTGTGGTTACAGACTTGTAGATGCCGTACACGGATGGAGTCGCGAAAGGCGTGAGGGTGCGGAGCCGTTCTCTCTCTCCCTCCCTCCCGCTCGTGGCATGGTTGGCATGGTTGCATACACACACGGAGTTTTCTTAACACACGGAGTTGCGGGCAGTCTGCCACCTCGCGTGTCCTGCGACTCCACCGGCTGCTCCCCGCTCCCCCCTCCCTGCACCCGCCCCCACCCGCCCCCACCCGCTGCAGCACCACCCCGCCAGTGAGTACGGAGTGGCCCGAGGGCCGCTGACCGACCCGCGGGTACGACAGGGGTTTGCACTCACCAGGTGAGGTGGGCGTGGCTGCTGGGTTGCGATTGGGTTGGCTGGGTAACGCGGTGTTGCGTTTCGCTGTGTTGTGTCGCGTTGCGGCTTGGGTGCTCCTTAATCGCTATGAGGATCGCAGCTTTCTGGCTTTCATGCGGGCGCATTCCGCCAAGCGTGCGTGCTAGGCGTGCCATGGCGGTGTGTGTCATGGCGGTGTCACCGCACTTCTGCGGGTCAGAGCCCCCACCTAGCCAACGATGCAGACCGCTGCCACACCCGCTGCCCCGACGCCCCGCAGGTCCTCCGTGACGCGGCTCAACGGGCTGGTGGTGGGGGAGCTGCTGGCGGGTGGGAGGGGGGGCTGGATGCGGCTTGGAGGGGGGTGGATGCGGCTTGGAGGGGGGTAAAAAATTATATAAAAGTGAAACAACAAATCCCAATCCCATATCCCGACTCATGCAGTGAGCGCATTCGGAAGCACTAATAACACGCATCTCAAATTGGGGACGGAGATGGCGAGAGAGCACCGGGAACAGGAGGGTAGTGCTGCGGTTCATGGGGAAGTGGATAAGAGCCGGCAGAAACTGTGGCACGAACGCCCAGCGTGTCTGCATGTGCACACGCGTACTGATGCGGCACCGCCCCTTCTGGATCCCTTCCACCTTGCGCTGTTGCACGCAGCTGGGGTGTCCGCTGTGGGGCTCTCACCCTTCGGGCACTACACCGCAAGCAATCGAGAGGTGAGCGGCGGCCCCAGCCCCCCCCCCCCCACATGCCCACCTAGGTGCTAGAGAGGACTGCCAGGCTGTCATGCTACCTGTGTTTGCATTCTTGCGTTTGCGTCCTCATTTTCACCCCACTACCTCTCCGCTCCTCCTCCCTCCAGGTCAGCACCTCGGGCGTGCACGCCGTGGCCGCCTGCCTGCGGTCGGGGCTGCTGCCGGTGCTGCACGGGGATGCCGTACTGGACGAGCAGCTGGGCTGCAGCATCCTCAGTGGCGACACGCTGGTGCGGGAGCTGGCGGAGCGGATGAGGCCGGACTGGGTGGTGTTCCTGGTAGGGTGGGGGGCGGGGTGGGGGGTAGAAATAAGGAAACTGACGAGGCGACTAACGAGCCGTGTGACATGTAGGCTTCGCCATTTGGGGGGGGGGGGTGCAAACATGGTGGGCGGCCCAATGGCCCATCCCGCCATGCCCGGATATGGTGTTCCTGGTGGGGTGGGGGCGGGGGCGGGGCGCAGGGAGGGTACCGAGGTATCGGAGGGCTGAAAGCGAGCTGGGAGGACAAACGTAGCGTGGCCATGTGGGGGCCTGAGGGCGAGAGGCGTTAGGGGTTTTGCGGTAATGATGCTCGCTTGAAGGACCTCATGTCTACCAGGCAGCACTGCGGATCCCGAAGGGGCTGGCTTCTTCTAAGGACCTTCCCCCCCTTACGCGCTCCGTTGGCCTGCGCAGACTAACGTGGCGGGCGTGTTCGACAGGCCGCCTGAGGAGGCGGGGGCGCGGTTGCTGAGGCGCATCCTGGTACGGAAAGGTAGGGCAACCACCTGGGTGCCGTACGCTGCCTGCCAAGCAGCAGGACTACCTGCTTGTATACAAGACTTCATAATGGAATACCGGTATACTAGAGGAATCCATGTACCACGTGGCCTCCTCTAAGCGGCCTCCTTTGGTCTCAAACGTCAACACTGCCCATGCCTGCCGGCACCCGCCTGCTTCCCCCATGCAGACGGCTCCTGGCGTGTTGCTGAGGTGGAGGGCGGCTCGGGGGCTGACGGCGTCGGGGACCGGGATGCCTCCGTGCGCATGCGGGCGGACGAGCATGACGTCACGGGTGAGGGGTTGGGCACTTCGGCTGCCCGTTGCTCCAGCACGCACGCATGCGGCAGCAGTGAACACACCGCCGCTACCGCCTTCCTCCTCAAACCGCCATTGCTCCGGCACTGCTCCGGAACCACCAGGCAGCCCTTGGATCCTGCTTCGCTCTGCACTTTCGTGCACAACGCTGCCTCCCTCCTGTTTGCTCACCTCCAGCCTCGTATGCCCCTTAGGCTTTCTAGGACGCGTGTTCTTTAGTTCCGCTCCTGCCCCAACCCCAACCCTTCCCCATGTGGCAGGCGGCATCGCGCTCAAGGTGGAGGAGGCGGCGCGGGTGGCGCGTCTGGGCATCCCAGTGCTCATCGTACAAGCCGGCAGCGAACATGGGGCCGCAGCGTGCCGGCTGGGGCCCTGGGTGGCCTCACAGCCGCACCAACAGCAGCAGCCCCAGCACCTGCCGGCACAGCAGCAGCTGGGTAGTTGTCACGTCAGCAGCGCCGGTGAAGGAGCGGTGGAGGGGGCTGGGACAGGGTTGGGAGAGGTGGAGGGGTGGAGGAAGAAGGGCGGGGAGGGCGGTACACATGGTGGGCAAGGAGGACGGGAGCTGGGCAGGGAAGGGGCGCCGGTAGGGGCCGGTGGGAGAGGATGGCGTGGGACGTTGGTGGTGCTGGAGGAATGTGATGGGGTGATCGAACGTGGGGTGTGATGCTGGTGATGCAAGCGAGGGTCCGGTTGTTAGCTTCGGATCACGTCCCATGGGCCCACCACCCTTTTGTAAAAAAGCAACAAAGGCGGGGGCTACGGCGGTGCTGATAGGAGGGCCGGAAGGCCTCATGCTCCTCCGGCACCGAAAGAGAGGGAGGTGTTCAAGGGATGATGTTTGGCCACGGCTCCAAGGACAGCACCATGAAAAACTGCGTTACAATCCATGCGCCCCTGCGACTTGACGCCGCATGTTGCCGCTTTGCCAGAAGTAGCGCATCAAGCCTGCACCAGGCTCCGCATGCTAATGGGTTCTGCCAAAGCTCACGGTGCTTCTCCTCCTAGCGAGCAGGGCCCTAACGTACGCAGCGGCCCACGCACCCGTGTGGCATGTGGGCCTCCCCTCCCTCCCTCTCCTTCTCCGCTCCCTCCCTCTTTACACTTCTCAGTACTCCTGCGCAGCTATGAGGGTCACCAGCGCCGTCCAACCAGTGAACGGATGGCTGCTCATCCCCCGTCCCGTCTCATCATCGTACTGCTCGTACAAATAACCATTCCGTTGGTAGTTCCCAACCAACGTGGTTAACAACCGCGCGCGAAGTTCATCATGCGCTGCCGCCGCCACTCGCCCCACCTCGCCGCCAGCTGCTGCGTAGTGCGACAGCGCGCGAAGCACGAGATAATTAATGTTGATCCAGATCTGCCCACGCCAGTACGGCGGATCATCGGCTGTGTTGCGTTTCTTGTACAGTGATGCCGTGGCGGCTAGGGAACGCAGCCCCGAGGGGCTCCACAGCAGGTTGGGATCCTGGAGCAATGCCAGCTGCTGGAGTGTAAGTTCAGCGCCTCCAGCTCCGGCGGCTTGCCCACCGGCGACGTCATCCGCCGCCGCGGCGGTGTTGTTGCTGCTGCTGCTGCTGTTATGGACCGCCTCACCCGTTGGGAGGAGCTCCATGATCAGTGGGAAGAGGGAGACGTAGCCGAATTGCGGTACGAATTGCGGCAGCGGCCAGCCCTTGGTGACGCGTGTGGAGACGTCGCGGCGCTGCGGCGGCTGACCGGGCGCACCGGGCACCGTGATACTCTGGGGGGAGGCGGTGTGAGGGTCGAGGGTGTCGAAAGGGTTGAGGGAGCAGTTGCGGTGGGCAGGGCATAAGGAGGCGATCAGAAGGTTGGTAAGTTGGCAGGGTTGCCTACAGCCTCCCAGCCAACCATCATCTTCGCACCCCACCCCACCCCGCCCCCGCACCACCCCAGCCCCGCCCACCCCTCACCTTGACCTCCAGCTCCACCTCCTCCGTGTGTGTGCCCCAGTCCGCGAACCACCCGCGCCCCTCATCGAAGTGCAGTCGCCGCAGCGGCCCCAGCGACCCCAGCTGCTCCGCCGCCGCACGGTAGCGCGCCACGGCGGGGGCGGGCAGCTGCAGCGAGGAACCGATGTCGTACATGGCCTGGGGGGGAGCGGGGTAGCGGGTTAGTGGCGGGGTGGTAATGGTGGTGGGAGGGAGGCAGGTTGACGTTGGGCCCTTGCTTGTTAGGACATGCTCCTCTCTTCCAGTCGCCCTCCGCACACCGGTGCTATCCGAACTTCACCCTCCGGCTATCACAGTAACGCCCCGACTCGCGGCCAGTTTGTTTTCCCAACATGCTATCCAAACCCGCAACCGCGCACGCAGCCAGCCCCCGCATGCTGTTGCCCTCGCAAGGCCCTCGCCACTGCATGCCATCCTTGTATCGCTGCATAACGTCAGGCCTACGTCACCCTTCTACGCTACCTTTGCCGCCAGTGCCAGCCAGCACCGCAGATCCAGATGGCGCTCCGAGTCGTCGGGGTGGCTGGCGCGCGGGTAGTCGTCGAGACCGCTGGTGAGCGTCTTGGGGTTCAGCTCGGAAGCCGCGGCCGGGTCGCGACCGTGCCACCTGCAACCGCGCCAACGGAAGCAACGCGAATGTGGGAGCCAGCGTGTCATAGCAGGTGCGGTGAAGCAGCAGGCAGCGGTGCGTGGCTGAGCGTGTGCTAAGCATATACGGTTTGTGTGCGAGATGGAGTTATGGGTTGTCGGTTGGCGTCTGAAATGGAGGAAACAAGGGATGTGGTGGATGAGGGCATGAGTGAGCAGAGTGACCCATGGGTCTGTGGGCCTGCGTTGCGGACGTCAGCGAACAGCAATCAGCCCAAGAAGAGCGAGCAGCCCCCTCATCCCCACCCACCTGAAGGTCCCCGGCAGCGGCCCCGCCTGTGTCGTGTTGAACCAGTTGTACCAGGCCTCCAGCCGCGGCCAGGCGCGGCGCAGGAATGCCGACACGCGCTGCAGCTCCTGCGCCTCTTCGGCAGGCAGCTCTGCAGCGGGGAGTGCCGGCAGCCCCGGAGGGATAAAAGGTCATTAGAGTACGGTTAGGTGCGGTATATCATTAGAAGCAGGATCTAGACTGCACGGTTCCAAGGTTCCACAAGCTTCAATCCTTGCAGGCACAGAGTACCGGTATCAGTCATCCCAGTCCTCGGACTCCTAATCACCTCCTCAGCCCCGGCCCCCTAGCCCCCTTCCCCGGTGTTTTCCATGCTCCTGCATGCCCCTCCCAGCCACCCAGCCTCCCTGACCTCACCTGCTGCGCCGCTGCTACCGCTGCCGCCGCTGCTGCTGCTGCTCCGTTCCGCCGCTGCCACCAGCTGTGCCGCCATCTTTGCGATGGGCAGGAAGAGCGAGGGCGGGTTGGCGTGGCTGGGGTTCTGCACCACGAACTCCGAGGGCACCCGGCTGCGCGCCTCCTCACCCAGGATCTGCTCCCTGGGGGGCGGCAGGGCGGGGCGGGGCGGGGCAGGGCAGGTAAGGTGAGGTGAGGAGGAGAATGGGATTGGGGAGGGTTGAATACCGATAGGCAGGTCACAAGGACAGGACAGCCAAACCAAACTGCTGGAACCAAACAGCCCCGACCCAACAAGAGGGTTGTTGAGAGCATGCGCAGCGAGGGGTTGCAGGCTTGCAGCTTGCAGGGCAACGGGCGGGGTGGGATGGTTCTGTTGTTTCCCCTCTCTTCCACCCCCCCATCAGCCCTCTCCCTTCACCTCAACACATCGGGTATTCTTCTTTTTCCCTCACCTGGGAATCCAGCCCTGCGTGTTCATGAGGTCCAGCCAGTGCGCTATCATGTCGCGACTCAGCTGGGGGTCCCACTTCTGTAGGCGGAGGGCGCATGGGGGCACAGGAGGGCGCATGGGGACACAGGAGACGGCATTGGGACATGCAAGGAGGCCAGCCAGCGTCCCAGGTTGCTGTCCTCGTTATCTCGACCCGCCGCAGGGGTACTTCATGCACACCCTTGCGCCCGTGCGGGCAACGTTGCCAGCATCATCACCAGCTCATGTCCCATTCTGCCTCCCCCACCCCGTCTTCCCCACGTCCTCTCCCCCACCCCACCCCACCCGCACCTGCACCAGCAGCTGGTGGAAGCCCTCGTCCCACAGGAAGCCGCGCGGGAAGAAGCTGCGGCTGGGCACCGCGCTGAACAGCGGTGCGGGCCAGTAGGGCTGCGGATCCGACTCGGGGCCGCCCGTGCGCACCTGGGGGCAGCAGCGGGGCAGGGGGGCCAGCACAGGTGAGGCGGGGGGTAAGGAGGAAGATGCTCGAGTAACTACCCGTGTGTGCGACATGTAACAGCTCCACCAGGCGGGTGCAGCAGGCGGGTGCAGCAGGCGGGTGCAGCAGGCGGGTGCAGCAGGCGGGTGCAGCAGGCGGGTGCAGCAGGCGGGTGCAGCAGGCGGGTGCAGCAGGCGGGTGCAGCAGGCGGGTGCAGCAGGCGGGTGCAGCAGGGGGGTGCAGCAGGCGGGTGCAGCAGGCGGGTGCAGCAGGCGGGTGTAGCAGGCGGGTGCAGCAGGCGGGTGCAGCAGGCGGGTGCAGCAGGCGGGTGCAGCAGGCGGGTGCAGCAGGCGGGTGTAGCAGGCGGGTGCAGCAGGCGGGTGCAGCAGGGGGGTGCAGCAGGCGGGTGCAGCAGGCGGGTGCAGCAGGCGGGTGCAGCAGGCGGGTGCAGCAGGGGGGTGCAGCAGGCGGGTGTAGCAGGCGGGTGTAGCAGGCGGGTGCAGCAGGCGGGTGTAGCAGGCGGGTGCAGCAGGCGGGTGCAGCAGGGGGGTGCAGCAGGCGGGTGCAGCAGGCGGGTGCAGCAGGCGGGTGCAGCAGGCGGGTGCAGCAGGGGGGTGCAGCAGGCGGGTGTAGCAGGCGGGTGCAGCAGGCGGGTGCAGCAGGGGGGTGCAGCAGGCGGGTGCAGCAGGCGGGTGCAGCAGGCGGGTGCAGCAGGCGGGTGCAGCAGGCGGGTGCAGCAGGCGGGTGCAGCAGGCGGGTGTAGCAGGCGGGTGCAGCAGGCGGGTGCAGCAGGGGGGTGCAGCAGGCGGGTGCAGCAGGCGGGTGCAGCAGGCGGGTGCAGCAGGCGGGTGCAGCAGGCGGGTGCAGCAGGCGGGTGCAGCAGGCGGGTGCAGCAGGCGGGTGCAGCAGGCGGGTGCAGCAGGCGGGTGCAGCAGGCGGGTGCAGCAGGCGGGTGTAGCAGGCGGGTGCAGCAGGCGGGTGCAGCAGGCGGGTGCAGCAGGCGGGTGCAGCAGGCGGGTGCAGCAGGCGGGTGCAGCAGGCGGGTGCAGCAGGCGGGTGCAGCAGGCGGGTGCAGCAGGGGGGTGCAGCAGGCGGGTGCAGCAGGCGGGTGTAGCAGGCGGGTGCAGCAGGCGGGTGCAGCAGGCGGGTGTAGCAGGCGGGTGCAGCAGGCGGGTGCAGCAGGCGGGTGCAGCAGGCGGGTGCAGCAGGCGGGTGCAGCAGGGGGGTGCAGCAGGCGGGTGCAGCAGGCGGGTGCAGCAGGCGGGTGCAGCAGGCGGGTGCAGCAGGCGGGTGCAGCAGGCGGGTGCAGCAGGCGGGTGCAGCAGGCGGGTGCAGCAGGCGGGTGCAGCAGGCGGGTGCGGCAGGCGGGTGCAGCAGGCGGGTGCAGCAGGGGGGTGCAGCAGGCGGGTGCAGCAGGCGGGTGCAGCAGGCGGGTGTAGCAGGCGGGTGCAGCAGGCGGGTGCAGCAGGCGGGTGCAGCAGGCGGGTGCAGCAGGCGGGTGCAGCAGGCGGGTGCAGCAGGCGGGTGCAGCAGGCGGGTGCAGCAGGCGGGTGCAGCAGGCGGGTGCAGCAGGCGGGTGCAGCAGGCGGGTGCAGCAGGCGGGTGCAGCAGGCGGGTGCAGCAGGCGGGTGCAGCAGGCGGGTGCAGCAGGCGGGTGCAGCAGGCGGGTGCAGCAGGCGGGTGCAGCAGGCGGGTGTAGCAGGCGGGTGCAGCAGGCGGGTGCAGCAGGGGGGTGCAGCAGGCGGGTGCAGCAGGCGGGTGCAGCAGGCGGGTGCAGCAGGCGGGTGCAGCAGGCGGGTGCAGCAGGCGGGTGCAGCAGGCGGGTGTAGCAGGCGGGTGCAGCAGGCGGGTGTAGCAGGCGGGTGCAGCAGGCGGGTGCAGCAGGCGGGTGTAGCAGGCGGGTGTAGCAGGGGGGTGCAGCAGGGGGGTGCAGCAGGCGGGTGCAGCAGGGGGGTGCAGCAGGGGGGTGCAGCAGGCGGGTGCAGCAGGCGGGTGCAGCAGGCGGGTGCAGCAGGCGGGTGCAGCAGGCGGGTGCAGCAGGCGGGTGCAGCAGGCGGGTGTAGCAGGCGGGTGCAGCAGGCGGGTGTAGCAGGCGGGTGCAGCAGGCGGGTGCAGCAGGCGGGTGTAGCAGGCGGGTGCAGCAGGCGGGTGCAGCAGGCGGGTGCAGCAGGCGGGTGCAGCAGGGGGGTGCAGCAGGGGGGTGCAGCAGGCGGGTGCAGCAGGCGGGTGCAGCAGGGGGGTGCAGCAGGCGGGTGCAGCAGGCGGGTGCAGCAGGCGGGTGCAGCAGGCGGGTGCAGCAGGCGGGTGCAGCAGGCGGGTGCAGCAGGCGGGTGCAGCAGGCGGGTGCAGCAGGCGGGTGCAGCAGGCGGGTGTAGCAGGCGGGTGCAGCAGGCGGGTGTAGCAGGCGGGTGCAGCAGGCGGGTGCAGCAGGCGGGTGTAGCAGGCGGGTGCAGCAGGCGGGTGCAGCAGGCGGGTGCAGCAGGCGGGTGCAGCAGGGGGGTGCAGCAGGGGGGTGCAGCAGGCGGGTGCAGCAGGCGGGTGCAGCAGGCGGGTGCAGCAGGCGGGTGCAGCAGGCGGGTGCAGCAGGCGGGTGCAGCAGGCGGGTGCAGCAGGCGGGTGCAGCAGGCGGGTGCAGCAGGCGGGTGCAGCAGGCGGGTGCAGCAGGCGGGTGCAGCAGGCGGGTGTAGCAGGCGGGTGCAGCAGGCGGGTGCAGCAGGCGGGTGCAGCAGGCGGGTGCAGCAGGCGGGTGCAGCAGGCGGGTGCAGCAGGCGGGTGCAGCAGGCGGGTGCAGCAGGCGGGTGCAGCAGGGGGGTGCAGCAGGCGGGTGCAGCAGGCGGGTGTAGCAGGCGGGTGCAGCAGGCGGGTGCAGCAGGCGGGTGTAGCAGGCGGGTGCAGCAGGCGGGTGCAGCAGGCGGGTGCAGCAGGCGGGTGCAGCAGGCGGGTGCAGCAGGGGGGTGCAGCAGGCGGGTGCAGCAGGCGGGTGCAGCAGGCGGGTGCAGCAGGGGGGTGCAGCAGGCGGGTGCAGCAGGGGGGTGCAGCAGGGGGGTGCAGCAGGCGGGTGCAGCAGGCGGGTGCAGCAGGCGGGTGCAGCAGGCGGGTGCAGCAGGCGGGTGCAGCAGGCGGGTGCGGCAGGCGGGTGCAGCAGGCGGGTGCAGCAGGGGGGTGCAGCAGGCGGGTGCAGCAGGCGGGTGCAGCAGGCGGGTGTAGCAGGCGGGTGCAGCAGGCGGGTGCAGCAGGCGGGTGCAGCAGGCGGGTGCAGCAGGCGGGTGCAGCAGGCGGGTGCAGCAGGCGGGTGCAGCAGGCGGGTGCAGCAGGGGGGTGCAGCAGGCGGGTGCAGCAGGCGGGTGTAGCAGGCGGGTGTAGCAGGCGGGTGCAGCAGGCGGGTGCAGCAGGCGGGTGCAGCAGGCGGGTGCAGCAGGCGGGTGTAGCAGGCGGGTGCAGCAGGCGGGTGCAGCAGGCGGGTGCAGCAGGCGGGTGTAGCAGGCGGGTGTAGCAGGCGGGTGCAGCAGGCGGGTGCAGCAGGCGGGTGCAGCAGGCGGGTGCAGCAGGCGGGTGTAGCAGGCGGGTGCAGCAGGCGGGTGTAGCAGGCGGGTGCGGCAGGCGGGTGCAGCAGGCGGGTGCAGCAGGCGGGTGCAGCAGGGGGGTGCAGCAGGCGGGTGCAGCAGGCGGGTGCAGCAGGGGGGTGCAGCAGGCGGGTGCAGCAGGCGGGTGTAGCAGGCGGGTGCAGCAGGCGGGTGCAGCAGGCGGGTGCAGCAGGCGGGTGCAGCAGGCGGGTGTAGCAGGCGGGTGCAGCAGGCGGGTGCAGCAGGCGGGTGTAGCAGGCGGGTGCAGCAGGCGGGTGCAGCAGGCGGGTGCAGCAGGCGGGTGCAGCAGGCGGGTGCAGCAGGCGGGTGCAGCAGGCGGGTGCAGCAGGCGGGTGCAGCAGGCGGGTGCAGCAGGCGGGTGTAGCAGGCGGGTGCAGCAGGCGGGTGCAGCAGGCGGGTGTAGCAGGCGGGTGCAGCAGGCGGGTGCAGCAGGCGGGTGCAGCAGGCGGGTGCAGCAGGCGGGTGCAGCAGGCGGGTGCAGCAGGCGGGTGCGGCAGGCGGGTGCAGCAGGCGGGTGCAGCAGGCGGGTGCAGCAGGCGGGTGCGGCAGGCGGGTGCAGCAGGCGGGTGCAGCAGGCGGGTGCAGCAGGCGGGTGTAGCAGGCGGGTGCAGCAGGCGGGTGCGGCCCAGGGCCGTCAGCAGCAGCAGGGAATAAAACAGTCACAGTCGTCGGGGCCGCATGGACGGCACCGTGAGGACAGGGGGCCCCTGCGGCATGAACCCTAACTCCAACCACACGCTCTGACGCCACCGCTCGTGCTTTAAGGATAAAGATGCACTAGTAGTGGCCGACCATGCTAACACCACCACCCGCCCACCCACCAGCGAGCTGCCGTAGAAGTAGCCCGCACTGCCCAGCAGGTTGGACAGCGCAGCCCGGGACACCTCCAGGGTGCCCTCGGGCAGGGAGGGGGAGGCGGAGGGGGAGGCAGCCTCGGGGTCGCTGCTGCCGCCGTCACCCTCGCCCGCAGCCGCTGCCACAGCCGCCCCGCCCCGCCGCATACCCTCTCCGAACACGCGGTCGAACCTGTGTGCCAGCAAGGCCGGTCGCGGGAATCAGCATGGGTGCGGTGATATACCCTAACGCCTTTAAAGCCTCTCCTAACGCCTCACCTAATGCCTACCGACCCGGCCCCGATCCAGGCACCCCAAACCATGCATCCCCACATACCCCCCCCGCACAGCTCCGCAGGTGGCCCCCTCTCCAGGGTGAAGCCCCGTCATACAGCTCCATAGGTGCACCCCCCCCCCGCACCCCTACAGCTCGTCAGTTTCCTCCTGGTTCCCCCTCCTCGGTCATCGCACCTCTCATCGAACCGCCGCTCCTGCTCCGCCAGGCCCCCCTCCAGCCCGCCACCCAGCAGCGAGTCCAGCCGCCCCGACCAGGCAGCCGGGCCTGAGGGGGGCAGGGAAGGGGCCAGGAGGGCCAGAAGGGAGGAGGCAGAGGGGTTAAAGAGAACCACAGGGCGGGGCGGGAGCGGGAGCGGGAGGGCCGGGAAAAGGTGGTGGGGCTGCCTCATGGCGAGGGGAGGAAGCGGCGGTGGGACGGATGGATGGACTGAACACAGGCCGAGCTTGCACAACCCCCAGCAACATGCAGCCCTTGGAACCCTCATCCCCTCACGCCGTCCACCCACCCCACCTGCCCCACTGCTGCCGCCGCTGCTGCTGCTTGTGAATGCGAAGTCCACAGTTGCGGGCAGCACACACGTCACCTGGAACAGGGCTAGGTCGGCGGAGGTGGTGGCGCCGTTGGGCAGGTAGAGGCGGAAGCGGTTGCTGCTGGGCTGCCTGGCAGGGAGGAGGGGAGAGGAGAGGAGAGGAGGGGGAGCAGAGGAGGAGGGAATGGCTATCCCGCTTGCCATGCTTACCGTCGACATGCCTACCGCCCTTCCTGCCCCCACCATTGCGCCCCTCTTCCAAGCTCTACACCTCCTCCGCCACCACCTCGCCCCCGCCCTCCCATCCCTCCCTCCCTGCCCCCCCTATTCGCACACCTCTCCAGCCGCTCCCACATGGTGCTCAGCATCAGCTCCTTCACCCGCAGCAGGTAGCCCTTCTGCTCCAGACCCATGCTCAGGTAGTCCAGCCGGCAGCCGCGACTGCGGGAGGAGCCTGCGGGAAGGGGTGGGGGCAGCGGGCAGGGGTGGGGGCCCCGGGGTGTTAAGAAACCTGGCCGGCAGTCGGAGCGTGTTGATGTCATGATGTGCCGCCCGCCCACCTGCCCCGCTCTCCAGCGCATGCAGCGCCCAGCGGCCGGCCCCCCGCCCCAGTGCGCTGCTGGCGCCCGACAGCAAGGTGACGGGGCCGCCGCGCAGGTCGCCCACCTCGCCCTCGGGCAGTACCTGCGGGGGGGCGGGCGGGCGGGCGGGGGGCAAAGGAGGAAACAAATAACTGACCGTGTGATAAGGCGTCATCGTGGGTTGCGGGGTGGGGGGCGGGGCGGGGCGGGCTAGTGCTCATGAGGGTAGTGCTGCTGAGGTTAGCGTAACAGGGTTGGTCGAGGGAAGGGAAGAGGGTCAGTTCTTTTCTCCTCCTCCTCTTTACCCTGCCACACTTATCGGTACCCTGATACCCCCCCAACACGGCACACACCCACACACGCACACACCTGCCACGGCTCCCGCGGCGTGTCCTCATCCCCCAGGTACATCACCACGCTGATGCGCCGCCGCCTGCCGGGCAGTCCCGAGGTGCGCCCCAGCTGCAGCCGCACCGACCAATCGCCTCCGGGACCCGACTCGGGGGAAAAGGACTTGAGCTGTGGGGGGAGGGGTGAGGGGCACATCAGGGGATCAGGAAAGAGGCCAAGCCATAGGAAAGCATGAAATAAAGGGGGTGGCAGTGCCGGTCATGGGCTCTTGGCCATGCAGGGGACTTCAGCACACGACTTGAATGCAGGCACAGAGTTCCTTACCATGGAGAGTGTGATGTTGTACTCCCCGTCGATGAGCTGTTGCGTGCCGTACGTACGGCCGTCGTGCTTCTTCCATCCGTACGAGGTAAGCCGATCCCCGTGGCTGGCCTCGTGCCGTGCCCTCATCTCATTCAGCGTGTTGGGGTCATCCGGGTCGAACCACAACAGGCCGGACAGCAGCGCTTTGGGTGTCCTGCACACACACGCACACGGGCAACAGTAATTAAACCACACAAAGACTCAGCAACAGCCCTATGAGTATAAGGTAATGCTACCAAGGTAGCCGTGGAAAGAGCGGAAGCGTGTTTACCGCGTGCGCATGCCGAAGTACAGCCCCGAGCGGTAGCTCCCCCACAGCATTTGGTCCTTGTAAGCTGCATCGAATTCCGCCAACTCCGTAAGCTTTGGTGCTTTTAAGGGTGAGAGCACCGGGGACTTAAACGGTCCACGGGTACGGTAGGTGATGAGTGCTGCCGCGATGGCGACCAAGCCCGCTGCAACGAAGAGCCAACGAGAGATTCCTCCACCGCTTGCAGCTGCGTAGGTAAGGTGTGCATCCTGTAAGTGACTGAGCATCGTCGAACCACCAGGGCTCGAAATGCGTTGTCAAGGGATCCGCACCTCTGCCTTTCGAACCTGCCATTGCTGCCTAATACCGGTCAGATTAATAAGTGTTATTGCACTATGTGTTAGGGCATTTCTTCCGGTCAGTTCGCATCGACGTTCGCTCAAGGGATAACCATGCAACAACGCAAATTTGCGCGAAGAGCGCCAGTGTGTGGCGAGGCCACACGCACAATCCGCTAATCAGCATTAGGCGGAATGGACTGCTTGCAAACGCCGAACTATTCGTACAAACGTCTTGCACTAGCATCCCAACCGTCAACGGTGCTCACAGCAATCGCAACCGCTTAGTAGCGAACCGATTGTTGCTGTCCTTCTACCATATTCTCCGTGCGATGGACACTTGTCATGTTCACGCCAAAGGCTCACAGTATACCATGGCGTTTCCATACCGGTATGATGACCAGAGGACGGGCCAGGACGCTATCTTGGGTTTCCAACCAACCGCTCCCCAAGCACCTGGTGGCGTTGCGTTGCTCCCCACAGACACAAACACAGCGCACCGCTTTGTAGTACCCCGCTAGCCAACAGCAGCATGAAGGCAGCATGAGCCGCACATAAGGTCCTGCGGGTCCGGGAGACCTGACTACTGGTAGCCCTTACGATTGCATATTTGTACTCGAGCTGCTTCCTTGGACGTGCCATGGGGGGAGGGTCGCATGCTCCATGAAAACACCTGTTCCCACACCCCAACCGCAAGGTGGTTGATCCCCTGTACGATTGCTTGTGTTGCAGTGACGTACGGTAAGCCAACGCAACAACAGCCAGCAGCACCAATGGCCCCCGCTGGGACTCCCTTCACCCACGTAAGCCGGGGAGCCACCGTTACACGCAGAAATACAAGTGCCTCACGGCGCTGCCTAAGAGGAGAGGCGCGAGGCGGCTAGTGTGAGCTGTAGGTAGTCGTCATTAAAGAGCGCAGCAGGTGCTTTACCAGATAAGGCGCTACACATCAATACACATACGAGGTACGACATACCCTTGCGGCTGTGGAACAGCAGGTGGCATGCGCGTACGGGATGTGGGAGAGACATGTGGGGGAGACGACAGGAGGCCGGTGTCGATATTCGTATAGCATGTGCATAACATATTTCGCGGCAGCCCCCATCAATGCTGTGGGGTCGATGCAGCCATGGCACTAGCAGTTGCTTACACGCGCCACCAACACACCGAGGGTTGGATTTCCACCACATTCCGACCAGGGCAGAGTACGCAGGATAGGTATTCGTCCGGGCTACGGGTTTGCTGCTTCGTGGCAGCTTCGAGTCCCGCTATGCATATGAGGGCCACGTGGGGCCAACCCGACCTCCCTCGCAGCTGTTGCTTGCCGAGTTGCAGGCCAACGGGACCTTGCATGCGCATATGTGCTGGTGGCTTAGCATGGAGTGGTCTATCGCACACATAAAGCCTGGCCAAGGTTTTTTAGTGCGTTGCATGCCCAATACGTCCCCGCCTCCGAGGTAGATTGCAACAAGGTGCATAATTATTGCAGGGACGCCGCCCCATTCTAGGTCCCAACTATCTGAGCGACAAGTTGGGAGCTAACGTTTCCCAAGGTTTGGGGATATCGATTCCCCTTAAGCAAGACGAAACGCAAGGCGCCTTGCGCGTATGACTTTGACATGTCAGCCTCAGCGCTGGAGATGTAAGCGCTGAGGACGCGGGGGAAGAGTGGCCCCAGAACCCCAAAGCGCCTTTTACATCCATCACAGGAGCTTTATCGCAGGAAATGTCATTGTTATCGTCGGGTGGAGGCACGGAGAAAGGGTGTTTTCTGTATAAGAAATGGCTATGAGGAGCTTCAATGCATGAAATGTGCAAGGCCCTGCCTGTGTCCTAAATGACAAACAATGCGCATAACCTTGTCATAATAATGCTAGTGCAGTTATGCACATTCGGTACGATGCAAGCGCCGTGGTCGCGATCCACGGCGTTGGCTGTACGACAACATTCAATTTGTCGGCTATGGGCAGATAAAGTCAGCGGCAAAGCAATAAAGTTGTCAGCAGCAAACCTGCCTAAAAACAATCTTGTAAAGTATCTCTGCAACCACTTAGCACGACAGCTCTAGTCAAAGCCGTTAGGTGAGAACAACGGTCCATTACTGGTCGCGAGCTCGCGACGAGGTGGCACTTGCTGCACTCGGTCCCTGCCTTACGAAAATTCAATCTTTTACCTGCTATGTATAACTGGCTGCGCTCATTCCGGGCTTTTCGTCGTGGTCCTTCTGTTGACATCTGTCAACATCTTCTGACAATGGACATTGCTACCCTTGACTTCAGGAATGGCGTCTTCCCAGATTATTATGGGCCTCGCGGCTCTGGTGTTCTGCACCTGGTAAGTTCTTAAGTAATGGTTGCGTCGTTAACGCGTACTTCACCGGTCGCCAAGGCGAGACAGCTCAGCGTTGACCATCCTCCGTTCAACAATTTGCCAATCGCAGGTCTGTCAGCCTTGCTGGCATTGCCTCCATCCAGGAGCAGTGCGACGCTAGCTGGTCGGCCAGCCTGGCGGATGTCACTGGCTTCTCCCTTGGCCTTCCCTGCATGAAGCTTTTCCGCTACTACTGGTGAGCGCTCTCGGCCCTTCCCAGCCACTCCAGCAAATTCTTCTCCTTCCTTCCGCAAATGAATGTAAACAATTAAATGCAAATCCATTTTCTGCAGGTTCATCGTCTGCCTGGAGTTCGTCCTCATCGCCGGTCTGGGCGCTGCCCTCTTCACTGGCTCCTTCACCAAGACCCGCTTCTCCTGGATGGGCCTGTTCTGCGTGGTAAGTGTACGATACTGCTGCACCCTTCATTTAGCCCCTTCCCTTTCAACCTACCTGCTCCTTCTTCCTCTTGCATTTCTTTGCCCAAGAAAAGTCAACTGTGTCGTAGCCTTGCTGCTGCCCCCGCTGTTCCTGCGCTCCTATCCTGCGTACGAATCTCTCGCTTACGAGCTCCTCTCCTTGCCCACCCTCTCGCTCGCAGGCCACCCTGCTGTACATCCAGATGACCGACACCTTCCTGACCATGCACTCCCTGACTGAGGACGCCGCCGGCCAGATCAAGCACCGCGTGCGCACCATGGTTGCCGGCTCCATCATGACCAGCACCGTCAACTGCTTCCTGGTGATTGCTCTGGGCATGAACGCGGAGGAGTGCGCCACCGCCGCCTGCGCCAAGGCTGCCTCCGTTTAAGAGTCTGGGCTGCAGTCTGATCTAGGCAGCGTGGGGATGGAGCGGATGATAGCTGTTGGATGCAGCCATAGCTGGCCATAGCACCGCTATCCCTTACACCAATTTTGTGTACATAACTGTGTCATATAACTGTTTAATAATCCAAAATGGACATAATATGGGGATGAGATGTCCCGACATACAGATGTACATATGTCACTTGTAACGATGTCAAAGTTTCTCAAGCGTCTACTTCCACATCGTCCATATCCTTGCATCACCCATCCGTCCAAACACAGCAGTTAGACATTGTTAAGCACAGCACAGTATAACAAGAGTCCGGCTTTCCGTCACGAAACTGCTTCACAACAGTGCGTCATATGTACATGCCCCCTCCACTGTTCCCAATCCAAGTGATGACCACCCCCCAAGGCAGCATTAAGATCGCCGGCGTCCCTTCCCGCTCTTTCCTCCGCTGACGGCCACTTTCGATGTGGAGGGGGCAGCAGCCCCATTCTCCACAGCCTTCGTGGTCAGGTCTGGAGAGCGGTCCTGGCTGATGCAGTGGACCGCGAGGATCTCCGGGGTGGCCGCCTTGGCCTTGGACGTGTCCAGCACAACCTGCAGTACCGGTAAATCAGAAGAGTCAAAGTATATTCAGAAATATTTCATTTCACCCCGTGTCTTAAATTGTCTGCACATACAGGTCCCAGCCCCGTCGACAGGCACCACGGTCAGCAACACACCGCAATGCAGCCCACCTTTTGGTTGTACTCGAGGTCCAGGCAGATGAAGGGCTCGCTGCACGCGTCCACCCGAGCCACCAGGTCCGCCAGGTTGGTGATGCGCGAGCCGTTGAGAGCCAGAACCTGCGGGGGGGGGGGGAGGAAGAAGAATCCCAAGGGTAGGGGGGCCAGCAACATGGTGCGTGGCAACATACAGCGGCCAGCGGTCAGGACTGGTACAAAGGCAGGGGGTTGGTACGGGCTTCATCATACAGGCTTCCCTAGTGTCTACAGAACCGGTAGCGCAACCTTGAGCCAGGGGAGGCAACGCACACCCGCACACCCTAAGTGAACGAACCGTGGCATGAGCGGGAAAGCTGCAGATACCCCCCCCGGCCTCTCCCAGTCTCTCCACTGACGGACCTGCGTGTTCTGCAGCTCCTCGTACCCCACGTTCACCTCAGCCGCCAACACCTGGCTCAGCACCACCACCTGGGGGGTAGTGGGGGATGGCAGCGGGGTGGTGATGGTGGAGGTGGAGGTGGTGCGGGGCAGGGTGGTGGAGCTGCAAAGAGCGCAGGGGTTCCCATGGTTGCCATGGACGCTAAACGACAGAGGATGCCCTAAGCAGCAGCAGCAGCAGTAGCTGGGCCCGACGCGGGGTACCGTACCTTTAAGTGAACCCCACCTGACGCCGAGAACCAGGCAAGACTTGCAGAACGTTTACAGGACCCGTATCCAGCCCGCCGGGTCTCAAAATACCAGCAAGCCGTGTATTCGTCCCTATCTTCATTGCCTTGCCCTAACCCATACTACTGGTATATCTCTGACCCCCCCACACACACACCTGTTCATCCGGTTGCGACGCCATGCCGTGCATCATCTTCTCCAAGAGCTGCGGGAAGGAACCGGAGTGGGGAATTGCATAAACTGAGCCGCGAGGAAACACTACCCGGAGTGGGGGTCAGGTGGCGCCAGGGTTGTACACCCGTGCACGCGGAGCAACAGGAGGCAGGTAGGGTGCACAGCTGCGGCTCCCTAACGGCACCTCGGACTGCCTCATCAGCACCCCATGTCTCCCACACGACACTCCTCTAGACTCCTCGTCACGCCAACGGTGCCCGTGAGATGACGCGATTGGAACTGCCGTGACATGCACCCGACACCTACCTTGACGGGTGCGTCGAAGTCGTACTCTTTCCCGTACCTGCACACGCAACACGGGGCATATCAAACAGGTTAGCTGCCCATCCAATTCCAGATTCGTAGGGTACCACACGTTTTAGGTACGGTAAGCAACTTACCGCTGACTGTGCAGCAAAAGGACAAAGCAACACCCAAGCAGCACTGTCACACCTCACACTAGCATCTTCTTTCCCATGGCCCGTTCTCTTGATGCGCACAGTTGCTTCAACGGGTGTAAGGCCCTTTTAACCCCTCTGGCCCATTAACCTCTGGCTTTAACCAGGCATCACGCTGTCAATCCCCCACGCCCACCACACTCACTCGCTGCGCAGGTAGGGCACGGAGACGGTTGTGAACACCAGCCCTGCCACGATAAAGTACGAGGGCGGCAGGCCGCGCGTGTGGAACGGCACCAGTCGCACCGGCGCCCGCAGGCTGACCCGGAACGTCTTCTTGGCGCCGTCCTGCAGCACCACCAGCTCCGCCTCCTCGTCCGAGTACTTGGTGCTCACCTGGTGGGAGGAGGAGCCGGGGGGCCGAGGACAGGTACAGCAGGAGGTGGGGAAATAAAGGTTACGGGTTCTGCCATTTTACCGGTATCCTAGCTCCTAGGCCACTTTGCTCACATGACATGACGGCAAAGAGCCTAGGCCCTGACAGGTCTCTGACGCTAACAGGCCTTTGCGCCCAAAGAGCTTAGGCCCCTGCACCCGTCAGGAGCCCGCACCCGTCAGGCCCCTGCACCCGTCAGCCCCCTGATCCCCCCCCGTCAGGCCCCCGCACCCGTCAGCCCCCTGATCCCCCCCCGTCAGCCCACCCCCCACACACCAGGTATGAGAAGGAGATGCGCTCGCCGGAACGGAAGGGCACCGTGCCGTCGTTAGCGATGGCCACCCCGTCGAAGGAGAGCAGCACGTCGTTCTGCCGCAGCACCGCCGACACCGCCGAGGTGGGCTCCACGCGCCGGATCAACACGCCCTTCTGACCCGCCTGCGGACACACGTGGGGGGTCGGGGTGGGGGAGGGTCGGGGTGGGTGCTGCGCTCAACGCTGCTAGGAAGCTAGCAACAAACCGCTCTCGTCAGGCTGTGCAGTCGCCTGCCAGCTTGCCCACGCTCTGGGTACCGTGCAGGGGGGTCAGTAAGCAGCGAGGTCCATATGCCGAGAGGTCATGCGATCCCGTTGCGGCCCGAAGGCCTTCCGGCTTCCTTCTCCGGCGCACAGTCGTACCCCGTAGTCCGCACCTGCATCTTGAGCGCCGTGCGCAGGTCGGGGTTCTCCAGCTTCTGCCACTCCACGCCCAGGGAGGGGAAGCCCGTATAGCGGCCGTGGCGCTCGTAGTCGGCCAGGAAGTGCTCCACCACCGGGGTGGGGATGATGTATCCAATGTTCTCCGCGTCCTCGTGCTGCGGTGCGGTGTAGGAGCGGGGGGGGGGGCCGGGTGAGGGCAGGGAGGGGCAGGGGAAGAGCATGTGAGGGTGGCAAGAGGTGGCAAGACGTGAGAGCCCGGCGGTGGAGGAGCGAGGTGCATCCAGCGCTGTTGCATGTGAGGTGCGTGGTGGCATACTGTTGTCCGCTGCTGCTGCGGTGCGCAGGCAACCCAGGCATGTGTCATGTGTTTCCTTTTTCCAACGAACGCCTGTCATGTTCCCCATCCTCCCCGCCCCCCCCTACCTTGAGTGACTGGAAGGCGATCCCCACGCACTCGCCCGCCTCGTTGAAGGCGGGGCCGCCGCTGTTGCCCGAGTTAATCTGTACGGCATGTACGGCACCCAGAAAGCGTAACAATGAATGTTCCTTAGTGCTCCTGCTTTGCTCAGCCCCTCAACCTCTTTCACGCGTTTCCATGGATCGCAACCACCCTCCAAGCCTACACCCTTACACCAGACCCACCAGCATAACAACCCCCTTTCCACCCCCGCCACCCCCTTTCCACGCCCTTTCCACCCCCTTTCCCCTCCCATGCATCGACCCACCGCCGCATCAATCTGAATGCCCAGCAGCTCCGAGGAGCCGTGCATGTAGGCTGTCACCTCGATGCGGCTCACCACCCCCGACGTCACCGACATCGTGTCACCGCCTGTCACACGTGAGCAGCAGGGGCGGGGGAGGGGTGATGGACACACACCTCCCTTGCGAGTTGCGACCGGTAACCAACTGACACTTGCCGACCTCCCTCCAGGTCCAAACTGTCCGTTACAAGTGCACCAAGAGGGCCCTGAACCCGCCAGCGAGCTTTTGTTCATGCGAAAGAGGGGCAGGCTGCGGAACTTACCAATGGGATAGCCAACGACAGTCTGCGAGAAGGAGTTGGCAGCAGGGAAGGGAAAGCAGCAAAGCGGTCAGTTGTCGCCGGGGCATTGGGCGCGCAAAGGGCTTGCAAGCAAGCGACATAAAACACATGATAGCGCTAGCTAGTGCTTGATCTGGAAGCACAGCACAGTCCTACACAGCGCACCAGAGCTCATGGAGTGCCACTCAACCCTCATTCTCCCCCCAGTTGGCAGCACCCCACCTCCCCGCCGCCCCGCCACCCACCACTGCGTCCTGTAGCTGCGGCAGCTGGCCGAATGTCACCGGCTCCACCCCCTCCCAGAACGCGTCATCCTCCACGGTTAGCAGAGCTGCGGGAGGGGGGAGAGGAACAGTGGCATCGTATCAAGAACGCCGACGAGGCCCTTCGGCTGCATGGTTACCCGGCGGCTTGTCCTCCGCCCTAAACACTCACCGATATCGCACTCCGTCCCCACCGAGAGCACCGACGCCACGTGCTTCACGTCCGAGCCCCGCCGCTTCACTTTAACCTGCGCAGTCCACCCGGCCGGCAGCCGCTAATAAGAGGTGCACTTCCAACATCAGGTGCAACAAAACAGTCTGACAGCTGCGGAGGTGCAACATGAGGGCACCCGAAAGCCTACAATGCATACCGCCATGCCAGGCGGACACAACAGCACTACTCGCGGCCAGTTTTCTTAACACAACAGTGAAACCAGATGCCGCCAAGCTGGCCTCATTTCGGCAATCATCCCGTTGTGTGTTTTCCCCGTGCGTCATTCATCAATCCCAGCCCCCTGAGCACCCAAACAGCAACCCAATCCAGGCAAGTGCAACCGGCGGGATGATGATGAAGGGGATTCCCAACCCGCCTCCTCATTATGGGGCCATTACGGGCCTTATGCTTGTGAAACCCCGGCCGCAGCCGCAGCCGCAGCCGAGCAAGCACACCCCCACCCACCTGCGTGTAGTGGTCGACGCAATGCGCGTTGGTGAGGATGCGGCGACCGGGCAACAGGAAGCCGGAGGAGGAGCTGCTGTACTGCCGCTTGCGCTGCCAGGGGAGCGAGTAGTTGGGCTCCGTGTGCATGCAAAACACCTGCGGGGCGGGGACGAGGAGGGGAGAAAGGGAGGGTCGAGCAGCCGATGGGGTTGGAAGAGGTCGGCCCTTCAGCCAGCGCAGGACAGCAGCACATGCGTGTAGAACAGCAAGTGTAGGTGCACAGCTTTCCTCGGCCAACTCTGACCCTCAAGGCCACAAGGTCCCATGCCAATTCACAAGTTTGCATGTCAGGTTGGCCAACGCAGATGTGTGTTGCCAACCCAACCGCGACGCGACGCAACGCTCTTCTCCATCGCCTCGACGCATGCACATGCGTCCTCCGCAGACAACAGCGCCTGCCACAAGCCACATGCCGCAGCCTGGAGCTGGAGTGTATGCATGCGCCCCGGCACACCCCCCCGTGCCCCACCCGCATGCGCCCCCCGTGACCCACCCGCATGCTTTCTTCTCACCTTGACGACGGCCTCCATAATGGAGTCGCTGTCCGCCGCACTGGAGTTTGGACCCCGGCCACGAGGCTTGGGCGGCAAGCCCGTCAGCTGTGCACCTACGCCCGCATCCATGCCCACATCCGCGGACGCCGCACCGCCACCGCCGTACTTGCGGCGGGCATTCCGCCGCTGCTTGGCCTCCGCGCTCACCGGCGCGTCACCGTCAGCCGCGGTGACATCCATTTTTTGGCTGCGGCTGCGGGTGCGGGGAGATGTGGGCCGCAGCTCCTCTTCTTCGTTTTCAGACGTCGAGGGTCCAGCCTCGGCCTGCATGGTCGGGGGAGCGCGGAGGGGTTTTGAGGAATTTGGAGGGGTTGCCAGGGCCAGAGCACTGCTACCAGGCCCAGGAACACGGTTGGGCCCCGGGGTCAGGGCCGGGTTCTGGCTTCCTAAGACTGACGTCAGTATGTCACAGTCGCAAAACAGGTGTATAAGTGTGTTAGAGGGCAAGAGGGTTGCTGCAGCCGCCTGGAAACCGCATCATGTCATGCAGGTCAAGCCATAAAAACACTGTAAGCGTAGAGATACTATATGACAATAGTCTACCTTTGCGTCGTCAGCGGTTTTAGCGCTCTTTGGCTTTTTGCGAGGTGGCATGGCGCCGTCGATCTACTAGCGCGAGCGATAATGTGAAGTGGTGACAAACGAAAGCAACACAATTAGTTAATGTGAACGATTCGCGGTTTATCTATGCTGTATTGAGCTACTTTCATGCTGTCGCCGTAGAAAAGCTCGTATGCCAATGAACAGTACTTCGCCATCACGCCATGTACTCATCAACCTTGGCTGTTGTGACTCTTATAAGCAGCTCGCTTACGATCTAAATAGAAAACGTTAAATATCCCTATCAGAAATAGCACTGAGTTGTTAATGTAGGATACCAGACACAGAACACCGCACCCGCAGTGCGACAAATTACAATAGCAAATCACATTAATACAGCTAAGCGGAAATGGAGATAGAGCTAGAGGAGGTGGAGCGCCAGCTGCGGAGCGCCAAGGGCGTGCCCAGCGCTGACAAGCTCATCAAGTACCTGAGGCTGGTCAGTATGTATGAGATCTATGAACGCTTCAGGCTCTTGACCCTGGAGCAAAGGAAGGGACGGGTTGCTTCCCGCACCCGTGGGCTCCTAACTGCTAAGCAGGGTTTGCGCGTTACTTGGCTCCGCGTAAGCTGCCGCGCAACCTCCCTCCACCCCACCCACGCCGCTGCCGCCGACTTCGCCGCTGCAGGTACGCGACCTACACATCCGCGACTCGCCCACTGTTGCACGGTACGGCAACATCCTGCTGCGGCACTACCGGAGCCACCTGTCGGAGGAGGAATGTAAGCATGAGACATAACATCGGGTAACGGGGATGCTGGTAGCAGGTTCCAGTTGCAGGTGAAAGAGGCCAGTTGGGCCCAACAAGGGGCTTCTGGTGCGCCCGCATTGGCTCCCTGCGACCTCCACCCTAATGCCGGCACCTGCAAGCAGGGGCGAAGCGCATACACGTAGTCCTTTTCGTCCGCCCAGCATGCACAAGGCAGAAGCGAAATTGCAAGGCTTACGCATCGCCGCGACGTCTGGCATGCCCTAGGCAGGGCGGCCTTGCAAACCCTTCCTTCCGACCGCATTGGTGCTGCCATCCTGTTTTATCCCCGTCTGCCTCCCGCTGTTTGCCTCTCGATCCCCCCCCCCGCACAACACACCCCGGCCGCCCGCCCGCTGCTGCAGTGTGGACGGTCCACGAGCAGGTGGCGGTGGCGGCGCTGGACAGCCACGCGCTGCAGTTCGCCGCCTCCGCCATCAGGGCCATCAACCGCCGCTTCCCGGACAGCAACCGAGCCAGGAGGCTGCAGGCAAGAGGAGCGGGGAGGCGGGAGGCAGGGGCAGGGAGGCGGGAGGCAGGGGCAGGGGCAGGGAGGGGCGGCAGTGATATAGCAGAGGACCCGCACGGAACCCGGTGCTGGCACGTGTGCTGACGCGTGATGGGTGAAAAGAAGCTGTGCGCACGTGGGGCGCATTGCGGTGATCATGTGCGCGTCTGCAAGCCTGTCGTTAAACGCCTTGTGCGGAACGGGTTGCCTTTCGTGCATGAGGGCAGCATGACGTCTCGTCTCACAGGGGCCACAACACGTATGAGTGCACACACGGTGCGCCTGCACCCGCCGCTCTCCGCTGCTGCTGCAGGGCATGTACTTCGAGGCTGCGGGGGACTACGGGCGCGCCGAGGAGATCTACCGCGACATCCTGGCGCTGGAGCCCGCCAACGAGGCGGCTCTGAAGCGCCTGGTGGGTGGTGGGCGTGTTAGAGCAGCTGGGTGGGTGGTGGGCGTGTTAGGTTAGCTGGGTGGGGGCTCAGCGCAGCAGTGCTCCTCGCAGAGCGGGAAGTGACCTCATGCAATGGCCGGTCAGAGGAGGCGTGCCGGCATTGAGGTGTGGGTCGGTATGCTCACCTTATCGCGGCGTGGATAGTCGCAATGCGATGGCTGTAACATCGCTGCTGCGCGACGACGCTGCAAGGACAGCGCGTGCCAGCGTGTTACTAGCCCAGTGTCCACATGCTGCTCGCCTCCTTCCTGCATACAGCAGCTCCTTCCCCCTTCATCCCCTTCCCATCATCCAGATTGGGACTCCAGTTGCCGCACACCTCATTCATTCTTGTTTCCCCATCCGACCTCCGTCTCCTTCCCCTCATGCGCCGGGGCTTACGGTACCCCCCCCCGCCCGCAGGTGGCCCTGGAGCGCAGCCGCGGCAACCTACACGCCGCTGTGGAGGCGCTGCGCAAGTACCTGGACGTGTTCGCAAACGACAAGGAGGGCTGGGAGGAGCTGGCGGAGCTGTACCTGGAGGTGGGGGGCCGGGGCGGGTGAAAGTAAGGAAACTGACGAGGCAGCCAGCGAGCTGTGGGGGGGCGGGCGGAGGGGGCGGGCGGCGGCCCTGGGGCGGGCGGCGTGCTGGGACCTGTGAGGCGGAGCGGCAGCACGCGCATGCAGGGCCAATACACCATGCATGCGTGGCAGCTGGGATGGGGTGAAGTGGGTGTGTTTTGGTAGTGAAGCGGCATTGCGGTGTCTGCCTTCCCTGTGTTTGCGGTTGCTGGGTTGCGTGCGGTGTGCGCGTTCTTAACGGCGGGTGTTGGTGGGTGCAGGAAGGGCGAGGTGTACAGGGGCAAAGCCTGGGCTGGGCTGGCCAGAGCGAAAGGCGTGACGCAGCTTCAAACCCAGGGTTGTTTCTCCCCCCTCCGCCCCGCAGGCCCTGAACTACCGGCAGGCGGCCTTCTGCTACGAGGAGCTGCTGATGCATGCGCCGGGCAACAGCAGCTACTACATCCGATATGCGGACATCCTGTACACCCTGGGGGGCGCAGCCAACTGCAAGTAAGCATGCCACCCCCTTCACAAGGCCCCAAGGGGCACCGAATTGAGGAGGATTCCTCCTTGATTCTCGTCTTTGTCCGCCCTTCCAGTGTCCCAGGGCAGCCCAGGGGGTAACCCGACTAACCCCTGATAAGCTGCGAGAAGGGGCTCGTACCCTCGTGCATCTGGCCCGTCTGACCCGATATAACCAGCATATCCGGGCAGGACTCGAGCTGACGGGCGCAGCTGTTGCACCCACAGCGTGCAAGCTGCCATGCATGGCCTCACCTCACGGTGCTGCCCCTTCTTCCCTCCCTCCTTCCTCCTGAGCATTCCTCTGCCGCCCCAACCCACCCACCCGCGCATGTGCAGGACGGCTCGCTCCTACTACGCGAAGGCTGTGGAGCTGACCGCGGGTGGCAGCCTGCGGGCGCTGTTCGGCATCCTGGCCTGCTCTGCACACATTACGGACAAGGCAAGTACTGCAACGGAAAAGTAACGGAAATTTGGGATGCGCTTTAACAGCAAAGGGTGTGGTCCTACGACTGCTGCACAGTTGCAGTTGCAGTTGGGTCTGGGGAGCCCGGGTTCAGGAATATCGAAAGCAATAGGTTCCCTTGGTCGGTTTTGGTGCGAGCCCAGCCCCCTTTGTGTCCTGTACTTTGCCATGCACCCACATCGTAATGTCACAGAGTAGGATTGTAGAATGCTGTCCTTAAAGCCATGTTTGCACCTGAGGTTATTTTCGCACATGTGGCAGTGTTATAGAATTCCATTCGTCTAGTGGGACAATGCGGCCAGACAATGCCAGCCAAAAGCCGTTCCGTTGCCGACGGACCCCTGGATCGCCGTGACATGGGTCGCTGCCGCCGCCACTAACATACGCCTTTACCGTCAAGACTCATGGATGGGCGACATATACTTTTGGTGTGCAGCAGTATGTTGGAGACCCCTAAGCGGCACTCGTCTTGCTTTGCGTTGGTTTTGCGTAGGGGACAGCACATTTTGCGTGGTCCATAGCACCAAGTGTGCTTTGAGATTTACAACTTGTATCCTGTATGGCCTACCCGTATGCTCCCTACTGACCCTTTGCAGGTTGCCCTCCAAGATGCGCGAAGCCGGGCACAAATTGAGCTACCCGAGGTTACGACCAAGGCGCTTCTGCGCATTTACAAGCAGCACGCACCGGACAAGCTGCCCTTCGTCGAGCCAATCTTGGCAAAGCTTAGCGGCCATGGGTTGTAACCCGAGGGATTACAGCTGTATGGCTGTGACTAGGAACGCTATCTGGACGGCTCAACTTCAATTGTAACATGCGGCATGGTTCCAAACTTTGTAGCCTGTGTAGCCTATAATTTTTTAAGAATTCTCGTGTCCGAATTCTCGTGTCTGTAATAATATGTCCTGGAGTCCGATTGACCGCAAGTCCAACGGGCCAAGAAGCTTTTCAGCCTAGAAGCTTCTGTCCTTTTGCCTTACACCAGACGAGAACGCCCAATAGCAAATACCGAGATCAGCGGTAATGTTTTTATTAGAGGCGATTCCGCATAGCGTAAGCATCCCATCAATGGTCAGCACGTAAGATTGGGTCAAGAACTAACGGTATTTGTCGTACTTATGCTCTTGTACTCTTCTTTCGAGAATGCCAGGGTTTTACCCTACCAGAGGAGCTAGAAGCTGTAAATTAACATTGCGCATTTACAATGCGCGGTTGCGCCATAAAATTTTGAAATGGACGTGCTGGAACATGATGCCAGCTGGCGTACGGCAGCCTGTGCCGCTATATATGGCTTCGCCAGCTAAGCGCTGAACATAACATTCAGCTTTCCACCACGTTCTCAGTAATCTTGTAAAACTTCACTACTTCTCTCGTTCCTTCGGAATCTCACCGCGCCGGTCAAACCCTACCACAAGGTGAGCTTCACACTACAATTTTACTTGCTTATCCCACCTAGTCTGCGGCACCATTAATTATGCGCTCCCAGCGCTCAGCAACATAAGCTTTGTCGCTGCGCTTTCGGGGCTTGTGGTAGCCGTCGCCATTGACTCGTCAACAACGCCTTTTCCCTTTTCCATCCCAACTCCCTTCAGAAATGGCGTCTAACTCGATTGTTATGGGCCTTGCCGCCCTGGTCTTCTGCACCTGGTAAGCAAGGGGCTTCGTCAACCGCTTCGTGCCGAAGCTTCTTGTCGCGAACTTCGCTTTGTGTCTTCTTACTATCATTTTAACCCAGCTAACGCAATTATCTTTCTTTAATTACAGGTCTGTCAGCCTTGCTGGCATTGCCTCAATTCAAGAGCAGTGCGACACCACCTGGCACGACATGCTCGCTGGCGTCAACGGCTTCTCTGCCGACCTTCCTTGCTACAAGGTCTTCCGTTACCACTGGTAAGCTTTGATTATGTACAAATAGTTTATTCCGTCTGAGTCTAGACATCTAGACTTCATAACTCACTATCCTCCTTCCTTCCAGGTTCATTGTGTGCCTCGAGTGCGCTCTGATTTTCGGTCTTGCTGGTGCCCTGGCGACTGGCGTCTTCGCCAAGACTCGCCTTTCGTGGATGGGTCTGTTCTGCGTGGTGAGTCCTGGGTACTGGGGCTGGCGAACATGTCTTGCAGCATGCTATTTTCGTTGCCTCTATGTTCAACCTGCTTATTAGTTGCCTACCTCTCTTATTAGTCGCCTGGGGCATAGCTCACTTCTCGCCTTCTTTGTCTTTTGCAGGCCACCCTGCTGTACATCCAGATGACCGACACCTTCCTCACCATGCACGGCGTTAGCGAGGACCTGTCCGGCCAGATCAAGCACCGCGTGCGCACCATGGTTGCCGGCACCATCATGACCAGCACCGTCAACTGCTTCCTGGTGATTGCTCTGGGCATGAACGCGGAGGAGCCCACCCCCACCCCCATTGCTGAGAAGGCTGCTTCTGTTTAGGTTGCTTAGGCTGTGACCTGTGTAGTCTGCTGTCTACAATATACATATTCTGTGATTACATCTCCATGGCTATCTTCATGGCAAAATTTTGTAGGTATATTAGTCACGGGTATAGTGGTCGTGACATAACATTTCCGTGACCAATTTTCTCTCTTTCAATCGAACAAAAAATTCATTATTATTAAACGCGTTACTCTGGACAGCAATCAATGTTGCCAATCCAAAATCAACTCAACTGTAACGATCTTTGTCGCCATAACCTGACACGGCCTACTTCTAAGCATTTCGTAGCTGCATTAGCAAAGCAAGCGCAGCCGAGAGGTCTTGTGGTGTCATCGGGATGCCGACACCCCCACCAGCGGACCTCGACGATACCTGGGATATTTGGGAGAAACACAACTTTAGTCGGGGAATATCCATTTCAACCTACATGATAACCGCTAGTTGTCACAACATACTTGCTTCTGTCCGCATGTAGTCCTATTTACTCACCCGGCTGTAATCGTCTGCGCGTTGGGTGGACGGCCGGACGTGCCCCATCGCCTCTTCCAGGTCTTCCAGGCCCAGCTTCCGAATGCTGTACGGAGCTGGCTGCCCGCTCGACTCACTGCGGCGTGCATGAGGACGAACCGGAGCGGAGGAACCTTTAAAGCAACCATAACTTCCAAGACTCAGAAACTGCTTCGGTGCCTACAGGCCTGCCTGCTTCAGTGCCCTCGGTCAAAATTTCGATCATTCAACTCTGGCACACCTGCACACCCTGCATGCCCCCACCCAACCCGGAGTCTGCTGCACCCTATCCTACCTCTGCTGCAGCTCGTGCAGGTGCTCCGCCAGCACCCGCTGCGCCGCCTGCGAGCTCAGCTCGAGCAGGTCGCTGCCGCTGTAGCCCTCCGTCGCCTCAGCAATGCGGTCCAGCGCACTGGGGCTGCTGCTGCTGCTGCCGCCCTCCTCCACCGCCAGGAGCTCCTCGGCCACACTGCCCGGCACCTCCGCGGCGTGCTTGCGCAGGTAGCCCAGCAGGATGGCCTTGCGCTGCGCCTTGCCGGGCAGCCCCACCTGCGTGCAAGATACCGGTAGGTACCCACCGGTAGGCCCTTCTAGGACGGCAGCTACGGTATCGGCCAAGATAATCACGGTTTCACTCGGCAAGGCTGATGTGACGTTAGGAACAGTCCTGTCCTGCCCGCGTTTTACGTCCACGGCTGGATTCCGGCTGGATCCCTGCTCTCTGTTCTCCCTCTGTCACAGCTGGCCCAGCTCACCTCGTACATGTGCGTGAACCGGCGCAGCACCGCCTCGTCCACCATCCAGGGCCGGTTGGTGGCGCCCATGACCACCACACGCTGCGAGGGCAGGGTAAGGGAGTTGGACAACATCATGAGAAGGTGTTCCAGGGCGTCGCATGAGGAGGACACTGGGAAGGGGGCGGAGAAGGATCTAGCCATCCGGAAAAACGCGCTGTAGTCTAACAAAAGCATGCCCGGCACCGCACCTGCCCACGGCTCGACTCCATGCCATCCCACAGCTGCATGAACTCCGTCTTGACCTGCAGCGTGGCCTCGTGCTCGCTGCTGGCGCCGCGCTTGCCCAGCATTGCATCCACCTCGTCTGGGGTTGGCAAGCGGGAGGGAGGACAAGGGGGTTAGGCGCGCACGGCACACGGCTCTCGTCTCCTATCTAACAAGGGCTGTCGTGCTCGCAGTTCTGAAGGATACCGTTGAATCACCGAAACGGCTTACAAGGAGCGACAGTGCTCGTTCCCCGCCCTTACAAGTCCTGCCATGGGCATGGGCATGCGACACACGTGCATTGCTCCGCATACAATGTCGCAGCAGGCAGTCATGTGCTCATGTCAGCAACGGCAATCCCTCACCGATGAAGATAATGCAGGGCTGCAGCTTTGACGCCAGACTGAACACCGCGCGCACCAGCCGGTTGGCGTCCCCCAGCCACTTGCTCATGATGGAGGAGACGGTGATGTTGAGGAAGAAGCAGCCGGACTGCTTCGCCACAGCCTGGGCAAGCAGGCAGGCAGCAAGGACAGTGGGCCGTTTGTTAGCTGACGGTCGTCAGAAGCAGCAGCATCAGCTAAGCTCTCAGCAGCCGACATGAGGGGCCGCCCGCAGCAGCGGACTCCAAGCCACCAAGGCAAGACCGGGTCCATCCCGGCTCCCTCACCTTTGCAAGCATGGTCTTGCCGGTTCCAGGCGGTCCGTACCTGCAGAAGGGGCCAGGTTGCTTGATTAGGCTAGGTACCGACAACCGTCCAGAGCAAGATACGCATACAGGAGGAAGGGATAGGCAGGCTAAGGAAGGGCCACGGTCGCAAGCCCACTTACAGGAGGACGCCCTTCGCCTGCTTCCAGAGTGTTGTCCGGTACAGCTCGGGCCGCGTCAGGGGGAACAACACCTTGGTCTCCTGGACAGGCGAAGACAAGGCGCCGGAGGAGGGGTAAGGCATGGTGGAGGGCGAGGCATGTCGAGTCGGGAACCGCAACCGGCTGTTGCTCCCGCACTGTGCATGCAACGTATGCCATGCAGTACCTACCCAGGCCCATCTATGAGAATCACCCTCCCCACATCCATATGGTGCCCGCTTCAGCGCAACCTTAATCCCCGCCAAGGGCGCAAACCGCCATCTTAGTCCCCAGCCCAGCCCCACGCATCCTTCCATGCACTACTCCAGCTACTGCCGTTGCTATGCCTTTGTAGCAGCACCCCACTCCACTCCACTCCACTCACCACCCCATCCCAAACCCGTATCGTTTTGCAAAAACCCTTGCAGCCTCCCAGTCGGTCTGCCACTCTGCCTGCCAGTCGGCTTGTGCGGCCCCAGCCGGCCTGCCTGTACTCACCAGGTCGCTTACGATGCTGTCCAGCCCGGACACGTCCTGCATCTCCACTTCGATGTGGTCGGGGTTCATCACCTGCGCCGCCAGCAGCTGCTCGTACTCGTTCAGGTCCAGGGAGCGACCCAGGTGCTGCTTCAGGAAGGCGGAGCGCTTCTTGGCCTGTGTGGGTGAGCGCGAGAGTGGCAATGGGGGTGTAGTGGGTGCGGTGCTGTGGGTGTGCATAGAGAGGAGGAAGGGGAACGGGTGTGGGGTGCAACGGGTAGGGCCGCAGAGGTATGTGGGCGAGGAGTGGCGTGAATGTGGGGCAGGGGTGAGGTTGATGGAAACGGAAGCGTACCTGCTCACGCTGCTCGCGATAGGGGTCCAGGTATTGTACGCACAGCTTGAGGCCCCATACCATGGCGCCCAATGCTACAGCATTTGTAACCACCTGCCAGGGGCACACGATAATGATGATTTTTTGGAGACATGCTACGTGGCTTGCCTAATGCCTGTGATCCTAGGATGTGTAGGCAACTAGGCATGGTGCGAGGCACGGCAGGTTGGGTTCCCGTATACCCGTCGCGGCAAGCCACAAGGCAACTAGCTTGAAATTCGTATTTGAATCAGTGTCCGTTAATGCCTCGCACCTCAACCCATAGCCGCCGGTGCCCAGCATGGTCCATTTTAGAAACTGAGGCCCTGGGCCGGCCCCTGTCCGTTTCCGTATGCCCCGTAATGTTAGCGACTCGTTCTCGTGGCGAAAGATGCAAAAACACTGCCTAGGAAACGCTCTTGACAGTGTACTGTGGAGCGTTCCCTTGCTCTGTGCTAAACACCAATAAATGTCGGGTGTGGGTAGTATCACAAAAGATTTGGGTCACTTTATCAAGGATTACTGCAAGGGTTGCAACTGACGTTTACTGCTCGGTTGACGTACGCACCTCACATTGTAGTGTAATCCTCGCTTTCTAATCTGCTAGACCGAAGCCGCGATGTCCTTCTGCAATTGTAAGCTGCCGGTAAACTTTGTCCAACATTGTTGCCTTCAGTTCCCCGCCAATACCGCCTTAGGGCGGTCTGCGTAGTTGGTTAGCCACATGGATAGCCGTCCTGCATTCTGCAGAGACCTCAGCAATGGAGCCCTTCTAGTTTGCACTACTAGCCTTGTTGGCGCTGGTTGCTGCTGGTCTTCATTTACGTTCAGGGTCCAAGGGTCATGTGCAAAATGCAGAGCCTGGACGTCAAGCGGTTCCATGCGTCTCGCAAAAAACACCTTGTAGATTTCCGCTTACTGTAAGTAATCTTGCACACTGACAGGCGGGTAGACTGACCCTACGCCACCTGTAGGGGAGAATGAAACATCATGGCCCGCCTTCCCACCAACAAAGCACTTCTAATGTAGATTGCCCCGTGCACCATGCGGTTGGAGGCGGTGCGGTCCCATTCCTCGAGTGCTGTAGTACCTGAAGCGTTGCTGTCCCCCTTTTCTTGACGCCCTCACCTTCCTGCCCCCCAAGCTTCCCCCGGCAGCTGGTGACTGGCACTGACACTGACATTGCATGGTCCCTACACCTACGCATTGTACGAACACTATGGGTACTTAGCTGGGGACATTGGGATTCGGAAGCTCAATGGTTTTTGGGACCATCGTGGGCGCTAGCGGACATCACACAAGTGGCACCCTTCTGCAGAGGGTGTACGCAAGGATACATGCGTGCTGCACCCTCAGCGACAGCACCTCGTGTGGAGTGATGATAGTTTCCCCTGCTGGGAAGAGGGCCATGGTTGGGTAGGCCGTAGGGCAGCGTGGTGAGCCGGGTGGGCCGCGGGGGTGGGTCTCAGCGCCATAATTGAAATCACTATTGCTCACATAGGGACTGCGTGTGTGGAGGGGTTTTTAGGCTGCTGACACAGTAGCCGCCAGACGCGTGCTCCCTGAACTGAATTTGCGGAACATTCATCTTGTTAAGGTACGTAGCTTCATAGCAGGATCGTACCATTGCACATTTGCTAAGGGGTGTTCAGCACTCTGGGTACGGTGCCCCGTACCGGTACCCACCTTGTCGTGCACAGGGACGCCAGTGATGAGTTCCTGTAACAACACGTTTTGTCTTCAAAGTATAATTATCATCCTGTCTGTGCTGAGACTTGCTGCAGTGCTCTTAGAAGCTTCCATAGCCACAGTAATCGAACAAGCACGCCGTCTGTACCTGCTGTCCATGAGCACTGCAGGGAGCCCAAACGTTCTGTCGAGATATCGAGAACTATTACGCCTTATTTTGAGGCTCCCGCAAACGCAGCGTTCACAGGCCCTCAACGAGGCTCGGACAACCATCCGCTCTCGACGATCAGTGACGAACCCTGAGGAGGTTCTTAAGCATCACAAAGAACTCTCCTCTAAAATCGGCTATCTACGTATAATCACCCCTAAGCGGCCAGGCGAAGTTCAGTCAGGGTCGTACATCGTCCGCGACGGCAGGCTTATACAGGGTGCTGGGGAGGCCAAGGGGACGAGGTGCGCAAGGACATACATATGCTGAGTTCTTGTGGCACAACTGATTGGATGTCGGTGTCGTTGCAGGGTTGCGGATGGCACGATAACTCACGAGGAGGCCATGCGGCGAAACGAGCGAGACTTCAAGCGCTTCTACGGTGCAGCAAAGCCCAAGAACATGCTGTTTTAGTAAAATCAGGTTTCTGCCTGCCTCCTCATGGACTCAGGTGGAAGTTGGCAAGGCTGTACTAAACTGCACCCTCTGGGGTTAGGCCATGGCCCCTGAACTGATTGTAACCGTCTAACTGCAAAAACACAGCTCCGAGCCTCCACACCAATCGCTAAGCATCGGCATTGTCCCGGGAATCCATAGACCGTCACAAGAAGCCCGCGTGCGTTGGCACAGCAGCAGTAGCACACACGATTTCCATGTACTGCTATCATGCACATACCAATGCACATACGTATCGGCATGTTGGTCCGAAACGCGCATGCGGTACACGCCAGCGTTTGCAGCTCATTCGACGCATTACCCTGTCAGAGCACGCCAGTGACCGTGGCGTGTTTACACTATCTTGGAATCGCCGTCCCACATGCCGCTGCTGCCGCGCTTGTAGTGGTTACGCCGCGGCCGGCCCTTCGCGTCATACTTGCCCGGCGGCGGCATGTCCGAGAAGACCTTGGCAATGTCAATAGTCAATGGACATCGGCCGAAGACGGTGTCGGGATCCAGACCGCGCTGGGCGCGTAGCGCTTGACGGACCTTGTCCGGTGCAGCCCACTCGGGCAGGGGCTTCCGAGGGCGTGGTGAATCCTCATCGTCCGAGTCACCGGCATCAGAGTCGGACCTGCAAACCATCAGCAGCCAGCGCTTGAACTTTAATAATGATGACATGAAGCGCCGTCTGCAATCCCTTTTCCAGCACGGACAGGGCAACACAGCAAGCATGCGTTTCCATCATGCATTCATGCCTTTGACACGAACAAACCTACTTGTAAGGCGAAATCTCGTAGCTGTTAAACTGCGGCTTGGTAGCGGTCGTCACCCCTGGCGTCCGTGGCTTGACCTGCGCAATGTACGGCGACGTCTGGATGGCATGCACGTGGCGACGCTCCTCCTCCGTCAGGTCCGCGCCACCAGGCGTGCTGTTTTCAATACCCGGAGCTTGCTGGGAGCTACCAGCGGCGGCGCCTGCCGCCTGCCGCAGCTGCTTGCCGCCCTGCGCAGTGGCGTTGGTAGCCGCCGGCAGGTTGACGCCGACTGAGGTTCCCGCCTGTGGCTTCACTTGCCCGGCAGCTGCGCCACCCTTTGCGTGCACCGCAGGCAGGAGCTTGACCTGCATCTGCACTGCAGGCGACACCATGCTGGACGCCAATGGAGCAGCCTTCGTTGCGGGTGTCTTCGCCGTGCCAAAGCCAGCCTTCGGCGCAGGTGTCTTGGCAACGCTTGGGCCGGTGGGACCTGTCCTGTTGTTCTCCGGCTCCGGCTTGATGGTGACACCATAGGGCCCTGAGGTCGCACGCCATGCAAACACTTCAGGATGCAGTTTTGAAACGCGACACATATTTACACTAGGCAGCGGCTGGCAGCTTAATTGACCTATAGCAGCAACCCAAAGCAGATGTGCTCGAACGTTTAGTGACTTGCGATCCCTGTCCAGACAGACATGAAACTATTACCCTACCTGCCCCACCAGCGTTGGGTGCCGGCCGCTTGCCCGCAGCAACCGGGTTGCCAGCCGCAGGCGGTGCGGGTGGCCGAGCCGCACCCGCACCGACTCCGGCGCCAAGGCGCTGCTGTTTAGCAGCTTCAAAGTTGCGCATCTTGTCGTCTTTAGCCTTGTTGCGCGCTTCCAACTCGGCACGCCTCCGCTCCTCCTCCTCCTTGCGCCTCGCCTCAACACGCTTGTGTTTGTCAGCGGCGGTTTCACCAGCCGCAGCGGGCGGACGACCCATGGGCCGTGGAGATGCGACAGGCACAAACGATGTTGCCGTCGAGGCGCTAGGCGCCGCCGCTCCGGCAGCAATGGGCGCCGCCGCAGATGCGGTGGCTGCGGCATTGTCCTCTCCGCCAGCAGCGTGGGTGGCTCTGTTGTATGGTAATCAGAGGAAGGTAAACGGGTAGTTACATTTATGTGTCGTCTTTTTCATCAACCATCCACACAACTGACCCTTGCAAAGGCACTTTACTAGGTGTTCCGGAGGGACACATAGTGGCGACCTAGAACATGCATGATACCCCATGTAACCAATAGCAAAATCAGCTTGCACCAGCTCACCTGGCAGCGGCGCCAGCCTTATAGCTTGGGGCGGCACCTTGCGACGCTGCAGCAGCCGTCGTCGCCGGCTTACGACCCGCACCCAACTCGGCCGCCGAACGCTTGGCGAGCTCCTCTCTTGCTTGGAAAAAGGCCAACTTGTCCCTGACGCTCATGGACGTGGCTGTTGCCGTGCTGGTCGCAGTCGTCCCTATATAGGCGGATTGAGAATACGCACGAGGGGAGACAGGCAGGGTTAAGAACCACGCATGGCACGTTTTCAACAGACCGTTCTTCGCCCAGTCCTACCGCAACTCGACGCTAAGGCTACGTTTCTATGCAGTACACTTCTGCGCACGGCACATTTGCCCACCCACCGTTGCAATGCTCGTCTACAGCTGTCGATTTCGTTATTAAGGGTGCTGCGCCCATGCCGGCCGTACATGCTGACGCCGTCGCCACGTCGTGCTGGCTGGCCGAAGGGGCCGGCGTAGGCCGCGCGGCAGCGGCACCTTGATGCGCCACAGGCGCCTGCCGTGCCGTGCCGGGCTGCGCGTTGTTGGCAACATCTGGCTGGCCATGTCGCTGCCGCTCGGCACGCTGGGCGCGTTCAGCAGCGCGCGCCGCCTCCTTCTCCTTTGCAGCCTGAGCAGCTTTCTGCGCAGCCCTCAGCGCCTTGACCTGAGCGGCAGCAGCGGGTTAGGGTCAGATTGAGCCTTAGAGCTTCCTCACCACTGTCACGAGGCACGAGTGATGCACGCATGGTGCCGGCAACCATTTGCAAGGTCTCAGGCTTCACAGCATGAAATGACAAGACCGGCGACATCTTCAATAAAGCAAATGCATACGTCCGAGCAATGATTCGCATTTGGTTACCTCGACAACAGCCCTTCCAGCGGCAGGCGGAGGCGACGGCGCTGTACGCGTTGGCAAGAAGCTGCGCACACAGGATATCAGGTTGCCGCCCTTGGGCTTGCTGGGCTGACCTGCCTCCAATGGCCGGGGTGCAGCTCCATCCGGCTTGAGGGGTGAGACTGCGGGCTGGCGCGCCACAGCAGTTGCCGCCACGGGCTGTGCAGCTGCCGCCGAGGGCTTACGTGCAGCTGCACTAGCGGCTGCCGTGTTGCCCTCATCAGCAGTGCTTCCTCCTGCGTCCTCAACGGGACCCTCTTCGTCAGCCTCGCCAGCACAGCCCTCGCCGTCGGCATCAGCTACAGCGGCTTCTTCGTCAGCCTCGTCTGCCGATCCCTCGCCGTCGGCATCAACTACAGGGGCCTCGTCGTCGGGCTCGTCAGCACAGCCCTCGTCGTCGGCATCAGCTACAGGGGCCTCGTCAGCACAGCCCTCGCCGCTGTCATCTTCGTTGGCCTCGTCTGCAGAGCCCTCATCGTCCGCCTCCTCTATCGGGTCGATGCCGGCAGCCAGGCTGCACGGGCTGGCGGCTTTGCTTGATGTGGGCCCCTGGTCTTCGCCGCCGTCATGGTGCGTGACGGGGCCCTCATCACCGTCGCCTCCTATTGCAGCCTCGTCTTGGTGCTCCGAAGACTGTTGCATGGCCTCTTCGTCACGCATAGGAGCTTCCTCCAGGGCCTCCACATCCCTTGCCTCCGCCGCGGGGTGGCCGTCATCCTCTGGCCGCTCTAGGAGCACCGGGGAGCAGGCCAACCCTGCGGCACTAGGTGATCGCACCGCCAAGGAGAGAGATAGCGAGCGGTTGCGCGGCTCTGCATGAGCGGCAGCCACCGCATCGATGCCGTCTCCACCTGCTGCAGCTTCATCCTCCTCTGCCTCGACAGGTGACTCTTCTACAGCGTCATCCGCGTTACCTACAGCGTCATCCGCCGCGGCAACGGGTGCTTCTACTGGGCTACCACACAGCGCCACCTCCTTATCGGACTTTGGCTGCTGGAGTTCCATCGCGTGCGGCCCTAACTCATCTGGGTTAGGCGCATCATCGGCAACCGCCGCTGCGCCGGATGCCGCCGCCAGTGAGATGCGTACCACATCGCTAGCACCCGCCTTGCCGTCAGGCTCTGTGGCATCATGTTCGGCTGCCTGGCGGAAGTGGGGAATGTCAGGCGAGGAGTGTTCCGTCAGCTGTGTGCCGAAGCAGAAGCCGCCCTCGCCTTCTGCTTCTTCCTCCTGAATCGGCTCGCTTGCAATGTTTACTGCAGGAGCGGCCGCCTCAGCGCTGCCGGAGCCATGGGCATCATTGACGTGCGACGTTGATGGCTCGCCACCTGCTGCTGGCTTGGGACGGGCGGCCGACTTTGCAGCGCCGCCAGCAACAGAAGCCGAACGAGTTCCTGTCTTTGCGCTTTCGAAGAGGGCAACTGCGGCCTTGACTGCGCTGGGAAGGTTCCCGATCTGGGTCCTGGCGACAGCGCTTTTTTCCTGCTGCGGTTGTTGGTGTTGATGCTGTGGGTTTTGCTGCTGCTGTGGTTGCCCCGACGAGCGCAGTCGCTCCTCGCACACCTCTTGTTTCACCTCGCGCTGTTGCTGCTGCTCGTGCTCCTGCTGCTCCTGCACCTCATCCTGTTGCTGTTCTTGCTCAGGCTGCTGCTTCTGTTCCTCCGCCAGCTCTCGCTCATCCTCCGGCTGCTGCTCTCGCTCCTCGCGTTGCTGCTGGGGCAGCTGCTCACGCTCCTGCTGCTCTTGCTGCCCGTTGTCCTCCTGATGTTGTCGCTGCTGCGGCTCTTGCTGTGGGTGCTCTTGTTCGCGTTGCTGATCCTCCGGAGGGAACTGGGGTGATGGCAGCAACGGCAGCAGCGCCGGCAGACGCTTCAGACCCGATGCTGCTCCGGCACTAGGTCCGGCGTCGCCAGCGGGTGACGCATGTTGACTGGAGACGTTGGCGTCCGTGGCAAGCTTGGTCTTCGGATGTAGGCCCGGAGAACCGAGCTGTGCCTCCTTCATATCGCGCTTCTGCTTCCCACCCTTGTTACGGGCAGGCTTTGCAGCTGCGGCAGCTGTGGGAGCTGGGGCGGGGGGTGGCGGGGCTGCGCCAGCGCCGCCCCGTCGCGACCGCGTGACGCGAGGCGAGAAGGCCGGTGCTGCTGGCGCTGATGTTCCTGCCGCACCATCGTCAGCCTCGGCCGCATTTCCTCTCGGCTCCTGCTGCTGCCGTCGGGACCGGGCACGTGCTTTGGGTGGGATATCGACAACAGCTTTATCCTCTTCTAGTGCAGGGGCTTCCGGTGCAACGGCTTGTCCTGCCGGGTCGTCATGGCGGTCGTCGGCTACAGCGCCTCCTGCACCAGCACTGTTGGAGGGCAGCTTGTTAGCTTGCGTGCCCTCCTCTATCGGCACCACGCCGCCCACAGGCTGAACAGGAGGACCAGGAACTGCAGCAGGCGGAGGAGCAGAGGAAGGAAGGGGATGGGGAGGAGGGGCGGGAGAAGGAGGGGCAGCGACAGTAGGGGCAGCGACAGGAGGAGCAGCTGGAGGAGCCTCTTCGGCGGGCTTTGTCGGCTTGGCCTTGGCTCGCTTTGACGTGGCTGCAGAACGAGTTGTCTGACGACCACGCTTCTGGCCTACTCCGGGTGGCTGCATCGCGCTGGGACCCGCCTCTTTCTGGTCTTGCTCCTCCTCAACGCGCTGCGCTTGCCCTCCTGCGTCCGCTGGGATAGAACCCGCTTGTACTGAGCTGGGCCCAGCCCCATCTTGGCGAGGCGACTGCGCGGCGTCCTTGCATTCTTGCTCAGGTGCAGGGACTGAAGGAGGATCGTTCTTCTTCGCAGGCTTCTTGCGACTGCCTCCCTGAGAACCATGAAGGAGAGGAATGTTACCAAGGTTTCCGGGCTCTGCCACCAGAAGTAACGCCGTAGCCACTTACCTCTGAGTCTGCAACTACAACGTCACGACTCCGAAGCTGGTAAACGCGCTGAGTTGTTTGCGCAAGTAGGCCTTGGCATTCATCCAGCATCACTGCGTTGGAATCGGCCATGCAGCGCCGCTTGTCATTTTCCTTAGTCAAGAAGTCTGTAACACGAGCCAGTATGTTTTCGGCGGCCATAGTAGCAAGTCACAGGAAATGTGCTAAAGTCATAAATTTATAAATACATGTCTGCACAGTGCCAGATACAAAGTTATCTTAGGCAGGAATCGGTAATAGTGATGTAAAAGTAAGTGTTTCGAGGCAGCTCTCCGCGAAGGCAGTAGAGCTGTCCCATCTTCGAACGGAACGTCGTGCAGTACTCCATTTAATTTGTACTTGGGCCGCACTGCTTTCCATTTCGATGTTTACTTTGAGTACCGCTTTTACCTTAGAATGCCATTTCGCGTGCCAAAAGGCATGCAGGCCAAGCCCTCTCTGCCATGAGGTCTGCCAGGTGACTTTAACATGTGCCCCAGGCCTGTCCACACATTCCCAGCTAATATTTGCGCGATATCGCAGCAGGAGCCTGCTTGGCGTCTGCTCAATGCTTGCTCCGTAAACCGTTCGTGATTTGGGGTTTGCCAAGGGATAGCTTGGTTATCTCGGGGAATGAATTTCGCCAGAGAGCCGCATACGCTGCACCCGTTTGCCCATTCTCACTCGTATTCCAGCATGGAGTGAGCAACCGGGTACATCATAACTAAAGCCCGCAGGTCTAGTCCAATACACGCGGCCGTGGCGTGACCCGGCCTTAATATACACGGTGAAAGCCCGTGCGGCCAAGCCATCCTAACTTGCCGGATCAGCTGCTGTTCCTTTCCAAGGGATCCAGTTCCTCCATACACCAGGTAACGCCCTTCACCAGTTAGATGGCACATCGCCACCTCTGCCAGCAGCTTCATTGTCTTTCCGTTTGCCTTGAACGTCACAACACGGCCGCAGCGTCAGCGGCTAGGGTACAAGGGTTTCTGATACAAGTCAGGTAACACAAGTTAAACATTGTTGCTGGCTAATCCAGTCACAATATACACGCCTACTGAGTCATGACGCCTCGCAAGTGCCCACCTCCCACCTGTAATTCGCACTCCAACCCACTCTTCGACCCAATCCACCCACAACAGTCCACATCGACAAAATAGGTATCCATGATCCTACAACTGAACCCACTGAACACCGCCGATACGGGCTTCCATCACTCCATAACCAACGAACCAAGCCAACAACGCTACCGGAAGAAAGCCAAGTGCTTGCTAGGCATGTACGGTGTCCGCTGCGGCCGCACAGCCGCCTCCCCTCCACTCCCTGCCGCACCGCCCCCCGCACTTACTCGCGCCAGCCGGGCATCCCTCTCGGCTCGCAGCCACTCCTCCACCACATGCAACAGCTTCCTGCCACCCCCCGCAGCCGCAGCCGCCGCTTCCTGTATGTCCGCCACGGCCCCCGTCCTCACCGTGCGCCCCTCCTCCATGTAGGCCACGTGCGTCACCCAGCCCTCCAGGCCGTCGAAGATGTGTGTGGCGTACAGGATGGTGGCGCCGCGCTGCTCGCTCTCCTGCCGGAAGAAGTCCAGCAGGCGCAGGCGACCCACCACGTCCAAGTCCACCGTGATCTCATCTAGCAGCAGCACCTGCGGGGAGGAGGCGGGGCGTTAGAGGGGAGCATAATTGGGGTATATAAGTGGGGTAGGTGAGGAAGAAGGATAGAACTCCGGTAGGAGTGGAGCACGGTGGGAAGGAGGAATGAGGAGGAGAAGAAGATGGCAGACTCAACGTGGTGAGGCAACGCAGCGTTATGGTCAGACACCTCAGGGCGCCCAGCACGCACCTCGTAGGGTTTGAGCAGGCCCATGCAGATCTGCACGCGGCGCTTCTGGCCGTCGCTCATGGTGGTGATGCGCTGGTACAGGTCGATGTCCAGCATCTCGATTAAGCGAGCACGGCGGGCTGGGTCCACTCCCTCCACACCGAATATCATCTTGCCGGCGCTGATGTCACCCTGTACGGTGCACAAAACGGCATTGAAGGTACGACATTGCAATCGATGCAGAGAAGGTGAAAGAGAAAAGAAATCCCATGGATGAAGGAATCGAGCTTCATGGTCAAGGGCAGCGGGCTGCTTAGCAGTGCGCCGGTGCGTGTACGGGTGAGCATTGTCACCTGTACCAAATATGGTGGCATGCAAGGCGCGCTAGGGGCCCATCCCACCCAGCGACACCCCAGCTTACCTGTAAAGGAACGCCGTATCCAGCAAACGCGACGTCCTTGCGCCATGACGTGCCCAGGTAGCTCAGCCGGCCCGAACACGTGAGTTGCTGCGTACATGGCAGGTAAGGATAAGGCAAAAAGGTGGGGCGAGTAAACGCAAGGGCCTTAAGCTATTGTACAAACTAGAACCGAGGAGCCCCAGGCTGTGTAGCAACACCGGCCTACAGACACCCCCAACTGCTGAAGCAGGAGGGCATGACCAAGCATGACGAAGGATGACTAAGGGTGATGTACCGCTGGCCAGAAGCAACAACGCTACCGCGTGCAGACGTATTACACATTGCCATAGCACATGGGGATTGCCCCAAGCTCACCAGGTCATGAAAGGGTGACCGCCCAAGCACGCGTACAGCATCCTGCGCCACCATGTACTTGCCCGCCACAATCTGAAGCAGAGTCGTCTTGCCCGCTCCGTTTGCGCCGATCAGCAGGCATCTGCTTCCTCTAGGTAGGTCGATGCTACATCCCTTGATGAAAGGCTCACAACCTGGGTATGCATAGCTGACGCCGTTGAGCTTGATGGCGTCGACCTGGCTCGTCGACGGTGAGTCGTCTGTTGTCATTATGTCAACCTAAGTAGGTTTACTATTAGAGTGGTTTCAAGAATACAAGATGCGCACTGGGGAAACGCAGGAAGGGGTAGGAACGTGAGGACCACACGTTGCGTTGTGTTGTTGGTGCCGTTGGCTGTCTTTGACGCTACAAGAGCTGTATGAATGATATAGCCGCAGAATCAAGTATACGTCTTGCTTAAAACCTGAGGTCGACAGGCACCAACAGCGCCAACTGCTCAGAACCGTCGCTCGTACCCCTCGCCGTATTTGGCAAGCGATTGTGCTGCGTGTGCAGCGCTTTCATTCTGGATTTGGCCTTCCTTAGCTTTGTTCAGTGTCACAACGCTGGGTTACCTTGCTTGTGGTTTAGTTTTTTAGGATGGATACCACGATAAAGAATGCCTGCCGGGCACCGGCACGGCCATTCACCTCTTACACTCCTTGCGTACCAATCAGGTCAGATTGACAGTATGTTGGACAGCACTTTTCCACTTATTGCCTGGGCTTTAAGCAAATTGCGGACCGCAGGCTTCTACGTGCGCCAGCAAAATGCGGGAGCAGCCTGGCTTTCAGCAGCGCTCTGGTATGTGAATCTGCTATGCTAGCCCGTGGGGCTCTAAAAGCATCCCTGACTCTGTGTGCTTTCCTTGCATGCCTCTTGCAGAAGCCCTCTCCACAATCAGAGCCTGCACAGGCCCCACGAGGTATATGCCAATCAATGGATCCTCGAGGTGGGGGCAGGTCGGCAGCCGGATTCCAATTCAACGTGGCATACGCGGCCATCGTGGGCGTCTACGGCCTACTCTTCCTCTTGAAGAACCCGTACATCTTCGCGGTGCTTTCAATACTCACCATCCTACCCCAAAACTCGGCAATCACGTCGCTAAACAGCTTAATCATCATGTTCTACGAGAGCGGGTTGTTCATGAACTTCGCGGAGGCTGTGTACTGCGTGCGCCTCATGACATGGCTCTCCATCGCCTGCACGCTTGTCTCGTTTGCCATCTTCTCCTAGGGGGGAGGCTCTACGTGTGGGGCTGGGGCTAGCGGGAAACAGGCTTTGCCGGGCAGCGGGCCAGGTTGGGCTAGGGTTTTGCACGAGGGTAGCGGCTTTTGCACGAAGAGAAGCTCTAGATGCAGGGAATGTATTGTAGCGTTGGCTGTTGTCTTAGATGTACGATCGCAGGCGGAGGTTGCATCCTAGAACGGGATACTGATGATGATGTATACTGGCTGGATGATGGACAGGGCTCCTGACGCACTTGCTCCACAGTGGGACCCGTTTTGCGACTGTCGTTGTATCATGATCTCATAAGCATGGACTTCACAGAGAGTGAGAGTAAGCAGTTTCTTTAGTCTACCCTGTAAGCACGTTACCACACTCCATCAAAGCTTCTTGGAACGATCGTCCCGCGGGTCGCGCCTGTTCAGGCCTTAACCAGCTTTGGTCGGCATTTTTAATTGTTAAAAGTTAATGTGGATTCAGCCTTCAGGGCGGCGGCCTGCCGGCTTGGGTTTCAGGTTGCTCGTCGTCGCGGCAGTATCAGTGCTAGTCCTGTACATCTTCCACACAGGCAACAATGTCGCCCATGATATTGAAACTTCGGAGCAGCAAACAGTTTCTGTGACGCGGATCCACGACTATGAAACAGAAGCGCATGTTCAGCGCACCGCCTCAGATGGGCAAGTGCGGCTCGACGAACGCACCAACAGCTCTGCCCCTTTGGACGTCGATTTGTGGTGGTTCGCTCCCTTCCTGGATCACAGCAGCTTCGGTGTGGAGGCTGCTAGCTATGTGCTGCCGCTGCTGCGGCAAAACCTGGTGCTCCACGGCCGGCTTCACATTGGACTGCTGCAGGTGGGCGTGCTCACGTCGAGGGGCCGCGAATGATTACCGCTTACCGGTACTCCCGGACGTACGGTACCGTACACTCCTTGGGATTACCTCCCACCCCTCATAGCACCCAGCAAAGACGCAAACGCAGTGGCGCCTAGCGTGCCACGGGCTGCCCTCAGGGGCAGCTGCATGTGCAGTTCGTCCCCTTGAAGCGCGGGGTGGTTGCCCCTGTGCACCCATGTCCTCATCCCGACCCTGCCCCCCGACCTGCCTCCAGGACTCGTGTACAGACCAGCAGGCGGGGGTGATGCGCGCAGCCGACCACTCGCAGCTGCTGGCGCTGCGGGGTCCGCCCGCGCAGCCCGCCATCGTGGTGCGGCGGGGCGGGGGGCCAGGGCGGGGCTGTGCGCGGGGGGCCAGGGGGGTGGTTGAGGGCTGCAGCAACGTGTGGAGCGGTGCGGGTGTCAGATGTCAGGTTGGCATGAGAGGCGAGGACGAGGACTCTCCATGCTGCTGCCCGGAGTGCATGAGAGCCAAGGCCGCCTGTGCATGACCCCCACCTGCGAACAAGGATCATGTAACTGCTTACTGGCCTCATATCCCCACGTGCCCCCTACTTCTCCTCCACCCGATTGCTGAGCAGATCTGCCACAACCTGCCGCCCTACATCGGCCGCCCAGCCGCCCGCTGGCGCAGCTGCGAGCCCTGCCCGCCGCCGCGCTCACCCCACCTGGTGCGACACGCGGTGGCTCGAGCCATGGCGGAGACAGACAGGTGGGCACTGCGTGCAGACTCCCTAACTCTACTCCTGCAAACTCAGGGATGCTAGTCTAGTCTAGGACCCATCTAGGACCGCCAGCTGGTCGGACCAAAAAACACCTGCTCCCTCCGTTTTTGGCCGTCCTGATGGCGGGCTCCTCCCTGCTGGCTGTCTGGCTGCCTCAGGCTGCCTCCCGACTTTGCGACCGCGCTTAACTCGCTGGACGAGGTGTGGGCGCCCTCCCGTGCGGCCGCTGAGGTGCTGCGGCGCTCGGGGGTGGCCGTGCCGCTGCGGGTGGTGCCGCTGCCGGTGGACACGGAGGAGCTGCGGCCGGGCGGGGTGCCGCCGCTGCCGCTGCCGCCGCAGCAGAGCGTGCAGGTGGGGTAGTCGGCTTCCTTTCCTGTGGGTATTATAGCGTGCAGGTGGGGTATGGGGTCCCGGGGGTTAGGGAGACCACCTCTCCTGGGGTGTGGCGTGGAGTGGGGTGAGTGTGGTTGTAGAAAAGGGCTGCGGCTGGACGGTGCTCCTCCCAAAGTGGTCTCACGGAACCGCTGGATACCGGTAATCCCATGCCGAATGCGCAGGTTTTCGGGCCCCCAGCGGAGAAGCCGCCACGGCGACGTCCCTTCGTCTTCATATCGGTGTTCAAATGGGAGCTGCGCAAGGGCTACGATGTGCTGCTGCGGGCGTTCCTACAGGAATTCGGTCCGGCAGATGCTGGGGCGCCTCCTGTAGCGGATGCTTCCCTTCACAGCGACACTACCGGTATCATCAATGGAACGATTAGCAGCAGCAACAACAGCAGCAGCATGAGCGGCAACGGCTCCCTGGCCAGCATGCGCGGCTCAGGCAGCTTCATGCAGCCTCGGGGCGATACTGAGGACGCCGTGTTGCTGCAGTCGGGGGCAGCAGCAGCAGCTGATGATGATGACGAGGCCGAGCCCGAGGTGGAACTGCTCATCCTGACGAAGCCCTTCCTGCCTCAGAACCCGGCCGAGTCAATCGAAGGTGCGAAACCAGGAGGTTGCACTGCGCTGTCGTGTGGTAGCATCGTAGCAACGCTTTCGTCCGTTGTATTCGCTACTCAACCGCCATCATAACTCGCCATGCAGCACAAACGGGAATCCGTTTAGGTCCTGGGCTGCTCTGGACAAGCATGCCGCCCTCCGGTGTTGATGCCCCTACCTGTTTACCTGAAAGAGGTCGTTGCCTGCTGACCCTTACTTCCTTGTTTGCATGGCTGACCGTGTGACCGCAGAGCACATTCGGCGGTGGGCCCGGGAGCAGTTGGGCCCCGCTTTCGATCCTGCTCGCGCGCCGCGTGTGCACGTTTCGAGCCGCCACGTCAGCCGGCAGGAGTACGTGGGGCTGCTGGCGGCGGCAGACGCCTTCGTGCTGCCAACACGCGGAGAGGGATGGTGGGTGCGACGGCCGTGTTGGCGATCGTGTTGGTGGTGGGGTGTACAGGTGTATAGGAACCGGTGCTTCCGGTGCACAGCAGCCGAGTCCTAGGGCTCTTGGCTAGGTGCTGTTGGGATGCGCGCTGTACGCGCATGTGCAAGCCTCGGTATGCGCATGCTTGAGAATTAGTAGCTTAGACCCATGCAAGGGCCGTGGGAGCTGCTGTACGCAAGGCCCGTCCCAGCAAGGATCCGCTGCCGTACCAGCTCTTGCTCATCTTGCTCAATGCGTAGCCCCTTTGCATGCCGGTACGTATTTCCTTTGCTTTTATCCAGGGGCATACCTATCGTGGAGGCCATGGCGTTGGGTCTGCCAGTAATCGCCACTAACTGGTCGGGGCCAACCGCCTACTTGGACGAGCAAGTGGGCTACCCGCTGCCGTACACGCAGCTGGTGGAGGTGCCGCAGTCGGAGCCGTACTGGTTCCAAGGTACGGAGGTGTACGGAGGCAGTTACCGGTCCTAAAGTGACCGGTACGGAAGGGTCCACATGGCAAAAGTGCAGTGTGGATGAGTCCTTGTCAGGCGGCATGCCGGTATGCAGCTCCGGCGCTTACCCGCAATCCATTCCTCATGCGCTGTTTGCGCTGCCTTCCCCAGTCCCATGATGCCAAGCCCGCGTCGGCTGCAATACTTTTCTCCAACAAATCACTACTCCGTGTGCCCCGTATCCCCCGTCTACACCTCCATGCATTCACCGCAATACCGGCGGACAAACCCCACCATGCATGCAGGAAGCCGCTGGGCTGAGCCCTCTGTGGTCGAGCTCCGTCGCCTCATGCGACACGTCAGCAGCGGCAGCGGCCGGGAGGAGGCGCTGGCTCGCGGCCGGGCGGCTCGGCGGCGCATGGAGGAGCGCTACTCACCCGCCGTTGTGGCGCAGCAGGTGGTGCGGGAGCTGCGGCGGATTGCGAAGGGGGAGAAGGGGGAGAGCGAGGGGGGAGAAGGGTGAGAGCGCCGGTGCGGCAGGGAGCCGTGGGGTTCAGTAGCCGGATGGAGGTGCGGCGAGGCCGTGTTGTTGGTGTGGGCAATGTAGCAAGTGGGCCGTTGTTGCTTTTGGCGCTTGGCTGGGGTGCCGGAGGAGGAGGTAGGGCAATGTTAGGTGCTATCCCGGTGGAGGGGTATACATTGGTGCAAGGTTGCTGTTGCAGGCTTGCAGATGTAGTGGGGATGTGATCTGGCAGGGGTTGTCGTGAGCCTCCGCGCCTATGCTGTCCAGTAGCCCGTGCCCCCTAATGCAGATGACCGATTGAACCCGGCGGCTGACAATGCAATGTGACGAACAGGATCACTGTGCTTGGCCCTCACGGTACATACATGGCAACCTAAGCGCGTACATGCACGCTTATTAGCCGCAGCTCAGGGTCAATCCAAAGGAGGCATCGCACCACACCTAGCGACCCAGGGGTCACTTTGGCGGCTTGCAGGCCTTTCCATGCACACTTTTTACCAACCAAGAGTTGTACCCGGAGCTGCAGAAACACACAGAGATCAGCCCAGCGCCCTAGCGGCACTGCCCTTCTTGCTGCAGACGGCACAGCAAGTCATTACAATAAGCATATACCCCCAAACACCCAACATGGCTACATGGGACACCACCTGCTGCCCTCACAGGTGGCCCCTAACCGCCGGGGTTAGGCGGTTAGGCACACACTGCATAGCTGCCTATCCTGAAGCCCCCTGCCTTCATGACTCCTTCCTGCACTGAAACGGTCGTCGGTACGTTCTTATGCGCCTATGAACAACATGAACGCCTGATGCACACAAGCTCCCCTGCAATGCACATTAGATGCTCCCCTGCAATGTGCACACTAGGACGCTACTCGCTACCGCGATGTGCCTATATCTCAAGGACAAGTGCCGATGCAGCCCAGCCGACCACCTTCCGCCAAGCCCGCAGCTCTCTTTCGATCTCCGGCAAGGCCTCCTTCGAAAACACCTTGAGGCGTCGGAGGACCTGCACCACCGACGAGGGCGCGAAGTGGGGCAGCAGACAGACATAAAAACACATAAAACATAAATATGATCCACCTTGCAGCTGCGACGCGCATGAGCCAGGATCTATGTTTACCCGCGCGTTCGAGGCAGCTACCGCTCTTCATGGGTAAGAAGGCTAAGACCAGCCGGTCGCGGGGAAGGACAGCATAATATGCTCATACTTCCCTCCGCCACAGGTGCCAAGAACAAAACGTGTTGCCAACACCAATAGCCGGGCCGTTAGTACGGGTACTTGCCCCCACGCCGGGTAAAGGAGCGCGTGTACTACACACAACAGCGTCCGGAAGGCAACTGGCGCGCCCCTCACTCATCACAGCGGCACCCCGGCTCACCTCAAACGGCTGCGGCCCAATTGAACCCAGCGAGCGGTTGTAGAGCAGCGTATCACCTACATCGTCCTCCTGACCGGCGGGCTCACCCCGCCCCTGTTGCGCCTGCTGCTGCTGTTGCTGTCGGCCTTGCGTCCCCGCACGCCCTCCTGCATCCCCACCCTGCGGCGCGGCTAGGTTGGGCTGGCAGGTGGCGCCCTCCAGCGCCGACAGCTCCAGGTAGGGCTGCCGGTCCAGGGCCTCTAGCAGGGAGGGCGTGATGCGCACCCAAACCTGACAACAAACAAGGAGGAAAACACAGGGAACAAGGTGGGGCTTGAAGGCGAGGTGCTCAAGTGCTCAAGTACACGGGAGTGACTAGAAGCGGTGGAGGGCAGCGCTGGAAAACCCGCGTTCATCATTTCGCGGGGGCTGTCGTGACGTGTGATTCCGGTATGGCGGTAACCGCTAAGCTGCTGCTGCTGCAGGGCATGTGGGGGGAAGCGGCAGCACGCGGCAGCACCCAGGGTTCGTACCTTGCGCACGGGGCAGAGCAGGTCGGAGGGGCGGTACTCCGCCTTGTAGCGCATCTTGGGGCAGGTGTGGATGTAGAAGCCCATGTAGTAGTAGCGCAGGTCGGGTGAGCAGGAGCGCTGCTGCTGCACCCACCGGATCTCCTGTGTTGGGGTGGTGTGTAGTTTGGTGTGGCGGTGGGGTGTGGGAGAGAGGGAGACAACGGGTGGTGGTAGCGGTGATGGTGGTGGCGGGTATGCAAGACGGTAAGCAACACCAATAATAGACCATAGCGCCGTGGAGCAAGGAGTACGGTAATGGCGGACCGCGGGTATACCACACACCCACGCAGCAGCCCCAGCCCCAGCCCCCGCCACCTCGCGCGCCCAGCCTCATTCACCTGCAGCGCTGAGAACTTGCCCAGTGCCAGCGGAGCCAGCTGCGTGTCCCAGAAGAAGTACACGGAGGACAGGCAGCGGGGCAGCACGTCTACCACCCCCACCGCGATCAGCTTGCCTGGTTGCCGGTTAGGACGCAAAACGACGAAGTCGAGGGGGATTCGATAACCTTGTCAGTGAGCAAACAGGCTTGCGCACAGCGGCGAACTAATGCGCTGGGTCTTAGCGTGTATCTGATTGTGGACCGAACTACGGCGGTGAGGTCAGGTGAGGTCCAGTGAGGTAGTGAAGGAAAAAGGCCAGGACTGCAAGATGCCGCGTGTGCTAAGAAAACTGGCCACGAGTCGTGTGTGCGTTAGCCCCTGAGCCCGGACTGACAAGGGGTGGACGAGGGGCCAACGCACCATCTAGCCAGTACTGCTGGTGGAAGGAGCCGTAGCCGCACTCGGGCGCAGCGGGGTCGCGGTCCCGACCCACGGGTCGCAGCGGCGAGTCCACCAGGAAGCGCTTGTAGGAGGCGCGGCTGAGCTCCTCGGGGCGGTCCCCGTGCTGCGACACCTGGTACCTGCAGGGAGGGGGGCATGAACACGGCACGGCAAGGCATGCTGTATAGGCGCTACTAAGCTGGAAGCCAGATTCCGACGTGCGTTCTAGGCTGCACCTTGCGACGGCGGCAGCAGTCCCCGCATGACTCTTTGCAAGTTGGAAGGCAGGCCAATTGCAAGAACTGAAGGTCGCCAGTTCGCCTCAGTAAAAGCCCCTCCACGCCCCCCCCCCCACCCGCCCGCCCGCCCGCCCCCACCTGCTGTACAGCTGGAACTCCTCCTCCAGGAAGCCGCTGCGCACCAGCCGCACCTCCAGCCGCCCCCCTGGCATCTCCAGCGGGTCAGAGGCAGCAGCGGATACCGCCGCCGCCGCACCGCCCGGTGCCACGGTGGACGCCGCAACACGCCTTCCCGACCCATCACCCGACGGGCCCCTGGATGCACTTGCACCCCCTCCACGCGCACCCGGCCGTGTGCCAGCGGCGTCCTCCTGCGGTCCTTGCGCCGTCGCCGCCGCCCCAGCGGCGCAAGTGCTGTCATTGCTGCCATCCTGCCTTGGCACAGCCCTGGTGGGCAGGCGGAAGTTGATGTGTCCTTTAGCCGCAAGCGCCTCCGGCCGCCGTTCCCCTAGCAACGTCTGCATGGGCTGGATGCAGCTGCTTCCCGCAGAGCCGCTGCCATCGCCGTCGAAGTGCATGGCCGAGGCATGCCCTGCAGAAGAAGGGTCGGTCGGAGCCTGACTGGCAGCAACACCCTCCCCGCTGCCGACCTTGCTGTTGTTGCCGCCGGCAGCAACCAGAGAGTTAAAATGACGAGTAAGCAACGTCGCCACGCTCTGCGCGCTCAACGAGGCCGCTGCCTGCGCCGCCGCGGCGGCCTTCCGCTGCTGCTTGCTTGGCGGCGGGGCAACGCTCGGCGGCGCTCCTGCCTCAGATGACGCCGCGTTCCGCCGCGCTGCGGCCGCAGCCAGCTGAAAGGCTGAAGCCGAGGTGAAGCCGACGTCAGCTTGCAGCGACTGACGCTGCTTTGCCGTACACAGCTGTACGACAGGTGCCGGGTAGTCGCACTGCGGCAGCTCGCCTGCGGACACCGCCGCCGCCAGCGCTGCCGCCAGCAGCTGCTGCAGAAGCGCCCGTGTCTCCTCGGCCCCCGCCTCCGCCCCGGCCCCCTGGGGACCTGCTGCGGCACCGTCAGCAGCCCCCTGAAGAGAGGCATGGCTGGTAGCGTCTGTGGACGCTGCGTTGCTGCCGCCGGCGTCCCCAGGGGCGCTGCCCTCGCCTTGCTCCACGGCCATAGGCTGAGAGCCTACAAAGGCGCGTGGCAGGGATACAAAAAGCAAAGTTAGGGCACGTTCGGGCTCAAAGAAGGAGATCCAGCACCCAACACATGTTGCCCTTTGCGACTAGCGACAAGCTGTTGCCCCCCGTCCTACATATCACGCCGCAAGCTCAAGGCGTCCATCACCTACCGGACAGGAAGTCGCGCCACTTGCGCAGCAGGCGCCGCTGCCCCTTGTCCGGTTGGAACTGCTGCACATCTAGCCGGATGGTGTAGGCCTTGCAGCAGCTGCGGACGAGGTCGGGCTGCGAGGGACAGGTGGTGCGGTCAGAACGCACGCCTAAGGCGTAGGTGCGCAGGAGCATGTGTGGAGTCGCATCAAGCATCGTGGAGTTGCAACAAGCGCACAGTGTTTGATGCAGCGCCAACGTAACATAGGAGCACACTGGAAGTGAACCCCAACGAACTGCCTCTCCCGAGGACACACCTTATAGAGGTAGGTGCCGGAGCGACGCCATCCCTGGTCGATAAGATCTATAGGGGAAGGGGAAGGGTTCGACGGGAACGGCATGCCTGACAAACTTCCTCCTCCAGCGTACCTTGGTACGCATAGACTGTGAGACCACGCGCATGCATTCCGTGCGAAACGGAGCATTGCTTCCCGTTACAATAACCGCAACTGCTGTAGCCATCAGAACCACCATCGATAACCATGCTGAGTCCATCACGTGGGTTAGCCATGTCGACGAGGTTTTTGGAGTTACAAGCAATCAGTACTAAAGCCTGTTCATGCGAATCGCGCGATCAACAAAGTTAGGAGGACATGCCCTGCCATCTGTGACCCTGCTCTTGTAATATGTCGTTCTAGCACATCTCCTATGATTAGACACGGTTTGTTGTTGACTGCACCTATAGGCGACATTCAAGCTTTAAAAGCGTTGACTACTTCTTGGCTCGTAGCCCCAGTACGGCCGCGCGTCCAGTGAGATTCCAGGGCTATGCGTCGAGCAGTTATGCGAATTGGCAAAATCCTTACATGTAACTCCTATTTGCCAATCACACCATGCAAGTGACACAACAAAACTGCAAAGCGGGTTGCCGCCGAGGGGTTACATTCAGCCGGCATCACGCGTATAGAAGTCACTGCATTCATAACCCAACACGAGCCCCAAACCATGCCTCGATATCACCTCTCAAAGCTGCGGCCATCGCCACTGACGTCTCGGCAGACAGCTGGTACACGGGGCCGGTGGCCATTCCCCGCCAGGTCGACGGCATCGAGATAGCCATGCTACAAGGTACGCATACGCCCTTTCCCACGCCTACTCCTTGTTTGCTTCCCTCCTATGTCACCTTCCACCGTCACTCCTGTCCCTTCTCACACGCTACCAATCCACGCCCTCCACGCTACCAATCCACGTCCTCGCCCTACACAGGCAAGGGTCGCGGCATGGTAGCCACTCGAGACTTCGCCCCGGGCGATGTCGTCATGTCCACACCGCCGCTTGTCCTTGTCACCTCACCCCACCGGCAGCGTCCCTCCGGCGAGCTGGTCGTGGATGAAATCCTGGAGCGCAAGCTGTACGGCAGCAAGTGGTTCTCCGTACTGTACGATGGCAGCAGCCGCTCATGCAAGCCCCACTTCGGCTTCGGCGCAGCCGCTGAGGCAGACGCCAGTGGAGAAACGGCAGCGGCGGCGGCTGCAGATGCGCCTCGGCCTGCAGGGCCGCCGGAGCCCATGCTAGCCTCCACATCCGCACCAGCAGCCAGTGCTGCTGCTAGTAAGCCCACAGCTGCTGCGGCTGCGGCGCCTAAGAAGAAGGGCTTCCTGGCCAGTAGGGCGGCAGCTCGTCGCACGGGCGCAGCGGCAGGAGGAGCGGCAGGTGGAACAGCTACAGGTAGCGGCAGCAGCGCAGCGGAAGCGCTGCCGCTGCCTGACAAGCGCGAGCAAACCCGGCTGGCGAAGATCGTCAAGGTACGGTACGGCACAGCGCGCTGCCACGCACCCTGCACAACAGCTGGCGGGTCTGGACGTCTTCAATGACACGCATGTGCACGTGGGACGTCTCACAGCGTCTGCACACTGTTACAGCGATCCTACAGCTAGCATGTGCTTCCACGATCTGCTCCCAACCCTAACCCCACAAGTGCTACAAACAGCCAGTAAACCTCGCTCCCACCACCCGCTGCCCATCCCTCCACCCCATCACCCGCTGCCGCGCACCCAACCTCCCCTCATGCGCGCTACTACGCAAGTTCAACTGCTTCGGAGACGACGCTGAGGACCTGGCGGCCAGTGCCTGCCGCGGCGAGGAGCCCCGCGGCCACATCGGGCTGTGGCCGGAGTTCGCGCTGCTCAACCACTCCTGCGCGCCCAACACCGTCAACTTCGTGGTGGGGGGCGCCATGGTGGTGCGAGCCGTCAGGAACATCCGCGCAGGGGAGGAGGTGGGTTGGGTACTTCGGTACTGGTTACAGCCGGCGCAGAAGGCGTGGAGAGGGGGGGGGGCGTCAGTGGGGAAAGGCCCTTGGAACGGTACCTTGTTGGACCCTGCGTCGGGCCGCATGGGGCCTCCCTGCTGACAAGCAGACCGGGACTCCTTCCCCCCCCGCGTGTTGCATACCCATCTCCTCCGGCCCCCCATGTGTGATCCGAGAACTGGCCCATGTGTCTTGCAGGTGAGCATCAGCTACCTGGGTCGGCCGCAGCTGCTGCCCTTCCAGCGCCGCATGCAGGCGCTGAAGGAGGACTACGGCTTTGACTGCGACTGCGTGCGCTGCACGGTGAGAAGGAGGGGGAGCGAGGCGAGGCGAGGGCGAGGGCGCGCTGCAGGTCGCTGCTGCATACCCAGCTGACTGCAGGGTCGCACACAGGGGTCGCAGGTCGCCACGTGCACCGGTACCTTCATCGCAGCAGCCACCACCATCACACACATCACATCGCATGTCTACACCCCTCTGCCCGCCCTTGTCCCGTCTACCTGTCGCTGCAGGCCGAGCAGGCGCACTACGACAAACTGGACGACGTCTACCTGGAGCTGTTTGAGGCGGTGGAGGGGAAGCTGGGACCCGCGTTTCTGGAGGCACGTCGCGAGGGCAACATGGAGGCGGTGGCGGAGGTGCAGCAGGAGCTGCAGGGGTGGCTGCGTCGCTTGTACGGCATCTTCCGTAAAACGCTGCTGGCGCCTGATGTACGACAGTACGTGATTGCAAGCATGTACGACGCGTACGATCTTGCGTTCTCGTGCGCTGCGGCGCTTGGGCAGGGCGAGGATGCGAGCAGCTTGCAGGTGCGGTGCAGCTGCAGCTGGCCCGCTCTCTTGCTTGGCAGTAATGCGTGCGAGGAACGGGGAAGACCGCAGGCCAACGGACGTTTACCGGTGTTTTGAAACCTGACGGATCCATTTCATGCAGCCTGTTCCTAACCAGCTTTTTCAAGGGATCTAACATGAGTACATGACGCTACCTTGCATGTTGCTTCGCCTGTGACTGCTGCAGGCATGCCTGAAGGCTATGGAAGCAGTGTCCGCTGGATCCGACCTGCATGTAATACTTGCGGTAAGGTACTTCGACTGGTGCGTGAGGGAGCACGGCGAGGGCAGTGCGCTTACGGAGCTGGCCCGTGGGTCGCTGCGACGGGCGCACGTGGCGCGGTACGGGCCGGTGAGCGGGGAGGTGATGGCTAAGCTGGTGGATAACAACCGCGCGCTTCACATCTCGACGAATAATGGAACGGAGGCTTAGGGAGGGCGCTGGCGTGGGAACCTGGAGCTAGGGAGTTGGGGCATGCGTTGGGGGATGAGGAGTGCAGAGCGCATGTATCAGTATTGTGGGGGCTGGGGGCTGCATGTATCCGTTGTTTGGCGGTGAAGTGGAAGAGGAGCCCTTCAAGAGGTGCAGCGGTACGAATGCGGTGCCGTAGGTCGGAGGCCGGAACCTTTGGGCAGAGCGTTCTTGACGACATGCAGCAAGGAGCCACAACCTGTAATGAATTGGCGTCGATCACCACAGTTCCCATTAATGGCCCCCTGGATAGCACTCTAGTCTGTGCCCTTCCAAGGCGGCCCGCTTTACGATATAATACGACACCTTTGGGAGCATCCTCTAGATATTAACGTAAAAGGATCAAAGCGTGTACGTACTCTAAAAGTAACTGCCAATCACCCATCTGGCTTGAAAATGTACTGGAAGCCGGAAAGCCGTACATAGTTTTGGCCTATCACGCAAATTCGTAACGGTAATCGTTCGGAACCGTATTTTTCTTTAACAAGATCATGGAGTGTTAGTGTAGCCGTTGATTCCGCTCAAAGCTATCTAGAAACCGTAATCTTGAACCGAATCCACAGCGAATGGCAACACGGTCACGGCTAGCAAAGGTTTCGCTTCCTACAGATGCGGAGCCTGGTGCAGAGCTTGTTAAATGGAGTTGCAAAGAAGGCTATGTATACGTGCCGATACCGCCGGCAGGAGCTACAGGACACCGTGCGGATAAGTGGGATGTAGACAAATGGCTGAAGGTATGATGTTTGGTGCTTTTACGGTTAAGAGCCATGGTGCGACTGTCTGCGGAGCGTCTAACTATCCTTGCTGCAGGCATTGAAAGTGGAGTTGGTAGCTCAGGACGACAACATGCTCGTGCGGTTAAGCGACCAAGAAACATGTGGGTACACCATATGCCTCATGTCCTTTCGTGTTGACCCAGCCGAAACCCTAACTTCGGGTGACTTGGCCTTGTAGCGGAGCTCTTTGCAGAGTGCCCCCTGCCCTGCGATGGTACACCGCTGACGACGGTGCGTTTCTCTTGTGAACATTCCGTCTTAGCTTCTGGGAAAGGGGAGGGTCCGATGTACGGTGGGCTGTAGCCCCAATGGGTCGGGATGGGCATTTTCACATGAGGAGTCAAAGCGTGTCAGTAACCTGAACCGAAGTCCAAGGGGCTAACCATCCAATAGTGGAGAACTGCCAATGTCGCTGGGAGCTGGCGACATAAAGTCGACCCGGCGAAGCACTTATAACCCAGCATAACCATCGCCAGTGCCCATGGCCAAGCGTGCCCCCGCCCGTCTCTTTCTGCCGCCTCTATGCCGCCAGGCGGTTGAGCCTGTCGTGGACAGCAGCCGCTACTTCGTGCTTCGAGTGGTGGACCCCGAGACAGACAAGCATGCATTCATCGGACTCGGATTCCGGTGCGTGCGGGGGTACACTTCTACTGGTTGTAAAGCCTTTGCGACTACCGGTCCGCAGCATACTGTTAAGCGTGGTGCGGTTGGGGTCTTGGAAGGCTGCACGTCTAGCTCACCTCATGCTCACATGCCTCTTTTCGCACCCCGCCCTACAATCCCCCTCCTGCAACCCTCAGGGAGCGCAGCGATGCTTCCGGCTTCACAACCGGGCTAGATGAGTACCGCAAGTACGTGAAACGGAAGCAGGAGGCGGAGGCCATGCGCGCGGAGCACGATCGGCAGGAGAACGGCGAAGGTGGCGCGCCCCGGGATTATAGTCTTAAGGAAAACATCGTCATCCCGCTGAAGATAGGGAGCATGGTAGGGCTGGAGAAACACACACAGCGGCGAGGACGTTGCCACATGTAGCTCAGGGGCCTGCTTTCACTGAAGGCAGCGCCTGTGGCATCGAGCCCGCCGATTGCACATCTGTCTAATCCCGTGCCGTTGCCGCCCCACTGGTTTGCGCCTCCCGGCCTGCCGGTCCCTCCCCCTCGTCCAATCGGACGTTGCCGCTGTTCCGGCCCCGCAGAAGCGTCAAGAAGCTGAGGAGGCGGGCAGGGCTGCCGGCAGCAACACAGCTGCCAGCGGGAGCGGAGCCAAGGCGGCGGCAGAGGCCGCGGCGCAAGGAGTCGCGGCGTTGAAACTGGCGCCACCGCCGCCGCCAGCCAGCCGCGTGGCGCCCGCTGCCGCTGCGACAGCGCCGGGCGGGTCAGCGCAAGCCGGTGGGGGCGGTGCACGTGGTGATACGGACGAATGGGGTGACTTCACCGGGACGTCTACGTTGTGAGGCCAGGGAATGACGTGCATGCCTGATCAGGGCTGTGGGGCAGGATGATATGTCATGATGCATTGATTACAATTAGATGCAGCTTCCCTGCATGCTTACACACCGTCCTGCTGGGTACCGGCAGGAGGGTGGCTTCAGCAGCTGAGGGAGTCCATACATGACCCGTGAACTACCAGTACAGGCCGCTAGACCTCACACCCTTTACAGCGCAGGACTCCTGCTAGTGAATAACACATGGACGGACCATTATTTAACGCATGCGATTTTTAAGACGTGGTGTGGCACAGGCGAATGGCCGGGTGGTGTTGTGGGGTAGGCAAGTTCGGAATGCAATGTGGGCAATGACGCATGTTATGGCAGGTGCCGTACACAGTTCGTGGGTGGGGCGGTACATCCAATGGATCTCGTGCTCAACAGCACGGATCTGAAAAGGGCTGCTGCTGCTGACTAACATCAAGACTAACAGCCACGAAACAAGTGACTCGCAATGTCAATCAGGCTGGCAATTTTCAGCCTCCAACAATCACCACCTTGACAAATGGAAACTTGCAAACAACAGTGCATAGCAGTGTAAAGGCGGCCCTTTGAACGGCTGCTTGCGTTTATAACGGTGTTGCTACGGACTGGACCTCAATCTGAGGTCAATCTCCGGGGATACAGCTTTTCTCTTATGTATGTAACGAACAACCAACAACCCACGTACGGAACCGTCGCATGAGATCTTCACAAACCTATCAACAAGCCTATGCTTTGTCAAACGCATCACCATATACATCCAGCCAACAGAACAAGACATCTTTTTATGAAAGGTAAGGTACAAGAATTGAATGACGCTCGATCGAGCTGCAGTTGCCGAGACGCATGTCGCCGGAAAGCAAATGCAGCTGTCGGTGCCGTCTTATCACCAATTCGACGACAAGCCTGCATTACTTGACAAAAGAAAAATAACGGAACGCAGAATCCCCTATCTTCACAACCCAACATACGATTTATGTGTACATCAATGAAAACAAAACCCAGCAAATACCCCTACATCTATGCTCCTACGGCTGCTTCCCACGTCATATCATCCCACATCGTCCACCAACGCCACGAGCGAAACAAAGATGAATACCTCGGACGACTCAGGCAGCTGCGACAGGTCCGCTCGTGGAACCATCCGCGCCTGCCCAAAGTAGCCGCCCGCCACAAACTCAGCCTCAAAGTCACCGCTGTCCCCCAGGCACAGCCTGCCCTGAAGCGCAGCGTTGTCTGACTGGAATACCGACACGCGGCAGCGGCTGCGAAGCGAAGCATCAGAGGGGGGCTGCTGCCCCCGTGGCTGCGGCATCACAGGCTGCTGCTGTGGTGGCTGCTGCTGCTGCTGTCGTGCAGCCTGCCAGCGGTGCCGTCCTGGTTGCTGCTGCTGCTGTCGTTGCTGCTGCTGTTGCTGCGACCTAGAGCCAGGTAGGGCCGCCACAGGTGTCATGTGCCTCCCCACGAACAGCCCGAGATACCCCTGAGAGGAAGCGCCACTGCTGCCACTCCCACTGCCGCTGCCGCTGCTGCAGCAGATGCGGACCTGCCAGTGCGCCCCGGCGTACTCCTGCGCCTCCGACTGCAGCATCTGCTGCGGCTGCAGCTTGCGCAGCGCAGCGCACGGCAGCCGCCAGCACATGCGGAACGGCCGCTGCTGACGCTGCGGACCCCTTAGGACACCCGCCGCAGCCAACACCGGCGCGTGGGCTCCTCCTAGGCGGATTCCTGTGCCCTCGCCACCTGCCATGGCAGCACCCCCTCCTCCGCCCCGCCTGCTGACCAGGTATTCCAGCCTCGCTCGCTCCCACAGGGCCGCCTGCAGCAGCTGCTGCGGCACTCGCCCCTCCGCCTGCACCGCCATCAGCTGAGGCACCGTCAGGTGCTCGTAGCGCACCGCCTCGTGCAGCAGCAGCCGAGCACACGCGGCGGCGGCAGCGGCAGCGGCAGTGGCAGCAGCGGGGACACTACCAGCATCCGGGCTGGCTGCTGCTGCCGCTGGCACAGAGGAGGGTGTCGTGGGTGTCTCAGCCAGTGTGTTTGCATTGGAGCCCGGAGCAGCCGCAGCCGCAGCAGCAGCAGCGGCGGGTCCCTCCGTCTCCGAAGCAGTCGTAGACCCGAAGCTAACGCGAGCGCTGCTGCCGCTGCTGCTGTTGCTCCAACCCTGACTGCCGCCGCTGCTGGGGCCATCACAGGTAGTCGTCGTACTCGAGCCCGGGGAGCCCGCCATGCCCATGCCGCTTGCAGCAGCCGGGCTGATGTTGTTGCTCGACACCGCCTTCCTGCCGCTGCTACCCAACCCGCCGTCCTCTCCAGCAGCGCCACCTCCTGCTGCCCTAACTACTGCTGCGGTGGTGGTGCTGCTGCTGCAGGGTATTGCCGCCGGGCATGATCGCGCCAGGTGCAGGTGGCGGGTGATGGCAGGCTGGTCGGGCAGGTGCAGGGCGGCACCCAGCAGGCGCTGCAGCGGGGAGGCACCTCCGCCGCCATCCTTGCAGGCAGCAGCAGTAGCAGCAGCCCCCCTGCCGCAACCACCACTCCTTGCACCACCGCCAGTGCCCCCGCCACCAGCCCCTGAACCATCCATCCCTGCCGACGACGATGGCAGCGACCATGAAGCCGACCTCGCCACCGCCGCCTCCTCGACTGCTACCTCCGCCTCCGCAACCCCACCACCACCACCACCATTTGCAGCAGCCGCAGCACCGCCCTCACCCTCACCCGGGAGGAGCAGTCCCGCCACTTCCCTCACCAGCTCGTACCTGCCGTACTCGGAGTGTACGGCAAGGTGGTCGGACGACAGGATGTCCAGCAGCACTGGGGGCTCGATGAGGGGCAGCGCGGGCGCCCATGCGGGCAGGTTGCGCGGCAGCTGCAGCGACAGCACAAGGCGGCAGGCGGCGGCGAGCATGTCGGAGGCTGCCCCGTGGTCGGCGCCGGTGGCCCAGGTCAGGCAGGCGGCGAAGTTGGTGGGGTCCAGGTGCTGACAGCGGGTGGATAAGGTTGAAGGAGCGGGAGCGAGAAAGAGACGGGAGCGAAAGGGTGTCAGCCATGCCTTCGCGCAGCCATGCGGTGGAGGGCGTGGTGGAGCTAGCGCAGCGGTCGGATACGTATGACTCACCCAACAGCGCAATTTCATCATCCCGTATTCCCGTTAGGCGACTCGACTGAGCATGGGTAACACTGTGCCCGCATGCAGGCATGCAACCATAAGCAGCTGCCAGACCCTTGAGTCCTCTCCCAACCGACACCTCCCCACCTCCCTCACACATTGGGATTTCTCTCCCCCCCCCACCTGCGCCAGGAAGTCCACGCAGGCGCTCTGCACCCGGGTGGCGCCCAGGTAGTGCGCGGAGGCCAGCACGTCGAACACGTTGTCCGGTGTGAGCGCCAGGAGTGGACTGCCGTAGAAGTACTCCAGCAGCCACTCGAAACCTGCAGAAGAGGGGGCGCGGCGGGACGGGGCGCGGGGCGGGGAGAGGCAGTCCCGGCGGCAGCAGGGAGAAGGGGATGAGTCCAGGATGCACGGGCTTAGCACAGGATGGATGACGGGCATGTGTCTTGCCAGGGACCTGGACAGCCCAGTCCCAAATGCACTGAGGACGAACAGTAAGTCGTCGTGGAACTGAGCGACGGAGGAAGTGGCCTGCGTTTGGTACCCACCTCGCTGTGTCACCTCCTCCCCCAGCACTAGGTCGTGACTGGGAAGGCATTCCTGCCCGCCAGCCTCCCGAGGTGCTGACCATGAGACCCAGCGTAATAGTGTTGCAAAGTAGGCGCTTTGTGATGCTAATATGATCCTATGAACCGGGTAGGACGTCCCGAATGCACGAAGTAAGACGTCTGGGCATAGTCGGGCTGCATAAGCTGTAGCGTAGATGGCGTCAGCATAGAGGTCACTGTTCCGCATGGCTGATTCCTTTGGCGCGCAACCTCAAACGTGCCGCAAATGCACCTAACGCCTGAAGATTCATAGGTAGGAATGAAAAAACCGTTTTCCGGCACCCCGGAGAAAGCTAATGCGCAGGGCAGGGTTAGATGATTGCGTGATTCGAGGTAGGGTTGTTGGCAAAAGCAAAGGTAAGAGCAGAGGACAGTTTAAACGAACGCAGCAGTTAACCTATTACTGGCTCGAAGGTTGGGCGACTAACTGTGTGGCCAGTAGGGCCCGGGTGACGCGGAATGAGCGAAATGAAGGGTTGCAGAATAAGGCTATTGGCGACGGCCCCGACGCATTATAAGTAATATAAGTAATTCCTATTGATACATACAGAAGCGTATACGTCAGTCAGTGGGATGACATGGTTGTCCGTATGCCGACGCAACCCGGCACGGACAGCGAGTAATGGCATGAGGTTTGGCGCATTAAGTTGCAATATGCCGTCCTTCACAGGTTTCAAGGCGATAACCACGCGCACAATGACTCAGCTAGCAAACATGCTGTCATGCTCGTGTGGCACGGCGTGTTGCGCTTGCAAGGGCAGCGCTTTTATCCATGCAACACGAAAAAGGCTATCAACTACACCAGCGGGAAGCGGAGAAATTATTTATAGCTCCAATCCTGGCTCAACACTTCAACCGCTCGCATGCTTTTGCAATGTCTCGTCCTGCAGAACTCTTACGTTACTTGACTAAAAGCATCTTGTTTTACAGTCAAAGGTTACAATCTCCTTCCCTACTGTATCGCCTCCTTCGACGGTGGGAACCGCACCACCTCCTCAGCCCCCACTCTTTGCCAGCGCCCGAAATCACGCCCCACTCCACTAGGAACTCCACGATCCGGATTTGCAGCGCTACGTGGGGTGGCTGCATGCCGGTTTGTCATATCGGACCACATGCACTGGTACTGCACAAGAGTAGCTGGGTAGCTCGGCAAGAGTACCCTGTGTTATGCGGCATACTTCGAAATCCCCTTGCATGTCGTCAACCGCCTCCCAGCCGGAGCCCGTAGCCAGGTTCAGGCGGCCATGTGCCGTACACCACACTCGTGCAATCCACCAGGCATCGTGCTACTGGCAAAGCAGTAATGGAAAGCCCTAAGCACATAATCCCACCATCGGATGTCTTCTTCATCACTGCTTTTTCATGTGCTTCCTCGCCTTCCTCCTCTCCCTGCTTCCTTCAATATTCCGCCTCCCCTCTCTCCTCCCCTGCTTCTTCCTTGCACCAAATCTTCTGCGCCATCAGGTACGGCCTACCACCCTCCTAAAAGCCATGAAGGACTATCCTGTATTCCTGTTCTGTTCTAACCCCTCTTCCCCTCTCCTCTCCTCATCCGCCTGCTGCCCCCCCCTAGCTCTCCCCATCACTCGAAGGGCAGCAGACTCCCGAACATGAAGTGCTGCATGATGGGCAACTTGCTGAGCACCTCCACCTGGTACATCTTCACAAGACCGCTGTTCACCTGGCGCAGGGGGGCGGGGGGGCGGGCGGGCAGGCAGGGGGGTGGGGAGGCGGTAGGAAGGAGGAGGGAAGGGGGCGGTAGTAAGCAGGGGGAAGAGGAGCGGCAGCAACCACAGCGATACCTTTGGCAGGGCTCTTGGGAGTGCCGGTCGGCTTGTGGAGGCCGAGGCCCCAGCGACTTAACTCCAGACAAACCTGAGCCTCGTTCCCGCGCACCTGCCACCTGACCACCGAGCACCCGCATCCCCGCATTGCCCAGCCCCCCCCCCCTTCCCAGTCAGCTCGTCTGTTTCCTCCTCCCTACCCCCCTACCCCCCACCCCCCAGCCCCTCACCTTGCCCCAGTTGGGCACTGTGCTGATGTCATTGAGCATGGGGGAGGTCTCCCACAGCGGACCCTTCTTCACCTGCAGTGGGGGGGGGAAGGAAGGATATCCAATGTGTTGTGTGACAATGGAAGGGGGGTGGGACGTAGAGGCGGAGGGGGCAAACTAACAATGATGGCGAGAAGGATTGTGCGAGGTTGTGGGACCCTGCACATGCAGCCATCAGGGTCTCAGCAGCGGTAGAACTAGCAGCGAAACCCCACCCCCGCACCTGCCGTGAGCCCGGACCCCAGGCCCTCCGATGGCTCTACCGCAGCCCCTCCCCCTCCCCCAGCAAACCATGATGACGCCTCATCACACGGTTCATTATTCGTTTCCTCGTTACCCGGCCTTTCTCCACCTCCATCTCCTCCGGCCACTCTCCTCCTCCCCGCCCCTCCTCCCACCACCAGTTGCTGCATCTTTTCATCTTCCCCCCCACCCACCTGCTTCACGAACGCCACGCAGCCCAGGTACAGGTAGGTGTCCGCGTAGGCCTCCAGCACGTCGGCGTTGTGAATGGACTTGGGCTTGATCAGCGGGTGCGCCACCAGCTGCGCGGAGCCCCAGATGAAGGCCAGGAACTGGTAGTCGTCAAGACCCCACACGCCGTGAGAGCCGGCGGGCTCCAGCCTGGTGGGGGTGGGGAGATAAGAAATTCCAATGTGTGGTGTGATAGTGGTACATGTAGCTGACAAGCCCTGGGGTGAGGAGGGGGGAGGAAAGGGGAGTACCCAATGTGTTGTGCGACATTGGTATACTAGGTGACAAGTGACAAGCCCTGGTGGTGGGGGAAGACAGGGGAATGAGGAAAGGCGGGCTGCCGGCAGGAGAAAGCGAGGTTGAGGTTGCGGTGAGGTACGCGGGCTAGAGGAAGGGGTGTGAGGTGCGCAGTAGGGCCCAGACGGCGCCCAGCCGCTGCCAGGTAACATCCTCATCCCTCAACGCCCCTCCCCGTGTTCCTCATGTGCCTTTCACATGCCTACATACATGCCATATCTTGCCCCCCCCCACTCCCATTGCTTTCGCCCTGTTTTCTTGGTTTCGGTTATGCTCTGGTCTTTTCCCTGCCCCCCAGACGCCCCCCCAGTGCCCCACACCAGTAGGTGGTCTGTATCTTGCGCATGAGCTCCAGGTACTGCTTGAACACCACCAGACCCAGTCCCTGGGGAGGAGGAAGGGGAAGGGGGGAGAGGGAGGAGGAAGGGAAATTCAAAGCGCTACATACTCCGCATGAGGCTGGAAGGGGAGGGGGGAGGGATGCAGGCATCATGCACCGCATCCTTCGAATGCGACAAGGTGGGGTGGGAATTCAGGAGGCGCCATAGCCAAACACCAATATCATGGTCAGCATGGATGGCGCTTGGCCGCATTTCATTCCCTGCCCCGCCCCCGCCCCCGCACCTGCCGGTCAGCCTCCCCAAACACGCCCAGCTTGGACAAGCAGTACAGCAGCGCGCAGAACTGCGTCTCATGGCCCGTGCCGTAGTCGATGCGGGTCGCGTTGCCGAAGCTGTCCAGAAAGTACGACACAAGCTCCACTGCCGCCGTACGGAGCTCCTCCCCTAGGACTGACTCGAGCAGCGCGGGCGCGCGTTCCGTCAACCTTGCGATCCAAGTACGGAAGGCCGGATTGCCGTACCGCAGGCTTTGCTCCTCCGGCGGTACCTGATCCACGAGCGTTGCCAGCTCGGTTAGTACGGCAACCATGCGTTGTACGGCAGGGGAGGGGATGTACGAAGGGTCGTTGGTTTTCTTCCCGGTAACCGCCTCGTTGATGGAGAGGATGAAGGCCATGAAGTGCCGCGCCGATTCGCCTTCCAGGAAGCGTTTGAGGTCTTCAGCGCTGCCGATGCGCTTGCGGGCGGGATGGTACTGCGGTACGGGTTGTACGACAGAGGGCATGGCGGGGACTACCGTGATAACGGCTTCGGGGGCCTTACGCGGGGCTGCGGCCGCGTGCGACGCCGCCACGGCTGCCGCCGCCGCGCCGGGCGCCGGGAATCCGCCGCCAGCGCCGCCTATGACGGGCATGGGGGGGCCCCTTGCAGGAGGTACGGCGAAGAAACCCCCGCCATTGCCACTGCCGCTGCCAAGGCCGATGGTGCCGGCAGCAGCTGCGGTGGGGAAACGGAGGCCACCGTTGAAGCTGCTGCCGTCCCCGCTGCCGCCGGCTGGGGTGCTGCCTGGCCGCGGGAGAGCGAGGCCGGTGGTAAGGGGGCCGGGGGCTGCTGACGAGGCGGAGGTGGAGGTGGAGGTGGAGGTGGGTGGGGGAGGTGCATGGGAGGGTGAGGTGGAGGCCCAGGGCGCCGCCGTGGGGCTTAGGGTGTCTTTGGTGTGGTAGGGCGCGCTGGTGGGGAAGCCCGGGGAGCCGTCGCCCTCTGGCCCAGGGGAGTGAGACCGAGACGGGCGCTGCATTGGAGGTACTAGATTAGCTGGGGCGGGTGTGTGAGGGTGCCTCGCTAAGCCTGCTGCTGCCGCTGGTGTTGCGCGGGAGCGGGGTTGGGGATCGTAAAGAAGAGGGTGTCAACGTTTGTGTACTACTATGCTATAAGAGCTTGGTTCATCGGTGTTTAGAGTGCTAGCCGACAGTGTCGAGGCGTGGGGATGCGCATTTACTTAAGGTTAGCCTTGCTTCACAGTGGAGCAGCTTAGTGATGAACTATTATACATAGCCTACTAGTTACGAAAACGATAGCTCCTTTCAGTGAAAGAAGGTTCCGGTTGATGGGCTTCCGTATCCGGAGGTTGAAACCGAATGATCCATCCGGCCGGCTCGGCCATCTCTTGCAAGCAATGCGTCTTACAACTGTAAACACCTATTTGCTATCATTCCGATAAGCGATTGACCAGTGACATTCTTCCTCTAGCCCGGCTTACCTTCACTTTACCTTCGACTTTGCTGGGAAGACACCAGACCTCTGTCGCGGCCATCGCGATGGCGTGGCGACGGCATTTACTCGTCGCAATTGCACTTTTAGCGACATTAGGGCTTGTAGTGGGTAAGTCGCATTAGCGGCATGGCTTCCAATCCTTGGCCAACCCCGACGTCGCGTCCATTTTAAAGGCAAGACATGCCCCAAACAACATCCCTGCAGGCAAGGTCCGCGTCAGGGAGCCGTTGATGCGTCGCGTGCTGTACGATGAGCCCAACGCGCACCTGAAGCAGCTGGCAAAGGTGCGCAGAGCGGGCTGCTGCCGTTGTGTGCCGTACCAGTGACTTCTGCGGGCAGCAACCCCGCCGAGTAGCAGTGGAACTGAATGGAAGATCCACACGTAATGGATGGCATTAGCAGAAGTAGCAGCAGAGGGGTGGTTGCCGGGGGGCATAAAAAGAGGAAATCAACGAGCTGTATGAAGAGCCTTCGGGGGGGGGGAGACCCCGCATGGGCCAGACCACACTGCTCCACCCACCACCCCACCGTGCTACCCACTCTGCCACCCTGCCACAGATCAGCGACACGGAGGGCTCGCTGGCGCGCACCTTCTTCTCGCCCGCACACCGCAGAGCCGCGCAGCAGGTGCGTGACGCCTGCCTGCCAGCACCCGCATCCTCCCCGTCTGGCCCGGGATGGCTGGGCACGCGACACTTGCTTACCGTATCCTCCTGCAGCCGCACATGTGACACCTACGCCATTCGCACCCCCCGCACCCGCTTGTCACCGTGCACTGCTGCGCTGCTGCGCTGCTGCCCGGGGCAGCTACCTGACTGTCTGTCGTCTCTCTCTCCCTGGCTGCACTTCCCATTAGGCCCCCCGCCCCACCCCGCCCGCCCCCCACATTGGAATTTCTTTTTTGCCCCGCCCCCCTCGCCGCAGCTGATCCGCTGGATGCAGGACTGCGGCATGGAGACCTGGGCGGACGCGGTGGGCAACGTGCACGGCCGCATCCGCTCCGCACGCGATGGGGCGCAGGAGCTGCTGCTGGGCTCGCACTACGACACGGTGCTGGATGGGGGAGCGTGAGTAGGCGGGGTGGGGGGGGGGGCAGCGGGAGTAGAGGGCAGCGGGGTCCACCAACGCAGACAAGGCTTAGCACCCTTGTTTGCGGAGCTTGTGGTGATGAGCTGGCAGCAACACCAAGCTGGTCTGCTGTGTCTGCGGTGTCATGTGTCGTACTGCGCTACTGCCTTGTGCTGCCTTGTGCTACCTTGTACTGCATGCAGGTACGACGGCGCGCTGGGCATCCTGGTGGGTCTGGCTGCGGTGAAGGGCATGCTGCTGACGGAGCTGATGCAGCGGGACATGCTGGACCGGCTGCAGGAGCAGGTGGGGGCGGGGGCGGGGGGGGGGCCGGGGCGGGGCAGGGGCAATTCAGTGCTGTGAAAGCTGTACTTGATAGCGGTGATAGACTTATGAATGGAATGGACTAGTGGAGGGGCTCTTCACGAGTTTAACATGGGGACTGCTGTTCCAAGCTGTTTCAAGCTCTCCCACTCGTGCACACGTTGGCTATTCCTGCGGCCCACGGCGGCACACCCGCCTCTGCTTGCTTGGAATACCGGCGAGGTGCCAATCAATCTCCCCCCCGCTTACTTCCCCTCTTCCGCCCCCTCTCCTATGGTTCGGTATGGTCCTTAACCCTTACCCCGCACAGGAGGGTGGTGAGGTGGTGATCTCCGCCTCCCTGGCGTCCTCGCTCATGAAGCAGGGCGCGGTGCACCTGGTGGCCTTCGCGGACGAGGAGGGAGTGCGCTTCCAGTCCACATTCCTGGGCAGCCGCGCAGTGGTGGGTTGACAGGAGGGGGGCTCTTCACACTTGTTAGGATAGCATCGCTGCTATCTGTTCCCTGTCTCTAACCTACCTACCGGTACCTACCTCCTCGTTGTCCCTATCGCTCCATCCTAACCCCCAGGCCGGCACGCTGCTCCGGCACGACATGCTCGCCGCCAAGGACCACTCGGGCGCCACCCTGGAGCAGGTGCTGCGGGAGGAGGGCGGCCTGGCCGACCCGCGGGTCGCTGTGGCCGCCGCGGCGCTCAACCCCGCCCTCATCGCCGAGTACGTGGAGGTGCACATCGAGCAGGGGCCGGTGCTGGAGTCCAAGGGGCTGCCGCTGGGGGTGGTGGTGGGCATTGCGGGGCAGACGCGGCTGTGGGTGCATGTTAACGGCACGCAGGGGCATGCTGGCACGGTGCCCATGGCGGGCAGGCGGGATGCGCTGACGGCGGCGGCGGAGATTGTGCTGGCGATTGAGAGCATGTGCAACAAGACGCAGTTGGAGGGTGGCGTACGGCAGGTATGATGTTGGGTTATGGCGTAGGACTACCGATCACCAAGCGGAGGTTAGCCTTTATGGAGCCGCTTTCAAAGCGTGATGATCGACCGTTGTTGCACCCAGACTTGCGAAAATGCGATCCAGCGTTCAGCACCCCCTTTACCTCCTTCCCTTCACACGAGCCCCTTCTCTGCCATTCCTCCCCACCTACCCCCGCCGATCCCGCACAGCCCCAAGACGACAGCCTGGTGTGCACCGTGGGCGAGCTGCGGGTGTGGCCCGGCGCCTCCAACGTCATTCCCGGCTACGCGGGCCTCAGCGTGGACTTGCGCAGCAAGAACAACACGCAGCGTCACGAGCTGGTGCGCAACGTGAGTGCTGCGGTGAAGAAGGTCTGCAAGCGGCGCGGCGTGAAGTGCGGGGTGGAGCGCAAGCATGACGCGGAGAGCGTGATGAGCGACCCGGGGGTCATTGAGGGTATGAGCGTGGCTGCGGCAGCGGCGGAGGTGAGGAGGCGGGGTGTTGTTTTTGTTGCTGCTGCGCTGCTTCGTGTTGAGCCCCTGCTGAGCCCCTGGATGGGTGCATCATCTGGATGGGTCCATCAGTGCACGAAGGAGAGGGCATGAGTAGGCACTACAGGCATGGGTCTGCAAGCCGAATTCCTTTGGTCCGTTATACCGCTAGCACCAGCAGCAGCACCAGCAGCAGGACAGCAACCGCCTGTTGTTGCTGTTTCCTTTGTTGCTGTTTCCCCGCAGCCCATGCTGATGGCTGCGCTGACGGACAGCGAGGCGGCTGGTGTGCTCAAGGGGCTGCGCTCGCTGCCCAAGCTGGTCAGCGGGGCGGGACACGACGCCATGGCCATTGCGGAGACGATACCCCGGGTGAGTGCCTGCGCCTAGGCTGCGCGGCCTTGTCGCGGTGAACAGATCTGCTGGGACTAGGTAGTCTGGGAGTTGTAAGCCTGGAACAGCAGGAACCTGTGTACACCTGGCAGCTGGGCTTGCACATGACACATGACACATGCCTCCTAAGAAGGCCGCCCCTTTTTGCCCGAGGTGTGCTAAGTAAACTGGCCGCTTGTTCGCATGACCTTGCAGATGGGTATGATGTTCGTGCGCTGCCGCGGCGGTGTGAGCCACTCCCCCCTGGAGCATGTGGAGCCGGTGGATGTGGCGGCGAGCTCCGCAGCGCTCTCCGCCTACCTGTGGGGGCGCCTGGTGGGCGGCATGCTGGGCAGCTCGGCGCCGGACCCGCGAGTGAGGGGCGAGTTGTGAGCAATGTACAGGGAGTGGTTTATGGAAGTGGTGAACAGGTAACGAGCGTGTGCGCGCGTGTAGATACGTGAAGAAAGGGGGAGACTGGAATGAGACTGGAATTCGGATGGAGAGACACCCATCTGGTAAATTGTAACACAGGTGCTACTTACTGTGATTTTGTGCATTGTGTAGGAAGCTATCTGCTTTTGTAGTTGTGAAAGATTGATTTGTATGTGCGGAGGCCCATGTGCCTAGCTGCCTATTCCCACTACTGCCGACGGACGGCCGACCGACTGCCAAACTTCCTTGCAGCGCCGCTGAAACTGACTTCTCCTATGGTATTTATTTTAGTTCCCGGTATAGCTTTCACTGTACAAAAAAGATGTTACAGTATCGCTAGCGACGCTAGCACCTGGCAGCAGTCGTGGCAGTTAGGGCTTCATGTAATGTCCGGTTCTCGTAATGTATGGAAAGGGGGATGCATTTTACGTTCAAAGTACATACTCATTTAACCCTGAGGCCCTCTTCTGCGAAGCAGTTGGCTTTGCTTGCGTTACAGAATAGCTTATAGAAACACCGTGCAAGAGCGCTTGTCTTGAGTGTAGGAAAAAGAATGGACGTGGCGACGCAGCGACGTGAAATTGCTTTGTTGTTGGAAAAGAAGGCAACCTTCCATCAAGGACTCAAGGCGCTGTCCCAAGCAGTTTCGTCGACGTCTACTAATAACAGCGCTAAACTCTCAGAACTGTTTGATGTTCTACCAAGAGTCATGGTATTGCTTCGAACACGGTACAGCAACCCGACGCAGTGGAAGATGGCAGCAGAGACTCTTCGCGTTTGCGAGCAGCACTGTGCACAAGCCGACCAATTAGCGCGTGTTCAAAGCTGTCTCCAGGAAGCTGAGAGCTTCTTGGTGCAACACGACGTTGAGCTCCCACCAGCTGCACTTGCAGCGTCCACGGAGGCAGCGGCAGCAGCAGCCCTGGCGAACGTGCCCATGGAGGACCTGCTGCTGGGACTGGGTCAGGCGCAAGAGGTGCGTGGAATGGGCTATCCATGCGTTTCTTTGGGATGCACAGGAGGCAGCTCGTGGTTGGGGACGCTTGGGTTTTGAAGGTAGCTGGCGTTGAAAGGCCACGCATTGAAGTGGTTTTGTGAAGGATTGTAAAAGGGTGCATGGAAGGGCTCGGCTGCAAGGTTCTCAAGGGTGGGCTACTGCAGGCATGCGCAACATGGCATTCGAGATCCGGTCAGCGGTGTCGCCACCTGCCAATCAGGACTCACTGCTGTGCTGCCCCGCCGACCCTCCCTCCGCAACCCTCATGCAGGCCACACCCGCGCACTACGACGACACGGGGCCTATCCTGGACGACGAGGAGCGGCGGCGGCGCATCGAGGGCGGCGGTCAGGCCAGCTCATCTGCCCCAGCCCCAGCAGCAGCAGCTGCAGCTGCAGAGGCTGAGGGAGGCGTTCCGGACAGTAATGGTGGTGATGGAGGTGGTGGTGGTGGCAGCGAGACCGCACGTCGCATTCAGCAGCGAGCCAACCTGCAGGCGGCCATCCTTGAGGGCATTCAGGTGCGGCTCGGCTGGGGCTCGCCTGGCTTGCTGATGTGGGGAGCACTGGGTTCGGTACAACCGTGGGTTCAGTAGCCGAGTACGTGGCATGGCGCCACTGGGAGCCTGCTGCCCGCACGGGTATCTGGGCGCGGTAGTCAGGAGGGGCGGCGGCCCCTTTCCTGGTGTCTTACTGCACGTACGACAGTCTGGTCCAGCATGGCCCTCACGTGAGGCCACCCCACATGCCACCCCAAATGCTCACCCCCTTGCGATCTGCACCACACAGCCCCCCGCTAAGCACCCTTGCGCGCCTGCCGCTGCCCATGCTGCATACCGGTAGCACCCTGCCCGCCCGGCCCCCACCCCATGGTGGAGCCCTGTCGCACGGTTTCTTGCTTACTTCACGCCTCCTTACCCGTTCACTTTTCATTTGTTCTTCACCCCCGCAGGCGGTGTACAGCGGCATGGCTGCGGTGGCTCGCGGCACGGAGGCCATCGAGCGCGAGCTGGATGCGGTCCTGGCGGCGCTGCAGGCGCGAGCGGGGCAGCAGCAGCAGTCGTCGCGGCCGCCCGCGTCGCGGCGGGTGGTGGCGGCGCTGCCTCGCATCGTGCTGGATGAGGCGACGCTGCAGGGGCAGCTGGGGAGGTACGACGGCTAGGGACGTGGGGGTGACGTGGCGCCTTGGGGTGTTGGGAAGAGAAATGTGGTTACTTGTGAAGGGCGACAGTGAGCACATTAGGGGACTGATACGCGGCTATCGGACTGAGTCAAGACGGCTTTCACCGTTTCACGCTACTCAAGCAATGTTGTAGTTCGATTTGTCCAAGCTTTGGCCCCTCTCCCCTCACGCTTCCGCTCCCCTGCAGTGACGCCGTGTGCCCCGTCTGCACGGAGCAGCTGCAGGTGGGCGAGGAGGTGCAGCTGCTGCCTTGCAAGCACAGCTTCCACGTGGGCTGCCTGGCGCCCTGGCTGGCGCAAAACAACTCCTGCCCCGTCTGCCGCACCGAGCTGCCCACAGACGACCCGCACTACGAGTCGCGCAAGGAGCGGGAGGCGGAGGAGGCGCGGGAGCGGCAGGGGGCGGCCAACGCGCTGTCGCACAACGAGTTTGCCTACATCTAGCAGCTGAGTGCAAACGGTTTTGGAGCAGGCGAGGCGTGCTAGGGTCGGGACGCCAACCACCCATGAGATGTATACCGACGCATTCTTGGTGCTTTCTAACATGTATGTTATGACCGTCAACATCCCGCAAGGATTAACATAGCCCGCAAGGCCTCCTTGCAAAGGATAAACGCCTGGTGTCGTCACCATCGATAAACACGCGTTTGTAAGACTCTTCTCAATGTCTCAAAATTTGCTTCCCAAGCTGTCCCAAGGCCAAACGTGGACGCTGTCTCTTCCAAAGTCACCACACACAAGCCCCGGGTATTCGCCACACAAGTCGCCGCATGCACAGCTGCTGCCACTGACTAAGCGAGCGTCAAACCCACCGCACGGGCATGCATCCCGAAAGCACTGGGCGATGGATGGAGGAGCACGCCCACCAAAAATTGACAGGGTTGGGAGTGCAAGCCTCATATGTATACCCGTGCAGAGCTCGCTACCCAGCTACCAGCAAGCCACGCGTAGCACGGGAAGCAATGGCCGAACGTCCCAAGCTAAGAAACTGTCCACAGCTGATCCTAACCCGCCTCTCAGTCATCCATCAGTTTCACACCCTCAAGCTATGGTACGGTAACACACCCATGCGCTTAGCTGCAGCTAATTAGCAGTCCGCTCCGAGCCACCTCTTTATACACCCTCCAGGGTCAGGGCTGACTAGCGCGCCTGGAGGACACCACCACCGGCAGCAAGTTAGCAACCCCGCCACCTGCCCCATTCACTCCCTCGCTGCTGCTGCTGCTGCGCTACTCCTCTCCCTCGCTGCTGCTGCTGCACTCCGGCGCCCCTCACTGGCGCTCCTCCACCTTGATGGTCATGTGGAAGGTGGGCTTCAGGATCATGTAGGCGCTGCAGGGAGGAGGGGGGCAGGGGCCGGGGCAATGGGGAAGCAGGTGTCAGTTCGACTGCGTGTGCGTCATGGACGGGTTACAAGGCGGTTGGAAGGGGAGGGGGCGTAGCTACCATAAGCCAGCTGAACCCACCGGCCCTGAGCCCGCGGGCGGGCACGCTTCAGGCGTGGGCCCTCATCCGCGAAGCATTCGCTGACGTAGAGCTTGGTCTTCAGCGCACCCTGGTTGTGCTTGGCGTTCGCAGCAGCCTGGAAGGGTTGTAAGCACGGAGGAGGGGTTACCGTACTACCTTTCTTGACATCGGTTTTCCCTCAGATCTGTAGTGCGTGTTAGCCTGTGCCCCGCTTACCGACATCAGGCACTTAATGATCTTCTCGCAAGCGCGGTAGGGCATGTACTCGCAGAGCACAAGTGCCTCCTCATAGGACCGACCGCGGATGACGTCCAGCACACGGCGGACCTGCAATTGGTGGTGTAGCTGATATAATTCTGCTTGCTGGAAGACAGCGCGTGCGGGGTGGACGCACCTTGTGTGCCGACCCGCGTTGGAAGCGCAAATGAGCCACTCCAGCCTTAGACACGCCCACGACTGGCTCAGAAACCTCCACAGCAGGGGCTTCTGCTGCTGCGCTGCATACTACAGTGGCCGCTTTGCGCGAGGCGACGGGAGCCTGCGCGCATTCATGAGGTCGCCGCCGAGTGAGCCAAACCAGAAAAGTAAACCATAGGTTGGAAGTCAATTATAGTGCTTACAATGCGGACTGGTCGAACAGCCGGGCGGAAAGCGGCCACTGCGCGAGCAGGGCCGGCCACAGGCCGAAGCAGCTCGTGGCCAAGGGTGGCTCTGAGTGCAGCCATTGATGTTTTGTTACTAGGTTAATACGTCAAAGCAGAAACTTCTCCTAGGCTAGCCATAGGAAAGCGGATTTGCTTAGGGAAGCAACAACCGTGCGGCAGTGGCACATAAGGCCTTTCCTGATATGCCAGTATCCCCATATACTGGCTATGAGCTGAATTGTCTTTATAAAACGGGATATATCCCGACTGTTAAATTCCTGTATTCTGATACAAAGCAAAAGAAAGCAAGCATCGCTGCGGCAAAAGCTGCGGGCTATGGCCGCAGCTCTGATGGAGGAGGTCCCTTTCCACGTATTAGAAGAGCGCTATGCGGATGATGATGAGGACGAATGCGGAGAGCATGGCACGTCACAGGCCATCCCTCCGCCGCCAGCCAAAGAGACTGCCGGCGCAGCTGTCGCTGCGGAGGACCCAGCGGCCGGTATAATCGAACATGACGACGAAGATGAGGCGTTGGGGGACGACGATGACTTTGATAGCGATGACGAGCTGGCCGAGGCCCTTGAATGGGCAGACATGCGCGATGGTGAGGAGAAAGGCCAGGCAGCCTGCAGATGCAGATGATGCTTGCTTGTCAAGGGTAGGCTTTACAACACATGCAGAGGGTTGACATACACCATTACGTAACACTAACCCGTGTGCCTTTGCCGCAGATCTCATGAACCGTGGCAACGCTGGGATGAACTTCACGTCGGGGCTCCTCCGTCGGCCTAACGCCGCTGGCGGTGGTGCCAACCGGCAAGGAGTGCTGCAGCCTAAAGCTACTAGCATGCAGGTATGTCTGGCATGCCTCATACGTTCACTACTTCCGTTATGACGGCCTTCGTGCCATCCAGCTCTGTACGATCATGTCTACAGGCCTGCCTTAATAGTCAGGTGTCCATATTCGGTTACCCATGTCTCCCTCCCCTCCCCTCCCTGTCCGCAGCGTCTGGACCACCACATGAACAGCGGTCGCATGGGTGCAGGCGGCGGTGGCGGCAGTGCCGTACTGGACGACCCCCTAGACGCGCTGCACGGCGTGTCTGCACGTGTGTCCACCTCGGTTGCCAACGTGGTCCGCACCTCGGCCATGCGGGAGGGCACGTCGCGCATCGCAGCCAAGGACAAGAGCGACCGCGCCACCGTGGAGCAGGCCATCGACCCGCGCACGCGCATGGTGCTGTTCAAGATGCTCAACCGCGGGCTGTTCACGGAGATCAACGGATGCGTGTCCACGGGCAAGGAGGCCAACGTGTACCATGCAAGCGGGCAGGACGGACGAGACATGGCCATCAAGATCTATAAGACGTCGATCCTGGTGTTTAAGGACCGAGACAGGTAGGCTGGGTGTGCGATGGTGTTCATTGCTTCTGCCTAGTGTTGTCTGGTTTGGGTTTGGACCCTGTTTGGAGGATTGCGCAGGTTGTGTCATGGCATCTTGGCCGAAAGGCGTTGCTTATGCTTCTTACCTTCTTCAACTTTTGTTTTTTTCGATGTTGAACCGCGCCCATGTGTTGCGCTGCACGCCCCCACAGGTACGTTTCCGGCGACTACCGCTTCCGCAACGGCTACTGCCGCTCCAACCCGCGCAAGATGGTCAAGATGTGGGCGGAGAAGGAGATGCGCAACCTGATGCGGCTGCGGTCTGCCGGCATCAACTCGCCGCAGCCGCTGCAGCTGCGGCTCCACGTGCTGGTGATGGAGTTTATCGGGGAGGACGGAGTGGCGGCGCCGCGGCTGAGGGATGCGGGGCTGCCGCTGCCACGGCTGCGTACGGCGTACACGGAGATGCTGATGGTGCTCCGGAACCTGTTTCAGAAGTGCCGCCTGGTGCATGCGGACCTGTCGGAGTACAACATCCTCTACCACAAGGTGGGTTGGTGCCGGGCAGCGTGAAGGGAGATGAGTGGCATGCCGGGTAGCATGAAAGGGGTTGCGTGGGTGTGGGGGGAGCTAGGCACGGGTGCAGAGCCGGACTAGGTATGGGTGCGAGTGCAGTGGACACGAAGCTAGGTGACGGTTGTTGGGCCTGTCAAGAGCATTTGCCGTACGTATCTGGGCTGCCTGACTCACTAATGACGGCGGCCTTCGAAGTTACGGCTATAGCGAAATGGTGGTGTTTGCGACGTACGAGGCAGTTTGTCAGTCTGCCTGCGAACTACTAAGCACCACGACATCCACTTAACTACACTTTCGCCATGTCTTTGTCACCTGCGTCTTCCTATCCTCCCTACCGCACAATTGGTTCGCCTTGCCACACGCTTAGTTTCTTTATCCCTCTCCACCTCCCTACCTCCAATCCCGGCGCAGGGAGAGCTGTACATCATCGACGTGAGCCAGGCGGTGGATCTGGACCACCCCAAGGCGCTGGACTTCCTGCGGGAGGACTGCAAGCACATCAACGACTACTTCCGCCGCTGCGGGGTGGCCACACTGTCGGTGCGCGAGACGTTCGACTTTGTGGTGGACCCCGCCATCAACGAAGAGAACATGGATGCGGCGCTGGAGCGGCTCAGCGAGCTGGCGGCGAGGTGAGGAGCAAGCATACTGGCCGCATACATACCATAGTACTGGCCGCAAGACGTGCAGCATGTTGTATGCTGTTTTGTGTTACATGTGTTGCTACCCTAAGGATCCACTGTTTTCCTGGCTCGCCGTACGTATCTGGGCTGCCTGACTAGTGACTAATGACGGCGGCCTTCGAAGTTACGGCTATAGCAAAATGGTGGTGTTTGCGACGTACGAGGCAGTTTGTCAGTCTGCCTGCGAACTACTAAGCACCACGACATACCACAACCATGAAAGCGCTCCATGGCATAAGGCGCGCCTTACCCTCACCACCGCCCGCCCCTCACCCTGCCCGCTCCCTTTTCCCCCTCTGCAGCCGCCCCATCAACGTGGCTCCCGAGGAGGAGGTGGCCGAGGCGGTGTTCCACCAGGCCTTCATCCCGCGGCGGCTGGAGGAGGTGGTGCACTTTGAGCGCGACCACGAGCGGCTGCAGCGCGGCAAGGACACGGAGGGCATCTACTACACCACCATCACGGGAATGAAGCAGGACGGCTCGGGGGCGCGCGCGCAGCCGGTGGTGCTAGGGGAGACGTCGGCAGCGGCGCCTGAGGTAGCAGCGGAGGCGGCTAGTGCGGCGGGGTGCCAAGGGGGAATGGCGGAAAAGGGGCGGTTAGCTGAGGATGTGCAGGCGGCGAATGGTTGCGAGGCGCAGCCGCCCGCATCAGCAGCCGTGGGGCCGAGTGCAGGGTGTACGGCAGCGTCTGGGTCATCACAGCCGGCGTGCCCTAGCGGGGACCCTGCAGCGGACGGTGGGGGCGATGACGAGGAGTGCTCTGGGTCGGGGAGTGATGACGAGGACGATGAGGAAGGCAGCGAAGAGGGCGAGGGCGGGCCGGGCGACAAGGACGCTCAGCGCGCAGCCCGCAAGGCCCATAAGAAGGCTGTCAAGGAGGCGAACCGCGAGAAACGGAAAAGCAAGGTTCCTAAGCATGTCAAGAAGGCGAAAACGAAGGGCGGGAATAAGAAGAAGTAGGAGCGCTTGGGACAAGCCTAGTGACGCAGGATGAGTAGCATATAATGGGATGCATACTTTTTTCCTTCTGCATTGTTCCTTTTGGCTTTTTGTGTTCAGTGTTTACAGTGACCACGGGGGGAGCTAGGATAGCATGACTTGCATCTAACTGTAGCATCGAACATCTTAGCTAGGCTTTTGACTGGATGGTGACTTACGCAGGTCATGAGTACATGGCATGGCTGCCGGGGTTCACGATTGTGCCGACTTGCGACGTTGAATTGCAATATTCATGAAATGCCATGGTTTCCATACCGTAGCAGCCATGTGACACGCATCAGTCACGCAGCGGGTTATTGTGGATCGGACCTTCGAACGTTCCCCGGTCGGGTCGGCATGACAGGTTGTATACGTTTTGAACCCAATGGTTTATGTGCATTTCATCGTAAAACATTGCAATATCTGTGCTTAGGGCGACATGGACGCCTGGGTTTATGCCGGTACCGGTAGCTAATGCGGTACTGGTATTTTGCTATGCTGGCATGGGATTCTTGCCAGGCTCTCATTATGGCAAGGAAGTATTCACTACTAAGAAGTGGATGCGGACGGCGCTCTGCTCTGATCCGCGCCGTTGCTCTGCTATGGTGCTGTAACATCAGAGAGGACCCCTGGGTCCCAACTGTTATCCGCCGGGACACATAGTCACTGTATCCTACGGTGTACATGAAAGATTATGTCACAGCGACATGTTTTCGTTTCGTGCGTCGGGCAGTGCTGGCTTGGGGAAAAGGTAGTCCTACCGTAAACTGCGTACCCAAAGATGGCCCACGTAAAATTTTGTAGTCATACTGTATTCTGTCGTAATTATGGCAATATCATAATTACGCGAAAGGGAGCCGCAGCAAAAGTCCTCTTCAGCAGATTGCACGTACGGCAGTCAACGGCAGTCCTAGCCAATAGCGATTCCATCTGTCGACAACCCGACTGGCCTCTCTTGCACGGGGGCAATGCCTGCTTCTTTACAAGGTTAAAATAGCGGTTGCCGAAGACTTGCTAAAGCATACCCCTTGCATAGCTGTAAACTGGTTAACCTTGCGGACTGCAAAAGCAACTGGACTTCCAATCCTTATGCGAATATGTTATAGGACCTTATCTTAAACGGCCGCGCCCAGCGCAGGCCCGGACGCCTGTGGCTGGAATCCAGCTTGCCTCTTGTCCGGGCACATGAATCTTTTTCTTAGAACATGTGCGTAGTTTGCTGGCAAGAGTTTGATGACTGCAGCAACCCTCCCGTGGACTTGGGCTGTGGCCATTTCGGCTGCGTGACTTGCCGCGCTGCGATAGAGCGCTGCCCCGTCTGCCATGCAGCTGTGGCAGCATCTCCAAACAGCAGGAAAAGTACTCTACACGAGCTAATTGGTGGGTTTGGTTTTCGGGCTGGGTACTCCATGGAGGGGTTGTTGCATTTCGCGCAAACTTAGCACAGTTAACCTTTGGGACAAGCTTTCAACCGGCCCCGATTTTTAGTTGCACATTCTTTTCTGGCACATATCTTATACCTAAAATAAACCCCCGCCCTCGCCAATAACAGACATCAAGCAGTGGCCCACGCCCCGGCGTCGTTGGCGCTTAGCCGAGGGTCAAGGGGCGGACTTAGGGGACCTGCTTGACGACGACCATCTGGCGCCACTTACGCTCGGCTCTGCAGATGAGGCGGTCACTCCACGCCTCCGCATGCTTGAGCGTGTTCCCAGCAGCGCATCAGGCAGCATGGCACTCCGGCCGCCAAACTGCGTCGCAGTTAGCGCCGGGCACCTAGTCCACGGGGGCTTCGTGGTGGGCCGCACAGTGGTCTTCCTCGCCCTGGTGCCAACCGCACGTCTTGGCCTGTTCATCACCCGTACGGTGCTCTTCACCACTCTGCATGCCGCCACGGGTGTAGGCCATGCAATCGCGCATGTAGCCACTCGCCTGGCGCGGTTCGCACTCGCCCCTCGCTACTCCATCATAGGCTTCGACGGCAGCAAGCAGCACCAGCACCCGCAGCTCTGTTCCCGCGGCCACTCCTCCTCCTCCGCCTCAGACTCGCACTGCAAACCGCATCACCAGCAGCTCCAGCTCAACCCCACCCGGGTCCGCAGGCGTCAGCACCCCCGCCACGCACCGGCGCCTGAGCCCCTGAGCAACCTTGTGGGTGCGCGCATCACCCTCAAGGACTGCCGCCAAACCCGGCTGCGGTTGGAGTACTGCCGGGACTGTGTGGTGGTGGCCAGCGGGCTGGAGTCGGTGGAGCTGCTGCTGGTGTGCTGCCAGCGGGTGAAGCTGGTGCTGCGGAACTGCAACGGACTGCTGCTGCGGGAGCTGCAGTGCAGCGCCATGGGCGACTTTGTGCGGCGAGGCTGCCCCAACTTTGCGCATGAGATCATTTGCCTGCGCTGCGCATGCAAGCCGGCGTTTAGCAGTTGCGGGAACGGTGCCGGCGGCAGCAGCTGTTGAGTTGTCGGGGAGGGACGACATCGGGGGGGCTGAGGGTAAAGGGGGTAGGCGTAAGGAAGCTAGGATTAGTGGGTTGAGGTAGCGGTACAACGTAATGCGTAAAATGCATGAGTGGAACAGTGTAGGGGGCTGTGTTGTTGACGGGTTAGCGGATCCGCGCAGGCTGCTGGGCTGTCGGACGCCGTCGGCTGTGGACCTTACGTTACCGTGGATAGGTGTAGAGACAGATACATCCGCAGGAGTCTTGACTCATTTACCAATACATGTGCTACGTGCCTACTGCCATACCAAGTGGTACGGGCAGAACTGAGGGCTGACTCTCCAATGACGGAAGCAGAAAGGGATGTTTACCAGGTTATGTAGGAGGGTAGAAATGTCATAGTTAGAGCTGACGGCTGCGTTTGCCATACAGCAAGCTGCCCCGTGTTGGAGTTGCAACGTGCTATCCGCACCCCGTGAACATATCCCCATCCGTTTTCTCTTTTGTTAATGAGTTGTGTGCAACTTGGCATGGCATGGACGTGCAAAGCCCGGCAAAGAGTATATTCTTTTGCTGCCATGCTGCCACGAAGGAACAAGCCCCCTTCCAGCGTGTCTGGGAGCGCTCGCATGCAGGTTCGTGTTGTAGGTTAGACGTAACTCTTTGATCCCCTTTCAGATGTTTTGGTTGGAGTGTACATGATGGCAATCGCTGTTGTTGTACTTTGGATGAGGCATTCATGCAGCAGCTCTACTGGTAGTTGGACTGATGATGAATAAGCATAATGTTTAGCAGGGGCTGTGCTGCCTGCATTGTAGCCTAAACGGAGCCAGAGCCCCTTGTCACGCACTTCGTTTTCGGTTCTGCCTCCCTTTTATATCGGTTGTTGCGCACAGTATTGTAGGCGTTGCGGCTGGACAGACATTGGTAGAACCAGGATTGGTAGCCCAGGATTGGTAGCCCAGGATTGGTAGAACCTGGCGCTGCACCGATACCCCTGTAATCCTTTGTCAAAAGCGTGGTTGCACAGGAGCGCAACATGTCTGCTAGCAGTTGCACAGCATCGTGAGGTCTCCATGAGCTCTCCTTGGGGCACCTGCTCAAAAACTGCCTAGGCACCTGCACCAACCCTGCATCAATCATCTAGGCCTATCCTCAACGACAGCATTCCATACAAACACGCCATTTCCCTTCTGAACGGCGCCTGTCACTCCCTCCACCACACTCCCAGGGCCTTCGTGTCCCGCCGCTGCTCTGTCACCCCCAGCAACAACTTCATGACGCAGCGCCACAGGACAGCCATGCTGCAGAGGTGAGAGGTCTTTCCGCATGAGCACCTGACTCAGCGGTCCCGGCAGCAAGCTGAGCCCGCCTTCATGCACGGGCGTGTAACCCATGCTTCGGTACAGTCTAGCTGCTGTGTCGTTTTGCCGCTTGACGTGGAGCCACAAGGATGAGTGCCCCCACATGCGGGCTGCGGGTACACAGGTACGGCAGAGGGAGGCAGCAAGGGTTGTACTCTTGTACAGTTACAGGCACATGCTTAAACAGGATCCAGACGGTCGGGCAGTGCTGCCATGCCGTGCACCAACGCAGAATCGATTATGTGTTGCAATTCCGTAACCAGAAAGGTATTCCCGGTCCTCTCCTGTCCAAACGGTCGTGTGCTCGCTGAAACCCAAAGCAACAGCAGTAGCATCAGCAGCGGCAGGCGCTGGTCACTCACCCACTCGCTCGCACTGCTGAAGTAACCTCCTGGCCAGCCCCCGGCGGCGTTGTGAGGGCAGCACGGACATGTTGGAAACGTACAGCCTGCAGGGGGCAGCAGGCATGCAGGGCGCATACCGGCAGCCTTCGTCAGTCCCATTTGACGCTCCCCGGGCCCCTCCTTTGGGCCCTGTTTGAATTTGCGCCCTCATTACGACAGCGGAGGAAGATAGCGACGGAGAACGAAGAACACAAGCTCTAATGGACAGAAGCCAATGCAGGTGCGGGTGAGCAAAACCTCCAGAGCGACCCCTACAGTATAATCTAGGCCCAAGCCCCATACTAACACTGCCTATGTTTTAGGGAAAACACTTGCTCGTCGGCTTGGCGACCGGTCCCCGACACACCTGAAGGGCTTGTTGCTAGGGAAGGGCGGCGGCAGCAGGGCCTCAGGCTGCATGAGGGACAGCGTCGCGCAGCCCACCACCCGCCCCGCGGTGCCATCGCCATTGCACCCCAACGGCGACCCCGTCGGCGGCGCCCCAGTATCTCCGGTGCCCTGGGCCCCCACATGGTTATGTGCGTCAACGGCTTCAGATCCCAGCCCGTTTCCTGGGGCTGCTGTTGTGTTACCGCCCATCGCCGCTGCTGCCCCTGTTACCGGTCCTGCTGCTGCTGCTACTGCCGCCGCTGCCATGTCCTCAGCCTTCGAGTCCTCTGCGGGGTCGCTCTCCACCGCCGTCAGGATCATGAACTGACGGGTTCGGAGCCATCGCTGCACCGCACGCCTGCACAGGCACGCGCGCGCAAGTGGCTGAGGGTTACCGTACACAAGGAACGCGCTGGAAGGCATGCAGGCTACACATTGCTTCAACAAGCTTCAACAACATCCAGCGCTTCGTAATGACGCATTCAGTACCCCTGTAGCGTCCGACCACAGCCCCAGCAGCCTAGCCCGGGGGAGGCCTTTTGTCACCACAACCCTACGCTAAGACAGGCTGAGGAGGCACCCACTCACTCCTCCTGCGGCGTGACCTGTGTGGGAAAGCGCGCCGGCTCGCCCCGCAGCGCCGCCAGCTGCGCCCTCAGCCGCTGCAGGTGCCGCTGCAGCCGGTGCTCTCGGTGCTCCCGCTGGGCCTGGGGGACGTGGGGAGGGCGGACGAGGTTGAGGAGGCAGGGTGTACAAGGCAGGTGGTGGTGGGGGTGAGGAGGAGGAGGAGCAGCTGCGGTGCGTCCGAAGGGCGGGGCTGTTGTGAAAGCAAGCAGGCGCCGGTCTGGGGGCTGTTAGGGCGGCCTGTCTCATGTGGCTAACTGTGTTCGCCTTGGAACAGTCTGGCAGTCGGAAGATGTGGTTGCTCTGCTTAAGAGCTTCCCTTACACTTACGGCCATGCAAGCACCCTCCCCTGTGCAGGTGGGTCGCACCTGCTCCTTCGCCGTCAATGCGTCGCGCAGTTTGGGCTCCATGTCCTCTGCAATGACCACTGCATATCGTGCCTCCAGCTGATCTAGCGCCTCTGATTCTAGGCCCGGAAAGTTGCCACGCCCGAAACCCTGCATTAAGTAGGTTTTCAGTCAGCATGCATGGTCAAACATCAAACGGGGATAATTTCCCCTATGATGCACGTGTGAGCTTTCACTGGGTAGCTTAAGAAGGGCAGACCATGAAGGCATGGGGTTGGGCATGGGGTGCGCAAGTAAACCCGAAGTTACAAAAGTCGCTGCACTGAATTCGATACCGTCGTTAAGGCAGTTGTATGGTAATAATTCGTACCTCCGCACAGACGTGAGCGAGGCTTCTCACGTCGTGAACGGTCCCTCGACGGATATTGTATGTGGGCTGCGCAGGCGCCGACGTCGAAGGCCCTGAGTCTATCAACGCTGAGACTGTAACTGTACGACTAGCTCTTGGTCGCAATGAGCAACTCGCTTGCCTCAAATGGCATCGTCGCCCTAGTGCGGAATTCTTCATACCGACAGTTTAAAAGAGTACAGTTATTTGCAAGCTATCAGGGTAAATTTAGCAGCGCCATAGCATTCCTTTGGGCAATGCGGGTTACTGATCGTGTGCCGAGTACGGCAGTAACGCAAATAATATACTGCCGTTCGCGGCTTCAAATAGGGTTTAGAAGTCTTTGTAAACAGTTCCAAGGCGATCTTCTCCTATGTAACGACGACTAGTCTGGTGTAGTATCTGCCGCCCGTCGTTTCGCATCGGCATCGGCGACTGGAGCCATGCCGACTCTGCTGCCCAGGCTCCTGGAGTTTCGCGATGACGAACCCGCGAGCTCATCGGGTCGTGTTCCCAGCCTTCAAGACGCGTTTACAGTGTACACAAAATTTAGGCAACAGGCAAGTCGTGTCTGCCGCCACAACCCCTCTTCAGCCGGACCCACGCGTTTGGCAGTCGGGCGGCGATCTAGTAACTCCTTTGGCCTTCCTTGCTAAAGGCGGCGTGACACACGTTATGCAGCAGTCATATTAAGAGCCAGTCCAGACGGATGTTGCATTGCTGCTCTTATGCTGCCTCTTCAGGAACCAAGGAGCCTGTCGGGCGTGTGCGCAACTCCCCGAGGGCAAAAGCCCGCCAGGCACGGCAGCAAAGCGTCCCACTCTCCACGCGCCCCCACACCCGAGGAGCAACGGGCGAGGCTGCGCGCCCTGTTTGTAGAGACCGCCCGCAGTTACATAGGTGTGGCGCGCTTATGACAAACCCGTCTGCACTATGACAAACGAACCCAACAACGATGCCTGAGCAGCTGACACAGTAACGGTCGTTTTAGAACCCCTTTTCTGCTTCCAGAAATCTGCTCTACGATCTCTGTTCACGCCTGCGGCCACCCCGCCCGGCCCTGCCTCTGGTCCTGTGCGCTCCATAGTACCCCTCCCCGCCTGCTCGCCCTGTCCCCCCTGCTGCCGCTGCAGGCGTGCCTTACGCCCGCAAGCACCACGACCCCCACTGGTGCGCCTGCGAGGGCTGCTCCGGCTCCGGCCGCCAGCTCTACCACGAGCCGCTCTTCCTGGACTGCTGCGGGCTGGTGCGGCGGGTGTGTCGGGCGCTGCAGCGGCAGCTGGGCTTCCGGCTGGGTAGCTGGAACCAGGCGTACCAGGTGCGGGGGAGGGGGGGGGCAGGGGACTGCTGCGAGGGGTGCTGGGTGTGGTCCGTGGAATGCGGGGTGTGCTGAGCTGCTGCTTATAGTATCAATAAAATGTCAAGTACCCTAAGGAGGGATGGAGAGGAGGGCGCGGCTCGAGCCATGGCTGTGGCTGCTCTGCGTATCGGTAACGGTGAACACCCCTGCCATGCTGGCAACTCTTCCACACCTTTGTTACCGGTACCCCAACACCGCATCTCATCCCCATGAAGACACATGTCGCCCTTGCCGTACATCCCGTTTGTTCCTGCACAGTACGACACGCTCCCCAAGCGGCTGGACAGCGTGTCGCAGCTGCAGCCGGGCGACCTCATCTTCTACAGCGGGGTGTACCTGGAGCCCGGGTCGCGGCGGCACGCGTTCGACATGACCCACGTGGAGGTGTTCGTGGGGGGGCCCACCGGGGAGGGAACCATTGGTAGGTGCATGGGCGTGGAGGAGGAGGAGGGCCAGCATGACACCGGGGCAGTTCAAGAAAACATGGGTACACCGGAAGGACATCCCTGCCTGCCATGCATACCGGTAATCACGTACATTGCAGGGCTTGCTGAGAGTTAGTGTATCGTGTCCCAATCCAACACTTTGTAGCTGTCGTAAGGCCCGGCGCGCTTCCCCGCAGGTTCCCGGGAGCGGTACAAATGGGTGATGGAGTACGACAGCTTCCGTTTCCAATCTCAGCGCTGGCGGCTCCGGGCCTACCACTTCTGCAGCATAGACCCCTGGCTGGACGGCATCTGCGTGCCGCAGCACCCGGGGCTGTGGCGCCCGCGGCGGCGAACCAAGGAGGGAGCGGCGGAGGCGGAGATGGCGGCGGCAGCGGCGGTACGACAGCAGCGGTTGACGCAACGGTTGGTCCAACGGCCTCACCCCGCGGCGACGGAGCTGGTGACTTGGAGCTCGTCAAAGTACTCGATCTTCGGCGGTACGGCAACCACCACTGCTGCGCGGTGCAGGGCGCCGGTGACTGATAGCGGGGTGTTGAGTGATGGAGAGGAGGACTAGGGTGAGGAGCAGGAAGGCAGGCGAAGAACCGGTAGAGGAGCAGGAGGGCAGGCGTAGAAGGCAGAGTGGGGGGCATGCATGCAGGTATGCAGGCAGACAGGATGCGTAGCGCAAGGCATGTAGGGTAGGAACGGACTGCATTGGGGTAGCTGCATTCATGCGAAGTGGGTGAAGGGGCTGTTTTCCCTGGAGCTCTACGAGCACGCATGACATTGTTTCATACGGTAGTTAGGTCAGTAGGTCTAGCCCCCAGGAGGATCCCCTGGCGACGTTGCAAACGTGTGTGGAAGCGTTTGCATTACAGTCGTTACAGGACCCGTTAGGTGCAGTCGCAGTGTAGTGCTCTGTAGTTCGCTACCGGAGCAAGGAGTCAGAAGCAGTATTTCATTATCATTGGCGTGAGTGACACGTGACACGTGCGACACGTTCTTAATGCGCCATAGCAGGGCAAATGCAGTTCTCGACAACAATCACATGGCCACGGCCCTTCCGCTGTAAAGCAGACATGACGGACAGGGCGGTTTACTATTTATCCAGTAATATAGACAGGCGTCGCGGGTTTGCTTGTCTAAATCGCAAGGGCTGGTCCATTGGTAAGGAGCTATATGTGTCTCATGTCGTGCAAGGGGTCCCGGAGTAGTCGGGAATGCAAGCAGAACCGCCCTCCAGGCATGCAGCTACCAATACCATCAGCACCCTCAGTTGCTGTCTCATCTTTCACGTCTGTTGCCGCAAACCCAGCTCCCTGAATTGTGGAGTACCATACTGCACCGTGCGCCAACCCCTTCCCATCGCCCTAGCTAGACCCTGCTCCTCTCTATCTCCCATCCTGCGTCTCTCACGCCTTCCCAGCCTGCTTCCCGTCATCACCCCCCTCTGCGCCGCTACCGTCTTGCTGAGCTTGCTGTTGTCCTGCACATCCGCTGAGGCCGCCCCCAGCCGCGCGCGGTGTGCATCCGGCCCCCGCTCCCGAGTCCGGCGGTGCTGCCCCCGCAGCAGCCTCGCCCTCACTCCCGGGGCCTCGACTGCGTGCATGGCTGCAATCGCCACTGCCGTTGACACCGTCGGCGCCCTCCGCCGCGGTGCTGCTGGCCGACGCGGGCGGTGCCGCTGCCCCTTGGTCCCCGTCGTGGCGCATGACATCTGTACGGGCAACGGGAAATGAGCGGCAATGTGAGGGGCCGGCATGAAGGGGAGAAAAAAAGACGCGAAGCGGCAAGCGCACAGCATGCACATATAAGCCATGTTTTGATATGCTTCTCCGCCCTGCAACCCTGTTAACGAGCGCAATCACAGTTAACTACAGCATGCAAGCGCGCAATAACGACGCACGTTTATGCTGCTCGCCAGGAGGGCAGCCCACGTCGCCCTGCACCCGGCGCGGTGCCTCCCCGAAGCTCGCCAGCCGCCCCATCGAGCGCCCCGCACGACCCCACGAGCCGCCATCACTACGCCCCCGGCCGCCCGCCCTCGGCCCGTCCGCTGCCTCCAGGGCACAAGCCTGCGCCGCCACCTCACTCAGCCCCAGACTCGCCAGCAGCCGCCGCTCAGAGTCAGAGCCCTTCCACCGCAACGGCCGGGTATACCTGCAGGCGCGGGATGCTAGGCCCGTTTGTATGCAGCGCGAAACCACAAGAAGCATGCGGCAGGTATAATGCACCGCTGCAAGACACAGTGCTGTACCGGCTCCAGCCCCTAGGCTGAATGCACTCAACAGCGCCAGCATTGACCCCGCATGCAGGGAAAGGGGATCCCGTAACCCGGCATCCCGCCACCAGGACTTACTTCACAGCGGGTGCATAGCCTGCACCACGACCCGCCGTGCCTTCCAGCTGCCCACCCGACACCGCTGGGCCCCCCGCTGCCGCAGACCCGGGGAACGGCGGCATCGGAACACCGGTGTGAGCCGCAATCCCGCCCTCCCCCAGTGCCCCCTGCACATGCCGCCGCAGCTGAGCCCATGCCGCAGCCACCTGCTCCGATGGCAGCTGCGAGGGTGGTGCCGATAGCGGCGTGCCCGCTGGCACCAGGGGCTGGAGCGCGCGTGCTACAGCCTGCCGCAGGTCCGCCGCAGGCAAGTGCAGCAGCGGGGTGTCCGCTGTTGAAGCCGCGGAGTCCCCTGCTGCGCCCCCAGCGCCCGCGCTGCCGCCAGCAGCAGCAGCAGCAGCAGGGCCAGTGGCAGCCGCTGCCACCACCGGCGCGATGGTCTGTGTGGAGTGGAACGAGTGCACGCCGGTGGACCCAGGAGAGGTATCGCGCGGGCTTAGCGATGCGCTGCCGCCCCCGCTGCTCGCCAGCCCAGCCCCCGCTGCAGCAGCAGCCCCGGCCCCAGCACCCGCCGCGGCTCCAGCACCGGCCCCACCGCTTCCGGATGGGCCCGCTCCTTGCCCGGATCCAGCCGCAGCGCCCGCCGCTGCTGCTGCCCCTGCCGCTGGTGCCGCGTTGAAGTTGCCGAAGTCATCATCGTCGTTGTCAGCGGTGCTGCGGTTGCTGGCAAAGCTGCCAAAGTCGTCGTCTGGGTGCACCGAGCCCGGACCGCTCACAGCCACTGCCGAGGGCGGCTGCGTGGAGGGTGCAAAGTCGGAGGTGGAGGTGATGTCGGAGGTAAAGTCGCCAAAGTCATCGTCCGCGCCGGCGGCTGCAGCGTAGGAGGAGGTAGCCATCTGGGAGGGCGCACGCCAGATGCTGCTGCCGACGACGGAGCCGTAGTCCCCCAGGTCGTCGTCGCCACCGGCTCGGCTGCCGACGGAGGCAATGGAGGCTACTGACTTCCGGCCGCCGCCTAGAGGAAGGGAGCGTGGTCAGCAAGGAAACGGCAAACGTTGTTGGGGAAGGGACGGAAGCGAAAAGTGGATAATCGCTGCCGCTTGACTGTAGAGACCACACTGCCACCCAACAACAGGCCTCGTCATCCACAAAGGATGCCGCCATGGGTGGCCATTGCCCCGACTTTCCCTGTATATACAGCCCATGTACCGCCAGGACACCCTAACCTAGCTGTGCTTGCATGGCATGTATGCGCAGTGGCGGCGGTGCTGTTCCCTTCCCGTCCGCCTACCTGCTCGCGAGGGCGCAACACTGGGCGGCGGCGAGGGGTGGCTAAAGTCGCTAAAGTCGCCCGCGACGCTGCCGTGCTCCGACACGGCGCCGCTGGTAGGCGGCCCATGCAGCAGCTGCTGCGACCCGCCGGGCATCACCCCGTACGAGGGGCGCGCGGGGAAGGCGGTGCCCAGGTACATGTGCCGGTGGGAGGAGGGCGAGGAAGTGCTCGCACCGCCGCCGCGGGCACCAGCAGCGCCGGCTGCTCCCCCCGCTGCTGCTGCTGCAGCTCCGGACGGGTGCAGATGGGCGTGCGCTGCGGTTGCCATCCCCAGGCCCGCCGCGCCACCGGGCAGGAAGCGAGAAGCCGAGGTAAAGTCTTTGAAGTCGCCGAACGCGTCCTCCTCCTCAACCACCTCCCGGTCCGAGTCGCCGTCGCCCGAGTCGCAGGTGACGGCGTCGGTGCCGTTGGCCGCTGCTGATTCGGCGTCGGTCTGGTCCTGGTCGCTGGGCAGCGACTGTGAGCCGCTGGTATCCTTGGAAGCCTGTCCTGGGCTGCCTGGGCTGCTGTCTGGGTCCACGGTGGCTCCCACGCTGCCCTCCAGGGTTTCAACTGCTGTCACAGAGGGGTGCTGCGGGTCTGTCACTGAAGTGGGGAGCGGAGCTTCCATGCAGTCTTCCTGGGTGGTGGGTTGCTGCCCTAGTTCGGCAGGCTGGTCAGGTGTCGGGTTGCAAGGGGCAGCGGCAGGCGTGGGCCCCGTGCAGTCATTGGCAGGGGAATGTTCCCCTTGCTCGTGGAGTGGCTGCTTTTCTGGGCCCCCTGGCGTTGCTGATGGTCGTGATGTAAGGGCCGGCTGCAGAATCTCATCGCCGAGGAGGTCTCCCGACGTGTCAGCAGGTGCGTGGTTGATGGAGGACGTCGCGGCAGGACCGGTGAAGTCGTCCAACAGGTCAATCCCGACGGACTGGCCATTCGCGAGTGCCGCGTCGTGCCCAGTGAGTACACCTTCCTGCTTTGCGGCTGGAGCTCCGTTTTTCGGCATCCCCACACTCGCTGTGACGTTAGAGCCCGCTATGCCTTCCCTATCACCAATGTCTTTTGCATTACTTGCAAATATCATGTCTACATCCATGCTTGCGGCTATGCGGTATACAGAAAGAGTCCGCCTAGGAGGTAGATTAGGCGTTGTCTGGGCTTTTTGGTATGCAAGGCGTTGCACACGCGAATGTTATGCGCAGGTATGTCAGTTATGCTCAGCAAAAGCACTATAAGGAGTCGTTTTCATTTTACAGCCTAGCCTAGAGCTGCAGCCAGAATATGCACCGCAGAGTATAACAGAACTACAGTATGAACTAACATTGAGTATGGTACCTGTCCAGCAGGAAACGTAGCAAAGCAGTAAACCGTTGCAGTAAACATAGCTGGGGTGCCGTAAGCGAGCCGTACACTGTTTGCTCAAGTCGGACAGTCGGTTACCAGAGAGCTGTCCTCCAAAAAGGGGAACTAAGGCATTGTATCCGCTACAATTGCACCCAATGCTCTGTACAGCTTGGCTTGATGACTTCCGTGCCTGGATAATTCAAAAGTTACAGTTGCGGACAGCTGACGCCACATAAGCACTTTCCGCCATCATCGGCCCTGTGGGCTGGGGGACGTCCGATTTAACGCTATAAGAGCTATAAGAGTGAAGCGTAGGTAAGTGCAGCAATTGTTTGCTTAGTGCACAAGCTGTAACTTGGTCCCAGACAGTGCACTGATCGCGATCAGTTGCTTAACCAAAGAGAGGCTTGTCTTCGCATCCGTACGCGCAGAATAATATTGACATGTCCTCATTGCACCCGTTCTCATCCAATGAGCAGGGGGTTATCGCCAAGCTCCGCACGATGGCAATGTGGGCACTGCGAGCAGCATTGTAATCTCTTCTTGGCGCCGCAGTCCAGCCCAAATTATGCCGATAGGCCTAGTACGCCCTCAGCCAAGGAATGAAGCCGGAACCTGGCCTGCTCCGAATCCAAGTGATCCCGCACCTTCCCATGGCGTGAAGGCACGGGCCGGTCGCCCGGTCGCAACGTCGACGCGGGGCGGGCCCAGAATAGAACATGGCAACGCAGCCCTGGCAGCGGAGCTTGAAGAGCGAGAAGGCGGCCTTTTGGAGCTGCCGCCGCCTGCAGGCACTTTATCGCCACCGCACTTGCCACAATCTGCAAGGGAGGAACTTGGCCTTCCTTCGTCGATGCTTCTGGCGGCGGCCATGACCCAGCGCGTGCATGACAAGCTGACCGGTGACGACATAGCTGCGAGCGGTGTTGCTGCTGGTACAGTGAAGAGCAACCACGCTGGCGCTGCTACCACCCATGGTGCTGTCATGCTCGGCAGGGTCGGGGTGGCATCGCGCGGCACTGCCTTGCACTGCAACTCCTATGCTGCTGGCGTGGACCTGCAGCCGGCGCAGAGGAGCCGCGTCTGCTTCAATACCTCAAGGCTGGCTGGTAGCGCTGATGAAGATGGGGCATGCATCCCGGTATCCTCGATGTCCTCACTTTATGCAGGCGACGCTGCATATCATGGCGTCACCGCAGCCCGCTCCCTAAGCCGCCTGGAGCAACAGCCCCCCTGCAGTAGCAGCAACAGCACCTCCATCAGCCGCATCCCAAGACCACCTCTCCAGGGCAGCATTGCCTCCAGCGATGCCTATATAAACGAGGCTACCACGAGCGCAAGCCGCATCCCAGCCCCACCATCGCAACCCCCCCGCGAGTCCCAAGCTGTCCGCAACGCTGTAGCCTCCCTGAACGGCCTCACCAGTCCACGACATCCACCGGTGCTCGGCCGCCGGAACGTCGCCCGTGGAACCACCGCCGCTGCAGCCCGCGCCTCCACTGCTAGCGCTGATCCTGCCTTCTCTGTGCCCACCACCACCTCCCGATCATATACACGGCCCGCGGGCTGCTCGTCCGTGTCGGCTGCCTCCTCGTCCGTAGCTGCGCCGGCTCAGACGCGACCGCCGTTCAACCATTACTGCAGCAGCAGGCAGCCTCTCAAGCCCCTTAACGCCTCAGCCGGCCCCTGCAGTGTCCGTGCCAGCAACGCCGCGGCGGATAATAAGGACGGGAACAAGCCGGTGGCCAAGAACCTTGCGAGCAACGGACAGCTAGCTCAGCCCCGTGCATCAATGCCGGCTGCGGTTACTGGTCAGAATGGAGGCCCTTCTCGACGACTAAACAAGGCAGTCGTCATGGAGGGTTGCAATCCCAGCCGTAGCCGCGCCGTCACTTTCCTGTCCAGCTCTGAAAACGATGCGCCCGTCGCACGGCCCCACTGGAATGAGGCGCGGCGCAGGGCTCCTGTTGGTGCCGGGCCAGACGCTGCAATCCCTACGATGCACACCGGTCACGTTCGCGGGTCGCAGCCTCGTCCCGTCCGGCGGTATGCGTGTGTTGGCGACTCCATGTGCAGCGATAAGTCCGGTGCAGTCGCGCAGCACCCGTTGCAGCAGCATGCAGCGCAGCAGCTGCCCTCGGCCCCGAAGAGTCCTGGCTCGCCTGTGCCTCCACACAGTCCTGCTGAGACGCTACCGTTGCTGAGCAGCCCCTGCTGCCCCTCACCGTCGGCCACAAGCCACCCGAGGCGCCAGCTCAGCCCACCGCGATTCAGCACCGGCGATACTGTGACCATGGCTTCACCGGTGCAGGCGGCTTTCGCAGCTCGACCGGCCATGCCTTGCGAGTGTGACAGTCCACGTTCCGAGCCAGCAGGGCCAGGCGAGGAGTGGCAGTGGCTGAGGTCTTCCTCCGAGCACAGCACACCAGACAGCGTTAGCAGCGATCGCAGCGAGCTCGACGCGCCCGTTGCCAGCGGCGACCATGCAGCCGCAGATGTCGACAGCAGCCAGACTGCTCTTGATCGGAGGGACAGTGAAAGCGGTGAGAGCGACGCGGGCTTCGGGCTTCCCGCATGGGCCTGGCGGAGTGTCGCTGTGCTTCTGTCCAACGACTTCAGCGCGGCGGGGGGTCAGCAAGCGTCCCAGGAGAGCTGTGCTGCACCGCATGCACAGCATGCGCGCGCCTCGGCTCACATGCGCGGCGGTTCCGGAGCCCGGCGCAGGGTGCTGTTGGAAAGCATTGAGGACTCCCCGCTCGTCCCATTGTGGCGTCAACCCGGCACGCCGTGGCGACACAGCCCGCCTAGCCCTGCCATGGGGGCTGCGTCTTCAACCGCGCCGCCGGTCGGTGTTATCGGTAGTCACGCCGTCTGCGTGGACGCCGCTACCGAGCCGACCTACCGCTTGCTGCTTGCGCGGGTGGCCTCGGACGATTCCGACGCTGGGAGCTCTGCAACGCTGCGGACGAGGCCGCAGCCAGGCCGTGGCCGCTACTCGCACCTCCAAGACGCGCGGTTCTGCACGCCAAGGCAGCCGGTGGGGCTGGCTGGCCGGCTCTCGACCCCCAGCTCCGCTTCGTGCTCCGCCGAGGAGCCATCCGTGCCGCTCACGGCGCCTGCCGACTACTACTTCCATGAGAGGCATGACTCGGTTGGCGGCGCGGGGGCGCCCCTGCAACCGCTGCGTGGGTCACAGGTGGACGCCATGGTGCATGCGAGGGCGCTGCTGCTGGGGGGTGCGGCATTGGCGCGATGTACCTCCTCCAGCAGCACCGACAGTGGCCCCGACAGCAGCCTTACCGAGGTAACTGCGGGCGCGGTTACCAGGGCGGCGGTGCATGGATTCTGGGAAGACAGCGCGCTGGACGCACAGCGCACCGCTAGCGGCATCGTCAGCAGCAGCGCGTACCTCCTGGACGGCGGATACCACCCCGTATGTACCGGCGCCGCTGTGGCATGCAACAGGCAGCAGGCTTCGGCGTTGCGGGCTCCGGGTCAGGTCGATTCGGCCGATGAGCAGCGGCAGTCACAGCAGTCTTCCGTCGTAGATAGCAACATGGTAGCCGACAGGGGCTGTTTGTTACCTGCGTCACCCGACGGCGCCTTGTCAGCTGCAGGGCAAGGGTGCAGTGATGGCAAGAGCTTCGAGGACAGCAGCGCACCCCTGCAGCAGCCCACCCAGCAGGCTGCAGCGGAGGAGCACGCGAGCAGAGAAGCGCCCACCTTGCCATCATCCAAGTGCCGTACGGCCTCCATCGAGGTGCTGGCCGCAGGCGCACCGCTGTCCAGGCCTCCGCGTCGCGACAGCATCCGCCGCCGCCCCTCACTCGAGCAGCTGCAAGGCAAACGAGCGCAGGCACTCGAAGCCCTCAGGGCCAGCACCGCCGTTGTGGTTCTTCCAAGGGGCGCAAGCCAACGAAAGTCAGCCCCTGGCCTGGGAGCTGAAGCGACGAGCGGCACCGGGGAGGCAGCCAACGCCTACAGTGCGGCGAAGGAGTGCTTGACAAGCCGCAGGGGCCAAAGCGTCGGTGGCCAACCGGCCAGTGTTTGTGATCCGCTACCAGAACTGTCTTCGCAGCCCACGCCTTGCAGTAACCTTCAACCCAGATGCGAGGAAGTGGCGTCGGTTGATTGCGAGGACGCCCCGCTAGAGGTCGCAGCGCGCGGCGAGCAGCTGCATCATGACGTGTCGTGGATAGTGGACTCGGAAGAGGAGGATGCTGCTCAGGCCGCATCTGTGGGATCAGCGCCGTCACCGGAGCCCGCAGCACGCGTCATGGCAACAGAGGCAGACACCGCAAGCAGCCAACCGGACGTCCACTGCTCAATTCTCCTCGCCGTGGAGCCACCACAATGCATGGGCGCAGGACCACAGCTGCTTCCTGAACAAGCACCGCACCCGAGTGTCCCCCTCGTCAGCCCCAGCCGAGGCCTTGATATCGGGCAACAACCCAAGCCCCCTGACCGGTCCGTGGTTATCAGCGTCATGTTCGCCGCAGCGGCCAGCATTCTTAGCGGCGCCAGCACCCTCATGTCCGCCTTTAACGGCATCAGCGCCCCTGGCATGCCGTCGGCAGGCACCTCGGTAGTTGCGGCCGCGGCGGCGACGAATGGGACCACAGCAGCAGCGGTGGCGGCGATGGGGACCTCAGTCCGGAGCGCAGTGGCTGGCGTTGCCGCGGTTGCTGGCATCGCTGCAGCAGTGGTGGCAGCAGGTTTGCTAGCAGCTAGCTCGTACGTCGGTGTGCGGCGGCCACCGTCGCCGCCTTGCAGGCCGCATACCCATGACGTGGGCACTGCTCCTAGTGTTGCGGCGCTGTCAAGTAGCTCCAGGCCGCAGGTTTCCTCTCAAACAGCCAGATCGGAGGGAAGCCCGGCATTAGGAGTTGCCCCGGAGGCACATGATCTGGCAGATGGGAAGGCGCCCTCCGATATGCTCCCGTCTGGATGGGAGGAGCAGCTGGCCGGCGCTGCTGCAGCCGCGGCGGCGGATGCAGCCTTGGATGTTCGTGCCTCGCCGGCCCCAGATGAGGCCCTGCCAGCGCTCCCACTGAACCGGCGGGAGCAGTGCCTGGAAGCCGTGGGGCTGGACATAACTTCTGATGCCGCTCTTACCGCTTCAGCCTGCGCTTGCTTGGATGCCAACTACGCAGCGTTGGCCGAGCAGCGGGAAGGACGAACGGACCTGGAGGCGGCGACGGCGGGTGACCACGTGACGGCGGCGGTGCAGGGTGCCGCCGCCGAGGAGGCTGCGCTAGAGCGGCTGGTGTTCGCCCGGCGGTTGGAGCTGCTGGTGGTGGCAACAAGGGCTGGGTGGGACAGCGCCTTAACGATTGCCGGCACGGAGGCTGAGGGCGCAGCGTTCTGCGGGCTTGCGGCGGCAATGAAGCGCAGCAAGGAGGCCGACCGGCAACTTAAGCTGGTTGCTGTCAGCTGTGTTGCTGCCATGACGTCAAGGCTTGCCACTCTCGCAGCAGCATACGAGGAGGACGCGCTGGCGGCCCGCCATGAACTCGCAGAGGCATGCTTCACGGCTGAGGCAGCCGATGCTGCTCTAAGTGAACGCGCATGTGCGGCTGCGTCGGCGGCGCTGGAGGACCTACATCGGCAGCGCCTAGCCCAGCTGGGCGCCCTCGCATCAATCTCTGCAGCCGACTCCATGGCCGCTGCACAGGCGGCCGTTGCTGAGGAGACAGCGCTTGAGGAGCTATCGTGCTGGCGCCAGTCCTGCCTGGCGGCCTGCAGTGTGGAGTGGGGTGAAGATGCACGGACGTCGCTGCAGGCGGTCGACGGCGAGGAGGCTGCAATCAAGCGGCTTGCCCGATACAGGGATCTACTAGCGGTCGTTTCGCTCGGAGTGGAGGCAGCTGGCGCGTGTGTAACAGTGGCCGCTGTTTGGACCGAGGAGGATGAGCAACGTCTACTTGTCATTAGGCGGCAGCAGAGGTTCGTGGAAGCCATGTGTGCAGCGGCGGCAGCGGTGAACTGGGCTACGCTTTCGGGCTTAGCCGAGGCCAACGCGCTGCGGGCCTTAACTCGGCGGCGACGCAGGCTGCTTGACAGGCTTGTGAAGTGCACGGCAGTTAGCGTCGCGACAGCCATCTCAGGTGCCGCATGCATGGATGCCAGCTATGCGGCCCTGGCGGCCCAGCAGCAAGCGAGCTTGGACCAGGTTGCAGCGACGGCGGTTGACATGGTGGTGGTTGCTGTCAACGGTGCCGCCGCCGAGGAGGCTGCGCTCGAGCGGCTGGTGTTCGCCCGGCGGTTGGAGCTGCTGGTGGTGGCAACAAGGGCCGGGTGGGATAGCGCCTTAACGATTGCCGGGACGGAGGCTGAGGGCGCAGCGTTTTGCGAGCTTGCGGCGGCAATCGAGCGCAGCAAACAAGCTGACCGACAGCGGCAGCTGCTTACAGCAACCGTCAGCTCGGCTGCAGCCTCTGCCGCGGCACAAGCTGTTCAGGCTGCAGCACGTGAGGAGGCCGCCCTGCACGATCTGGGAAAGGCGCGCCATGCGCTTGCACGAAAGTGCTTAGCGGTTGAGGCTGCCGATGCTGCCTTGAGCTTGAACGGTTGCGCTTCCGGCTTAGCGGCGCTGGAAGACCTGCTACGCCAGCGGCAAGCCCACCTTGAAGCCTATGCATGGGAATCTGCGACAACGGCAGCATCAGTGCTTGGCGCCGCTGCTGCGGAGGACAGCGCTCTTGGCGCGTTTGTGCGCCAACGGCGATCATGCCTGGCGGTATGCAGCGTTGTGTGGGGTGAAGATGCGAGGGCATCACTGCGGGCAGCTGACAGCGAGGGGGCTGCTCTGCAGCGGTTTGCGCGGTACAGGGAGGTGCTGGCCGGCGTGTCGCTTGGGGAGGAAGCAGCGGAGGCGCGTGTTACAATTAGAGCCGTACAAGCAGAGGAGGATGCACAGCGCACATTTGCAATCAGGCGGCAGCTGGTGTTAGCCGAGGCCATGCGTGAAGCTGCCGGATCGGCGAGTCTAGCAGCGCGGTCAGCTTCAGCGGAGGGCGACGCGCTGCAGGCCCTGTCGCGGCGTCGGCACAAGCAGCTAGCAAAGGTTGCAAAGTGCACGGCTCGCCAAGCAGCCGTGGCCGTCGCGGGTGGCGCCTGCACGGATGCGAGCTACGCGGCCTTGGCAGCCCAGCGGCTAAATCGCATGCAGGGGGTTGCGCAGGCAGCAGGAAGCATGGCGGCGGCCGCTGTCTGTGGTGCTTCAGCCGAGGAGGCCGCATTGGAAGCGCTGCTGTTGGCTCGCCGGCTTGAGCTGGCTGTGGTTGCTGCCACGGCCGGTTGGGTCAGCGCGAAGACTATCGCTGGGCTGGCGGCCGAGGACGCCGCGCACAGCGCCATGGCTGAAGCTGCCAAGCGAAAGGAGGAGACGCAGCGATTCCAGCAGTTGGCACTTGCTGCTGCCTCTGAGGCCACATGCGCCGCAGCGACTGACGCCGTGCATGCGGCCGCTTGCGAGGAGAGTGCCTTGTACAAACTTGCACGGACCCGCGGTGTGGCGATGCGTGTGTGCCTAGCCGTGGAGGCCTTGGAAGCAGCAGCGACCCTGGATGCGTGTGCGGCTGAGTCAGAGGCGATACGTGACATGGTACGGCAGCGACTCAGGCAGCAGGCGGCCTGCTCCCTGGCTGCAGCTGCAAGCTCTGCTGTGGCCGTCAGGGCCGCAGCGGCTGAGGACAGCGCTCTGGAGGCGCTGTCTTGCCGCCGGCGGCTGCACCTTGCCGCATTTGCAGCGGCAGCTGGTGACGGTGCGCGGATTTCGTCAAGGGCTGGTGCAGCTGAGGAGGCAGCTCTGCAGCGGCTTGTTCGCTACAGGGTGGTGGTGTCAGGGGTGTGCTTGGCTGCGGAGGCAGTCGCTGCAATCACTGCTGCTAGCGCTGGGGCGACCGAGGAAGAGGCACTGCGAGCGCTTGCGGCGAGGCGGCAGCGAGCTTTGTACGAGCTGGCATCCACTACTGCGGCAGATGCAGCCCTGTCCGTGCGCGCGACGAAGGCCGAGGAGGCCGCCCTGCGGGCCCTCGCGCGCCGGCAGCAGCGGCGACGGTTGCGGCTTGCGGCGCTGACGCACACCGCTGCGGCGGTGGCAACTGCAACCCTCAAGGCTGTGGTTTTTCTGGAGGCAAGCAACGTGTTGCAGGAGGCGGCACTGCGGCAGCAGAAGCTGCTGCTGAGGGAGCAAGGGCAGCGGCACCTTGCCGCCATGGCCAGCGTCTCCCATGCGATTGGCGATGATGCGCGTGTGGCGACGGCGTCCGCCCTGTGTGAGGAGATGGCGCTGGAAGCGCTCGCGGCGCGGCGCCAGCAAGTGCTGAACACCTGTGCCGTATCCGCTGCCACGCATGCTGCTGTGACGGCGTGCGGCTCCGAAGCCGAGGAGCGCGCCGTGAGGTCACTAGCCCGAGATACGTGCTTGCAGCTACAGCAGCAGCAGCGCCCCACCAGCAGCGTCCTGTTCCTAGGCGTCGCTGTCGCGGCCTTTACGGCAGCTGCACACGCAGTGGTTATGGCCGTGATCAGCTGTTCACCGTCTGTTTCTGACGAGCCGGCGGCGGGCATGGAGCTGTCCCCCGCGGGGCCAAGCGGCGCCCCAAGACTGCCGGCTGCCGGTGGTGTGTCCCCGGGGGCTTTGCAAGGTCGTTACCGCATGCGGGCGGGCGGCTGCGTGTACAAGACGGCGGCGATGGTGGTGAGCGAGGATGTGCGGCTGGCATCGCACCCTGTGGTGCTGAGTAGCAGCAGTAGCGGTAGCAGTAGTAGCAGTAGCAACAGCAGTGATGATGATGAGGGCGATACCAGGCGCAGCGATAACGCCAAGCACCGAAACCGCTGGGAGCAGCAGCAGCAGCGCGTGAAGGTGCAGGCGTGGGGCATGTGAGCGCTAGAGATGACTGAGAGGGTGATGCTGGGCTTGGCATGGGGCTAGGGGGCCGTGAGCAGGGTTAGCAAGGATGAGCGGGTGCTTAGCGGGCTAGCGGAGGGTCGCGTCGTTTCTTTCATTTCAGTCTTTGTATCCGAGAGTGGGTTATTGGGGAGGACGGGAGTTTCGATGGGGACTTCATGAGGCGCACGAACGTCTACGCAGGTATCAACAGCTCACATGTACCGGTATTATAGCGGCGGGATGGCTATGGTGCTGAGCTCGCAGCGGTTGACTATTGGGAGGTGTGTTGGTGACTGCGTTGGAGAGATTCCGGTGTAGGCTGGTGTAGCGGGCTGAAGCGGGTTGACAGCGTGTAGCGATAGAGCAGTCCAGCAGCGCAGCGTGTTCGCCTTGACAGTTGCAATAGCAGGCGACCCACGGGTCATTTTGTTCAGAGGGCAACATGCAAGCTGAAGGCTTGGCAGCAGCGTTTGATACTTATAATACATAGCTCTATTTGGGGCATGGCTGATGGCTTCTGGCAGGTTAGTTAGTTATAGCACTAGAGAGTGAAGTAGGACAAACTAGGAAGTCTTTAGCCAAGGTACTGTAGCGAAGTCTGCTCGTTGTGCGCAGGCGCATTGAAGCAGCAGGTGTCAGGGCCAATGCTGGTCGCATACCTAACAATCATCCAGCCCTGACAACAGGTGCCGTAGCACTGCCGTTGCTTACTGTAGCTTTTTGTTGCTACCATCTCCGTCGCCCCTTCTCAGGCCAATGCGGCCTTTCTCAACTGAATACCGTATCCGTGCAAGCTGACGTGCTACCGCCCGTGCCGTACAACTGAACGTGATGCCGGCGCCGATTCCTCAGCGCCATGGACCCCTGCATCCCCTGTGTACCGGTAGCTACCTTTACAACTAGGATGTGCCTGTGCCGTGAGAGTTCAGGTACCGTAACAAGAGCAATACGTGCTCTCTCGCCCGAGTCCAGCAGTCGCAATGTCGTACCACACCTCACCGTACCGCAAGAGCTGCATGTAACCCGAGACTCATCCGCAACCGCAGACGGCCCGCACAACTCGCACCACCCCTCGCATGCGCGCTCCGTCCACACTCGGAGACACTTGGCCCTCGGGTGGCAACCCTCCTATACCCTGCCCCATCCTGATGCCCTGCAGATACAGCCCTCACTTTGGCACATGCAACCCAACCCACTACACACAAACCCCATAGCATGCTTGTCCCCACCCTCCGCAGGCCCTGTTGCACTGACCACCGACACCAGCTGTGCCCTCTCCAACCGCTGCACCGCCTCTTCTTCGCGCCCCCTGCTGCTCCCGCTGCCCCCACCCCCTGCCGCCTCCAGCGCCCCGCTCACTCCATGTCGATGACCCTGGACAGCTTCTGCACCCGCGTGAGCAGCAGGTCGCCCCTCTTGAGCGTGTCGGCGTACAGCGCGTTCTTGGCGTCGGGCCTGGAGGGGGGGGTGGGGGGTGGCGGGTGGGAGCAGGTGGGGAGGGCTTAGGCGGAGACAGGAGGCCAGGAACTGGGGTCGCCTTCCTTGGAAGGGTTACACTGATCGCGTTCCTGCCGTTCAGGCAACACGCACCTTTGTTTGCTCGACAGACACGTGACTCGTGATAACCCCCACCAGTCCAGCTACACAGCGCCACAACGCATGGCATGCATGCAGCCTCAGTCATCCACAGCCTTTCCCGTAGCACCCCCCGATCTCTCTATGGTCACCTCTTCCTTTCCCTTCCCCCTGCCGTCTCGTAGTCCCTTTGCTTCGCCCTAACCTGTGGTTTCCTACGGTATGGTATCTTGGTATGGTCTTTGACCCCCTCCCCCGCCCCCACCTGTTCGTCTCGATCACCCCCGCCACCTTGTCGATCTTGGCGTGCAGGCGGCCCGCGCAAATGAAGTCCACCAACTCCCCGTCCAGGAAGCCGGCCGACACGTCGAAGGCGGCAGCCATGGAGTCCAGCGTAACGCTCTTGTAGCTCTCCAGGAACTGAGGGGGCAGGCGGGTGGGGGGAAAAAATTCCAAAGTGTGGTGTGTGTGTGGGGGGAAGGTGCGGAAGGCGGGTGGGAGGTGCGACGGCGGGTGGGGGAGAAGCAAGAAGTACCAAGCTGGTTGGCAACGGGGGGTAGGGAGGGAGTGCTCGAAAGAATGGTGAGGGAGCCTCCCTTCCCACCTTCCACCTAGGGACTCAGCCGGACAAGCCCACCCCACCCACCAGTATACCTACTACCCCACCCACCAAACACCATGGGTTCATGGCCAGGACAGTCGCGCGGCCCAGCCAACCCAAACCACACGTCTCCACCACTTCGCCTCCCCCTCCCTCCCCCCTTCCAACGATTCGGTAAGTAATTTGAGATGCGTGTTCTTAGTGCTTCCGAATGCGCTCACTGCATGAGTCGGGATATGGGATTGGGATTTGTTGTTTCACTTTTATATAATTCCCCCCCCCGCACCTGCGAGTACGCCACCGCCCGCAGCTCCCTGCTGTAGTGGCGCACGTGGTGGTGCAGGAACATGTCGGACCGCATGGCGCCCACCACCTCCAGGAAGGACTGAGGGGGGGCCGGGGGGAAAGAAGAATCCCAAGGAGGGGGGGGTCGGGGGGGTGGGGCGGGGGAGGGGAAACAGGGGTGAAGGAGGGGGAAAGGTGGGGGGAGAATGAGCATTCCCTTGTCCCGCCCCTCACCCCGAACATCTGCCGGTACTTGCAGTGGTACAGCGCCTCCAGCAGCGGCTGCAGCCCCGGCAGGCTGTGGATGACGGACAGCACCTCGGGCGAGTCCACCACACGCCGCTTGAGCTCGGGGCGGGACAGGCTGGGGGGAGGGAGGCGGGGAGGGAGGGCGGGGAGGTGGAGAGGCGGAGATGGAGGGGGGACGACAGGGAGGTGAGGTAAGTTTCGTTCACAAGAACGAGGAGCAAAGGGTGCTGAAGCATGCAACTAGTATGTGCTAGTCAAGGACACCCGCCCCCAGCACCCGCCATGCACCATGTCCCCGCCCCCTCCCCATGCCCCCGACCCCCTTCCCACAACCCCCCCCCGCTCCCGCCCCCCCCCCGCTCCCGACCCACGTGGTCAGCGCCGCTACCACCGCGTAGAAGATGAGTCGCGTGTAGGGGAAGAGCTCGGAGGCGGTGAAGGTGGCGGTGGAGTCCAGCAGCAGGTCCGCGGCGGCCGCGAACTGGCGCGTGTACAGCGCCAACACGCCCTGGTAAACCTGCGGGAGGGCGGAGCGGGGAGGGTGGCGGGAGGGAGGGAGGGAGGGAGGGAGGTGCGGGGCGAGGTGGCTGGGGATGGAGGACAGCAGGGTTGGAGTCAGGAGTGGAGGCCCGCTCCTGGGGCCGATCCGGATGCCGAGCGTGAGACTTACCTTGTGACACACCGCCCCAGTGCCTCACCTCGTGCGGTCTCCCCCCCCACACACACACCGCCCCAGTGCCCCACCTTGAGTTTGTTCTTGCGCTCCCAGTCACCGCCCTCCTCGCACAGCCCCTGCGCGCGGCCCACCAGCGCCTTCACACGCCGCCAGTCGCCGTACTGCATGAACAGCCTGGGGGCGGGTGGAGGGGGGAACAGCACGGGGATGAGGATGGTGCTATCGGTAAATACAGGGCAAACACGAGCTACGCTTTTGGTGCGGTTACGTAGGGCGTTTGGGGAGAGGCACTGCAGGCGGGGTGTCTTCGGGGTCGACGTGCCGGCCCAAACCCACAAAGCCAAGCAGCTGGGGCTTCCCCACCAGTCACCCGGACAGCCTCGCGCACCGGATTTGGCTGAACAGGAGGTCCACTTTGTTGCCCCCGCTCGCTGTCTTCTTCTCAACCGCGTCATACGCTTGCGTCGCAGCCTCCCGGTCGCCGATGTTACCCAGGTACTCAGCCCGGGCGAGCATGACATCTCGCACCTCCGTCTCGCCAAGGTTCTCCTCTGCATCCTTTTGCTTTTCGTCTAGCTCCGCCAGCTTTGCTGCGTTGGCAGCCTGCATTTCCGCCAGCTTCGCGCTATCCACAGGCCATCCTAGCTCACCGCAAATGTGTTGATAGTATGGCGCAAGGTCTGCGCGCCAATGGGGGTGTCCAATTGATAACGTGAATTAGCTGTGCGAGTCGGCGTATAAAGCTCTGCCAACCCCAAAGCAGCCCCAGATCTCAGGACTCACTGTCCTTGTATATCGCTGAAAGCACCTCCTGCTGCAAAGCTTCCCTGTCTACATTGGGGATGTCCTTTGTCTTGATCAGGAAAACCTGCACCCGGGCCCATAGCCTTCTGTTCACAGCCATTGTCCAACAGACGAACGATCCCAGCCGCGCAAACCTTATGCGCCAGGCCCAAGCGAAAGTCCTGTGGCACTTCTTCCATTATGCGTCTATTTAGTTACACGGCTGCTGTAAAATTGTAAAGCGGAGTCGCGTCTTCCTGAAGAACAATAATGGTCTTCCAAACAACGTTTACTGGAGTAGCGAACAAAGTATTTATGTTAAACTTTGGTGCGGTGAATGTGTGTTTAGCCGAGGGGAGGGATACCTAGTCTTGGGGAGGGATACCTAGTCTTGTTACAAGCTTACGTGAAGCCAACCATACTGAGGCAACATCCCTTTGCAGATGCATTGCCGTTGTAATCTGTTCATTTTGTCTAAAAGGTCCAATGTGTACCTCCTATATTTGCTAAGAAGTCCCCTGCGAATGCCCACGCCAAACAAACGGGACATGCCTCCTACCTCCGGTCCTTCGTTTTACTATAGCAGCTTCTCTACAATGCAACAAATACCAACTGGAATCCAGACTAAACTGACCAGCTTGTTTGCTTGCAAGTCTTGCGAAATCCGCTTGCAAAGGCAAAGAGCCCATGGGTCGGCCAATCCTCACTCGCTCAACATCCCGTCCAAAAAGGCGCATACTCGCCCCTACCTAATAAAGCAACCTCCTCTACCCTTAACACTACCACCGTAAGCCTACCCGTGGAAGTTACCGTACCTATGCAACAGACCACAATACTTGACATGCAAGAGACATGTCAACAAGCCATCCTGCATCACACCCCCACCCACTTCAGCCGCACCCCCACCCCCACCTCCGCGCCTGCTGCTGCGCCACTGCTCCCTGCCCGCACCACCTGCTTCCCCCTGCTGCTGCCTCATCCGCACCTGCGACAACTGAAGCTGCGCCCCGTTTGCTTGAAGCGTTGGAAGCGACAGCGGCAGTGCTCCCGGCTGCACCTGCTGCTGCTGCTGCGACGGCAGCCGCAGCAAGCCCAGCGGCTGTGACATGAGGTAGGCCGCCAGCGGAGTCAGTGAAGCTGGCGTAACCCGCACAGACGAGCCCAGCACCATGCTGCCGCTCCTGCTGCCACTAGCTGTACCCGCCCTGATAGCACCCCCGCCACCGGTTAGCATCCCCGGCGCCGTCATCGTCACCCTCCCCAAACCCGACCTCTGCTCCGGCTGTTGCAGATGCAATTGAAGTCGCAGCTGCGGCAGCAGCAGCGCCTGCTGGCCGCCCTCCGCCGTGTCCCTCCCTCGCCGCAACCCGCTACGCCGCACCGAAACCCGGCGCACCAGCCCCCGCTCCCTCTCCTGCCCAGCCGCCCTGCTCCTTCCAACATCACGACCCTCCCCAGACCCATCCTCCTCCTCCCGCCGTCGTCCTCCACCACCCCCACCCCTACCACCCGCAATCCCATCCGTCAACTGTCCCTGCTCCTGCCTTCCGCATCCCGCCTCCAGCAGGCCCCGCTGCGCCTGCCCTCCTCTGCTCCCCCGCTGGCCCAACATGTACAGCGCGTACGCCGATTGCATCACCGCCACCCTCAGTGTCATCGCAAGCACCGCATCCAATCGCGCCTCGGCCAACCGGTACACAGCCAGCAACAGACCCAGCGGGTCGGTGCCGCCGGCGGCAGCAGTAGCCGGTGCCGCCAAGCCCCGCCGGTCGACTACAGCCCGGCTGCGGGGCTGAGCCGGAGCGGCCAGAGCCAGCGGTGAAGGGGCGGTTGTGTCGCCGGTGAAAGCGGCCGTGGCTGCAGCTTCCGCAGCCTCCGCTTCGGCCGAGCTTCGAGTAGCGCTGATCAGGTCATCAGTAACCCCGACGGCAGCAGCAGCAGCAGCAGTGGCAGCGGCAACAACGGTTAAAACGACTTCACCTGATGCGCTGCCGCCGGCGGCGAGTGGAATAGCGGCAGTGACGTGGTTTACTGCAGCTGCTGCGTCCGGCGGGAGCTCTGCTGCTCTGGCTGTGAGGTGCTCCGAAGGCTGGGCAGCATTCTCTGTCACTCCTGCCGCCTCCACCGCTGCTGCCCTCGAGACCGGGGCTGCTGCTGCCGCAGTAGCAGTCGCTGAACTGGCAACCTCCGGGCTATTAGCGAACACGCTACCGAGGGCCGCCGCCGGCTCCTGGGGTGCTAGCGGCGGCTCAGCCCTTGTGGCCTCAGCAACATGAGCGACAGCGGGGTCTCTGCTGCTTGCAGCAGCTTGCTGCGTTGCCCTGCCGCTGCGGTGCTGTCGGGTCGCGTGCAGGTCCCGCAGGTCCCGCAGCGCCTGCTTGAGCTCCCGGTGGGCGCTGTTGCGCTTGATGCGCGTCAGCTCGCTGGCCTGCAAGCATGCATGCATGCACACACGTTTAGTGGTATGAGGGAAGTCAGATGGTCGGGAAACCTCGGGGACGGTCGCACTTGGAGCTGCAGGCTTACGGTAGCCATTCACGCATGTGAAGCTTGGCCGGCATGTAACAATAACAACTGCGGTTTGGTCACCCTGTGCACACAGTGCCGCACACCGCCCCGAAACCACCTTCCCAGCAGCTGTCAAAAGCCCCTCACACACCGCAGCCATTCCCTAGGCACTCGCGCTCGCAACCAAAGCACGCAAGCACCCGCCCCGCCCCAGCCAACCCGCAACCAACGCACCTGCAGCTCGCAGCTCTCCACCCACATCCTCCCAGGCCAGTGTTCCAACTGCAAAAGCGCCCGGCAGGCTCGCAGCATGCCCAGGTCGCTCGCCCTCCGCATGCGACGCGACATCAGCTGACATACCCATGCCAGCCAGCCGCGCTCCGGAACCACACCCGCCTCCGCCAGCCCCTCCAGCAGCAACGACAGCCGGTCGGGCGTCATCGCAGCGACCCGTGGGTCATCAGGCCGGCAGGCCAGCTCCGTCAGCAGCGCCGCCAGCTGCTGTTGCCGCTGCAGCTGCGGTAGCGCTTCCGCCTGGCTCCGAGTCCCTTCGTTCGCCACAGCCGCCAGCAAGGCTTTCGGCGCTGCGGAGACCAGCCTTGATAGCTCGTCGGGCTGCAGCTCACGCCAGGGTCCGTCTGCTGCCTCCGCATCCACCTTACCCAGTCCCGCACCCGCACCCGCTGCTTCCAGCTCTGGCGCTGACGCTGACGCCGGGGCTACTCCCGCCGAAAGCTTTCGGTCGCTGGCCTCAGCTTCCAACGCCGCCAGCCGCCGCATTGCGGCCCAGGCCAGGTCCGCCGGCAGTGCCGACGGCGTGGCTGCGCAGCAGCCCACCACATCCACCAGCTGCCCAGGCGCCATGTACGGCAACTGTACGGTCAGCAGTACAGCCGCGGCGGCTCCCAGACGCGCCGTCAACGGGATGCCCAGGTAGTTCGCCGCCTGCAGTACCTCCAGCACACACCAGGCAGGTGCGGGTCGGTCGCCCGGGCCGCGCCTCGCACTGCTCTCCAGCAGATCCGTGACGCGCTGCAGCGCTGCAGAGACCCACGGGTCAGCAGCCAAGGTCTTGCATGCAACGCCCGCAAGAAGCTTGCCTTGGGAGTTCCTCACCCTTGGAGCCACCTCATTACCGTCGGAGGGTCCCCGGTGGTTGTGCTGACAGTGCTGGGGGTGGTGAGCTGCCAGCAGGACTCGGAAGCGCGAGAGGGTGCCCAGGCCGTCAGCTAGGCAGCGAATGTCTAGGTCCGCGGGATCGCAGCCCAGCACCAGGCGAAGCAGCGGACGCAGTACGGCATCGGCGGCATCGGAGCCAGCGGGCAGCAGCCGAGTGGCGGCATACAGCGCCTGAACAGCCTCCTTCGCACGTAGGCCGGCAGGAGAGCCACCACCTCCGTCGCCGCCGGCTAAGGGTGCTGCTGCTGCTGCGGCGGCGGCGGCGGCATGTGGAGGCTGTACGGCCGACGGAAGCGCCTCCGCCGCGGCGGCAGCCGCGGCGGTAGCTAGCTGCCCGCACAGCGCGATTGCCAGGTTTGGCGGCAGAGGCTGCTTGAGCTTCACCAACGCCCAGGCCAGCCGCGCCACGTCGCCTGCTGACGCCTCCTCCAACGCATCACCATCCCCCGCCGCCGCCGCTGCTGCTGTCCCGCCCCCCGCAGACAGGCACTCCACCACCGCAGCGCCCAAACCCGACTCACGCACCGCCGCCTGCGCGGCCCCCAGCGGCGGCAACCTCGCAAGCGCCCACAGTGCCGCCGAGCGCTCACGTGCCGCCAGCGAGCTCCATGACGCTGCCAACAACCCGCACAGCACTGCCGTACATCGAGGCGACGGCGTGTACCGGTCGTCGTACTGTACGGCCCAAAGCAGCCGTACGGCGTCGGATGCCGTCAGCAGGCTATCGCCAACGCCACGCTGCCTTGCAGCTGCGTCTTCACTGCTGCTACCGCGGCCGCTGCTGCTGACTGCACCTCGTAAGCCGCCGGCTGCACCTCCGCTGGTATGGTCGACGGCAGCGGCGGCGGCCGACTCACACGCCGCCGCCAGTAGGTTCCTGGGTAGCCGCAGCCCCAGCCGCACTGCCGACCACACCAATCCGCAGAGCTGCCGGGTCTGCAGCAGTCTCCAGGTGCGCTGCAGCTTCAGCCACACATGCCTCACGACGGTAGCCGGGGGCGTGTGGCCGCGGCCTGCACACAGCGCCAGCCAATCCGCCGCTGCACGGGGGTGCATGCGCGGCAGGTGCCTGTCGACGCCGGCGCTCAACCGCGACAGCCAGGCGGAACTCACCGGCGGCGAGAGGTGTCGTACAACCCAGATGCCGTACCGTACGGCAGCGGCAGAGGGGATTCCCGTCAGCGTCGGCAGCTGTGTCGCAACGGCGTGGCGCAGCGGAGACGTTGGGCTGGCGGCGAGGCGTGTACGAGCCGCCGCCACGACTGCGGCTTCCCGCCGGCGGAGGCGGGCGTTCCAAGAAGGTCCATACGACAGCTGCGCAAGCGCCCGGAAGACCAGCACGAACGACTGCGGCGCAAGCATACCGGCTGGCGGTAGCGGCGTTGTGGCATCGCCGTCATCTACGTTGTACGGCAGAATTTCCTGGGCAAGCCGCAGCTGCACCTCTTTCAGCAGCGGCTCAACCGCCGAGGCAATGGCCGCCACCCGCTTTGCACTCACCCCGTCACCTTTGCCAACCTTCCCACCGTCGCCATCGTCGCGCTCGGGAGCTGGCGTCCAGTCGCTAAGAGCCCCGGCGGCCGCATGCAAGCACCCTGCAAGCTGCGACCCAGGCAAATGCCGCAAGGCGTCGTCACCCTCACGGCCCAGCGCAGCCGCCAGATCTAGTACGGCAGCGTCACGCGCAGATCCCGCCCGCGGTGCCGCGGCAACTACCGCCAGCAGCAGGTCAGCGACGACCCGTGGGTCAACGGCGGCGGCTGTCATGGACTGCAGCTGCCGACGCCAAGCCTGTCGTACGCCCTGCAGCTGCTGCGGCGGCAAGGACACTCGTGCCGCCGTGCAGCTGAGGAGCAAGTTAACCAGGACCTGGAGGGTGGCTATGGCAGTAGCTCCGGCAGCAGGTGTGGGGGTGCTGGCAGTGGCAGCGGTGGCGGCGGCGGTGGCGCCAGGGGACCCGCTAGCGTCGAATGCGACCGGCTGCAGCTGTGGCTGCTGCGGCAGCGCCTGCCTTGGCCGCGGGTGCGGCTGCGGCGCAGACATACCCGCAAGGGCACCCTCCATCCCTACTGGGTGAGCCGGTGGGGCGGCGGCAAATAACGACTCACTACCGCTAGGAGCGCTGGCAGCAGCCTCGTCGGCGGGAGGGGGGCAGCTGGCAGCATCGGTGGAGGACAGCTGGGGCGGGATGGCCGCCGAGGTGGGCTGGTCCGAGGCTACGCGAGCTGCAGCCGTAGGAGCAACTGCAACGGCGGGATTAGAGTACGGCAGCTGTAGCAGCGTTAGCAGCCAGTTAGCGGGGTTGACTGGGCGGCCGCTGTGCACAGCGCCGCTGCCGTAGCCATGGCAATCACGGAGGAGACCACAACCGTCAGCGCCGGCGTCCATGCGCGCTGCCAGCACGAGCAACGCGGCGTCGCTTTGCTGCTGCTGCTGCTCGTTCCACAGGCTCGTTAAGCCGACGCCTGCAGCTGCGCCATCCTCGGCCTGAGGTGCTGACACCCCGAACACTGCCCAGCCGTGCTCTATCAGCCACTGCCGTACACCGGGGTCCACTGCTAACGCTGAGACGCAGCCATGAATACCGGCCACCTGCCCATATGATAAGCAATGCAGCGAGGAACACGTCGCCGCCAGCAGCGCGCGCAGCGGGCCGCCGCCACCGCCGGCATCGCCGTAGCGCGTGGTTGACAGCAGCTCTGGGTAAGCGCCGTACATGCGACACACGGCTTGTACGACAGGAACCATGTCTGCGGGACGCAGCTCCGCCGCCAGCGCCGCCGCCCGGTTGAAGAAGCTGGCGGACCAGACAGCATCCGGCGACGCAGGCAGGGACCCGGAGCCAAGCAGCCGGGATATGGTGGCCAGGCCCTCATGGCCCAATCGGTTGGGCAACGGCGGCAGCGACGGCGGAAGCACGGAAGCCGTGTCGACGGCGCCAGAACCCGAGGCGTCGCTGCTGCTGGTGGCGGTGGTGCTGCTACCGCTAGCGGGTAAGGATGGGGTTAGGCCTCGCGCCGAGGAGAAGCTGGCGGCCTTGGGGCCGGTTAAGGTGGTGCGGTGTACGACAACCCTCGCCAGCCATGCCATAAGCCCCGAGTGCTCCCGCAGTGCCTTCAGCTGCCGTACCACACTGCCCAGCGCGAGGTCCCGGTACGACACCGCGCTCACGGCGGCGCCGGCGCTGACGGATCGCCAGTCGCCATGACTGCCGTCGGGCATATGGCCGCCGCGCAGCAAATTCGCATTCGGGACCCAGGCCCACGGATGGCCCGGCGGAAGCGGCTCAACCGGTCCCCCCGCCCCCGCTGCGAGCTCCCCTCCATTGGGCCCTTGCGCCAGCTCATGAATTTTCCGCAGCCGCCGTCGCAGCTTCTCGCGCCTTGCATGGCAAAGCGCGGTGTAGTGGTGCATGCACGCAGATGCGGTCTCCAGGTAGTACGACAGGGCATCGTCGCGACCAACATCCGCATCCTCTTCCGCCACCGCCTCCATGCTTCCTCCCTCACCGGCCCGCTGATGCGCCTCCCCACCAACGCTGTCATCCGCCTCCGCCTCCGCCACCGCCAGCAGCACCAGCGCCTGTACCGCACGCGCCAGTTCCCGCGACTCGACCTCACGAAACCTCGCACGCAGTACGGCAGCAAGGGCGCCTTGTACGGCAGCCGGCGGCTGGAAGTCCATTGAGGAGTACGACCAAAGCAGCCGCGCCGCCTGGCGGCCGGAGAGGTGCCGTACCCAGCCCATCACCGCCTCCGCATGCGCCTGCAGGAAGGGGGTGCTGGGATTGCAGCCGGCGGCGGCGACCGCTGACGCCAGGTCTACGAGGTCATAGTGGCTGAGAGGCAGGTGACGATGCACGGAAGCCGCCGCGGCGGAGGACCCAGCGTTGGCGTCGCTAGCGGCGGACGTGTAGGCCGCATGGACCCCGTGACGGCGCGGAGAGTCAGGACGCAGCGGCGGAGCAGCCGGGATGTACGACGTGGTTTCGCTGTTGTACGACAAGTACGGCTGCAGGTAGGCCAGGAACTCGCTCCATGCAGGCTGGTTCAGCCGCTGGCCGAGGCGAGTGAGGCCGTACAGTACGGCAACGAGGCGAGTGGGCGGTAGCGCGGCAGCCGCGAGCTCCCCTGCTGCTGCTGCTGCTGTGGCGGCGGCGGCTGCTGACTCATCCACCCCTTGGCGGTTTGGTGGCGCTTCGATGCAGGCCGGGGACGCTGCTGCTGTGTGTGGAGGATGCCCGGACGGAGGGGAAGCTGCCTCCGGCCGGGTCTCCAGGGATGCTGGCGGGGTTGGTCGGCCAGCTCCGGCTAAGGGAGCGGAAGGAGCACCCGCGGAGGCACCGCCGCGACCCGAGCTGGCGGGCTGCTGGGGCGGGCTGCTGGCGGCAGTCGGCTGCGCTGCCCCGCGCGGTATCACCCGCCGCGGCGGCCCCAACAGCTGCACGTCCTGCTGCTGCGCCGCCGCTGCAATATGCTGCAGCTGCAGCTGCTGAAGCGGCTGCTGCTGGTGGTGCTGCAACACACGCAGCTGAGGCGGCGACTGTGCGCGCCGCTGCTGCTGCTCCGCCATGGCTGTTGGCTGCTGCTGCTGCTGAAGACGACCAGCACTGCTGCCGCCCGCCTGCTCCCCGCCACTCGCCCAGGGCAACCCTGGCGCCGCTGACCCCGCAGCCAGCGGCGGCACCATCACCGCTGCTCCTGCCGCTGCCGCCGCCCTCCTCACCGTCCTGATCAGCGCCTCCAGGGTTCCTCTCCGCGGCGGCAGCTCCCGCACCAGCGCACACGTCTCCAGCGCCGCCAGCGCCTCCCCCGCTGGCAGCCCGCCAGCCACCTGATGCAGCGCCCCGAAGAAGCGAGACAGCTCCTCCGAAGCATCTAGCGCTAATGCGGCGGCGGAATCGGCATGTGCCATGTCGATGCTGCTGCTGCTTCCGCTGCTTGCATTCTCACTGGCGGGGCGACTGTCGATGAGAGCAGTATTGCTGCCAGCCGGGCGCCGCCGCTGCTGATGCTGATGCTGGTCCTCCTCTCCTTGCGGATGGTGGTCGCGATGTAGCATGCACTCCTGCTGCTGCACCCGTGTGCTTTGCACCGCTTGCTGCAAAGGCTGTGGTTGCGACGCAGGCGGCTGCAGCTCCCGTACTTGCCGCATGCGGATGTTGTGCCATTCCGCAGCGCAGTCAAGACCGCCGGTGCCTGGATCCCCATCCTGACATCGTGACTGCACTACAGCCGCCTCTGCCCCTGCCGCCCCTGCCCCTGCCGCTGCTACCACATCCCCTGTCGGAGGAGCCCCGGGCTCGCGCTGCTGTACATGCAACCCCTCCCGCTGCCAACCCCGCTGCCGCCCTCGCCGTCCAGTTACCTCAGCCCCCGTCCCAACTCTCGCAGCTGACGCCGCACCCCTGCTGCCGACACCCGGGCCAGGTCTGTTGTTAGCCGCATCCAACCCTGCAGCAGCGGCAGGCGCTTCTGCCGCTGCCACACTGCTACTGCCGGCTGCCGCGCCCCATAGCTCCTCCGGCAGTGCCATCATCACCGCCAGCTGCCGCCGCCGCCGCAGCTCCCGCACCAGCCGGTTCACAGCAGACATGGGCAGCTGCAGGCGCCCGTCCGGCTGCTCGGCGGCGCGCTTGATGGCGCGAACCATGTCACGCACCTGCTGGGATGTCAGGCAGGCTGCATTCTCGGCAGCGAGCATGATGATGCGCGCGGTGACGCGGGGATGGGCGTGACGTTGACCAGGATGCGGAGGGTTGCGGCGGTCGGGAGGTCCAGGTCCCGGATCGCCGATGGATGCGGAAGGCCGGTGGCTGTTTGCATTAAACGGTAGCGGTTCTGTGGAGTTGAAAGGATTACGGTCTGGGGCTGAGGACGGTTCGGCGGCTCGGCATGCCACATGGTTACCGCGACTGGGTCTTGTGGATGCGTTTTGTACGTGGATCTGGCCATCTAATGTTCGTAGAGAACTCCCGTGTAGACGGCTAATGCGTGAAGGCACTACGACGGGCGCTTGCGGTGACGGAGTTTGGCTCGACCGGCAAGGAAGGACGCCTCCGAATGCACCAACAAATACATGTTGACGCATGTCAATTTAACTGCCTCCAATTGTCCTTAGCACAATTGGCTTCGCCGCCTTCAGCCACGAACGTCATGCATAGTCGCCTACATATGCCTACGGACAAATTTTTTGGTAACCCATATGATTGAATGGAACGTCACGCTACTTTCAGCGGATTGGTCCTGGCAGTGCGGAACAAACCAGAATGAACGACTTAACTGAGTCGTAATAGCATGCCGATGCGGCAATTGAACTCACCTCAGCGATTCTGCTGCTAGCATAGTATACATATATCTTGCTACCGAATAAATATGTTGGCCTAAGTCATCTGGCATGGTATTGCGTCAACTGCTCGGTGCTTGCCATCGCCTCCACTCTTTACATACCCGCCGTAACCTAGCGCCGCTGACTACATTTCAACTCCATAACAACTCTTTAAGCCATTCGGCCGTGTCTCCAGGCGCCGCTTCGCGCTTATCACCTCTCACCGCCCGGCTTCACACCCCGCCGCCTAGACTCCTTACCCGCCGCCTAAGCAGCGTCAGCGCCAGTAACGACTGTGCTGCCTCAGCGGGTACCTACCTCGGTGACCTCTACCCCGCCAGCCCGCCCACCCACGACGACCTGGCCGGCCCCACCGGCGGTGACAGCAGCCGGGCGCGGCGGGCAACGCGCGGCCGAATGGCCAATTCCAAGTACGAATACGTCAAGCAGTACGAATTGGACGATACGTTGCTGCCGGGCTGCTGGATTGTCGTGCGCATAGATGGCAAGGGCTTCACGAAGTAAGAAGGACAGGCGGGAGGGGAGGTGGTTAGGGAGTAGTTGGCCTCCCAGGCTGAGTTGGGCCCCAGCCGGAAGCACTGATGGGAAGTAGCGAGTGCGGACACAACTAATTGGATTAGGTGCTTACATGTACCTGACGCAAATGGGGTGCAGCCTGACCGCTAACTTCTAATACTACGTATTCCTACGTACCTTTGCTTCCATTGCCGGGTCTGAGCGAGCAAGCCCTCGAGCCCAGCTACCTGCCTACCTCTCGCGCCGCCCTCCTCCTCGGCTTGCCACGCCCTACCCCTCACCACCCTGCCCCCCCCCCCCACCAGATTCAGTGACCTGCATGGGTTTGAGAAGCCCAACGACAAACGGGCTCTGGACCTGATGGACGAGTGTGCCAAGGTGCGAGCGGGGGTGGCATGGGTGAGGTCCTGACCGGCTACCTCACAACAAGAAGCACCGTGAGAGCCCCTGCCTACTGTATCCTGCTCTGCAGTGCGTGCTTGGGGGCTACCGGTATGATGCGTGGTGTTGGGTTGGCGTCGGACGAATACGTGGCATTGCTCTACGCTCGGCTAGTGCATAGACGTTGCATTGGCTTACCCCTACATCGCGCTGTGACCATGTGGGGGGCGCAGGAGGTGATGAACGAGTTCCCGGATGTGCGGCTAGCGTACGGAGAGAGCGACGAGTACAGCTTCGTGCTGGGCAGGGACACCAACATGTACGGTGAGGAGGAGGGACGGCCGGGGGGTTCCTGCTTCGCCCGCCCTCTGAACTCCACTGTTGTGTGATGTCATACGGACCGCATAAATACCCTTCCACTGTCGCGTGGCTCTGTAAGCCTTTTCCCTTCCTGCTCTCCAAACTTACATCGCCCAATCCCAGTTCTTTCGCTGCCCACGCCAGCCCGCATCTGTCCCCTTCCCAAAACTCCGCCGCTCCACCCCTCGCTCCCTCATCACGTCACCAGGCCGGCGCGCCTCCAAGATCGTGTCGCTGCTTGTGAGCTGCTTCACCGCCACCTACGTGGCCCGCTGGTCCGCCCACCTGCCCGACACGCCGCTCCGCGCCACGCCCATGTTCGACGGCCGCGCCGTGTGCTACCCGCTTGACCGCCACCTGCGGGACTATCTGGCGTGGCGGCAGGCGGACACGCACATCAACAACCAGGTGGGGAATACCGTTGGAGGAACCAACTGTCAACTGTCATGCATGCTCCGGCGGTGAAACGTGCCAAACCGTGACGTGGAGTTGGTCGCGACGTGGAGTTGGTCGTGACGTGGAGTTGGTCGCGACTTGCACACGACGCAACTAGCGCGGCAATGTGGTACGGGATCAGCATGTGTGTTGCATCATGGTTAACCGGCACAGGTGGGCAGTGATGGAGCACAAGCCCGGAGGTGGTTAAGAGCTTAGGACCCCGCTATATCGTGCTCCCACCTAACCCCCGCGTCTCTTATGGGCTTCCTCTCGCGCCCCGTCCTCCGCTCGCTCGCTCCCTTGCTGCAGTACAACACGTGCTTCTGGGCGCTTGTGAAGGGCGGCAAGAGCCCGGCGGAGGCGCAGGCGGTGCTGCGGGTGGGTGTGCGGTCGGTGCTGTAGTGGGCGCCATGAGGCGCGAGTTGGAGGTAGCACCTGCCCTCTGCTTCCCGGTTGAACGGATTGGCCCGTACCGGCCCTCTTGCGCGGCAGCATGCGGTTCTGCCTTGGGAAGGGTTCTCTTAATGGCTTAAGGAGCAACAGCCTGAGCGCACATACATATGCTCTTGAAGGTTTGTTTACCCGGCTATGTTTTTTATTCTCTATGCTTCCAAGGTTGCATGTGTCCCTTTGCATTTGTCACGAAGACTCCCCTTATCTCCTGCCCTCATCCCTTAACTCTTAACCCAGCCTCACCTCTTCTCCTGCACCTTTCTCATCTTCCCTGCGCCCCCAGGGCACCCAGGCCGCCTTCAAGAACGAGCTGCTGTTCCGCGACTTCGGCATTAACTACGCACACCTGCCGGACCAGTTCAAAAAGGCGAGTCCTTCCCTAAGGGGGGCAAAGAGAAATTAGGGGGACAGGTTGCAATGGAAAGGGCCAGGTCCGGTTTACTAGGGCGGCATTACTGGTAGTCATCCTAGACATAAGCATAACTACCGGTACGACCACTGCTAGCGCGCCGTATCATATGCTGCGATGTTCACGTCAAGGACTGGCGTATCCCAATTGCGGGTTTCAGGCCGACAGCACACACTTGGTTTACACGCATGTGTTGTGTCCCCCAAACCGCGCACTTGCTTCCCAATCAATTCCTCGCCCGACAGCTAGCTATGGTTAGTACATTTTACGCGGTTCAGTTGCTTCCTTTGTTTAGCACATGGTACCTGCATGGGCTGCATCCCCCCTCGGCCGCTGTGTATGTAGGGCTCTGTTGTGATCCGTCAGAAGGCGCTGCTGGAGGTGAAGCGGCGCGAGGACGGCAGCCCGGTGCTGCGGGAGCGCTCCGTGCCCACCGTGATGCACGCGGACATCATCCGGGACGACTTCTGGGAGGCGCACCCGCAGCTGCTGGGGGCGTAGATAGATAGGGGGACGCAGCTGCTGTTGATGCCGTATGTGGAGGTCCCAGCTGCTGCTGCTGGCGCCGTAGAGAGCCGCAGCTGTAGCAGGGGCAAGCAGACAGAGCTGAGAGAGAAGAGGAATTGCGGCGCGTTAGGGACGAGACGATGCAGATACTGTAGCCGCAGGGTATCGATGGAACGGCTGGTGGTAGTGAAGTGAAGTGACCCATGGGCCACTTCAGCAGTAACCAAACCCCCCAACTGGTGGGTGAAGCTGCTGGCCCCGTAGCACGGGCATGCCTGGGCAAATGACCTTTGATAGCAGCAGCGGGTGATAATGGTGGCGTGCGTGCATGGTAGGTCAGTTGCAGCTGTACACGCATGCTGGCAAAATGTGTTTCTAAGTACAGCTGTTGCAGTGCAGGTATGGTGTAGAATGTGCGTCTGTCACTCCCGTTCACTAGCATAATTCTCCTAGCGGCAGCGGGCTTGGCTATCCCCGGCATACCAATGGGCAGTAGCGTGTGTTGTTTTAGCATTCGATTGTTTGATGAGCGGAGGCAGGAGTTCTAGGTGTGCGGTGTACCCACCCTGCCAATGCATAACAGGGTCTAACAGGGTGCCCTAAATAACCTGTTGGCATAACAACAGGGAGCCGCCTTTGCAGAGCGAGCCTGTTCGGGCTAGTTGCAGAGAACACTATTGTGAACGGTTTTAATTGGTTGTTTATTAACGTTAGGAGCTGTTATGGCGTCAACAACAGGGTCGAAGATGGCATGCTGCTGTTGGTGTTTCCAAACCTGCAACAATTGCATGAAACCGGTGTTTATATATATATATATATATATTATATATATATATACCATCTTTGTTTAGAGTTGTTGCTGTTGCTCAAAAGTCAAGTGAAGCTTTTGTAATAATGTTGTCTAACACTGTAAATGTGTCTCGGCTTTAGATGTCTAACAGTCCAAAACTAGAAACAACAGCACCCATGCTTGACCTCACTACCACATCATATTGATCCGGAGCACCCACACACCAAACAGCAGCACCAGGAGTTGAAACATGCCTCACTACTGTGGCCGCCATAAACAGCCCCCACCAAACAGCGTGTTCCAAAGTACGGATGCTAAATACTGCCATGCAAAAGGCGGCACCAGGAACACACACGCACAACACCCATCCTTCTGCCATACTTGTAAGTTGTAACCATATCCCGTACACTGATGAGAAACCTTGCGTGTGCTGTCGAACCCAGAAGTGACGGCAGGCAGGTCATTGTGGCCACTGAGAGTAGCCCCCACCAAATAACGGGGAAAGAAGGAAACTAAGAGCACACGCATGCTAAGCACCGCCATTGCCAGTGCAGTGCAACAGGTGTCGCCATCGTACAATGCACGTACATGGCTGCACAATTAGGCTCCATTGCCTCATCAGAGGAGCATGTGTAGATCGCTGTTGTGCAACTTTGTTAACTGACGATGACACCAGCAGTTAATACCACAATAGCTGGAAGGGGAACATCACACAAACATAGCCCCATTAGCCCCAAGGCAACTAGCGAGTCAGACAACCTAGAGACCTACAGTACCAGCACGCTGGGCCCAGTAAATAACGTGAGCTATATATCGGATCCATGCGAACGTTGTCTCTATTGACATCCTTGAACCATCTGGATGTGTCTTCCGTGGGAAACCAAGAGTCCCAAGGACGCCTGACAGCCCCTGCATTCCCGAGGCAAGGCCAGCGAACACAGCGAACACAGCCGGGCAAAAACGGGAACAGGGGCACACAAGGGCGAAACCCCGCTGCAGCTCCAGCCAGCACCTAAAGTTGGCAGGCAACTAAGAAAGCCAAAACACCCCCAGGCAATCACCCGACGGGTACCAAGCAACACCCAGCAGGCCCCCTTCAGGCGAACAGACTACTTGGCTCACCCTGCTCTGGCTTCCTAGCAAGAACATATAGAAACGAACGGAGGGCAGTACATATTGTGCCAGGGTGCCCTGCGCCCAGCACCTTGGTGCACAGCTCCAGTGCCCGCTGGTACATGGGATCTGCCTTGCTTTGTGATCACCCCCCTGCTAGTCCCATCCACTGGGCATAGAGGCACGACTTAACACCCCTGGACTCTTCATACTCCTGTGGGGGCACCTCCACCTCAGGGGTCAACCATCTAGCATCCAAGCGTTCCCTATCTTATATTATTAAGTAAATCGTTAAGCGCCCGCTGGCACATGGGCTCTGCCTCGCTGTACTTCCTTTGATTGAGGAGGCAGCTGGCCAGGTTGTTGAGGGAGGCGATGGTTTCAGGGTGCTCTGCGCCCAGCACCTTGGTGCACAGCTCCAGCGCCAGCTGGTACATGGGCTTTGCCTCGCTGTACTTGCCTTGGCTCTCAATGCAGCCAGCCAGGTTGTTGATGGAGCTGATGGTGTCAGGGTGCTCTGCGCCCAGCACCTTGGTGCGCAGCTCCAGCGCCTGCTGGTACATGGGCTCTGCCTCGCTGTACTTGCCTTGGCTCTCAATGCAGACAGCCAGGTTGTTGAGGGGCGTGATGGTGTCAGGGTGCTCTGCGCCCAGCACCTTGGTGCACAGCTCCAGTGCCCGCTGGTACATGGGCTCTGCCTCGCTGTCCTTGCCTTGGCTCTCAATGCAGACAGCCAGGTCGTTGAGGGACGTGATGGTGTCAGGGTGCTCTGCGCCCAGCACCTTGGTGCGCAGCTCCAGCACCTGCTGGAACATGGGCTCTGCCTCGCTGTACTTGCCTTGCCTGCCAATGCATCTGGCTAGGTTGTTGAGGGACGTGATGGTGTCAGGGTGCTTTGCGCCCAGCACCTTGGTGCGCAGCTCCAGCACCTGCTGGTACATGGGCTCTGCCTCGCTGTACTTGCCTTGGCTCTCAATGCAGACAGCCAGGTTGTTGAGGGGCGTGATGGTGTCAGGGTGCTCTGCGCCCAGCACCTTGGTGCACAGCTCCAGCGCCTGCTGGTGCATGGGCGCTGCCTCGCTGTACTTGCCTTGGCTGTCAATGCAGCCAGCCAGGTTGTTGATGGAGCTGATGGTGTCAGGGTGCTCTGCGCCCAGCACCTTGGTGCGCAGCTCCAGCGCCTGCTGGTGCATGGGCGCTGCCTCGCTGTACTTGCCTTGCCTGCCAATGCAGACAGCCAGGTTGTTGATGGAGTTGATAGTGTGAGGGTGCTCTGCGCCCAGCACCTTGGTGCACAGCTCCAGCGCCTGCTGGTACATGGGCTCTGCCTCGCTGTACTTGCCTTGGCTGTAAATGCAGACAGCCAGGTTGTTGAGGGACCTGATGGTGTCAGGGTGCTCTGCGCCCAGCACCTTGGTGCACAGCTCCAGCGCCTGCTGGTACATGGGCTCTGCCTCGCTGTACTTGCCTTGGCTGTCAATGCAGCCAGCCAGGTTGTTGATGGAGCTGATGGTGTCAGGGTGCTCTGCGCCCAGCACCTTGGTGCGCAGCTCCAGCGCCTGCTGGAACATGGGCTCTGCCTCGCTGTACTTGCCTTGCCTGCCAATGCATCTGGCTAGGTTGTTGAGGGACGTGATGGTGTCAGGGAGCTCTGCGCCCAGCACCTTGGTGCACAGCTCCAGCGCCTGCTGGTACATGGGCTCTGCCTCGCTGTACTTGCCTTGGCTCTCAATGCAGACAGCCAGGCTGTTGAGGGACGTGATGGTGTCAGGGTGCTCTGCGCCCAGCACCTTGGTGCGCAGCTCCAGCACCTGCTGGTACATGGGCTCTGCCTCGCTGTACTTGCCTTGGCGGTAAATGCAGCTGGCCAGGTTGTTGAGGGAGGTGATGGTGTCAGGGTGCTCTGCGCCCAGCACCTTGGTGCGCAGCTCCAGCGCCAGCTGGTGCATGGGCGCTGCCTCGCTGTACTTGCCTTGCCTGCCAATGCATCTGGCTAGGTTGTTGAGGGACGTGATGGTGTCAGGGAGCTCTGCGCCCAGCACCTTGGTGCACAGCTCCAGCGCCTGCTGGTACATGGGCTCTGCCTCGCTGTACTTGCCTTGCCTGCCAATGCATCTGGCTAGGTTGTTGAGGGACGTGATGGTGTCAGGGAGCTCTGCGCCCAGCACCTTGGTGCACAGCTCCAGCGCCTGCTGGTACATGGGCTCTGCCTCGCTGTACTTGCCTTGGCTCTCAATGCAGACAGCCAGGCTGTTGAGGGACGTGATGGTGTCAGGGTGCTCTGCGCCCAGCACCTTGGTGCGCAGCTCCAGCACCTGCTGGTACATGGGCTCTGCCTCGCTGTACTTGCCTTGGCGGTAAATGCAGCTGGCCAGGTTGTTGAGGGGCGTGATGGTGTCAGGGTGCTCTGCGCCCAGCACCTTGGTGCGCAGCTCCAGCGCCAGCTGGTGCATGGGCGCTGCCTCGCTGTCCTTGCCTTGGCTCTCAATGCAGACAGCCAGGTCGTTGAGGGACGTGATGGTGTCAGGGTGCTCTGCGCCCAGCACCTTGGTGCGCAGCTCCAGCGCCTGCTGGAACATGGGCTCTGCCTCGCTGTCCTTGCCTTGGCTCTCAATGCAGACAGCCAGGTCGTTGAGGGACGTGATGGTGTCAGGGTGCTCTGCGCCCAGCACCTTGGTGCGCAGCTCCAGCGCCTGCTGGAACATGGGCTCTGCCTCGCTGTCCTTGCCTTGGCTCTCAATGCAGACAGCCAGGTCGTTGAGGGACGTGATGGTGTCAGGGTGCTCTGCGCCCAGCACCTTGGTGTGCAGCTCCAGCGCCTGCTGGAACATGGGCTCTGCCTCGCTGTACTTGCCTTGCCTGCCAATGCATCTGGCTAGGTCGTTGATGGACGTGATGGTGTCAGGGTGCTCTGCGCCCAGCACCTTGGTGCGCAGCTCCAGCGCCTGCTGGTACATGGGCTCTGCCTCGCTGTACTTGCCTTGGCTGTAAATGCAGCCAGCCAGGTTGTTGATGGAGCTGATGGTGTCAGGGTGCTCTGCGCCCAGCACCTTGGTGCGCAGCTCCAGCGCCTGCTGGAACATGGGCTCTGCCTCGCTGTACTTGCCTTGCCTGCCAATGCAGACAGCCAGGTTGTTGAGGGGCGTGATGGTTTTAGGGTGCTCTGCGCCCAGCACCTTGGTGCACAGCTCCAGCGCCTGCTGGAACATGGGCTCTGCCTCGCTGTACTTGCCTTGGCTCTCAATGCAGCCAGCCAGGTTGTTGAGGGGCGTGATGGTGTCAGGGTGCTCTGCGCCCAGCACCTTGGTGCACAGCTCCAGCGCCTGCTGGAACATGGGCTCTGCCTCGCTGTACTTGCCTTGGCTCTCAATGCAGCCAGCCAGGTTGTTGATGGAGCTGATGGTGTCAGGGTGCTCTGCGCCCAGCACCTTGGTGCGCAGCTCCAGCGCCTGCTGGAACATGGGCTCTGCCTCGCTGTACTTGCCTTGCCTGCCAATGCAGCCAGCCAGGTCGTTGAGGGACGTGATGGTGCCAGGGTGCTCTGCGCCCAGCACCTTGGTGCGCAGCTCCAGCGCCCGCCGGTGTGCGGCCTCTCCACCCAACATAGAGTCAAAGTTGGCGAGGCAGGGTGCTAGGGGACCATCACGCAGTGCGTTGGCTGCTGCCTCCAATCTGTGCCAGGTGTCATAGAATGTGGGCGTCAGGACGCCACCCACAGCTAGCAGCAAAGATTTCAATTCCTGAGTCGCAGATTGCAAGACCAGCTCCAACAGCTTGGGTGCCGTTGCTGCTTCTGCTGCTGCTATCTGGACCACTGTCAAGAAGTCTGGCACACGCTGCCGTGCTAGGCGCAGCGCCAACAGAGCGTCAGGCGTCATATATAACTGCCCCCACTCTGTGAAGACAGCCATGACGTGCCCCACAAACCGCTCACGGGCACAGAACAATGCCTTGGCGAACTCCCGGTGATGTTGCTGTTGATGCTGGTCGTTGCTGGTGACAGCTTTATCGGCCGCAGCTGCTCCACGTGCCAATGCTGCTGAGGCCAACCTGCCTCCTAGCCCCGCTGCAGTGGTGCGCACAACCATGTGCAGGCTGTATGTGCCGTCAGCAACATTGCGCACCACCAAGCCATGGCTGTACAGCACCGCAAGCTGCGCACGAACACGTGACACATCACTGCTGTCACTGCTCACCACTACTGCGACAGATTCCTCTTCAAGTTGGGATGAGAAGACGGACAGTTGGACAAGGAGCAGTTGTTGTGGCAGCGGCAGGGAGGCCAAGGTGAGCTGCAGCAGGGCGGCGGCGCTATCATTGCTTGTGTTGGTGGATGCAGCCTCCAACACCTGCGTGTACACGTATGTGTATGTGTGAATGTGGGGGCTGGTGGGGTGGGTGATCCATGGAATGATGAAACCCCGTTATCCTGGTGTGCAGTACTTTACTGGTATGTGAGCATCACGTGTTGGACATGCTCCAACAAACAACCACATGCTCCTCAATGAGGTAGAGTGGACAGCAAGAATGCTACTTTTACCAATATGTGGCAACTGACAGATGCAACAGTTTAGGCATGTACGGCAACATGAACATGTAACATGTGGATGATGGGCAGACAGCAGGTGGACAAGTGAAGCACCCTGGAGCTGAGAGCCGCCCGCACACAACACACACCCCGCCTCGCGGCCAGTTGTTTTAATACCCCGCACCTACCGCCAGTGTGACTCTGCCATGTGCCAGAGCATCCGCACACGTGCGGAGCAGCAGCGGCACCCCACGGCACATGTCCAGCAGGGCATCCACATCAGCCGCTGCTAGTGGGGAGGCACCAACCCACAGCGAGGCGATCAGCTGGCGGCTGGAGCCGTCAGCAAGGCCACGCAGCGGGTGGTCGACAAAGCTACTGTTGCTGCTACCGCCAGATGGCGATGGTCCAGCCATGGGCGCCCGCGATGTGACCAGCACCATTGCAGCCTTGCACACCTGCCGGGCGACAACGAGCAGGGCACAAAGACGGGAGTTACCCAGCAGTACTCTCAATGAAGGATGCTATAGTAATATGCAACTCAGCCAGTGCAGGGGTCAGCAGAACGCTCAGGGATTTGAGGGGCAAACACACGAAGGGCTGGGCAGAGCAGCTGGCACTAGTCGAACGATACGGTAGCATGAACGATACGATGCGGTGTGCCTAAGATGGATTGACAGGTGTAGCTTATGCTGAACACACGGATACGGCGGGCATGTGCATGTAGCAAGCAATGGTCACTGCTTGGCGAGCTTTGCATTTCAAATTTTGCACGACGTGAATGAGGGCGTTGGAAGAGGAAAATAAACTGGCACGGAGGCCACCTGGCCGCTGCATGCTCCACTTGTTTGCAGGAGTCCTCCACAATGCCAGCGCTGCTTGTGAGAGGCCCGTTGGGTCCAAATGTTCATCCCTCTCGTCTTTCCCTCACTCTCCTCCCTTTCTTCCCTCCCTCTTCCCACCCTCCTTCCCTTTCTCTCCCTTACTCTTCCTCCTCTCCCTCCATATCTGGCCCACTCCTCCGCACCTGGGCCATGACGTCCCTGAAACCCTCGCCTCTCCCGCCATCAGCCTGCAGCACGTCCTCGGCGTTGTCCACCACCAGCAACACACCGCCGCCACAACTAGCCGAGGTGGAGCGCAGCCACGCAAGCAACTTGAGGAGGGCGTCGTCGCCCTGCAATAAGTAAGGTTGCACATAAAGATTAAGGACGTTTACGTGGCTGGTGGCCGCCGTTTACATGCTTGTGCAGCTGTGCGTGGGCACAAGGTGCATGTGCATAGCTTGCGTGTCGAAAACTATGACAAGGGTGAAGCCCTGGTATGTGGTGTGGTGAATGAGGGAACCACTTCAAGCCTTTCGTTTCCTGCAGTGCCACCCTCACTCCCACCCACCCAGCCACCCACCGTGGTGACACTCCACCCCACCGCCAGCGCAATGCGCAACAGCACGTCGTCCACGGACCGCGCCTCACGCAGGTCACAAAAGTACGCGCCACCTGCATGTGTGGCAGGGCCAGGGGGGTCAGGCGGCAAGCACAAAAGCGTGCCTGTAATAGCCAAAAATCAGCCATCGGTTAACCCACGCACTGCATGCCCATCTTTCTGAGTGACGGCTTGTGTCTACCGTATCTTCACGTGATCATCGCGCAGCCCCCTTAAATGGAATCTACATATACCGCTACGTGTTCCGTGGGGCATAAGGCATGCAGCCTGGGGCTGAGCAGCGGAGCTGAAGGGGTGCTGGGGCATTTGGGGGATGCAGGGAAGGGTCCCGAGGGGTTTCCCAGTTTCACGCAACCCTCTCAGCAACTATTTTATTTTGCGCGAAACTGCGCATTTCCCAAAATTATTGTTTATCAATGCGCGAAGATATTGTGAAGGTACGGGTATTGGAAAAGATGACAAATTGATCATAGCATGTGCATGGCACTCCTTAATGCATACATGGCGGCGCACCTGGGCACGCCCCCTCCCTGGCCAGCCTCCACCCCACATCCACCGCCAGGCTGGACTTGCCCAGGCCCGCACCGCCCAGCAGGCACACGCCGCGTTGGGCTGCGGCTTGCTCCTTCAACAGCCGCACCACCAGCTCTGCATCGGCGTCACGGCCCGTGTAGAGCGGGTCAAGCACAGGCAGGCGGCACTTGGCCACAGCACCATGTTGGGTGTGGCTTGGGGGTCCCTCAGGCTGTACCACCGGGGTGTTGGCATGCTCAGGTGCATTGCTGCCCACTACAGCCCTGCCAGCAGCGCTGTCGCCACTGCTGCCTGTGAGCTGGCGGACGCGCTGCAGCAGGTCAGCGTCTGTTGAGAAGGCCTGCTTGAGTTCGACCACACTGATGTTGTCGGCGTCTGCCGGCTCCACACCTTGTTGGAACGCCTGCTTCGCCTGATCGCTGTCCAACATGCCGCACAACTGCAATAGCATCCACACAAGCGTTAGGTACACCGGTTGGTGATCACCAGTGCACATGTAACAAATGCAGTGCCTTATCACCTGGAGCAACCACCACCCAAGCACTCCAACACCAAACGATGCATCTTAGGCAACCCACTATCTAACCAAGCCCCCATGCGCCGTATGCAGTCATGAATTGCTGTGCTGTACACATGGGTCTTGGTACAGACGCACCGATTCCCGGGGTGAGAACTATTTGTGGTTCCACGCATACCAGCACCACACATACCACATGAGACTGAGGCGTGGCAACACATAACATCCAGCAGCGCGCAACTTCTTAGTCAATGCCTAATCACGGGCGCGCACGCAACCCCATGGCCCTTCCCAGCCTTTCTCCCTCTTCCTCTCCCTACCGCTGCGACGTAGTTTGGCTCCAAGTACACCTCCTTCAGACCACTCGGGAACTCCGACCACCACCGGCGCCAGGGAACCTGCGTGAGGGTTGTGGGGCCAAAGTGACATTTACTATCTATAGGTCACGATAGCTGTTGTCACTTAGTAAAGGTTGGTTGGTCAGTTGTTGGTGCACAGCGTGGTATGCCTGCTTCCAAGGCAGTCCAGGCAACCATAATTGGTCAACCCGTCTGTATTGCCCCTCCTCACCTTCCATTTCCCGTTGAAGAAAGTGTGCCAGAAAACTCGCAGGTCCATGTGACGGATAATGCGATGGAAGCCCTTGTTGCCCTCCTCGGCCATGCTCTCTTTCAGGGCGGCAAGCGCTTGCTTCATCTGCACGTGGGCACGCACCCCGAGGCAATGTGCAATGATACGAGGCGCAGACATGCAAACGCCAGGGAGGGGCAGCAGTACGGGTGGCGAGCAGCACAACTAAACAAGCTAACAAGGCCTCCACCGTTAGAGGCAGTACCCTCGCATTCCATCCGACCCACCCCTCCCCTGCCAAATACAGGGGTGGGAGGGGGGATCCTTCTCACGTGGCGGTCTCGGTGGGGACTTCACCTTCCGATAATCGCAGCTTGTTCCTCCACGAGGCCAGTTATCTTTAACACGCATGCGCCCCTTCTCCACAACAAACAACAACATGTCTGAACCATTGCCAGCCTCCCCCATCCCACTCACTATCATGATGGTCAGCCTCTGCCCCAAGTCCAGCTTCCCCGCCACCGCCTGAATCTTGTCCTCGTCAGCCATCACGGCATCCAGGCCCCCCAAATCCTCCATGGCAGCATGCGCCTCAGCGCTGTGGTCCTGGAAGTGGGGGAGGTGGGAAGCAGAGGAGGGGGCAGCGGCGTGCTGGGCAAGGCGTCAAGAAAACTGGCCGCAGCAGTGAGCAGTGTATGCACGCGAGTAGCTGCCGTTAGTGCCATGGTCGTCAGGAGGTGGGTAAACTCCCATGGTTTGAACGCGCACCCACGCATACCCTCTCTTGCAGAAGATCGGATGTTGCAGCAAATCGTTTGCTCCATAGCCACGGCTACCCAAGCAATGCGTCTATTCTAGTGATGCATGCACCGCTAGCGTGAGAGGCCTCGCATGCTGGTCTCTAGTTCCTTATGCTAATAACTCGCTTATGCACGTGCTGCCCATATCCGGGCAGGTACATGCCAGCGTACACACACAGACTCCGCATCTCGCACACGCACATGCACCCTGGCTTCCCTCCGTCCCTCCCTCACCATGTAAGCCATCTGTAACTTCATCTCCTCCATGGCTGCCCGCATCTCCTCCGTCATGCCGGCCACATCCACCGACACCGCGAACTGCGCCTCAATCGTCAGGTCACGCAGCTGCTGTGCGTAGCCCTCGTACTGCCGCTGGCCGCCGCTGCTGGTGATGACGTGGACAAGCCAGCCGTGTGAGGAGAACTCGCGGACGTACTCGATGAGCTCCTGCAGCCGGGCAGAGTGCATGCACACACGCGCATGAACGACACAAGTAAGAAAGTGCTGCTTGACACGAAAACTCTTTCAGTAGGGGCCACGGGCAGAGAATATCATGATGCTTGTTGGTGCATGACACAGGCCCCAGTGCCGTGAGGCCGGCCTATACAGGGGACGAGTGCCACTGAACACTCGCTTACCGTGAGCAGGTCCTTGAACCGACTCATCAGCTTCACGTACGCGCTCGACACCTTCTGGTGTTGCTGGGGTTGTTGTGTTGCTGCAGCGCCAGTCACCACCACAGCTGCGTGTGGCACGTGCCTGTCGACAATCAGGTCGTACAGGTCTACCGCCCGCTCCTGCAGCCTGGTAAGGTTATCCTTGTTGGCCATAGCCTTGGCCACGAGGCCCATGAAGACTACCAGCCCGCATTAGGAATGTGCATGCGTTGTGTTGCATGGCGCTCAAAGTGTTCAGCCCTGCGGCGCCCCACCACGCATTGTACTGGATCAAGGGCCCACCGGTGGGAGGCACGGTCGCGCACACACATGTACTCTCGGGTCTCTCGCGGCCAGCTTTTATAACACACACGGATGGCAAAACCACTGGCGTATGCGCTATTGTCGTTCTGAGATGACAACCGGACAGCGTGCTGCCTGGCGCAGGGCATGCAGCCCCCTGGCCCAGCGTGACCATGCATGGGCGGTTGCACAAATGCGGCCGGCCTGCTGCCCTGCCTCCGACCCCATGCCAGTGCGTCAGATTGAACTTGCAGGGATGGATGTGCACCATATGCGCCTACTGAGCCTACTACCTCTTCCAGGCTACATAGATTCAGGGATGAGAAACTATGACCGGCCATTAAGACGCCCAATGCATGTGCTAGTGCCTCCAGTGACACCATGCAGCCGCTGCCCAACGAACGCTTTGACATACCAAACATGGCACTCACCAGGGAATGGGATCATGGGCTTGACGGTGTCCAGGAAGGTGCTGCCCACTTCAAGTCCCTTCTGAACCCAGTCCTGTGCACAAGTAGTGATGGGCAACCGCAATTGGGTTTATGGGTTATGTATCATTCATTAGTTGGTGTAGGGCGATGCCAGATCGGGGTGCCTTGTTTATTGCTGGAATAATGCAGCGTAAACGTATGGCCTTGATAATCACCTTCAGTTTTGTGGACTTGGTGGTCTGCCCCTGAGGAATTCGTGAAGCAGCTGAAGGCGTGGCATTGGCCGTCGTTGGAGCAGTAGTTACCATTGGGGATGCAGAGATTGCTGATTGAGCAGGGCTGCTGTTGGCATGTTGAATAATGCGCAAGAACAGTCTCGTAAAGACTGGTTTCAGATTGAGACTCCTGACGTCCTCTTCAGTAATGATGGCCAGGTGTTCAGTTCTGCGAAACCCGAGCTCATCCACAAACGTCTTTGCCACATCCGGTGGTATGCCGTGCCTTCGGAACAGCTCATGCCCTGACGGCGAACACTGTACAAGTTCCCAGCCTGCTGCAGAGTCCTGCAGCAGGGACATGTAGCAGTTGCTCAGCCTTTGAAGTATGGGCAAGAGACGCACATATTCGATAAAGCTAGGCCCGAAAATCTCTATTTTCATATGCTTCATATGCAAAATACGTGTACGAGGCTAAGCTCTTGTGTGCATAACATCGGTAACCTAAAGAGGCATGTGCGCACCTGAAAGCACTATTCCTGCTCTGACAACGTACTTCATGAATATAATGTTTATGCGAACTATATTCACCTGCATAGGACTTCCATGCGCCACTGCTCCCTTGTGCGCTGATGCGCCGTAACCCATATTGCGTAGCAGCCAATAACGATGACCCTAAAACCAAAGGCAAGTGCCTTCACTCCTCTATGAAGTACAGTAGGTGCGGTTGTCTATGTGCGTGTGCACTACTTAAGTGACATGCAATTACAGCCTGTACAGCCATACAAGCAAAATCTGGCTGCCGTTTCTATGGGGACTACTGACATGCACTATAGGTAGAAATATGGGAAGGGGATGATACCTCTTATCCCCTTAGCGATCTTGGTAGTATGTCACTTAGACCCCGTTGGGTACGGCTATCGAGGCCAATACCGAGGCCAACGACTTCGTGTGCTGCAGAACGTGCATGCTATTATTCCAGGAAAAATGCCCCGTATGAGTCCTTGTTCCTTGGCCAGCGAGGCCTTCGATATGTCGCTCATTTCAGGGGTCGTTCGGAAGGAGACCTCAGGGGTCGCAATGTAACTGATTGGAGTAACTCATTTGGGGCGAAAGCGGAATGTATGTGCCAATCAATTGTCAGGAAGCGGTAGACCACCACTGGGGGCAATAGCAACAGCTTCTACCTGTGGCCGCTCATCACTATACAGACCCTGTCCCTGGCAGCCCCTTTTGAAAGCACGCCAGGCTACTGCGAGACTGCCCGTGTGGCTGGATCCGCCTGCAAGGGACTCGTCATCATCCCCATCCGCTCACTCCGTCCCTACCTAGAAGCGGGTGCTAGCCTTTGTGACCACCTCCTAACCTGCAGTGCGGGTGGGAAGCTGGGGGTGGTGCAAGGGCGGGAGGCAGGCATCAAACGTGTCACCCGCCGCGGCTCGCACCTTATGCAGCTGCTGGGGGCGGAATGGGGGAGTTGAAAGCACCTCATTGTTGTGTATGTGACAAGGCTCCACCATGAACCACATCATGGTTGCCAACCAGGAGACAGGTGAGCCGGAAGCTTAGTCTTATTGAGGGAGGGCATCATAAGGCCCACGGGGCCCGCGTTGGGGCGGTCAGGGTGAGATGAGACGGGTGGCGCGTAGGGTTAAGGAGCAATCCTGGAAGAGCTGCTGCCGGCTCGGCGTGGGTAACCCGTCATCGGTCCTTATTGCTTAGCCTCCTGCGTGCATGCCCGAACCGGAAAGGCTGGGTTGAGGCTTCAACAGCTTGTGTGACCAGCCTGCTTGTCCCCTGTCCTGCTGGCCCCCGCAACTTCTCGCCAGCTGGCGGCCCTCAACCTGCGGCTGCAGCTGCCTCGCTCGCAGCTGCTGCAGGCGGTGCACCACTGCCTTGTTGGACTGCAGGGGGCGGACCCTGGGCGCTGGGGGCAGGAGCGGTGCTGCCGGGCTCCGAGCTTGGCAAATGGGTGGGGCGAGGTCGGGGAGGGAGGAGAGCGGCAGGGTGCTGGAATATGGCAGAGGTTGGACGGGGGCGCTTGTTGGTTGGGTGGCCGCCCGGCTAGCCCTGCATTTTCCTACCACCCCTGCCGCCCAGCCCCGCACGGCCATCGCCCCATCCTCCCCTCCAGCCTGGCGTATTCCCTTCATCGCCCCTGCTACAACACAGCCCTGCACCGCCACCCCCTGCGCCCTGGTGTCGTTCCTCCGAATGGGGATGGACGGGTCGTGGCTGTCTCGGGAGCTCGGTCGTGGGAGGGTGGTCGTGGGAGGGTGGTCGCGGGAGGGTGGTCGTGGGAGGGTGTGTGGCATGATAGGTTGGGTTTACACTTTTGTGTGTTTACCCATTTGTCGGCGGATGAGTTTGTAGCTGTAGTCCCACTTATTGGGGGCTACGGGTTTGATTGCGGCGTGGTTTTGAACATGCCGGCGCTGCTTGAGGAAGGGCTTGAACAGGCGACCTGGCATGGGCCGGGTCGACGCTGTCGTCCCATGGGTCGGTTGACGGTTTTTGGTCAGCGGGGCTTGGTAGCGGAGGCTCAGCGGGGTTTCCGTTGGGACGACTGGCTCAGAGAGGCCGGTGTCAGTGGGAATTCGTTGGTCCCCGTGAGTCGTGCCTCGCTGAGCGTGTTTCCCTGCTTCTCAGCGGGGTAACGGCTTGTTAGACGGTTGTTGTCAACGGTGGCCGGTTTTTGGCTCACCGGGGTTTGGAATTAGTATAAAAGGGCGCAGTTTTCTTGTCTCCAGACCTTTTACAGCTGAAAGTGGCCTAAGTGCCGGCTGGGGTCGGTCAGGGAAGCCTTAACCCTCTTCTGGACTAAGCCTCCAACAACTGGTCTTGGACTCGGACTCATCCCCGTGTAAGGTACACGCGTGGAGACTGGAAGGACCTTTCGTGTCTGGACATCAAGCACTGCCCTACCTGGGCAGTTATACGGTTCGTTACTGGTAGTTATACACTGGTATCCCAACTGTCATCACGTACAGCCTTAGGTTTGACCAATCGGCCTTAGTTAGGTCCCGCATTGGCATCCCTGAGCCTGCTCTTTCAATCTTAGGTCAAATTACCGAACCTGAGTGCGCACTTTGACGCTAACCGTCAGCGGTTAGGTAGTTAGCTAGTTAGTTACCCAACTGCAACGGTTTGTCTCAATACGACTCGTCGGCCGTACATAACAGCTTACACTTGCTCAGCAGTTAGGTTGTTATACCGTACGCCTGCAGCCGTAACGGTTTGCTAAGTCTTCAGTTAGTCGTATACTCTAACGGTCAACGACCCATAACGGCCCGTACGCCTAATACGACTCGTCAGTCGTACGCAATAGGGTTTACTTGCTTAGGTCTCCCTCACTCTTCTCCTACTCTCGGGCTCATACACTAACCCCCTGGCCAAGCCTATACCCCAGTGGTTATACACACCCTCTCCAGCCCAGGTCTGACACCCTTCTCAGTCCACCTCGGCGAGGGTCTGGCGGGTCGGCAACCCTCTAAGGAGGTACAGGTGGGCGGTGCCGTCAGACGGCGGTTATCAGCCGGCATCGTAGCCTAGAACAAATAGGTCATAACCTACGCCATACACGCTTCCGCTTGCGTTACATCTCGACATATAGTTTACTTCCGCTCGCTTCCGCATCTCGATCTTAAATAGATACAACCATACCGTACACATACGGTAGGGCGCCGCATTAGGTCACAGCCCTAGCTTGCGGTCGCATACACCCTAGCCATAAGGGAAGGGACAGAAGCGCGGTAGCCTCGTCCTCACACGGGCGCCGCGTGCCACACTGCTGCTTGTACTAGTCCTGGTCAATTAGACGGTCACCGGGGGTGGGCATCACTTGACACAAGCGAAAATTTTTGGGGTGTCCCACCCGCCCGCGTGCGCCGCGGGAGTGTTGCCACAGGTGGTCGTGGGAGGGTGGTCGTGGGAGGGTGGTCGCGGGAGGGTGGTCGTGGGAGGGTGGTCAAAGGATGTGGGTCACGGGAGGGCGGCCGTTTAGACGTGAGGCAGGGAACCAGGGATGTAGTGGTAGATCCGGGTGAGGAAGGCGGACGCGGAAAGGTATCTTTAGATTAAGTAGTGGAATGGTCACGAGTGGGTGTACACCGATGTGGCATCACACTTACGTGGTTGCGCTGTGTGAGGCTAATATCAAGGAATAGCGTACCGGTATACATACACCCTAATCGGGATAGTGAGTAGGGTTTTGTGCAGAGAATTGATGCGACTCGGTTGGCTCCTTTTGGTTTTCGGTGGTTTAGCGCACGATAGCTGCACCCCTTCCGCAGCTGCTGCTGGCGCCATAGCAAGTAAGGGCTTGCGTAGGCAGGGAGGGCTGAGAGAGGAGAGGTGTTGCGGCACGCTGAGGACGGAAAGTTGCAGTTGCCGCAGCCGTAGGTTGGGGATGGAACTCTTATGGCTTGACGAACTCCTGTAATGACCCGTGGGTCACTTTTACAGCCAACAGCATTTCAGCGGACAGGGGCCGCAGCTGCTTGCGCCGGGCATGTGTCGGCAGGTGCCTTGTGACACGGTAGCAGCAGCAGGCGGCAGTAGTGGTGGGGCGTGTGCGTGGTAGGCAGGGTCGTGCGGTTGCAGCTGTACATGCAAGCTGTGGTGTGCCTCTTACATACAAGTGGCGAGGAGCCTAGGCCGAACTACTAGATCGGCAGCGGCAACAGCCTTGACAGCTTCAGCAGCGCAGTACAGTGCCTAGGTAGGATGTGCATTTTGTCATTCATGGTTGCCGGCATAGCTGTTCTACCAGTAGGTAGACCGTGGGACTATACGGTATATGGGTAGTAGTGCGTGGTCTGTTCCAGCTGTTAAATTAAGCAGCCGGAGGGGCAAAGCCACACACCGCATTACTATACGGTTTACAAGTACAGTCCATACACCCGTACGTCCGTACGAGCCAGGGGGGCCAAGAATACTATCGCTTGTGGTGAGGACCCCTCCTGGGCCATCGTTTGGTTGCAGCTCTGCGACAACGTACAGTAGTTCCTGATACACAAGCGGGTTTCCCATACACAGCTCATGTAGTTAGATAGCCAGCATAGCCTCACGGCTATGTCCTAATGTCGTCCCTCATGAACCTACTGCCGAAATTGAACAACAGACTTCTCGTGTACTCGCTGTGCAGCTTATTTCAGCACTCGCATTCCTTCCACAGAAACACAAAACCTATCCACCACAGCAACATTTTCAAAATACTATTATTGCAACACCTGCAAATAACCCGTTCAGACGTGGGGCACACTCCATGGTAATTCACTTCAAGATCCAAACACCCAGGCCTGGAACACATTACCAGTCCATGCCCGCTGCGGGGAAAGCGAGAACGGCACTGGCAAAGCCAGCCAGAGCAGGCCGTCGGGTTTCCCCCTTAAAAGCTAGGGCTATCCGTCCATTGGGCGTACATAGCAGCACGCCTTGGCACCTCTCGGCGCCTCGTACTCCAGGAGTGGCTCTCACCGTCCAAGGTGGGGCTTCCATCCTTCTCATGCTCCCATTCACCTCTACCACCATCACAGAGATACCTACCGTACGCATCAATGTGATTACTAACAGTATTACTAAAACGTGTGGCACGCAATGGGCACCCCTGCTTGAACGCCGGACCTACAGAGAAGGCCGGGCCGGGCATGAACTTTCACGAGCAATGTCATGTCTGCACTGAAGGGCTTCCAGCATCCGCCCCTAACTGCCAAAGGCTTCAAACACGGCGCAGGAGTCCCAAGATCTACGGAACCAAAAGCCCTAGCAAAACCTATGACAGCTAGGGAACTAGGATTAGCCCCGCTGGTTAAATGCTTACTAATCCAATGCTGCAGGGTGAAAAGCAGGTGGTTCTCCACA